TTGGAATTAAAAACCTAGTAAAAACTGAAAATGAAAAAAGAAATGATAATTTATGGGTTATGACTGCTGATCAATTGAGATTATCTACTACTACTATTATTTTTGGTGTTAATAACCTAGTAAAATCTGAAAATGAAAATTTGATAATTGATGGCTACTGATTGCAATGGAGGTAGTGGCAACAAAGTCAAGCCAGGCTATGGAAGTAACCGGTTGAGCCGGTGGGTTCACGAATGACTTGACCGAAACGTGGCCATGTGATGCTAATAGTTAAGCAATGTGGAAGTTCCTATCAAAGTATGTTTGAGCACAATAATTCCAACATTTTGTTTCTATCGATTGTCGAGTCATATTTGTTGCTACCTTTGATGTATAAAATACCATTTTCTTTTGCTAATTCTTTTATATATATAAAATGTTGTCAATTAAACTTCGGAGTAGTAGACTTTCATATATTTATGGTCTTTCTTTTTTATTTTTCTTAGAAGCAAAAATAATATATAACGTATTTTTGTGTGGTTCATTAGAAGCATAATATCTGGATTTGTCGAATTATTTAAGTTTTGGGACCAATTTACTTTTTAGTGGCACATACCTCCGCTCTCAGTATTTTGTTTGATGTTTATTTTTTACCTTTGAAATAAAAAGTTTACTCTAATATGATTTTTTGGGTCGTATCCTAAACAGAAGTATAGTTAATTACTTAATTACTCTTAGTTGAATTCTATTCCATGGGAGTGGTAGCGTATAGCAGAAATATGTTTGGAAATACATAATTTATACTATTTTGTCGTTTTATCACATTTACTATATCCACCAAGTTACAAATATATCCCAAAATATACTACTATATCACAATCTCAATAATTATACTGTGGTAGCCAAAACAACACATTACAAATTTACAATATATATATTGTTCAGTTAATCCGTCCGTACATCTATATATGTAAACAACAGTCAAATTTCAAGTACATCTATATATGTAAACATCGGTCAAATTTCAAGTTAGTTATGATATTGATATATTTTATTCAAGCTTAGAAAGTGTCGGTGAAAATTATCTAACTTATAAGATATACTTGTTGTCTTTGGTACTCTCTTTACAAAATTAATTTCGTCATTTTCTTTTGAAACCTAAAATCGTCATAGTTGTGTTTTACATTATGTCTTTTTTATTTTTGTCAAAAAAAGAAAGAAAAGCAGCATGTTAGTTGAATAAGTTTGGTTAAGTACGTACGTAACAATTGATTTAATTAACTAATTATGTGGCATATTTATACAAAGACTAATCATTTATGCGCTGGGCATTATTACGTGTACGTCCACGCATATAGTTTGGGATCATTTCGCGTTGGAAAAAAAACCGGAGAAAAATAATCGTAAATCAATATGTTATATGTTGATCACTGTTACTAATTGGTTAATGTTAAAACCAAAGGTTTTGCTTTGATAAAAATAAAACCAATGTTCTAAGACTTTCTTATTAAAATTAACAATGTTACAATGATGTACTTATTTTTATTTTTTTTGTCAACGACGTACTTAATTTTTAATTATGTAGAATTAGTAGCTAGAATATTGTCAAGTGTCAGTCCTTGATGAAGACACGAGGCAATTTCAAATTTGATATTATAGGTAAAATTTGACAGTTTCCGGGGTCCTTTTTAATAATGTATAATTTGATTAGTTAATGGACAATAATCTGTTTCGATAAAAATACATAAACGCTCAGAATTCCTTCAGACGAATATGCTTTTTAGGAAGCTTTTGTGTCCAAATTATATGTATATATACGTATGGATGAAACAACATATATATGTGTGTGTGGTTTTCAACAAAGACAGCTACAATATTTAAAATCTCTTGAAGGATTTAATGTTCTTATAGTTGACGAATTTTAAAATTTTGTTTAGGTCTCTCTAACTTTTATTTCTATTCCTAATAAATTTCTAACTACTAGCATAGGTTTTGTATATATATTCTGCAAATCACCAGCAACAGTTACACTTAATAAACAATAATGTAAATTTAAAACTGTTGTTACGTTAATCATGCAAAATATTTATCAAACGATTCATCTAAGACAACCAACGAATTTTCTTCGCAATATATCGACTTTGGTACTAAACAAGTTTTCCAGGAAATTTATCAACCTATAGTTACGAAATTTATAAGTTTTAGGTACTGACTGCTAATTTTTTGAAGAGTTTGCAACTAGTGTTTTACACACTTTAGATAAACATTATCAAAGCCAAAGATACTTTTAATTCAATACTTCCCTTTAGAGTTCTTTCGTGGCACGCCATTGACTAATGACTAGGGAATCCTAGAACAATTTAGTATTAGTTGCCAGTTGGTCCTATTTACTATAAGGGTAGTGAACACTATTAAAAGCTATAGGGTAACTAATTCTCTATAAAATTCAAGAAATCACAAACAAAAATATATGTTGATAAATAAATACTATCTTGGATAAGCAGATTCCATATTAATATACATATTTCGTTGAGAAATATCCTACAACATTTGAGAGTTTGGCTCTAGCTATGGGGTAGCAAATTTGTAATTGCTTTTAAAAAAACATAGATGTTAATTTAATCACTAATTATATTATCTTGTTACCAAATTCCAACTTTAATTTTTCTCTGATGTGACCGTAAACTTACCAACGACGACTATGGTACTTATGAAACTTTTAACAAAATAGATATTACTTATAAAGTTTTTGCTTATATACATGTGACTAATCTAAGTGCAGAGGATTTAAACACTTTATCATAAATTTTTAAAAATGATAATATTATTTTGGTCTAGGTTAAATTAGGGGAATCCTTGGTGTATCACAATTTATTTGTTGGAAAAGTTTTTATTCTCCCATGTGCTTTCTTGCTAATTCTTTTCAAAGTTCTAACTACCCTTTAACTTTAATAATTGATATTGCTAAATTCTAAAAAGATCAAAACTTTGCAGGAAATCAAAAACGAAACCTAATTTGTGAAAACTTCTTTTTCTTTTCACGTGTTTACAAAAATATCTCAACATACTAATATAGACCGGAAAAGTATAAATCGGAACATCAGGATTCCCATCCCAAATGTTGATCATATATACAACTTGTATAATACAAGAATTATTCGAACAAACTAATTGACCAGTCTATAACTTTTTTTTTTTGTTTAAAAAATTCCAGCATGTATATGATTTTTGTAAGGAGAAGTATATGATTATTGATGGGCACTCAAAATCTGAGGAAGTTTGAGATATACAAGTGGTGGGAGCGAAATAAACAGAAGAACAATTTTTCTGCTCCTTCTTTGGGAAACATAGATAATTATACCTGTTTTTTTTTTTTAATAGTTATACTTTTTCACGACATAAATTATCATTTCTTTGCATGATTTAAAATTCAACCTACATTTATGCTTGCAATTTCGTAATTACTTCCGCCTTTATTGTTCATCTTTAATTCTTTCTTTTCTTGTCCTTATAGACATAAAAATTTGTGTGTTTGTGTGTTACAGCAGAATTTCCCAATCTGAAACACAAGAATAATTTGATTTAGTAGTTTGAATTATGAATTGCAATTAAATGTTGATTAGGTCATGATATTCATTTCTCATGTGGTAGTCCTTTTCTTCAAATCTCTTGTGGCGGTGGTTCGTGTAGTAAATTGTCATGTGCCATAATAGTAAATACCATTATGTATAAAACTGTATTAATTAAATGTATAAAAAATACGAGTAAAAAAGGTTAAAATTACTCTGTTTACGTTATTACTATACTTTTAGCCCCGTATTAGCTAGCTCTCAAATTGTACGACCACGCAAAAGCCTGCAATATGCCACTAAGTTTCATTCCACATGCTATATCTTCTTTTGTCACGATTATATTTCTCATAATTGAGAGTTCACATGCACTCTATTGTTATATGTCGTCATATACATACATTGGGAAATTCTACGATCTATACGAGTAAACGAAGGAAAAAAATGAATAGTCAATTATATGACACAATTTAAATTCTAAACGGAACTAAAATTTTAGCTCTATGGTTATGTTATACTATTATTACAGTCGATAAGTGTGAAGCGAGTCGACGCGGTATCATACACCGATCGAGTCACAACACGCGACCTCGCATTATATTAAAATCACATTTTATGTCACAAATCAAAGTCGTTTAGTTTAATTGAACTTTGTACTATACTTGGTTTCGTCTTCAAAATACAGCTGTCTTCCTATTGATCGTGTAGTTTTCTTATGTAAGTCATTTTAAGACATTTGACTTTACTCTCATAATCATCCTTTTTCTGAACATTTATTTGCTTCTTACGGTTCTAATTATCTTTCTATATATGATGTTTTTTTGTCACAAGCATTTAAGTGTTTTTGTAGTTTATATTTGTAGTTTCTAAGTTTATGACTTTGAAAAAATTAGGAACGTTCTGGCACCACATTGTAATATGCATGATCGGAAATTTTGTGGTCCTCTTGTCATAATTTTCGCGCACCAACAAGTATTTTTATAGATTTCGTGTAATCATTTATTTTTGAAATAAGTGATAGCTTTCTGTTGACTGTATATATGTGATTTATACGCAACTTTAACATATACAGAATGTCGGTAAATAAAAAAGAAATTATATAATCGAAAATGATTGTGGTAGATGTCATCGTGATTAACATAGCTTAACTAGCATTCAATAGTAGCATCTATTTTTTAAAATATCTGTGTATGATTTTCAATTAGAATTAGTTTGGTTTTATTTCAATCTGGTGGTTGAAGATTAGTTTTCTCACACAGTGGAAATTTCCTGATCTATTATCTTGTTTATTATAAAACTAAGAAAAACCAATAATTGCCAGCTAATAGCGAAATTAAAATAACAAAACTATAGAAGAAAAAAACGAAGATATTGAATTAGTCCCTAAAGAACAAAGCCCACCTCCAACGACTACTTTTTTCACTATAAAAACAACTCTTTTCCATGCAGAAACACAATCAATCACTTCTTCTTCATCTTTCCTCAAAAATAAAAACATTTTCTCCAATTTTTTCTTCTTTAATAATTTGGAGAAAATAGTCGTAGCCAAGACTGAACATTATCCGGTGAAGAATGGCGACTCCGGCATGGAGTCATGCCAAGGCTCAATGGGTAGTGGCCATGTTGGCGTTACTCGTTGGCTCGGCTATGGCTACCGAACCTTATTACTATAGTTCTCCTCCACCACCGTACGAGTATAAATCTCCACCTCCTCCACCTCCTTATGAATATAAATCACCACCACCTCCAGTTAAGTCTCCTCCACCACCGTATTACTATCATTCACCGCCGCCGCCAGTGAAATCCCCTCCCCCTCCTTATGTTTACAGCTCTCCTCCTCCTCCGGTGAAGTCTCCTCCACCACCGTATTACTACCATTCTCCACCTCCTCCGGTGAAGTCTCCTCCACCACCGTATTATTACCACTCACCACCCCCTCCAGTGAAATCTCCACCACCACCATACTACTACCACTCACCACCTCCTCCCGTGAAGTCTCCTCCTCCCCCATACTACTACCATTCACCACCCCCTCCGGTGAAGTCTCCTCCTCCCCCATACTACTACCATTCACCACCCCCTCCGGTGAAGTCTCCTCCTCCTCCATACTACTACCACTCCCCACCCCCTCCGGTTAAGTCTCCTCCACCACCATACTACTACCACTCCCCCCCTCCTCCGGTTAAGTCTCCACCACCACCATACTACTACCACTCCCCCCCTCCTCCGGTTAAGTCTCCACCACCACCATACTACTATCACTCCCCACCTCCTCCGGTTAAGTCTCCACCACCACCATACTACTATCACTCTCCACCTCCTCCGGTAAAATCCCCTCCTCCTCCTTACTACTACCACTCTCCTCCCCCTCCGGTTAAGTCTCCTCCACCACCGTACTACTACCACTCACCACCTCCTCCAGTGAAATATCCTCCACCACCTTACTATTACTCATCTCCACCACCACCAAAGTCTTACCCTCCACCATATGTATACTCATCACCGCCACCACCAAAATCTTACCCTCCACCGTACGTATACTCATCACCACCACCACCAAAATCTTACCCTCCACCATACGTATACTCATCACCACCACCACCACCAAAGTCATACTCCCCACCGTACTATTACTCATCACCACCACCTCCGGTGTCATACCCTCACCCTCACCCACATCCACTTGTCTTCAAAGTTGTTGGTAAAGTGTATTGTTACAGATGTTATGACTGGACTCACCCCAAAAAGTCTCATGATAAGAAGCATCTCCAAGGTAAATTCTGCCTTCCATGTGTTCAATAATTAATTTTTAATATTAGCAAAATCCTTAGTTAACTAGAGAATATATGTTAATTAATATGTTGATCATAGGATGATTAGTTATATGCTTTTAGCATTTAAATAAGTAGCATATATGTATTGTTAAGTGGTGGTTGCATGTAGTATAGATTATTTAATTAGTGGAAAAAAGAAAACGATTAAGTCAAGAAAAAGACAAGAATCTGTTATTGACTTAAACAATCCAAAGAGATCGAACAAGCAAAATCGATTTTGTAGATACCAACTAAAAGGACATAAGATAATTTTTAAAATTTAAATAAATTTATTTTTGTCATTTAGGTGCTGTTGTGGAAGTGACTTGTAAGGCCGGTGACAAGACGGTTAAGGCATATGGAAAGACCAAGAACAACGGTAAATACGCAATCACCGTTAAAGGATACAACTACCTTAAATACGGTGGCGAAGTCTGTACGGCCAAGCTTCACGCGCCGCCTAAGGGCTCGCCATGTAACATTCCGACAGATTACCATTGGGGTAACAAGGGTGCTAAACTTCATGTGAAATCTAAGACAAAGTACGAGGTTGTGCTTTATGCTAAGTCCTTTGCTTATGCACCAAAGAAGCCTTACGGAGAATGCCACAAACCGGCTCCTTATCATCCTCCTTACTACTACAAGTCTCCACCACCACCATCTCCGGTTTACTACTACAAGTCTCCACCACCACCGGCTCCAACCTACGTCTACAAATCTCCACCACCGCCAACTCCGACTTACGTCTACAAGTCGCCTCCTCCTCCAACCCCAACATATGTCTACAAGTCACCTCCTCCTCCAACTCCCACATATGTCTACAAGTCTCCTCCACCACCAACACCGACTTATGTCTACAAGTCACCACCACCGCCAACCCCAACATATGTTTACAAGTCTCCACCACCACCGACTCCAACATACGTCTACAAGTCGCCACCTCCTCCTACCCCGACCTATGTCTACAAGTCTCCACCACCGCCCACTCCTACTTATGTATACAAGTCTCCACCACCGCCAACCCCAACATATGTTTACAAGTCTCCACCACCACCGACTCCAACATACGTTTACAAGTCGCCGCCTCCTCCTACCCCGACCTATGTCTACAAGTCTCCACCACCGCCAACTCCTACTTATGTATACAAGTCTCCACCACCGCCAACCCCAACATATGTTTACAAGTCTCCACCACCACCGACTCCAACATATGTCTACAAGTCGCCGCCTCCTCCTACCCCGACCTATGTCTACAAGTCTCCACCACCGCCCACTCCTACTTATGTATACAAGTCTCCACCGCCACCAACTCCGACATACGTATACAAATCCCCCCCACCACCAACCCCGACTTATGTCTACAAGTCACCGCCTCCTCCTACCCCGATTTATGTCTACAAGTCACCACCACCACCAACCCCAACCTATGTTTACAAGTCACCACCACCTCCAACTCACAGTCCTACGCCATACTATTACCATTCTCCACCCCCTCCGGTCAAATCTCCTCCTCCTCCATACTACTACCATTCACCACCTCCTCCGGTGAAGTCTCCTCCTCCCCCATACTATTATCATTCACCACCTCCTCCGGTCAAATCTCCTCCTCCCCCATACTACTACCATTCTCCACCCCCTCCGGTCAAATCTCCTCCTCCCCCATACTACTACCATTCTCCACCCCCTCCGGTCAAATCTCCTCCTCCTCCATACTACTACCATTCACCACCTCCTCCGGTCAAATCTCCTCCTCCCCCATACTACTACCATTCTCCACCCCCTCCGGTCAAATCTCCTCCTCCCCCATACTACTACCATTCTCCACCCCCTCCGGTCAAATCTACTCCTCCTCCATACTACTACCATTCACCACCTCCTCCGGTGAAGTCTCCTCCTCCCCCATACTACTACCATTCACCACCCCCTCCAGTCAAATCCCCTCCTCCCCCATACTACTACCATTCACCACCTCCTCCGGTGAAGTCTCCTCCTCCCCCATACTACTACCATTCACCACCCCCTCCGGTCAAATCTCCTCCTCCCCCATACTACTACCATTCACCACCTCCTCCGGTGAAGTCCCCTCCTCCCCCATACTACTACCATTCACCACCTCCTCCAGTGAAATCTCCTCCTCCCCCATACTACTACCATTCACCACCCCCTCCGGTCAAATCCCCTCCTCCTCCATACTACTACCATTCACCACCTCCTCCGGTGAAGTCTCCTCCTCCTCCATACTACTACCATTCACCACCTCCTCCGGTGAAATCCCCTCCTCCCCCATACTACTACCATTCACCACCCCCTCCGGTGAAGTCTCCTCCTCCACCTTACTACTACCATTCACCACCCCCACCGGTGAAATCTCCACCACCACCATACTACTACCATTCACCACCTCCTCCAGTCAAATCTCCTCCTCCACCATACCATTACAGCTCACCACCACCTCCAGTCAAGTCTCCTCCTCCACCATACCATTACACCTCACCACCTCCACCAGTGAAATCCCCACCACCACCATACCTTTACAGCTCGCCTCCACCACCGGTAAAATCTTCCCCACCTCCCGTTTACATCTACGCTTCTCCCCCACCTCCCACACATTACTAGGCTCGTCAAATTCAACAAAATTTCCCAATTATTCAAGTAAGTCCAACAATCCTATACTTTTAACTTACTCCATTATCCGTTCTAATAATTGTCCCCTAAATAAAATCTCAACTTCTTCTTCACACAGGTTTTCTTTTAAAAAATGAAATAAAGGAAGGGTCAAAGTCAAAGAGAAGAAGAAGTGAACCAAATAAGGATCGTGGCGTGGAAATCAGAAACAAAACATCTATAACAACGATCCACATCACTTCCTCTTCTTCAATGTCGCTCATCTTCCACTTGTGCATCATTATCTTTGCGTCTTCATCAAGTCAAATTGTTTCCAAGACCCTTTTAGATCGTATCATACTCTTCTTTGTTCGCTTTTGTTGTAAGTGAAAAAAAAAATGGGTTCTGGTAATTTAATTGTTGTGCATACATTTTCTATTTTGTTATTCTTCCGTTAATGTAATGAAAGAGTTGTTAGCATATAAAACAAAGTTCCAGTTTCTTCTTTCTATCGATTATTCGATATACAGTCATCGCATTTTCTATCTTAAAACATAGTTCCAAAAGAACAAAAGTAGTTCCAACGACAAAGTTAAAGACATTCTTTTGACATCGTTTGGATCTGTTCGTACAGAAAAAGTTATCATTGCTTCAAAAGGTGGGAAAGTGGATGTAACACATCTCTTCGATCTCATTTGTGCTATGTTATGTAATACGTCAGAGAATCACTTTCATTCAACTAATTCCCACCTATTCTTTTTGTTTTTAATTATATTTTTCTTATATTGAGCAATACTATATGCTAAATACAAAACCTAATCGGAGCCAAGAAACCATTCTGAAATAAAATTTAAACCTGTTGAAATGAATTCATATAAAAGTTATATTTTAGTTTATATACTTGTTTAATCGAAACATGGAACCAGAAGCATATGAAAACCAAGTGTTAAAGAATTGGTTCGAAAAAAGTGGAGTGGTTGTAATTTGGGCTTTGGGATATCATTAGCTGATTTGAGGCCCATTGACTAAACGTATTTGGTAATTTGCCTCCAAGTTTTTGGTCACAGTCATTTTGTGTTTGTTTGGCAACAACACCTGTACCTTTATTTTGTAAGTTGATTTTGATAAATCACCCCAAAAGTATTTACAAAACTTGTTTATCAAAATAATTTTGATAATGATAAGTTAAATTTAATGAAGCTAATAAAGACAACTTTGTTCTTGATTTTCATATAAAAGGTCTAGTAGCTTCCAACTCCACTAGACATAAAGCATATTTGTCACAAAAAAAGTTGGAATAAAGCATATTGTATCTTCTCATTTCCAAGCTGTATATGAGAATAGAAACTTTATAAAACGTGCTTAGACCATAGTAATAATTATGTTTTTTTTTCTTAAATAAAAATAGTAGACGAAGATGAAGAAGAAACAGCTGTGATATTCAAATGACAAAAAACCAACATTATATGATTTGGAGCCCTTAATATTCTCCGTGTTTAGTTGCGCTGTCTTATTATTATTCTACATACTTTCATTTTTTTTTCTTACTAGTTTCATTTTATATATTTATTTATTTATCTGTTGAATTTTCCCATTTGGCTGCTGTTTTCCCCTCTCTCTCTCTCTCTAACACCGGAATTTTGTAGAGAGAGGAGGCAAAGTGCGAAAGCTAAACGCAGAAAAGAGACAAGAGACAATCTCCTCCACCTTCAAAAGATAGAGAGATCACACAAGCTTGCAAAAGCGTTTCTTCTTCTTCCTCTTTTTATCTGTGTCTTCACAGATCCACGATCCGATTCTGGTCAAATTTTACATTTCTGCAGGTACGATCTAAAGCTCTTTTATTCCTGTTTTTTTTTTGTTCATCCATTTTTATTTTTCTTAGGATTTTCTTAGATCTATTGTTTCCATTTTGAAATTTCCGGTTGATTTTTTTCGATCTTGTTGGATGCGATTCTATATTGTGGACATTTATTTAGGGATGTTATTAGCTTAAAGATCTTTGTGAGCTGCGTTTTTGAATGTGAATCTTCCCTTTTTATTCGATTTTGATTGTTACCGTTTGAATTTTAGTTTGCTTAGGACTCGGATTTTGTTGATTTGACTTCTTCTTTTATGCCTTTGATTTGGCAAAATTCGGAAATTTTGTTGCGAGCTGGGGATTTTCACTTCCTTGAGATTGTTTATGTATTCGATCATGGCTGATTGATTTGTGGCCGTTTCTCAATTTAATTATTTTCATGTATTTGCTCTTACGATTGTGTAATTGAAATGTGAGGTTATGCTGAAGATTGATTCATTGTGGATGAAGTCTGTTTCTTTTTGTTCTATACATGTTTGTGGTGATATATATCTTTGTTTTGAACGCTAACAGATAAAGCTGCTCATACTAGTTATACAACAGACAGACTCCATAGAAGGTGCTTAATATATTTGTTTAAGATACTCTTGTTCCTGGAACACATACGAAGATGAAGAAAGTCTTCGGCCAAACTGTCAGAGACCTGTAAGAATAAATGATATTCTCAATGTCAATTTGTGTGTGGTTTATTTGTTTTTCATTGACGGGATGCTTGATTTTATGTTCCATTTATTCAGTAAGAGAGAGGTCAACAAGAAAGTGCTCAAAGTTCCTGGAGTTGAACAGAAGGTAAAGGATCCTCTTCTGTTTTTGTTGATTTAGATACTGTTTTTGATTGTTATGCTTGAGTTGATCAATTTCATTATTTGTTTGTAAACGGTTTTTGAAAAAAATATAAATAGAGAGCTTATCTTGGTTGCATTCATCGTCTTGCTAAACAAATTTAAAGCGAGATGTCCAACATATTTTTATGTTGTTTATTCAGGTTCTAGATGCTACTAGCAATGAGCCATGGGGTCCACATGGATCACTTCTTGCTGATCTTGCGCAAGCTTCAAGAAATTAGTAACTACCACCACCTTCCAACTGCTATATTGTGCTGTAATTTTTGACATTGCACAGGAATTATAAAAATGTTACTTCTATTGCAGTCATGAATACCAGCTGATCATGGTGGTCATATGGAAACGCCTTAGCGACACCGGGAAAAACTGGCGGCATGTCTATAAGGTGAACAATATTAATGTCTTGCTGGCTTAATTCGTGTTGAATTTCTGTAGCAGTGACCAAAGTATTTCATGTTGCTTACCTCTTATCTCTCCCCTTCAGGCTTTGACAGTTTTGGAGTACATGGTAGGTCATGGATCAGAACGTGTTATAGACGAGATTAGAGAACGTGCATATCAAATTTCGGTAATGACCACCCGGAGTACATGAAGTATTCAACATCAAGAGAATCCTTTTGTGCGATATCTCAGTAGTTGACTATCTTACTCATATATGTCTATTTTCCTTGTGGCAGACATTGTCCGATTTTCAGTATATTGATTCCGGTGGTAGAGATCAAGGAAGCAATGTTAGGAAGAAATCACAGAGCCTGGTGGCGTTGGTGAATGACAAGGAAAGAATAGCTGAGGTCAGACAGAAGGCTTCTGCTAACAGAGATAAGTAAGTTTGCTTTGTCATTGTATCTTTCTGGAACTGGTGGATAGTTTTCTCTCTGTGTGAGTCTCGTTGGACACTCGTTTGATTTCTTGTTGCTAGTGGCTTACAATTACTATCATGCCTCTCAGTATTCTATTAAATTGTAGTGCTGGCCCTTTAGCAGTATTAGCTTCTGAATTTTGAAAGTTTTTATACTCGAGAAAAGAAAATGACAAGTCTTTTGGTTCATTCAAAATATGCTGAACATATCAACCTACATTAATTTTACAACAGGTATCGCAGCTCAGCACCAGGTGGGATGTATAAGCCTTCAGGCGGATATGGGGATAAATATGATTACGGAAGCCGGGATGAAGAGCGAAGTAGCTATGGAAGAGAAAGAGAATATGGTTACAGAGATGATGATAGAAATAGTCGTGATGGAGATCGTCATTCCAGAGACTCTGAAGACCGGTATGGGAGAGATGGTAATAGGGATGATGATTACAGGGGAAGGAGCAGAAGTGTTGATAACTACCAATATGGGTCACGAGGTAGGAGTTCGGAAAGGGAGCGGGAGGATGATGGCCATTCTTCATCACGGTATGTTTGATTTTAAGTTTTAGCTCGCCTAAATACCTGAAAGAAAAAAGGAAGGGGACAATTTTGAAGATTATCAACTCCATTTGGATAGAATATTTTTTATTAAGAATACTAGCGTAGATGTCTTTGATTTTAAAAAGCACTATTTCGAGCATCTTCTTAGCCTAGTTCCATTAATACGGACCCACCATTTTAAAATTTCAATGGAAACACTCCTTTTTGTTTTGTAGGGGCAGTGGTGCTCGAGCTGATGATAATTCTCAGGATGGGAGGTAATTTCTGATATGTTTCTGCTGAAGTTTCGGCATTTTCTTATTGTATGACAACTCATCTCACCTTTTATCGGGATTATATGGTAGAGGGGGGCTCCAGAGGAAGTTTTCTGAACAAAATATTGGCGCTCCACCCAGTTACGAAGAAGCTGTCAGTGAATCACGCAGCCCTGTATATAGTGAAAGGTGATAATTTTCTGCTTTGCAAATTGAGAGCTACCTTGGTTTTTATTGGTGCTGATGAATCTTTCTATGCCAGGGATGGTGGGGAGACCCCTCAAGTTACTGCTCCAGGAGCTGCTTCTCCTCCTCCCCCACAAGTTGCTGCTGCTCCTCCGCCAACTGGAACCAACACAGACAATAAAGCTGCTACTTTTGTTAATGAATCACCTTCTCAGAAAGTTGAGACTTTCGATGAATTTGATCCACGCAGTGCGTTTTCAGGTACAACATACTCAAAGTCTTGCAATTCTTAGTTGTTATTTTGTTATATCTTGAGATAGTTTCTTAGTTTTTTAAACTTCTCGGCAGCATAGAGATTAATGTTCATTGTTAAACCAGAAAATCTTTATTCAATAACTACTTCAGTAAATGTTTCAAGGCTTAGTTGGAGGGTGTATGATTGTATTCTCATGTCTGTATGGTATATTTCTATCCCATTAAACTCTGCTTATTCTGAGTGTGGCCGTTGTGTTTCTTTACTTTTCCAGCTGGCCCTCCAGCATATGCATCTACAGATGGTGTTACAGCTCCTCCAACTGTGACTTCTATGTCTGCCCCTCCCACCTCAAACAGTGTTGAGATGGACTTGCTTGGCTCCCTTGCAGACGTATTTTCATCAAACGCATTGGCCATTGTACCAGCTGATTCTACCTATGTTGAAACCAATGGACAAGCAAACGCTGGTCCAGCTCCATCGTTTTCTACATCTCAGCCATCAACTCAGGTATATACACTGAGCTTGGACTCTGAAGATTATGATGGTTTCCTATGATTATTGATGACTGTTGTTTGGATTATGCAGTCATTTGATGACCCGTTTGGTGACTCTCCTTTCAAAGCCTTCACTTCTACTGACACCGACTCGATCCCACAGCAGAATTTTGGAGCTTCTTTCCAGCCACCACCTCCAGCCTTCACTTCAGAGGTCTCACATCCTGATACTGCTCATAACTTCGGCTTTGGAGACTCATTTTCCGCCGTTGCCAATCCTGATCCTGCTTCTCAGAATGTGCAACCTCCATCGAACTCACCAGGTTTTCCTCAAGAGCAGTTTGCTACATCTCAGAGTGGTATAGATGTTCTTGCTGGCATTCTTCCACCATCTGGACCTCCAGTACAATCGGGTCCTTCAATACCAACATCTCAGTTTCCTCCCAGTGGAAACAACATGTACGAGGGCTTTCATTCTCAGCCGCCGGTATCTACAGCTCCAAACATGCCCGGACAAACTCCATTTGGACAAGCTGTTCAACCATATAACATGGTTCCTCATTCTCAAAATATGACTGGAGCCATGCCATTTAACAGTGGAGGCTTCATGCACCAGCCGGGCTCACAAACTCCTTACTCTAACCCAAGTGGACCAGCTGGTCAGTTCATAGCACACCAAGGTCATGGAATGCCACCTTCCCATGGTCCACAACGAACTCAATCCGGGCCTGTTACTCTGCAAGGGAACAACAATGTCATGGGAGACATGTTTTCACAAGCTGCGCCGAACTCCTTGACGTCATCATCATCTCATCCAGATCTCACGCCTTTAACAGGAGCAATTGAGATTGTTCGCCCGCCTCAGAAAAAGTTTGAGCCAAAATCATCAGTCTGGGCAGACACGTTGAGCAGGGGGCTTGTTAACTTTAACATATCTGGATGTAAGATAGATTTCGCCAAACCATTTAAAAAACAAAAAAGTTTTCAGCAAACTTTCTAACATTGTTTTTGCTGTTCTACTTATGCGCAGCTAAAACAAATCCATTGGCAGACATAGGAGTTGACTTCGAGGCGATCAACAGGAGAGAGAAACGGCTGGAGAAACCAACAAACACACCAGCAACATCGACTATCAACATGGGTAAAGCTATGGGATCAGGCACTGGCTTAGGGCGTTCTGGTGCAACTGCTATGAGGCCTCCACCTAATCCAATGACAGGCTCCGGCATGCCCATGGGCGGAGGAATGGGTGTTGGTAGCTATGGAGTTATGAACCAAAACCAACCCATGGGTATGGGTATGGGGGCTGGAATGAACCAACACCAACCAATGGGTATGGGAATGGGACCCGGCATGAACATGAACATGGGAGGATATGGCCAAGGCTATCCGATGCAACCACAAAACCCAGGGATGGTCCCTGGCCCAAACATGTCTGGCAACAACTACAATCCCATGATGGGTCAAGGTGGTTACAACCCTCAACAATCCTACGGTGGTGGATACCGGTAAGATCAAGCCAAGCATTACGCACTTGACTTCATTTGTATAATCAAGAATCCGCTCGTCTGTGCTTTTCCTTTACTCTGGGATATGTAATATCAGTCGATAAAAGTAGACAGATTGGCCAGCCGCTTCACGGAAGTACTCAGGTTACATTATTCATCCCGGCTACACGGCTCCACGGATTTTCTTCTCTGTTTGTTCTTGCCTTAATCTTCAGTCATCATTCATTTTTATTTTTTCTGGTATGGACCAAATTGAGAGCTTGTTGTGAAATTTGTACCGGTGAGAGTGGCAAACCTTGCTCGGGTCTGCCCTTTTTGTTATATGCATATAATTTGATATATACACATTTACTTCTGTTTCTTTATTTTGAAGATGTGTAAAACATTTTTCATCCACGGAACAAATAAAATCTTGTCATTTTGTTTTCTCTTTTTGAATGTTTCTCGACTGTATTTACCTTGTCTTCACTACATGTGTGTCATTCCAGAAAAACTTGGATTCTGTCACCAGCAGTGTCTTTAAAATCTAACAAAAGTTTCCCTCCGACCTCATCGGCTGCATCGTCCATCAATTGCTTCAAGTTCACGCCTCCTAAAGCTGCAAAATTTTAGGGTCTGTCGATAACTATGCCTAAGAAAACTGAAACAGAAAAAAGAAGACTTGAGTTTTTGAATACCTGGAACAATGTTTGTGACACCTTCCAAGAATCCGGCCTGTTCCAACCATAAGACAAGTTTTGAATCATTTCAGATAAAACATGAAAAATGGTCCTCGGAAGTGGACTTACCGGAATTCTGACATCGAGTTTCTCAAACCCATCGCGTCCGATGATTTTGATTCTTAAGGATCGTGACCAGATCCGTGAAAAGGGGTTTCTTGGTTCATTATAAACCTCAGGTGTTATGACTTCAACAATCGGGTCCTCTCTCTGTTCTGGATCATCTTGAGCCACCCGTTGATTACCATAGACGCTACTGCTGCTTGCTTCTTGAAAAGGATAAAAACAGATTTAGTTATTGATTTGATATTTCCCAAAGATGATACAACTGAAAAGTTTCATGTCTCACCTCTATCTGATGAGGAGGTAGCGTACCGCTTCTCTTCCTCCTGGTATGTGTCAAAACCAAGAATCTCTTCGATTTCTTCTACAGACGCCATGCTTCCTGGTGGAGGAATTCGACCACCCTTGATAGCCAACAGAGCGTCCTGCAAGTGTTCCACATAGTTCTTAAGTCTCTTTGCCACCAGTGAAGTGACACAATATTGGCAGAAACAGAAAGAGTGAAAGACTGTGACCTGCATTGCTTGAATAGATACTCCAATCAATGAAATTGGATACGCCACTAGCTTATATCCAATCTCTTCTAGCTCAAGCGGGTTTAGTATCGGAACTTTCCCTCCACTTTCTAGCATATTAGCCTACACAAAGACCGCACAAATGTATCTTCATATCTCCCGGGTATATATCAAGATAGAGAAGAGTAGTTTCCGGCGTAAAGGTTAAGTTACCAATTTAGGAACTAGTGGATAGACATTGCAGAATGTTTTCATCTCTTCCCTAGAAACAAGAGAATCAACGGAGAGAACATCTGCTCCAGCATCTGTAAAAGCTCTTGCCCTAACGAGCGATTCCTCCAGAGATATCGCTTCTCGGGAATCAGTTTGAGCTACAATGACAATGTCGGAACCACACTCTCTACGCGCATCAACCGCAGCTTTAATACGCATCACTGCTTCCTCCCTAGAAACCACTCTTCTCTCACTCTTAGTATCATCACAACAAACCTGATCATTGATGATAATTCCTGCGAAGCCAGCTTTGATATATCCTTTGACGGTTCTCTTAACATTCATGGCATTACCGAATCCATTGCCACCGTCTCCAATCACCGGAATTGATACAGATTGAGTAATTTGTTGACCTTGATCAAACATTTCTCCATACGAAATTAGACCTTTATTCGGTAAACCAAGCCGAGCCGCTGAAATTGAGAACCCTATTGGCATAGACAGATATCAACCAAAAAAAAAACTTCTTTCTTATCTGATTCAGAGAAGCTATAAAACTGTAAAGTCTTGAACTTTAAGCAGAACACAATCAACAACAGTAGAAGATCGAATTCACAATAACCAGATACAAATTGTGAAGAACTGGTATAGCAAAATTCATCAATGATCGATTTATAAATTATTACCAGAGGTGATACAGTAAGGAAACCCAGCTCGTTCGATGAGTTTGGCACTAAGAGCATCGAAGCAACAGGGACCCTGAAGAACACCAGGGGATTGTAGAATATCCCTTAGCTTCTTCTCCGGAGAAGATGGTAGTTTTGCGTTTCCCGATTCATCGGAAACTGCGGTGGAGTTAATGGCGACACGAAATCGTCTCGAGACAGAGATGGGTTTCGCAGATAATTCTCCGACGGTTTGTGTGAAAGAAGAAGAGTCAGAAGGGAAAAAGCTCGATTTGGATTGTTTGTGAAGAATTCGAGGAGGAGAAGAGCTGCAAAAGCTTAGTGCCGCCATTGAAGAATTCTATTCGGTAAAAGAGAAAAACAGAAATTGATGATCAAAAGGAAAAGAAGTTGGACAAACCGAAACAGCTTTCAGGTGTAAGATTGAGAACCAGACCGAACCAGATTTAATAACTGAAAAAAGAGAGACCATGTCACGTGAGCTTTTATTAGGGTTCACGTGATTATCTTCTATCGTCGAAATATACAGTATCTCTTTTGTACAGCAGCGGCCGACTTCAAATAAAAAGTTTTTTTCGCTGCTCCTCTCTTAGCCTCGCCGTGAGTCGTTGATCTCAGTTCCGTCCATATTTGATTCGTCGATCCGTAAGCATCTATTCGACTTCGTTTCTGTTGTTCTCAACTTTTTGGTTTGATTGGGTTTTGCCTTTGGTTAATTGCATCAAAAAATTGAGCTTTCTAGATTCTTAGTTTTTGCCTTTTGGATTGAATTCTATGAGGTTTGGTATAATTTTACTATATTGGACTGATTGAATTAGTAATGACGTCTGACACTTAGCTTTCTTAATTCCTAGTTCTTATTTCAATTTCTTAAACTCACATATAACGTAGTTGCTTAGTTCTCGCTCCGGTATATATAAATTGATGGATTTTCGTAGTAAGATTTGCGCTTTACACCTGTTCCGGGTGTGAATTACAGAGACTAGGTTAGTTGCTATCTAGCTGCAATGGGTACAGAGACGGTTGTGCATGATCAGGCAAGATGGGCAATGGCTGCAATGGAACGAAGGCTTGCTGTTGCGAAAGCTCAGCTTCTTCAACAACAACAGAAGAAGAATGAGAAAGAGAAGAAGGGAACTTCTGATGTAGATGTCTCTATCAAAGAATCACATCAAGCTGATTCACTGCCTACTCCCTCAAAGACGTCGATTAAAAAAGGTTTGATAGTTGAGTATAAAAGAAGAATGATTCTCTCTAGCAAATCTTTATTGAAATCTGATTGTGATGGGAATTTGGTTTTGTAGTAGATCCCAAGGATGATGATTCTGTTGCATATACAAGATTGTCCCATCCCGTTGATGAGAATTTGCTGGCAACCAATGTTAAGGTATATTCTTGAGGAAATCGAACCACTATCTTCTTCTGTGTGAGCTGAGAAATGATTGCTCGATATGTTTTTTTGGTGATTCAGTTTTCTAGTGCAAAGGGAACTATAGTAGACAAGGTTTTGCATAACCTTCTTCGAAGCGGTGACTCTGCTCAAAAGTACTTGCAAAGTACTAAAAGTGTGAAGCTGGACAACTATATCCTCCTTGATAACTTTGTACAGTCACGTTCTTCAGCCTCTGGTTCTAAAAAGGCATCACAAAAGGATTCAAAACGTTCTAAAAGCCGTATGTCTATGAAGCAACTCAAGAAATCTGGTGCTTTGCATATGCCTAAAGATCTCCAAAAGTGAGTTCTTTTCTGCTGTCATAGAGATTGAACTGGCTTAGCCAATGCATCTGATTCTATTATTTTTGTATTCTTAACAAACTTTAAGTATTTACTGATTCACTTGTGTTTTGAGTGCAGGTTTGATTTGTTTAAGCCAATGCATGGTATGTGGGAAAGTTACATGATGAAACTCATCAAGGTGACCGGGTAAGCTACTTATCTGATTACCAAGATACTAATTCAAACTATGTGCTTTCTATAAGGATGAATACACAATCATTTTAAGCTTGTTCATCATTCTTAGACAATCTACTTTTTGCAGGAAGATTCAATTATCTTTAACTCTTCTCTCAGCAGATCTTCACGGTGCTTTCATGTTTGGTAATCCTTCATTCTTTCACAAATCTGTAGTATTAGGATCGATCTTTTTCCATATTGTAACTTGTCCCTTCTAATCATAGGAACCTATTTTACTTGTGACAGTTGCTGAGTGCAAGATAGCATCATTCACTGGTGTACAAGGCATAATGGTGCGCGAGACATCCGAAACATTTGGAATAATCACAAGAGAAGACAAATTTCGAGGTATCTTGAAGCTTTTTTCACCAATATATTTGCGATAAATATCAAAATCGTTCACTTCCCAAGCCTCAAGGCTTAACTTAGTTACTGTGAACAATCTGATACAGTTGTACCCAAGAAGCTCTCTGTCTTCATCATCCAACTCGACTGCTGGAAGATTACTTTACATGGGGACAAGTTTATTTCAAGGGACAATATTGTTCAACGTTGATGCTAAAATGAAGCTCTAGTCTTTTTTTCTTAGCTCGTCGTAGAAAGGAACAACCTTTGATGACTACAGAAGCATTCTAGTCTCGCAAGATTTTGCTTTAGATCTTCCCTTATGTACCCTACTCTAATATATTTCTTAATCTTTTGACTTTTGTACCAATCCTCCTCTGTAAATATACTATTATTGTTAATACTAATTTCTATTATTAGAAAATGAGTGCTAATATCTCAGAAATCCATCTGGGGGCCACTAATAAAGACAAGTACAGTTGAAGATTCCAATTCAGAAAAAGAGGTGAGTCTGACTTCTTAACTAAAGTAATAATACTTCACATCACTGTCCTCTCTCTCTGCAGCTCTGGAAACTTTTGAAACCTAATTGCAAACAAAAAAGAAGATGAATCCATCACAACAACACTTACCAAAGCTATGTCCTAAGCGTCTATTCTTCTTCTTCACTCCAGTCTTATTCTTCTCTCTCTATTACATCTTCACCACTGTCAAAACCATCACCATCTCTTCCCAAGATCCTCACCATCCTCCACAGCTTCAGGTACCTTCCATTTCCCATTACGCCTCCCTTCCAGAAACTTCAAAAAACCAATCACCATCACCACTTCTACTACCACCAACACCACCATCATCATCCTTATCATCATCATCTTACTTTCCACTCTGTCCCAAGAACTTCACCAACTATTTGCCTTGCCATGACCCGTCAACGGCACGACAGTACAGCATTGAGAGGCACTATCGGAGAGAGAGGCACTGTCCTGACTTAGCTCAAGAGAAGTTCAGGTGTTTGGTCCCAAAGCCCACTGGCTACAAAACGCCTTTTCCATGGCCTGAGAGTAGAAAATATGCTTGGTTCAAGAACGTACCATTCAAGAGGCTAGCTGAGTTGAAAAAGACTCAAAATTGGGTTAGGCTTGAAGGAGACCGTTTTGTTTTCCCAGGAGGTGGGACTTCCTTTCCCAGTGGTGTGAAGGACTATGTTGATGTGATTCTGAGTAATTTGCCTTTGGCTTCTGGGAGTATCAGGACTGTTCTCGATATTGGATGTGGAGTGAGTTCAGTTACATTAATAGACACCAGAACTTGATTGATCTTGATATTTGACTGCAGTATTAGTACTTTTTATGATGGATTTCATATGTGTTTTGTTGAACTCGAAATGTCAGGTAGCGAGTTTTGGAGCCTTTTTGCTGAACTATAACATTTTGACAATGTCCATTGCACCGAGGGATATACACGAGGCTCAAGTTCAGTTTGCATTAGAACGTGGACTCCCTGCTATGCTCGGTGTTCTAAGCACTTATAAGCTGCCTTACCCTTCGAGGTCTTTCGACATGGTCCACTGTTCTAGATGCCTTGTCAATTGGACTGCCTATGGTAATGTGTGTATTTAAATTCACCTGTTTATCTGATTTAGTTCACTGTGTTTTGGACCGCTTGCTTGAATTACGCTGCTTCCGATACTGAAAGAGAGAACTTTTTATCCAGATGGGCTTTACTTGATGGAGGTGGATCGTGTTCTACGTCCTGAGGGATACTGGGTGTTGTCTGGACCACCAGTAGCATCAAGGGTTAAATCCAAGAACCAGAAGAGAGATTCCAAGGAGTTGCAGAACCAGATGGAGCAACTAAATGATGTTTTTAGAAGACTTTGTTGGGAGAAGATTGCTGAAAATTACCCAGTTGTCATCTGGAGAAAGCCTTCTAATCATTTGCAGTGTAGACAAAGACTACAAGCTCTTAAGTTTCCTGGATTCTGCTCTTCTAGTGACCCTGACGCTGCGTGGTGACTTTACTTTCCCCAAATCTAATTTGCTCTGCATCTTCAGAAGCTGAAGCTTGATTCGGTTGGATCTTTTTTTAACAATAGGTACAAAGAGATGGAGCCGTGCATCACTCCTCTTCCAGATGTCAACGACACACACAAGACCGTTCTCAGAAACTGGCCTGAGAGACTAAATCACGCGCCTCGGCGAATCAAAACCGGGTCTATACTGGGAAAAACTATTGCCAGCTTCAAAGCTGACACAAACCTGTGGCAAAGAAGAGTTTTGTACTATGACACCAAGTTAAAGTTTCTCAGCAATGGAAAATATAGAAACATCATTGATATGAACGCTGGATTAGGTGGTTTTGCTGCAGCCTTGAACAAGTACCCAATGTGGGTTATGAATGTGGTTCTGTTTGATCTTAAACCGAACACACTCGGTGTTGTGTATGATCGCGGTCTCATTGGAACTTACATGAACTGGTAAATCACTCAAAACGTCTCTGATATTATCTAATTCAACCTCTCTTATAGCTTCTTTTCGATTATTGTAGGTGTGAAGCTTTCTCTACATACCCTCGAACCTATGATCTGATACATGCTAATGGTGTGTTCAGTTTGTACTTGGACAAGTAAGATCCGTCTGTATCTTGAAAACTTTGATTTACATTTTGTAATCAATGTGTAAATGGTTTCTTTCTTTTGTTGTAGATGTGACATTGTTGATATACTCTTGGAGATGCAGAGGATTCTTAGACCAGAAGGCGCAGTTATAATACGAGACCGTTTAGATATTCTTATCAAAGTGAAGGCTAAAACCAATCAAATGAGATGGAATGGGACAATGTATCCAGAAGACAATTACAGTGGTTTTGATCATGGAACGATACTAGTTGTAGATAATTCAGTTAAATAAAAACTCTTTTTTGGATTTGGTATCACAAAAATTTTGGAAACTTTTGAGAGATTTGTTGGTTTGGGTTTAAATTTGACAAGTACAAAAGTTAAGAGGGACAATTAGATGTTTTGAAAAATTTAATGGACCCCAAAAAAATATTTAATAACAAATGTGTAAGGAGGACGTTATTGTGACGGTGGCGTTAAGTCGTCAATTGTGAAGACTTGCGAGTGGAGAGTCATACCGGCGTCTGATCTACTCGTAGCATCAAAATAGAGTTATGGTTGGAGTTGGAGATGCCCTAAGGGATCTTGTCTCGAAAATCCCGCCGTCTGAGATTCAACGCCTCAGGTTATTATTGATTCATTTGCGTATTTGACATTCCGGATTCAGAATTAGGTTTTAGAAATTCATCTGCTTTGATTTTAGGGGCAAAGGGGAAACGATGGCTCTAGATGACGAAGACGGATTTGAGTTCAGAGTAGATGAGGTATGTTACACTCACATAATCGCTATGTTGAGTGAGTCATCTCTGTGAATCTTTCTTTAATTTGTTGCTTCGTTCTCTATTGCAGAATGAGACTAGGACTGAACCTAGTGATAGATATATTGGCATCCAGTGTGACATTAACGAGGAGAAGAGATCAACTCTCATCGACTTTATTGTTTCACTTCATGTGGAGCTTGAGTTAGACCCTGAGATTCTTTATCTCACCGTCAGACTAATCGATTACTCCTTGCTTAGACATCCTCTGCCTGCAAGTGATCTACATAATCTCGGTCTTGGTGCTTTACTCACTGCGTGGAGATACCTTGACGAAGATACTGTTGATGTCGATTATCTGATGTCCGTCACAAACAGTTTCTCCAGCAAAAACATCTGCAGCAAAAAGAAGATTCTAAAGATGGAGAAAACCAGTTTGCAAGAGTTGGAAAATGGTGTGGGAGACAAAACACAATATGAGTATCTTCTCAAGTTCATCGAAGCTTCAAGATCCGACCCAGAAGTGAGTTTTCTCAATTCATATGAATGTTCTTGTCATTGATCCAAAATGTGAGACAATTTTCCATTTACTTGTGTTTGGTTTTGTGCGGTGTAGGTGGAGGACATGGTTCACTATCTATCTGAGTTGGGTATGGTGCATCTTGACACTGCAAGGTTCCATCCTTCTTTGTGGGCTGCAGCAACAATCTACACTGTGAGATGCTGCTTGGACAAGAGCCCTCCTTGGACTGATGCTCTAGAATCCCTCACCAAGTACTCTGAAAATCAGCTCATGTTAGTTGTTTACTTCTCTCTCTCTCTCTCACAAGCTAATCATCATCATTGTGTTTGTGTTTGTGTTTATGTATATTCTCTATATGTATGTAACTTCAGGGATTGCTCAAAGCTTCTATTTTCCAAACACTCGGAAGCTTCTCGTGGGAGCAATCTTCGCGCTGTGTTCAACAAGTATTCGAGACCCTAAAGAAGTGATGCTACTCTAGTTTGAAGAAGTCAGCGCAAACTCTGCATTATAGATTTCTCTTTAGCTATTGGATCTTGCTATTATCCCATTATCTAGTACTCTAACATTCGGTGGTTTTTTTTATTTTGTCCGGTAACTTTGAAACATAACAACTGCCACTTAGAAAATCATGTTTTTCTTCAAAGTGTCATTAGCATAATCTACAAAAAAAAAAAAAAGAGGATGAATCCATCACAACAACACTTACCACAGCTATGTCCTAAGCGTCTATTCTTCTTCTTCTTCACTCCATGAGATGGAATGGGACAATTTATCCAGAAGAAAATAGTGGTTTTGATCATGGAACAATACTAATTGTAGATAATTCAGTTAAATAAGCAAAACTCTTTTTGGTATACTCTGTAAAATTTTGCAAACTCGAGAGATTTGTTGGTTTGGGTTCAAATTTGACATAAAAAAGTTAGAGGGACATTTAGATGTTTTGAAAAATTTAATGGACCCAAAAAATATTTAATAAAAAACGTGTAACGACGTGATTATGACGGTGGCGTTTAGTCGTCTATTGTGAAGACTTGCGACTGGAGATTCTTAACGGCGTCTGATCTACTCGTAGCTTCGTCGTTCTTTGTTTTGTTTCTTCCTGGTTAAGAATTTTGGTGAGTGGAGAGAGTTGAGGATTTGATTGGAGCAGGTAAATTGTGGATCTCTCTGTTTCTTGCTAATCTAATTTGATTAGGCTCCTGGGTTTGATCGGATCTAGCTAGGGTTTTATGGAATTCGTTGTATAATACACTGAATTTAGGGTTCAAGGTTCCTGATTGATCTCCAGTGACCTTTTTGATTGACAGATGGAAGCTCTGTCTTCTCTTACGTTCAAGGGTTCTGTTCCAGAGGCTATATTTGAAGCCAAAGGGCAGAAGAAGCTTTTTGTTGTCTACATCTCTGGTAAATTATGGAATTTTATTTTCTCTTATTGGTAATTCTTGTTGGAATTCGAATATGAGTGGGATAGTGTTGGAGATTGTTTCTCTTGTAGTCTCATCTGAATACGAGTTCTGATCATCCAAGAATATGACTTTTTTAAAAAAGTTTCAACATTGAAGAGAGTCATAATCATATTGTGAGCTCAAGCACAAACTTTGATCTCTTATAGTAAAATGGATTTCCTTTTAAATTTTAGGAGAGGATGAAGAGTCGAATAAGTTGAACAGATTGACTTGGACTGATGCCTCGGTATGTTTTATGCTTCACATTCTCTTCGTCAATGATTTGCATTCTCAGTTATGTTAAAAGTGCAAACAATGCTATTGTTCGTTCATAACATTGTCGTATGTTTCCTTTCTGGTATAGGTGGCAGAGTCGCTGTCGAAGTATTGTATTTTAGTGCATATTCAAGCTGGAAGTGTTGACGCCACAAACTTCTCCGCAATATGTATCCTTTCTTTTTATGAGAGAACTTAAGTAAGGTGATCTAGTTGTAAAGCTGTTTTTCTTGATTTTATAGTGAATGGTGCGTTTCATCAGACGTTCTGTAGATATGCCTTGTAGGTTTGCTATACGATTATGTCTTACCATCCGGAAGAAGTAATTATTTCTAGGAGTACATGCCTCTGTGGTAGAGTTCAAAATAGTTTAAGTAGAATGGACCCTTACTCGTTTAAAATCTTTTGGTGAAATCACCTCTCATCATTTTTGTGCACTGTATAAGTTTATCTCTCTAGCTGGTGTATCCATCTAAGACTATACATTTGAGTGCATGTGTAGTTTAAGTTCTTTTCGATTGATTTTCTTGAGGTAGCAATTTTGAAAAGAACAGGGATCCTTACATCAGTTTGTAGACCCATATTCATCTGTTCCTTGTATAGCTGCCATTGGGTTCAGTGGTACACAAGTTTGGAAAAATGGTAAGTCCGTATGTAATTTTAGATGTATTTTACACGTTATTGACAAGCAAACATACTCAAGTTTAGTTTCTTCCCTTTTATTTTCTTAGAAGGATTTATCGCTGCTGAAGACATTGCATCCAGTTTAGAGAAGGCGTGGTTAGGACTTCATATCCAGGTACGTAATACCTGGTTTCTATCACTTATGGTGTTGTTTGTCCTTCTATACAGTTTTCGTTTGATGGTTGTTTTTTTACTTACTAATGCCTTGACATTTCTCGTTTTCAGGAAACAACTGCAAGTATTTTTTCAGCAGCACTTGCATCACAGAACTCAGAGAAACCTGCTTCTAGTGATTCTAATTTTGTCTTGCCTTTAGAAAGTGGTCCTTTAGATGCAGCGGTTGCATCTCCATCGACAGCCTCTACTGTTCAACCCTCAGAGACAAATTCATCGGTGACATCTGCATCAACAAAAGAAAACATTGATGGCGCAGTTGCAGTTAAGGTTGTCCCTGGAGCTGAAATCATTTCCACATTACTTTAGTTTGATGTTTTGCGTACATGATGCGGCCTTTTTTTAAAACAGGGCAAAGAATCTGCTGAACCCAGTAATTTGTGTGATACTACTAAAAACCAGCCAGCACCCTCTGTTGATGGAACTAATGTTGAACATGAAGCGACAGATACCCCTTCGCATGTTCAGGCAGAAAAGGAGCCAATTCGTCCTGCAGCACCAGGAACCAATGATAATTCAACCAGCGTTCGATCTTCTGTTGATAGAAAAAGGAAACAGGTAACCGTGATAAACAAAGAGGATAGTGGTCTAGGTGTAAGTGGAAGGGACATTAATTTAACAAAATCTGTCGGTACAAAAGAGGCCATGAAGCCAAAGGATGAAGGAGGAAAGGAAGAGGATGGAGAAAAATCCAAAAAATCATCTGATGTTCATTTAAACATTCGATTGCCTGATGGTAGTAGCCTTCAGGAGAAGTTTTCTGTGACAAGTATTTTGAGAATGGTCAAGGATTATGTGAACAGTAATCAAACAATCGGACTGGGTGCTTATGATCTTGCGGTTCCTTACCCACGTAAGGTGTATAGTGACCAAGGTATGTAAAATCACAATGCATCCGATAGATTTTAATTTTTTTTGGTAAAGAACATTTTACCTTAAAACCAGCTTCATCTTGATCGTAGATGATGTTTTCTGTCATTTAGTTTTTTTTTTTTCTGGTCAGGTTGGACTAGTGTAGTAGATACATAACTCCATTACTCTCAATCTCTGCAGATCTGGATAAGTCTCTATCCGAGTTGGGTTTGTTTGATAGACAAGCACTTGTAGTGGTTCTGCGGAAAAGAGCAACCGTCTATCAAAGAGGACCATCTCACTCTGAGTCTAACAACAACACAGACCCTACCAATGGCGGTTACTTTGCTTATGTTAGAAGAGTACTGTCTTATGCAAATCCGTTTTCATATTTTGGTGGCGGTACTGCCAACGCATCAAGCTCTGGTCCAGAACGTCAAACAAGTACGTGGGAGTATGGTGAGTTCGTAAAAGCCATTCTAATGCAGAAAGTCATGTAATTGCTAATCTGATTCTCTCTTTTTCTGTCTCTAGGACCAAATGCGGATCTGAGAAACAACCTGGGACAAGTGGGCTCCTCCTTTCAAGATCCATCAGAAGGTCGGAGCAACGTTAGGAATAGGAGACCAACCACTTCTCGGATTGGAAGTAACATCCATACACTGAATCATGATGAAGATGACACTCCATTTGGTGATGGAAACGCCTTCTGGAATGGAAACTCCACACAGTACGGCGGTGAAGGTAATGACAGGCGATGAAGATGAGAGAACTTGAAATCCGTCTGGAACTAGTAACAGGAACAACTCTTAGTATACTTTTCCGGTTTACTTTGTATACTTCACTTTCTATATGAAACATCTACATGTTCCGATCGATAAGATTGACCAACTAGAAAATGATTCCTTGATGTTTCAGTTTTCATTGAGGTTAAGAATACCAAACATTGATTATATCTTGATCGCGAACTTCCATGCCGTCTCATGTTTTTTTATTACTGATCAAACCATTCGTCGTTTGCACAAACAAACAAAAAAAGATCAACCATACGTCATAAATATCAATCATCAAAATCATCGCATGTACATGACCCTCAATCATAGGAAATGAGATTTCCCATCCCATGATTGAGAGGGTCAGAGGGTATATATATTTATGAAGAATTATGGAAAAATGTCATCATCCTCAAGTATAGATTTATTTCTTTTGTTCGAGATGTGCAACTAGAAAATATGTGTGGGATGGGATAGAATTTGAAGATATACTTGAGGAAAGTGTAGAGACAACGACGACATTCAAAGATTGAAGGAGTAATAAATTATATCTCCCATGAGAAATTGTTATGAACTGATTGAAAAAGAAACCGAAGCCGTTGAAAGAAAGTTTTAGTCATATGGGCATCCGTTTATAAAGTCCAATGGATAAAGAATCACCAAAAAGACTGCACTCAGTCCTATCAAACCTTCATCGTTACGTAAATGTTTTTCAAACTCCAACCTCTCATGATTCGTTCATGAAACTATGTTTTATTTAGAAAATTTCTAAAATGCGAAAATTGTATTTTGAGGTACCTTTTTTCAGATGGATTACCTTATATGTGTGAAACATATATATGTGATCAACTTGATAATTTTTCATATATTTTTGTTTCAATATATTTCAATAACAAAGTTCAATTTTTAAATGTCCTAAATCGATAAAGTAGACTTATATGTATTTTCCAAAAGAAACTCGATTGAGTGACCTCGCTAACGTACCAAAGTAATTTCGGTCTGTAAACAGAAATCTGGCTCTAAAAGAAGAAAATAATTGATTTAATTAGCATAGTTGCTCTGTTTGTCTTTCTGCAGAGCTTTTTTTCACTTCGAAACGCCACGTCTGTCTATGTCCAAATAAACAAACCCTAGATATACACACAATATTATATACACGAAGAGAGACTTTGAAGATAATTCTTCGCACCCTTATTATATAGTTCCGCCAAATTTGGGATGCTTGTTCTATTCTTGATCACACGCCTCTCTGTCGCTTCCTTTTGACGTTTTCTTTCTTTTCTTAGCTGTTTCTTTTCCTTTCTTTTATCTTTTGTGTTCTTTGTCTTTTTTTTTTCATTCCTAAATTTCTCCACGAGCTCATCACCTCCTTTCGTCTCTGCCTCTCATTTGTCTACCAACATTTTTTCTTTTTGATTCGTCTCTCTGGTTTATTGCTCGTTGATCGTTTGTTTCTAAATTGCATTTTGATTTCTGATGGATCGTGATTTTCATCGTCGTGGTCAAGTGGTAAGCATTATACGCAACACACCTTCGATCATTAATAGTGTCTTGAGATCATGTAAAGGCCTTAACTCTAGGTCAATCTAGATAAATCCGCAATACATTCACATGTTTTTACAAAATTGAGAATGCGAATCTATAAATGTATTTATAAAGAAACCTAATTTTCCTTTGTGTTGATGATGATAGACAATTGTTGTCATTAGCCGTTGATTTGAAGGCAGAGTCCTCTGTTTTCCTGCACCATTTTAAAGTAGCTCATTGATGTATTTCGATGAACTTGCAGGCAAATGATCGTACACAAAGCAACTTTGTTCGATTGGATAAACCGAGAGCTGTAGACGATCTTGATATAGGCAAGAGAGGGAAGATGCGTAGGTGGCTGTGCTGTTCTTGTCGTGTACAAGAATCATACCCATCAGCTGAACATAACCGATTGAAAACCCCTCCTACTCGCCATTACGACTATGGTATCGCTCTTTCTTCAACTAACTTGTGATTGAAGTAACCTATCAAATTAGATTCTTGGTCTCTTTTAGTTGCATTCCCTATGTGCTTTTAGTCCAGTTCTTGCGTATTTCTTGTCCAAAGGTTAAGTAGCTTTCGTTGTTGTTATTCTTACCTCTGTATGTTGGCAAGCTTGTGTTAAATATGTTATTGATTTTATGTCTCTAAAAATCCCTCACTCTTGTAAGTTGTAATAAATGAGTATATTTTTCTATTTTCCAGTGACTGCTCATGCACTTAGGCAAAACCTGAGAAACTGTTTAGTATTCAAACTCGAGTTTTATTTTCTTTGCTTGTGTAGGACGTAACAACAAGAAAACACCAGCTCCTGTGAAGCCACCTGTCTTGAAGGAGCCTCCTCCCATTGATGTGCCAGCAATGTCATTGGTTGAGCTCAAAGAAAAGACTCAGAATTTTGGATCAAAGGCATTGATTGGGGAAGGATCCTATGGAAGAGTGTACTATGCAAACTTTAATGATGGAAAGGCCGTGGCTGTGAAAAAGCTCGATAATTCATCTGAACCCGAAACAAATGTCGAGTTCTTGACTCAGGTCTCGAAAGTTTCGAGGCTGAAAAGTGACAATTTTGTTCAGCTTCTTGGTTATTGTGTAGAAGGAAACCTTCGTGTCCTTGCGTATGAGTTTGCCACAATGGGATCATTGCACGACATCTTACACGGTAAGAAAGATTTCTTTCTGCTCATCCATTATTATGACTTAGGATGGAGATTGATAAACTTGATGTTAAACAGGGAGAAAGGGAGTGCAAGGAGCACAACCTGGTCCAACACTTGAGTGGATGCAACGAGTCCGAGTTGCGGTTGATGCAGCTAAAGGATTAGAATACTTACACGAGAAAGTTCAACCTCCTGTTATACACAGAGATATCCGATCTAGCAATGTGCTTATTTTCGAAGATTTCAAAGCCAAGATTGCTGATTTTAATCTTTCTAATCAAGCTCCTGATATGGCTGCTCGTCTTCATTCCACTAGAGTTTTGGGGACATTCGGTTATCACGCACCAGAGTAAATAAGACTTGAAACTTCTTGATGATTCTTAGCAAGTGAAAGAATGTAACTTACACTTTTGGGTTTGCAGATATGCGATGACAGGACAGTTGACACAGAAGAGTGATGTTTACAGTTTTGGAGTTGTGCTTTTGGAGCTTCTTACCGGGAGAAAACCGGTAGATCATACGATGCCTCGTGGTCAACAGAGTCTCGTCACTTGGGTATTTAACTTAATCTAAACTTTTGCTTTCTGAGATTACAACAAAGTCTTGTCATTTCTTGGTTTATATACAACGTTCATGTGTTATTCAACTATTTAGGCTACTCCAAGGCTGAGTGAAGACAAAGTGAAGCAATGTGTTGATCCAAAACTCAAAGGAGAGTATCCTCCCAAAGCGGTTGCAAAGGTACTGAAAACAGAAACTTCCTAGTCATTTAAATAACTCCAGTGAACACCACTCAAAGCTAAAATGTGTGTTTTGATGGTAAACGCAGCTTGCGGCAGTTGCAGCGTTATGTGTGCAATACGAAGCAGAGTTTAGGCCAAACATGAGCATTGTAGTAAAAGCTCTTCAACCTCTCTTGAGGTCAGCAACAGCTGTTGCTCCTCCAACACCTCAAGCTTGATTCTTCTTTGTGGTTCTTGCATATTGACTAACTCATGGCTTCAAGGTTTTCTCTTTAATTTATTCTTTCTATTTACCATGGAATGTAAATGGGTTATCAAGGAGAGATGGTGAGTAGCAATTGGGATTTCACTCTATGGAAATGATTTGTGCTATTTTTGATGGGTTAATTCTTTATGAAATATTCTAACTTTTGTTTGTTCTTTTGAACGTTATGACCTGATACTTAATCTTATTATAGGAAAATTCATGGAAAATACCGTGAATATAAACAAATTTATAACACACTACTATTTGATTCATGATTTTATAGTGTTAAAAAGAGTGTCACACGAACATTGGACTAGAGTCACTCAGACACTATACTAAGAGTATTTCTGAACTATTCAATTACTTTAAAATCATTCTGTTAAGTTGAGTATGACAGTGTTTGAAATGCTTGTCCTCAATAGATGTTGAATAATCTGCATCAAAACAATTTAATTACCAGTGCACCAAACCCAGAGCCTCAGCTGCGCTTCTTTGACTATCTTCACTGGAACACATTCCAACAAACGTTTTCAGTAGAGACTGTCGCTCTTCAAGCTTCATGAGTTTCTCCAACCCTCTTGCAACCATTTCCATCTCAGCCTGAGGATTAGTAAACAAGAGAGGCAGTTTTGTGAAAACCATGGGAGAGACTGAATGGAGATAAAAAGCTTGAACTTGTAAAGAAACAAAAGCACATACAGAGTACTCGTTGGGAGGAAATATGCGATGAATGAGGCATATTTTCGATAGTTCTGCCACCGATTCAGAATGTTTACCTTGTATTTCCAAAGCCTGCAGTAACATGGAATTTGCTTAGAATAAAGATTTGGACAAAGAGTAAGCAATGCTGCAGTAACGAATAGACACTAGAAGAAGGCTAGAAAGGCACCCAAGCTTGTAGAAACCATGAACGTGTGCGTGCAGCAACTGCTGCAGAAACCATTCTTGCAGCATCTATCTTTGCAAGTCCAATGTTCTCAGCGAGCCCAGCAATGAACTCTCTGGCATCTTCACTACAAATCTCAACAGAAGAAGACTCCCACGGAGCTCTATAAGAGAGTTACCAAACAAGTTCAGAATCATACCAAAGGACAAACAAGTAGAATCTATTTAATAAGTAAAGGTCAATGGACAGACACCTGCTGCAAGCATTCAGGACAAAATCAATCGATGTTCTGTAAAAGGAATCTCCGGTATTTTTTGGCTCAAAAGAGACTTGTACACCAGAAATTCTACATACTCTACGCAGCTGTATATAATTTTGTAGCAACAAAAACGAGAGTAATCCAGTTAATTCAAATCCATTCAAGAAAGTTACACAATCTAGTGGAAAGAAGAAAGTAAACATATACTAACTTGAATGATATCATCATCCGTGATATCCTTTCCGCTGGTTCTGTTATCGACGATTGCTGGAAACTAAACAAGTAAGTTACATTTGTAGGATGAAACCATGAACACATAAGTAATACTAATACCATTTCGTAAAAATGAAATCTTTCAGCTTTTAGGCTTTCTACCTGTAACAAAGCAAACGAAACGTCTTTAAACAAAAGCTTGCAGGAAAACATAAACCAGGAATAAAATGAGGACTTTGCATGGAGTTTAGAATCGACCTCGAACGATTCTGTTGGCTTCTCTCTGATAGTCTTCTTTGTCCACCACATCAAAGTTCTGGCTAGGCAATGACGTCGGCCACCATTTCGGCAAATTATTCTGAGCTTTAAGGTGAAGATTTCTGGGTATAGAGTTACTTCGAGGAACTTGATCAGAAGCTATGGAGCTCTTGGAATCTCTTGAAGATGTACGAATGTTATCAACAGAGACTACCACTTCCTTCCCACCAAGACTCCTATCTCTCCTAACTACAAATTTGGGATTACTTTGGAAATTACCCTTTAAAGCTGATCCTAATTTCACAAGAACCCTAATTGCAATACCAAATACGAATCCAAGTATAACCACACCGCCGACGAATTGCATAGTTGATTTTTTGCACGAGACGACGATTCTCCGGTTATCATCGAGCGCGATTAGTGTTTGCAAGTCGGAGAATGCGTCTTTGCCGGAATCGAGAAACAACTGGAAACGGGTATTAGCTAGAGTTGAAATCCGGTGAACGTCTAGGGTTAAGCTGAGACTTTGGTCGTCAGCTCCGGCGGGAGAGGAAGTGGAGATAGAAAGAAGATTGCCGTTGCTGTGGTCGTAGGATGAGCCATTAGATTTCCGGTTCCGGCGAGGACGAGGACGACGGCGTTTTGGAGTGGAGAAGGACACAAGAGGTGCTTTATAGATTCGAGATTTGGCGGCGAAGAGTCGTGGGAAAGAAGAAGAAGATGAAGAAGAACACGAAGTCATGTTCATTGTGTGATGTTTCTGACTTGTGGACTGAGAATGGAGTTAGTTGAAGAGCTCCGGTTTGGTCGAACCAACCGGTTTACGCCGGTTCAGACTAAACTCTCTACGCGAATCGGTGGCTTTTAAATGTGAGAGACATAGAGAATTGGCTATTTATTTTAAAATTACATGTAATAATATGAAGAGTTTGTTTTGTTCTATCTGAAAAAAGAATACAGGTTTAGGCTTTAAAGATGTTTCTTAACGAACTTAACTGACTCTTTGAGAGAATTGCAGCACGGTGAAGGACCCAATCTCACGAATTTTATTGCGCTGAATCCGGGTACGGGTTGTATAAGATCGAAATTCCCTGATCTCTAAAAATAATCTTTGGCCAAAAGAATTCTTTGAAGCTAAATCCTGCAACAAGTACAAATGAATATCAGTATAAACATGAGAGGTTCCAGATTTTGATAATGAAGTTGGAGGAAATTTTGTTACTTACGTTGAGAAAGCGTTTATCTGGGAAGAAGTGGCACTCTGTCATCTGATTCAATGCGGTGACTAGCCTGCGTAAACAGAGAAGAAAGACAGCATGATTTCAGCTTTTGAGTCGAATTTTTTTACAAGAAATGGATTTCAGAGAAGATGGGAATATGTATGTTCTTTACTTCTTCATTTGCTCCTGCTGCCATGTTGATGAATGAGTCTTTAGTCCTGAAGGAAATAACAGAAGAAGAAAACAAGTTATTTTCAGGCAAATGACCACACTTTCGGTTTCTCAACAAATATTGTGTAAAAGAACAAATTTAGTATATAACTATGATATGGTTTCAGAGAAAGAATTATAATCCATGAACACACCTATGGCCATCCTTTGCGTCAACTAACTCTAGGTTTCCGTTTTGTTGCTCGTCTTTTGCTTTCGAAAGGGGTGAAAAGAACTGCATAATTATATGAGGCAGAAAAACATCAGAGATGAATCAGAGGCAGCCTGAAAGTTATTGATACGCTAGAGATACGGTTTGTATGGATTACCTGATGCATTGAAATGAAAACTATAGAAATTCCCAGAAGAAAATTCATGGTTAATATATGTCCAAAGAGTGCTGCAGATGCTATGCCAGTAAATATTGTGGCTACTGTGGACGAATATTTCTTCAAGATTGTATCTGAGAACATACAGACACAAAGACAACTAATTATCTTAGACAACAACCTTACTGAAAGGTTTTATTTTCCAAATATAGCAAAATTCAAATTTAATATACTGAACCATCATATCCAGAACTGATCCATAAATTAACTGAGGTAACAAAGTTGAGTATTATTTTTACCTGCATATTTGAAGAAAAAGGAGGATAAAATCCCTTGTGCTGCGTTGTTCAGTATCAGAAACACAGTAGCCCTAGAATGTCCTTGTAGGATGTCAAAACTGCCAGGACCTGTCAACAAAGTGGCAAGATTGTTAGTACTGCGTCTAACAGGATTTAAGAAGCTTTTTTGCATTCAATTTGCTTAAATATTTATCTTATTCTTCTCTGCCATGTTAAAATACACATACCTTTATATATAACAGTTCCAAGTATTCCAAGGAAGTTGAATATCGCACCATAACCATAGAGGAATAAGTTCTGCACCAGGGAAATTAAAGTTTTACATTCAGAACGCAGGAGAGGATCATGGTCCTAGAATTTGACTAGACTAAAGAACAGGACTAATACAACAACATTGCTAAGAGAGCAGACTAGACCAAAGAATAGAGCAAGTTCAGCAACAAGAGCAAAAAGTTCTGTATCAAACACAGCCAGCTAGACCGTAGAAATTGCTACTGTAATGGTCATGCCCATTCCAGTGATGTTCCTCGCAGATAATAATACAAAAGAATCAACAGCTATAACCAACAGTTATAAACAACGGTGACCACAAGCCTTCTCCAATATTATTACAAACCTCTCATTTCTCGGATGCTATATGAAAGAAAAAAACTATGTATCAAGATTAGCTAACCTGAAGATAAATGCTTGTGTCAAACTGGCTCTTTAGAGCGTACTCGTTGTAGACAGACGCCAAAGATGGGACAGTAACCTGCATGATGATGTGCTGAATAAGCCTCTAACATGAATTACAACTTTTCTTTGATGAAGCAAAGGAATCACTTCCATACTAAATATCCAAGAGAATCATAAATATAAGAGCCAGAAAATGTAACTTACAAAGATAAAGGTACAGATGTATGCACCCGTAGCAATTGGAACAGCCATAGTTGTAGCACCTTCAGGAAGAGAACGCAGCTGATTTATACTAATCCCTATCAGCAACAAAGCAAGTGCTTCCCACTACAACAAAAATTAACATATTAAATCCCAATAAGTGTAGGAGGTAAGGAAAGTCAAACAGATACGTCCATAATAATATGTCTGATACTATAATAATCATACATACAATATCCAAGAATAAGTGAAGCTGACCTGTATGATGGAAAACCGTCGCTTCATTATCATCTTCAGTAGTACAGCAATCACCAGAACTTTTAGATTGCTGAGCATCTTCACAGTAGCAGGATTGAAATATAGCTGGCGTAGCAGAAAAGTGAATTGCTATGTGAAACTAAAATAATAGAAGAAAAAAAAGATAGAAACAAATAGTAGCCGAGAAGGCTAGATAAATATAACAGCAGAGCTTAATGTAACTATCTTGTAAGCAATTGTTCAGTGCAACTTTCACAACACACTTAAACATCTATCACCAAAAGGCAGCATGACATATTGCAGAATGCCAAGCAGGACTTGGGGAAGACAACGATTAGGGAATATAAAAGAGTGAAATAACATCTGCTTAGAAATGATAATGAAATAATATGCTCAGGGACCAGTAGTGTCTAGACCAAGCAATGAAAAGTAACAAAACTGAGTATATTCTCGAGAAGCAATAAAACCAATGACCAACAAATTTGATTAAATTGAGTATATCCACGAGGAGCAACAAAACCAAGGATTCTTACAAAACCCACCTATAATCTATGTTACATAACCATATTAGGCTTCTTGGCATTCCAAAACCTTTGCTAAGTTCTTTTAGTGTCAAAACACCAAATGATATATTCTTCCCACAGAGCTAAAAACCTTTTTACTACAGAACTCAAGACAACTAGAAATTTTTTCAAAAAAAAAATTTCCGCAGCTTAATTACCAAAGGATGCACAAAATGAAAAATAAGAAGCACATGTACCTGCATTGTGAACTTAAGATAGTTATTAATGGCATACAACCCTGCTGGAACAGCGAGAAGCACATTGTTCCGAGCTGCCTGCGAAATAAGGGCTCGTGTTACTGCAACTTACACTATAATAGTTTTAAGAAAAAAACATTAGAAGTTTCGAGTTTAATAGCAGGAACTAATTTATGAAAAAGAATAGTATTAGATGGATCTTGTGGTGACATAACATTTACATTTCAAACAATCATGCTTTGAAAACCAGATGTATAACATATAACGCTTATTAGACATTAGATTTCAAGAAACTAAATCTTAATTTGAGACTATGCCACATCCTAGTACTTCCAAATCGCTTAATTGCCAAGAAGATGTACCTGGACAAACGTGGAAAGAGATAGTAGAGGTTTCTCTCCAACTTTTTGGTGCCTGGCCTACAATATTACCACAAAAACTCAAGTTTTAAAAGGGCGGCCAATTTTCAACGGAAAAGCAATACACAGGTGAAAAAAGCAATCAGTTTAAACCAAGAAACTGTCTATATGCACACCAAAATGAATATGAGCCCCCATATTATTCCATTACTAGTTAATCAACCTCAGCACGCCACCATAAAGATACATAAAAGAAACGGAATATGACTATATCCCCCTTAAACAACCTTAGCAATTGGTATCATGTTCTAGTGCAGAAGAAACATCTACCAAGTAATCTTAAATGCAAGAATGAAACCCAAATGGCCCACAAACAAACCTGATATTTCGAAAGAACTGAAGTCGTACCTGGAATAATAGCATGACAATCGCAAAAATAACTTTTGCAATTTCTGTCAAGAAGTTGACGCTAATAGGACTAAAGTTGAACTTTCCATCCACTTTAGACATGTACACTAAGACGGGCTGTAAGGTCATAAACAAAAAAACAAATTTTTCAGAAAATTTGAACAGCAAATGACAAATTGGAAGAAAAAACAACAACCTACTATGATTGTGGATGAATCAACAGAGATATGATGCCTGGTAGTATTAGTATTGAAATAGATATATGATGCAATGGCTAGTGTTTTAACCAAGACGTTGTAAGACAATGTTACCTGTAGACCAACTAGCATGCAGTCACCAACTACCAAAAAGACATTGAGAGCTCGTTGTTTTGAGGATACTCGAATCTTGTAGTTGTAGTTGTCATAAGCCCTTGAAATAGCTTTGCTACTGGGAGAAACCAACCTTGAACGACATACGCTGCACTCAGCCATCCCGTTCTTCATCAGCCTATCCCTAGCTAACGAATTCTAGACTGAGCTAAACCTGAATAACAACAGAAGCAATCAAGAAAAAGGATACACCTTTTATACAAAAGATATTAACTTTATAGAGGAACTCAAACAAAACGCAATTGATTTATGTATACACAAGTGAAAACCAACGATCGGATCTCAATAGCCATAAAACCCACAATTCACGAAGAAAATGAGCTAAAGCAGATCTCAAAACCAAATAAAGAATAAGAAAGTAAGATAAGACCAGAATCAAGTATAACTTGTAGCGTCGTTGTAAAAATCACATTTTTATGAACAGAAATCAAACTCTGGGATAATAAATATGGAACCAGATCGATCAAACTAACCTCAATAGACGTATAAGATCAGCTCAAAAACGCATTCCCAAACCAAAACCTTCTCCCGCCTAAACCGCGTAGATCCAGAAGGAATTCGATACTCTCTGTTCAATCTTCTTTCTCGTCTATGTAAGATCTAAATTACAGTACTTCAACAGGATCTATAACTCTCCTCAAGCTTCACATTCAGAGAATAAGCAGAGAGATAGAGATGAGGAAGAAGAAGGTGAATTCGTCGGTCGATTAGAGTGCGCTCTTATTCTCTCGCACGACCCTCTTTGTGTTTTTGCTTTGATTTCACAACACCGTTTTATTGCGTTACCTTTGGAAATAAATAAAATTAAAACAAAAACATCCCAAAAATTTAAATAAATAAATAAAGATAATTTGATTTATGTCTCTTTCTGGTGCTGACACATGGTGGTGATTGGTGATTTGACAGACCAATAAGATTTTAGTATGAGTGGTGTTGAAGCTTTAGTGACGCTGACGTGTCATGCGGGTGATGGAGGGGATTGTATTTGTATCCAAGTTTTGGCTTTTTGGTCGCATGTTTCTTTCGCTTGGACTTACATTTATAAAAGGAAAACCAAATTTTTGATTTTGTTTGTTTATGTTTTTTAGTTAATGACTCAGTGGTGGTTCGTAACTTCGGTTAATACTATTTTTGTTAATTTTTGATTAACGTAAACACGAACATTAATTGATTTTGTTGTTGTAGGAAATATCTAATTAAGGACTAAAAGGTTAATGCATTCGTTTTATGAATTGAGAGCTTCATAATTGTGCTGTTAAAACTTTTAAATTTGTGTTTTTTCTATTCATAAGAATATGGAGTACTAAACAAGCAAATTTTCTTTTGAAATTTTTGATATTAGAACTTAGAAGTTTTGGAGTGACACATCATGAATTTCATTCTTTCTTTGTAGTCCACTTTAAACCAAATTTTGTATTGGTATAAACTATAAAGTATTTTAGGGCTTGTCATAATTTGAATACCGTGAACATAAACTAATTCACATGACCCTAGAAATATGTGACATCTACGGCATGATCTATATTTCATTCCTTAAAACAAGATACACACACAATATGCATGCACTTTCGTGTAGACTTGTAGTTGCACACAAAACATTATCGAACATATATTAACACAACGAATGTTTTCACACTTCACACTTTATAAATGATACTTATAAAGTTGTAGAAAAGTTTTATTTTGTTATTGTAAATGAAGATTCACCAGTGTTGCCATCAGTTTTCAGTTCGGTCATACTAGTTTTTTTTGTTCAATCACAACATCTTTACCTGTGTGAATTAGCCCCAGATTTATAACCAAATTAAGCAAAACGTATTTAGAATGAAATTCTGTATAAACTAAAATTGATTTTGAACCAAAACAAAATTTACTTAAGAAACCAAATTATATCTTCAAATTTAATATATAGATCCATATTTATATTTTTGTAAGATTAATTACTGTACACTGATTATTATCCATATAAACTTTGCTAATTTTATTTAAATTTGAACCAAAATAAATAAATTCAGATTCTAATACAAAACTGACTAAACAAAGAAAATGAAAATAACCAGCCTGAACCAAACCGAATAACTACTAACCGGAATCACAATTTAGAAGAAGATTTCGTTTAAGACAAAGAAGAAGTATATTGTAGACTGTGTTGTGTGCGAATTCGTCTTGTGTTTCATCGACCAAAAAGGACAGAGAAAGAGAGAACGCGAGTCGCGAGAGAATCAGAGAATTGAAGAATCCATTACTGGGTTCGAACCATCGACCGTGATACTACTGGAACCCTAATCGGAACCCTAATCTCGAAATCAGTGTATGTGTTTCCTCCGTCTGCTGTGATTCTCAATTTCTCGGTTGGTCTTTTTAGATTCTCTCTCCATCGGTCTTTGTTGATTCATCTGAGTGCTTGTTTTGATCGTCAATTTCGATTTAAGTAGAGAAGAAATTGCTTGCATGATTCAGTAGATCAATAGCTTTATCTATGCCCAGCTCGATTGAATTCGATAGAAGACTAAAGGTTTTCTCGGATTCGTTTGGTTTGCCGTGGAGGGCTTGGTTTACTGAGGTTGAAAGTCTCTGTCTTTGGAGTCGAATTCGATAATGGTGGCATTTTTTTTTGCGAATAGTCTGCAAAATATATGGCCCTTTTCGATTTTGGAAAGCAGTGACTTGAAGGAATCAAAGGAGCTTGTTCATAGACTTTCATTGCCTGAGAGTACAAAGAACTTTGTATTTGCTATTAGAGTCCCTGAGCATGATTCAACTATTTACATACTTGCTGCTCAGAATTTATCCGAGAGATCTGCTAGTGATGCCGAGTGTCTTATACGGGAAATTCGTCCTGGTGCTGTTGTAGCTCAAGTGGACAAAACAGCTTTTGGGGAAGCTCAAGTTGAAGAGAGTGTATTAGGAGATGGCTCTAGTGATTCAATCCCTACATCAGCTTTTAAAGTTCTTATACAGTGTTTTGTAGACAAGGTTAACAAAGAAAAGTATGAAGGTATTGCAGGGATTGTGGTTTTGAGGGAGATTTTTGGGACAAGTTTTAATGGTCATTTATTGGCTGCCAAAAGGGTTGCTGGGGAGGTTGGTTCGTCGTTTATGGTACTAGAATCTCCTTTTGTCAATATCGCTGCCGTGGAAGATGCAGGGGGCAAGATGCAAAGTCTAGCTAATAGTCTCGTACCACAACTTTCTGGCTCTACTATATTTTCAAGCTCGCGACGGTTTCTGATAACCAATGATGTCCAGGCACGGATGCTGAAGTTGATATCTTTGCAGATGAATCAGGTCAATAAAGAACTTAGCCCATCAAGTTGTGTTGCAAGTGGAGTTTCCAATGAGATACAGTCCTGTAGTCATGAGGTTCCACCATTTGCTCAATCCATTTATCCATTGCTTGTTGACCTTCATGATATATTCAGTGATCTCCCATCTATTGGGAAAGCTCTAGCCAATGCCAGAAGAATGTTTTCTGATGTAAATAGAGGGGAGTCTATGGATACAGGGGTTATTTCTGAAGTTTACCTTTTTCAGATTGCAGTTGAAGGTCTAAGAATTGCTTTGAACAATGCTGGTCGGCTACCAATCAAGAACATGGGAAGTTCAAGCCGAACCGAAGTTCAGTTTTCACAGCTCTCTTCTGAAGACAAATCTTATGCACTTATGGCAGATCTTCTTCGTAGCCAGGCTAAAAAGTTCAAGAATATAGTAGCAATAGTAGATGCATGTAGCCTCGCAGGTCTTAGGAAGCACTGGAAAACTTGTGTTCCTCAAGAAGTCAAAGATATGTCTGAGAATATGCTACAAGATTATGATAACGACGAGAAGACTAATGATTCAAAGTTAAAACGACTGTTATCTGATAAACCGGTTGTAGCAGTTGGTGCCGGTGCGACTGCTATTTGGGGTGCTTCTTCACTATCCAAGGCCATTTCTGCTTCTCCTTTCTTCAAGATTGTAACTTTTAAAGTCCCGGCATCATTGAACCTCTTTGTGACACATACCCATAAGGCAGTGACATTTGCATTTACCAAAGTGGCGGTTCCATCAAAAGCAATGGCCCCGGGTGTTGCTAGTTCTGGAGCCAAATCAACATCTTTGATAAAAGCATCTTTATCCGCCGAGAAAATCAGAGCAGTAACACATAGCATTATAGCTTCTGTAGAAAAGACAAGTTTATCTGCCATGAGAACTGCATTCTATGAGATCATGCGGAAAAGACGAGCAAAACCTATTGGTACCTTACCATTGGCGACATTTGGAGCCAGCCTTGCAACTTGTGCGGGATTGTTCGCCTATGGAGATGGGATCGAATGTGCAGCTATGTCTCTTCCTTCAGCTCCTTCGATAGCAAACTTGGGTCGAGGAATTCAAAACTTACATGAGGCGTCTCTGGAAGTGAGAATGAGAGAAGGCAACAGGATACAGAACGCAATCGAGTCCCTTAGACAAAGACTGAAGAAAGTCAAGTTTTAACGAAGAAGAGAGTATCTTTTATACTTTCACTTAATTCTTTCTTTTAGCTTACTGTATATATACATACTCTCTACATGTTTCGTGTTCAGCTAATGGTTTGGTTTGCACATGATCTCTAGATGGTCACAGAAAATAGAAGCTGGTTTCATTAGTATGTTACTCATTTCCTCTTTAAGATAAGGAAGAAGCATCAATAGAATCGATTGATTAGTTAAAACATCAAACTAAACGAAGAGAATACAACACTTCACCAAATTTGAAAATTTCTGTTTCTAACATAAAACTTCATTTTAGAAACTGAATAGCTATGCTCGAGTCGAGTACAACAAATGATATACTAGCCTCAAGATTTGATGAGATTGAGCGACTCTACCATATCATCACATAGTTGATGAGGATCTGGAATCACATCAACAGCTAAACTGATGATAATCTTGTCTACGTAGCTGACGATATGGATATTGAGTACCTTGTTCAACAACGAAAAACAACAAACATAAGTAACTCTTAATGAATGTCATCAAAGTTTCATACAATTTGTAAAATAATAATTTTGATATACAACAAGTACTAAGCCATACTATAGACTTACTTGTGATCCCGTTAATGCACTTGCTGCGACATAAGATATTGGATGGTCAAAAATACTTATCTCTTCGGCAGGACCCATCACACTTGAATATGTCAATGTTGTATGATCATATAACCTCTTTGAAACAGCTTGTACTACTTGTTATATATCTTCTTATAATCAAATAAGTATACGATATATGAGTTAAATAGTTGATGTTAATTTCACCTTTTCTCCAAAAAAATTCATGGTGAATTTGATGACTCCGTAAAAGTTGAATGCTTCTAGAGAAAGTATTTTTCTATCCATAGTATCTCTAGCTCGTCGGACGTATTCCAATGGATCAGCTTCTGATCTTATCCATAAAGGAAATATAACAATACCTACAAAGTTTCCCCATGCACAATTTTGCACCTTTCGTCATCAGATTAGCCAGATCCTACATTTTCATATTTTGATACTTAATTAGTCTCTTAATTAAATTCTAGTATTCAAGAATGTTGTCTTGTAAGAAAATATTTACAATCAAAGTTACAAATGATTTTCACCTCGATCTTTGTGATTACTTTCTGGTTGTAATGTTTTGTGAAAGGAGAAGAGATTTTCTTAGATTGCTGATGTTCATGCTTGGGAAAACAGCTGTCGAAGCGCAACTCAAGAAAATCTAGGTATAAGAAACTTAGCAATTGAGAGCTGAAACTGTTTTAATGTGACTGAGAAGTGAAGTGTTTTTGAATTTGTTTCAATGCAGGAGCAACTAGAGAAGAAGAAAGCAGACTATGCAGAGAGGATGAAGAATAAGGTTGCAGGTGATTGAAGAGCTATGATTGAAGCTAAGCGTGGAGAAGCCATTCTTAAAGCAGAAGAAACGGGATACAGGGCCACTGGAATTGTCCAAAGGCAACTTGTGGATGAATCTAATATTGAATTTGCAATCAAATTTCATGATTAAGTTCTTTAATGGCTTGTAATGTTGTTTGTATATTGATTTTGTGTCTGAATACATGAGAGTGATAAATTTGTTCACTGTTTTTGTTCTGCAATTTTTCTCAAACATGATCACATCATAAAGAGAGGATTGATTAAGTTCTTCAACAAACTAATGCTGATTTACATAGATATATACTTACTATATATATGAACATATCTCTACTTCTAATCTCTAAAAAACAGAAGATCAAAAAGAACCAAAGTTTGAATCTATTTCTTAGATAGGCTCTCTTTCTTTTGGATGTAAGAGCAGGATTATCGGTTAAGATCCCTTTGGATCTTAAACTTGGATCTTAACCTTATTTTAAATAAAAATTTCACTATTTGTAAGTTAAGAAAAGTTATACAAATACGTGATATAAAATTACAAATTTTTGCCCAATAAAAAAGTACAAATTAAATACATTATTGAGAGAGTAAAAATTAACCCAACAAGCCGAGATTGATCTCCAATATCGAACAGTCGAACCATTTGATCACGAACACGAAGATATATGAATGCCAGCTGAAACTGTAATTAAAGACAAAAGAGCAAAAAAGAAGATTAAAGAGATATAAGCGTATTATTGGGTTTTCACGTTTCTAATTGACACAAATCGTTTCTATCTAAAATATAATTTTTAATAGATTATTTCACCTTTCTGCGTTTTATTTTCATTATTCAATATTTCTAGTTCACGTAGTTAATCAATTCGCTTTATATGGTTATGAATTAATACTGTTTTCAATCTTTGTTTTAATGTTTCTAATATATATTATGTTTCTTCTCATTATATAGTGTTTCTAATATTATTGTTCTTCTTATTATATACTCATCATCATTGCCTTGTTATGATCAAGCAATTATTTTTGCTTATCGTTTAATCAAACAAATTAATTTAAAAACAAACAAGTCTAGATATGACGAATGGGGTTTGCATGGAGAACCGACACTATATAAATTTTGGAAACGTGAGGGTTAAAATAATAGTTAAAAACTAATTAATAGTTATATCATCTTAAGAGGATGAGCAGTGGTAGCGACTCATAGAGTCTCTCAAAAATTATTATTTTAATGTTTTTAATATAATTTAATTGTTGTTTTAAATTAAAAACTAAAAAGAAAAAGTAAAGCCAATCAAATTTTGACATATGTAAAAAGAGTCTCTAGAGAGGTTCTCATTTGAGAATCGATTCTCGTTTCTCACTCCTCCTTTTCATTATTTTTCTTTTTAATATTGTTGAGAGACTTGGTGAGAGACTTCCACTGTGGATGCTCTTAATGGAGTTCAAACGAATATTAAATTAAATCAAGATTCTTGATAAATAGTAGTAGGTTATATTGCTATATATATATATATATATATATATATATTTGACGGCTATGGCTATATGTTATAATTGTAACTTAGTTAACTTATCGATTTTGTTTTTAAAAATAGATAATAGCTTAATAGCATTCTTTGGCCTTTGGCTATAAATATTTCTTTTGAAAGACTTGGGATTTGTGATGTCATGTGAGTCGGTGTGAGATGTGATCATTCCGAGTTAGTCTTAGATAGTGAAACTAGTCAAATAATCTATAGAAAACGTTAACTTTCCCTATACGAGTATGCACCAGTAATATACTTTGATTAACCAAACCTTATGTATATCCAATATCAAATTCTAGATAACCGCATAACCATCTAAAATAGCAATGTATGCTTCAATATGTATTGTAAGATTTGAATCATAGTATTTCACTTACCTACGGAATATGTTGTATTTGTAAGTCACCCCCCATACAACGTCAAGGTTTCGAAGAGAGCCTCCAAGAAGAACCACCAAAGCAAGTCTATCTTTTTTCTCCCACATTGCCATAGCAAGACCTGCAAAATCCAAAAACATATCCAAATTCTGTCTTCAATAAAATGATTGAAACACTCCACCAACAAGAATCAATGTTCTAAGTGACACTCACCTCTGCCAATTCTGAGAACTCTTTGGTAAAGAGTCTCATCCTACACATTAGTGGACAGAGAATCTCAATATCAAATGTACAACAATAATAATAAGCAGAAGCAACGTTTATAATGACGAAACTAGAGGATAATAAGTAAGATTTGATTCTTAATACCTCCTCATTTTCCTCTAGATGGTCCAGAACCTAAAATTTTGGAAATGTCAAATTCATAACTCATAAGAAGGAACAGAGAAAAAAACTAGCTATGGATACAAATTTATCATCAGAAACAGCTGTAATTAGTAAGAGAAGCATAGATCTGACGATGCATCTCTAGTAAAAGAAGAGTTTATGCTTAATACCTCCCCAAATTCCTCCTGATTGTCCATAACCTAAAATTTTGGGAAATTTCAAATTCATAAGACGAACAGGGGAAAAAATCTACCTCCTCGATCCAAATTTATCATCAAAAACTACTGTAATTAGGAAGAGAATCATAGATTTGGAATTCGAATGTCATGAATTGGACAGAAACCAAAACGCGTACCTTGAATGAAAGAACAACGATCGCGAAGTAGGAAGAGGCAACTTCTCAACGAAGAACAGAGAAAAATCTACCTCAATAACAATCCGTGATCAGAAAATACTTCTGTAATTAGGAAGAAGAACGAGACATAGATCTGGAACTCGAAACCAAACGCATACCTCGAAGAAGAAGAGAGAACAACGACGGATCAGATGGAGTAGAGAAGAAGAAGCAACTTCTCTCTGCGTTTCTGCGAATGGCGGAAGAATGACGGGAAAAGAGCTCTGTTGTGTTTTTTGAATTTAAACTCTTGATGGGCCCTTACTTGGATAGTTTTGAGCCCATTATAAAAACAAAGGATTCTGACTTCTGAGACAAGGAAGTGTCTTGTTTTGTTAAGGGAAAATCATTTTAATCGATTTTTCTTCTCTTCCCAATATCCTTTTTTTTTTAATCAGTTTTAATATTTCAAAATTCTTCAAACCTATGCTTAGATATTCACTTACAGAATACAGATATCAATTTAAATGTTACAGAGGAAGAGAAACGAGCTACCAATATAAATAAATATAATACGATTTAGAACCAAATAATAATAGTTTAACACTACCGATAAGAAACTGCTAGAGAGGTATCCAAATATAACCAACTACTACCAAAGAAGTAAACAGAACATCTAGGATCCTAAATTCATTCTTTTGCAAGACTTTATATATCCAAGATCCTGACTCCATATGTGTAGTAACCAAGCGGCATCTCGATAACCTCATTTTAAAATCCGAATTTGGAGGATGAGGATGCGCATGGCTTGGTTTTATAGGAAGCGTGACCAAATTTTCCAAGTAGGGAGATATAACACAAGTGTCTAAGGAGAGACAACTGATCTCATCTGTCCCTGGATAATATTTGAATAGCCTTTTTTGATTGTCTTTGAAGACAAGATTCCCTTGCTTAGAAACCGCTACCGGGGTGAACAACCTTTTCCACCTGCTAGGGGAAACAACTCTATGACCTAAATTTATGGAGTAAGTCTTGCTCCATCTCTTATCTTCTGTATCCATGCTCCATATCTCTAGTATCCATCCAGGCCCAACTGTCGTTTTGGCTATGGCTAGACGGCCTTCAAGGTTCACTAACTGAGTTAGCCTCGTGAGCCACATAGCCGGAACTGAGACATCATGGAACTCTTCTTTGTGAAGATCCAAGGCTAGTATTTTGAAACCCTTCTCAATGTGCAACCTCTCAATGTGTAACCAGTAGATAGACCCATTCACACAAGCCGATCTTCTTCCCACATCGACCTTGTAAGGAGGTGGACTCAGTTTCCGCCATTCACCAATATGGACATCAAGAACACCACATTCCACCACAGGTTCCTCTTGCCTAACTCTCCGGAAAGAAAAAGACATCCTCACCACTTTATACCTCCCATTAACTTTCTCTCTACCAAATCCCATTGCCCACTTTAGCGGAGAGAAAGTCTTCCAGAATCCTGAAGAAAGTTTCGTTTTTTTTCTCAATTTCTAGTGGCAAAATTTCTACTTTTAAAAAGTACCAAATTTATCTCTAACAGATTATTACCAATTCCAAATCTGAAGTTATCGTTCAAGCCGGAAGAGAACCGCCGGAGTTGTCTGGTCGAAGGGTTCAAAACGATGATCCAATCTTGCTCGGGGAAGCAGACCAAACCTTGGCAAGTCATCGAAGGTCGTGAGGCGTCACAGTGCAGATAGACAATCTCTTCATCCCCTTCAAACCGTGACTCGGGTAGGAGCCTCCTCCGTCCGCCGCAGTCGCAGTTGTAAGCAGCTAGAATTTTCCGGCGGCTCTTTTGAAGACTCATATGCCTCTCCGCGAACCTCCTCGATTCGAGGATTGATCTCCATTGTTTTGAGACGGTTCTGCATTTGAGGATCGATTTGGTGGGCAATCGAAGGAAAACTTCTTCCAGTAAATCGGGAAGTATATCGATCGAATTAGGGTTCTCTTCTTCTTCCCCCATTTTTGAAGCTTACTTGCTTGTTTCTGTGAGAAATTCCCAATCTATATACCAAAAGGGAAACTCAAAGATTGACTTGCCGTTTGTGTTAGGCACTTGGGCTAGATCCCTTCATGGTCCGGAAATTATATTGTTTATATCTTCGATATTTTTGAATTACAATTAGACCCAAGGCCTTTTTAAGGCCCAATTAATTAAGACAAAAAAAAAATATCCAATAGCATCGTCAACTTGAAGCCTTCATCAATTTCTTAGAACTTATCACGTCTTAATTTCTTAAAACGTTAGAAATTATCTTTGATTTCATGGCAAGATTGCGCCGACTTTATAAAAGTAGAGAAAAAAACACATGGTCTTCACTGTTTTGGCTCCCAAAATCGCTTTAATGTGAAGAAGAAATGATTTTCTCTTTGGTTTGACATCGGTTACAATTAGGAGTTACAATAAAGTTAGTTTGGCTTATTCAATTATGTTTGAGTTGCCATGCATCCTCTATTAATTATAAACATAAGCAATACTTAGAATTAATTATGCTAAGTATAAACTTGTGGTTTGTACAAGTTTTACTACTAACTATTGATTCTAAATTGTGAGATAAGGCAAAATCAAAACTTAACTAGAAACAGTCAAAGACCAAAAAAGTGATTAAGGGCCTGATTGGCAAGTGCTTTAGAGTCTTTACAAAGCAAAAAAATTTCTAAAGATTTGAAATACATCCAATCAAGCTTTAGAATCTGTGGCTTTCCTTTTTTTTCTCACAGCCAAAATATTTCCTTAATTCATTTTTTTGGCTGTAGAAAGCCTTTTTTCCTAAAGCACATAATTTTCAACTTTCCAAAATTTTAAATTCCACAGCCAAAATACTACAGCACTAAAATCTACAGCCACAGCAAATAAACCTACAGTCATATTTCTACAGCAAAAAATGTAAAGCTACAGCTGTTACCAATCAGGCCCTAAGTTCTGAACTTAAATTTGCGATAGTAATTGGCATTCTTCACATTGTGGTCAGAAACGCATTTTATTTCATAATAAACTAGAACATAATGGTCCAGGGCAAGTAATGCCCGCTTGGCAATAGAATCTGCCAATACATTATCTAGTCGATAAAAACATTGTTGACGTAGAGTCAGTTACAATGTAATACCTTTTATTTCTATCAAATATTTTAATAACCACACCTTAGTTATATAAATTACTTATAATTATTATCAAATTTATCTTTGAGAATATGAACACTAATTAAAATGGCGATAAGATGTTGTGAATAATGATGATTCCAATCAATTTGCCTTCTTCAATACTTTGGAGCAAACATATGCACACCAGCCACAAGAAATAATTACTTTTTGTTTTCTCCACTCCCACTTGCCAAATCTGTTGTATTTGAAAATGATTAAATAAAACAATTTAACAAATAATTAACTTTAAAAAATAAGCAATGTTGTACTAACCTTTACCCTTTCCGAAAATTTGTGAGCCACTTTTTTTTAAAAGACTATCCTCCTCCTAAATAAAAATAATTGTTAAATGGTAACACATGACAAAAATTGTTATATAGTATTGAAAATAAGACTTACAGTTACAGTGTGTGGTTGTTTGGTGGCATGGCGAAAATTCTCAAGCAGCGAAGCCTCGTATCTCTTTCGTACTTCCTTAGACATCATATTATCTTTTATCCAAGAATGTGGGAGGAATTTAAGACACTTTGGACAGTCCATGTCCAAATTATCTTCATTTATTTTGGACTCAAAGTATTCTACAGAAATGAGTAGAGCACTTTAGCTCACAAAAAAATCTCAACACACAAGCTTAAATGTGTTACCTCTAAAGCATTTGTCACAAAAATGGTCACCGCATCCAAGGTTTATGCAGGCAGTGAAATGTTTGCAAAGAAGGCATTGAGTCTAGAAATGTATAAAAGAAGAGTTAGTATAAATTCAGAAACTAAAATTTGTCACAATCCTTAAAAAAGACGTAGAGAATAATTAAGGAACATACATACCCACTCCAAATACTGTACAGGCTTGGTGACAAAGTAATGGTCCTTAACGCCATCATTAGGAGATTGTTTGAAATTTGAGACAAGTCTTTCTTCATCCCTAACCAAATTCAGAATTCATAATCAGTGACAAGAACAAAGCAAGTATGAAAAAATAAGAAATAAGAAAAGTAGATACATACCATTTGTATATCAAAAGTAAAGCAGTAGCTTGATCTTCAGAAATTCCTAGGCGAGAAGCAACCCTTTTGATTGTGTCATAAACCTCATTGATGTTCTGAGTCTGGCCTCTTACTCCCTCCATGATTCTTTCCAAAGTTTTCAAGTGTTAAACCTAAGAAAATAATCAGATGATTTTGCCCCATAACGCAGCATTATTAGAGAAATAATCAGATGATTGACGAATCAAAACCAAACACAAGATTAATTAGAAAAGAAAGCATTCTGTTTCAGAGAATACACTAAGAAGAAAATCAAAAGCATACCAAGTAATGTGAGAAAGAAGAGAATTAGACGTGAATACAATAATCAAAATGAGAAATGACTCCATCTTATATAAACGCAATTAGGAATCCGCGTGAGGTAAAGTAAGAAGAAAACCAACTGACTGATAGTGATGTGTACAAAGGTTGAGTGCTGACTTCTGAGGCGTATGATCGAGAGTAACAAACAACTCGTCTTTATTGCTACAAGAAGATATTCTTACATTTAATTCTGATTTTCAAAATTACCTTGATAAGAAAGAAAAGGAAAACACTAACTTAATTACTTACGTCTCCTATATTACAATGCACTTAGCCTTTCTTTTGACGTCACAATGCACTTGCTTATACCTAACTATCAAAAATGGAAAATGACCATTTATTTACTTATGACATTTGACGAGGCACTTAGCTGTAACTAACTAAAAGTTTAACCTTACGCGTGAAAATATTACGTATTTTCCAACTAGATAAAACAAATTTCAAGCTCTTCTTAGTTGCTAAGTTTGCTTTTGCACTTTTTCTCTGCACTTAATTCATACTAATAAGTTTTCTTGTATTCTAATTTTTATAATTATATAAACTAGCCCAAAATATTGATTTATTTAATTAGCATTGCATCAATCAGAATCAGTTTTTTTTTTTTTATTGATTTTAATCGAAGAAATCTAATATAAAAAAACACATGCAGCTTAATTAAAATACTAGTATTTACGAGTTCGATTAATTATAACTTATAAGTATGATAGAATTTTACGTCTCCAAGCCATTTAAACTAACGGCTGACCCTTTACTTCCTTCCCTAAATATTCTCGCTCAGTGACTCAGTGTAGCTATTAGACCAAGCTAGAAATGACCGGTTCAACTAGATGACATCAAACCGTGAACATTTGGATTTCAGAACTAACATAAATTATACCTTTTAACTTTCTTTTATAAGACAAAGACAATTATAAATTCGAAAGAATGACGATCAGTTATTCCAAGAATGATTTCTTTTAGATATTTTACATGTTTAAGATACAGATATCAAACTTTATTTCAGTATTGGATACACAAACAGAAGTACATTGTTGGATATGAGCTGCTTCCAAAGTTACAAGAGAAAAGATGCTCGACATCAGTTCGGCCCATTTCCCACATCGGCCCAGAACTCGTCGCTGACTTAGAGAGGGCAAAAACGGGAATTTTCACCGACAAAGTGAAACCTTATACCATTTTTATTGATGGTCTCTTAAGACAACTCTTATGTTAAGAGACATCTCTTAAATTAGTTATAAGACATGTGATCAACAAAATATGTATTTTTCACCAATATCTAGCTCAGCCTTGTAAATATCATTCGATAGTCTAGCTCGTGTTTGTAATATCCATTTTTGTAATCGTCAAACTCAAAAGTCATAAAATAAGAAATTCTCCGTTTTTCTCTTAAGTTCCTCTACTACTAGTCTTCATCCTAATAGATACATACTTATCCTCAATATGATCATAGTATACTAAAAGTCAATGGACATGCTTTTGGTTGTTGAAATCATACCGCAAGTCAAACGTTTTGCAAATGTATTTTTTTTTTCTCTCGAAAACGTACGTATTCAATTTGTCTTATCAAGGGAATCGTAGTTCTCTACAGAAAATTCATATGTTGCACTCTTTTCCCTAAATCTGATTCCTATATGATAAATGTATATAATCTCTATTAGTTCCTGAAGAAGTAAAATTAAGAATATTGAGCTTAGAATGTCATCTTGGTAAGGTGAAGCCATCCGTAACATTATAGCATCCTTAAAAATACCAAATATGTAATTTTGGAAAAATAAAACAAAGTTAATGAGCAAGATAATGAAACATTGCCGCAGTAAGATGTCTTCGGGAACAAAGTGAGTCTCCTCCACATTTTAGTGAGCTACCTGTTGTATGTCAAACCATAATTTTGATAAAATATCATATACAGTTTTTTCCCCTAGTCACAGTCTGTAAATAAGTAAAATAATTTGAAGCTTCTTACTTGCTTACAAGGTACAAGCAAGGGGCGTAGCGATAGAGAGGAGTCCACTTACTTCCATTTTAACGATCTACAGCTACAGTGGATATCCCGGCCTCCGGATGCTTCAAACACAATCCGCAACTAGATATCCTGATTTTATAATCATCTGGATGATGTCCTGAGTCCGATCGAAGTGGTGCCAAATTCTCGAGGCAAAGAGATATAACAGAAATATTTGAGGAGAGACAGCAAATCTCATTTGTCTTTGTATTATATTTGAACAGCCTCTTGTGTTTGTCATACAGGACAAGATTCCCTAACTTTGAAACAGTCACCACCGTGAACCAACTATGCTCCCATGGGAGGCCAATAATGATACTGGCTAAAGTTATGGAGTAAGTCTTGGTCCATAATTCTTCTTCTGAATCCATCAGGCTCAGTATTTCTAGTTCCCATTCAGGCCCACCTTTGGTTTTGGCTATGGCTAGACGGTCCTCAAGGTTCATTATCTGGGTATCAAGGCTGAACCACTTATGTGGAACCGAAACATTGCGGAACTCTAGTGTGTGAAGATTCAAGGCTAGTAATTTGAAATCCCACAAAAGTTTTAACCAGTAGATTGACCCATTCACACACGCTGACTTCCTACCCACATCCATATCGTGAAAAGGTGGTCCAGGTGGAATCAGTTTCCTCCATTCACCAGTTTCAAGATCAAGAACCTCACATTCTTCCACAGGATCAAAACACATCCTCACCACTTTATAGCAACCATTAACTTTATCTCTACCGAATCCCATTGCCCAATTTCCCGGGAAGAAAGTGAGGTATGGCCAGACTGCAATTTTTTTTATTTTAATCTTTTCAGACAACTAATTTACAACATATTTGACTGACTCTTTTATAAACCATGCATGTAACAGATTACCTCTTAGCTGACGATTAAGACAAAAAGGAGACACGGGGTGATCTGGGCTACAAGGGAATCGCCGGAGTTGTCTGGTCGATGGGTTCAAAACGTTGATCCAACCTGGTTTTGGGATGCAGACCAAACCGTCGCATGTCAGCGAGGGTTGTGTGGCGTCATCGCAATGTAAATAGATCATCTCGATCTCTTCGTCACCTTCGAATCCCGACATGGTCCGGCCTTCTCCCACAGCTAGGATTTTCAGCTTCTTCTGAACTTTCTTCAAACGCATATCCACGAACCTCCTCGACTCCAGGATTGATCTCCATTGCTTTGAGACTGTTTTGAATCTGAAAACTGATTTCAACGGCAGTCCAAGTAAGATTTCTTCCAGTAAATCGGTAACTAGGTAGTCCATCGGATTAAGGTTCTTCTCTTTGCCACCCATAATTTCTCTTGTCTGCATATTTTATATTTTGTTTTCTACTTCAAAACTCAGAGATATCTTTCCTTTTCTTTCTTGTTATTTTTTGCAACATATCTCTATTTTTAATACATCTCTTTACTGTTTTTGGGCTACTTTAGATATAAAAGCCAATCATGATCTGAAATGAGAGTGTTAATTGTTTTTCTTTTTTTTTCCAATGTAATCCACATAAAGTGTTTGGCCCATAATTGTATGGGACTTTAATCAAATTATATAATCCCTAGGTTTTTTTTTGTAGTTTTTAACAAATACATATTTAATTAGTTCCAGCTCCAAAAATACATAAAAGCACCCCAAAAACCAATGCTTGCTTACCAAAATGTTCAGAAATTTTTAGATCCCTTTTTATTGGTCTTTGCCTCTATGGCTATTTTTGGTTTATAGTACTTAACTTTCGTCGTTGACTTTATGGCTTTTTCTCTTTTAATAAAAGACAAAACAAAAAATCTATGCAAATTTGACACTGAACTATGCAATGTAAATTTTGTTATATATACATGAAAATCTATCAGTAGGTAAGATTTAGTCTGAAACACCGTAACAAGGAGGGTGAGAAATATTAACTCATTATTGGTACCAACTATCCAAGAGACCTTCCCAACCATAGACAAAAGAAACACAATTAACAAATAATTATCTTAATAACCAAACATCAAATTTATGGTATTGCACTAACTTACTTTTTTAAAAATTAGTGAGAACACTTTTTTGACAAAACTATTTTCTGGTTGGACACACCATAAATTTTCAAACAAAAATCGTTAATGGCGCATACATCATCAGACAGGAGCTTTCTCATCATAGCATGAGAAAAAAATAATTATGTAACTTATGTATGTAAATAATAAATCTAACTCGATTCAAATTAGAAAAAAAAAAATTTTGATTGAGCATAGAAATTTTCTACATAGTTAACCTATTTATCATAAATTGTATATTGCTTCATCCATATTATATATCGTTGAACTAAAATCAGATTTGTTTCACCATATTGCTAACTCATAGTTGATAATTTCATTTTCTTGCTCTTTTTTCTCAGAAGTATGATTCCTACTATATGATAAACGCATATAATCTCTATTAGTTTCTGAAGAAGTAAGATTAAGAACATTGAGCTCACAAAGTCTTTTTCTGCATATGGTGAATCCATCCATAACCATAAATATTATAGCATCCTCAAAAATTTTAAACTATTTTACAATCGATTTAAACCCAAATTTTATTGATTTCGTCTGTTCAAAGATCGAACAATCCAAAGAATCAAAACGAAATTGACGTATCGAAACCAAACCCAAGAAAGATCGCGAAAATTTCAGAGAACACACAAAGAAAACGTCAAAACTCGAAACGACTATGAAATTACGTTGAGAAAAGTATTGGATCTTACAAAGATTTCATGTTTGTGCGTGTTGTATCAGTGGCGGATAAACCTTAATCAAGAATTGAAATTATGAAGTAAGATCGATGCGTAGAGAGACGAGGTTGAGGTTAGCGCGAAAATTTTGTCTTTAAAAAAATATATATATTGGAGATGGGATAGTAAAACTTTTTTTAACCAGTTTTTCAAGAACCAGATTTATCTTTCTTTCTTATTTTATCAGTTCAAATATTTCAAAAAAGATTTCATTATTACAATAACCAAAAAATAAAAGTCGTAGATTAGTTTTTAACGAAAACCCCCACAAATATTTCATTATTACAATTTAGCCCAGTCAATTTCTAAAAGATTAATTTTGGTCACCTCTCTCTCTTTCTCTATCTCTCTATCTATTGTGCTCGCTCGTGCAGCCGAAGATCCTGCTCTGATCGTCAAATCCAGTAAGCTAAATTTCTCAGCTTTTCGTCTTACTTTTCTTTTTGTGTCTTCAATTACATTAAACTCCATATGAATAATTTCTTCAATCGAATTTTTCGTCTTTGGGTCTTAATTTTTTCTCAACTGATTCAGCTAACATTAGCGATTTGCCGGATTTCTTCGATTGGTTTTCGTCTCTATGTTTCAATTTTCTTATTACTTCGACACATTCTTGTTCAGATCGATGAAAAGGGTAAGCTTTGAACAATCTTCTAATACATAAAAATTGAAACTTTTTCCAACATTTCTGAGATTTTCCAAATCAGATTCTCGGAGTTGAATTGAACTCTCAAGTGGCTCACATAATTTTCAAACTTGATTATGCTTTTGTGGCAGTGGAAGATGAGGATGATCTAGCCACGAAGAACAACAGCAACAACACAGATGATTTTGCTATAGAGCCTCGTGAAGGGATTGAATTTGAATCCGAGGATGCGGCTAAGATGTTCTATGATGATTACTCTAGACGTTTAGGGTTTGTAATGCGTGTAATGTCTTGCCGGAGATCCGAAAAAGACGGAAGAATCCTTGCCCGGAGATTCGGTTGTAACAAAGAAGGTCATTGTGTTAGTATCCGTGGTAAGTTTGGATCAGTTAGGAAACCAAGACCGAGTACAAGAGAAGGTTGCAAAGCCATGATTCATGTTAAGTATGACAGGTCTGGTAAATGGGTCATTACCAAATTCGTCAAAGAACATAACCACCCACTCGTTGTTTCACCTCGCGAGGCTCGCCATACTCTGGTGAGTATAACTTAACTTATGTCCTTGTGCAGTGTAACATTAGGTATTTTGAGCAACAAATGTTTGAAACCATTTTGGTGAATTTTGTTGTTATAGGACGAAAAGGATAAGAGAATTCAAGAACTGACGATAGAGCTGCGAAACAAGAAGCGGTTATGTGCAGCGTACAAGGAACAGCTAGATGCATTTGCAAAGATTGTTGAAGAGCATAGTAATCAGATAGCGAAGAAAGTTGAGAACGTAGTGAACAATTTGAAAGAATTCGAACCTCTAGAGCATGCGCTATTGCGAAGTAAACAAGATGCCATCTAAGCCAATTATGTATGTGTGCGGATGTATATTCTTTCAATCGGTAAAGCTTTCTATACCGCTTTTCCCGATAGTAAATGTTTTAAGTGTAATCTAGATGTGGTTTGATTCTTATTTGTTTATGGAATGTAATGTGAGAAACTTTTTAACCATAGAGTAAAAGAGGACATGAAGGGTTTACATACAAATCAGGTTTCAGGACACGAATCTTGCCTTTAGATTGATACAAATGTAGTTGGTTCTGCAATATACTATATTGATAGGAAACAGTTAACAATCTATTTAAGAACACTTAACAACCATAAGAGATGAGAAGGTGAATCTTACATAAGACAAGAGAGCCCTAAGAAAAACAAAGATTACACACCTTCTTCGATTACACGATGTTTTGATTCGTCATCAGAAAATTTATTTACAGAGGAAAAAACAAGAAAAACAAACCAATCAATCGAATAAACACACTTCTCTTCTGTCAAATCAAACCCTAGTTAAAGATCAATTACTGCTGCTAAAGCCACCACCTTTCATCATCTGAAGGAACTCTTTGTAATTGACTCTACCATCACCATCTGCATCAACTTGCATAATCATCTTCTTGCAACCATCTAGGGTTTTCCCTTGCTTGAGTCCCAAGGAAGCCATCACAGATTTCAACTCCTCCACAGTGATAAACCCATCTCCGTCTTGGTCAAACACGTTAAACGCGTCTTTCATATCCTCTTCCTCTGTTTCGCCATCGTTGTGATGCTCATCCACAATCGAGCTGTACAGCGACTCGAACTCGTCTATGTCGACGCATCCATCACCGTTAGCATCGATCTTATGGATCATTTGAGTCAGATCTTTGTCTGGTATGTAGATTCCTAGATTCTCTAGTGAGTCGTTGAGCTCTTCCTTTGTGATTCGACCGTCACCGTTCTTGTCGAACATCTGGAAAACGCGTTTGAGCTCGGACGGATCTATTCTTTTAGTCGGCGCAGAAGACGATGACGGAGAAGGTAACATCGTTGACGGAGACGGTGATGAGTTCTTGTGGAGAGTTTTGTCGAACCAAGAGAGAGGGAAGAGACTTCGTAGCTTCTTTGGAACTAACGAGAGAAGAAAAGAGTTTAGTATATTGTAGAGAAGGAATATTCTCACCATAACTGTTCTTTTATGAGCAAAAAAAAAAACAGAGAGAAGATCTGAGAAACAGAGAGCTTGAAACAGAGCTTTGTTGATAGAGAGAAACTTGGAGATTGTTTGTTTTTATAGAGGAGAGAGAGGGAGAGTTTCATTTATTATAATCATTAAATAATATATTTTCGGGAATTTAATTTTCCTTTTTCACGCTATACAACCGTTGAATCTATTTTTTAATCTTTTACTTTCACTTTTCACTTTTTTATTTGGAGAAAGTAAAAAAAAAATGGAACGTTTCAGAGAGGATTTATAGTGAAACATGACTTTTCTGAAAATATTTGAAACTCTTGAGACTCATAATAGTCTTCCTCTACTCAACAATAGTCACATTTAAAAGTTAGACCATACACACTACACAAAAATATATACACATTTACAGTTCAACACTATACTTTTTTTTTACATCGTATGTTCTTTAAATCTTAATCTATATATTTACATCACTAAATGAATGACAATAATTAATCATTAAGGTCTAAAGGATCTCACCTAATACTAGTTAAAAGCTAAAAGTAAGAAAAAGCCGTGATTTACAGAATCTATTTAAGTGTATGAACCATGACAAATGAATAAATATATACAATTTAAAACGGAAAAGAGATTGAATTAGTGTGGAAAAACAAGCCACTATCGGTATTAAAAAAAAAAAAAGGTAAAGAAATTGCAGAAAACGCGTGAAGAGGCAGAGGTGGTGTAGTTAAACATATACATCGCTTTTGTGATAAATTAAAAATGAAGTAATGTCAAAAACGCGTTGTTATTATTGTTGATGTTTTGTTCCTGTCCCCATTTGTTTGGTTATCTTAACTTTGCCGGTCTTCTTCGTATTTCAGACTTTTATTTATCATCTTCTTTTTATCTTATACGTAAAACATGAGTCCTAAAGAAACCCTATCAAATGACTTTGCAACTGATCTTTTTTTCTCCTATAACTCGTAGTCAGACCCGAAATCTGATTAATCCAAACATGGGCAAATTCGATGGATACAAACAAACACACCATGTTAAACATTTGAGCCAAAGTTCAGGGCTCCAACAAAGCAACATAGACAAGTTATATACTTAAGTACTCTTTTATCCGACCCATTTGTTAATCTAAAGGCAGTGTTTTATTTTCAACTCATCACAACGAATAGAATTGGCGTACTCTTTCTAGAATCATTAAACAAAAAGTGTTGTTAATGATAACGTAACGGGTCTAAGAATTAAAGGAAGTTATTGGGGACCCAAAAACGCGCCAAGAATGACGCCCGTTGGATTATGACCGTTGGATCTCTAAGGTTGTCGCTGTTCTATTGGTTTACTTCTTCCAAGTGGACCCATCAGTACTTGTCCAACAGCCAACAATTTTCATTTTTTATTATTCATATTGCATGCAATACTATTATTACTTGATACGGGAGGAAGTAGTAACTAATAAATTTCAGTTAAAAGACAAGAAAATTCGTTGGAAAGTGATTTAAAGAAGTACTAGTCATTGGTGTTGGGATTAAACAATCTATATACAAATGGTTAATCAAAAAAGATGAAGAAGTTTTCAATCAAAACGGCCCATGATCTGATATATATATATATAACTAGAACTCCAGCCACTAGCATGACCAATACTACCTAGGCAAACCAATAGCAATAAATTTCGATAAGTTCAAAGAACCAACATAAAGCCACTTCTTACATGACATGAAAGAGTATATATATAACGAAAACCAGCTCTTTAACTATTTCGAGGCAACGATGGTTGGATCTTGCGTTTGTGTTGTTATATGATTATCCCGATTGGAAGTTATGTTGAGACTATATATATATATGAATTTGTCTCTCACACAGTAGACAAGAAAATAAGAATAAGTAGAGCCTAAACTTAATATTCAGTTTTGATATCTACTAGATCAATATAAATTAATGAATACAACAATATATTTTGAGATTCTCACGCGGGGTGTGGTGTAACGGGATCCAAGGACAGTTGACTTGTGACAAGTGTTTATGGACTTCATATGGTTGTTGTCTTCCAGCTCACCCAAGCCAGCTCCACTCATAATTCATACTTAAATAATTGTCATTTTCTATTATTACTAACTGTATTTTCTTGTTAATTTGACATTATTTTTCTTCTCTTTTGTTGCAACACAATGACACATCATGCTCTTACTACAATATTTCCCTTAATCTCGTATTCAAAAAAAAGAAGACATCTTAGTGCTGTTGCCCTTTAATATGACATACTTTTTTTAGGGTTGTTTTATTTGCTTTTTCATTCTTAGATTCAAATTGCAATGATTCTCGATACTCGATAGTGAACACTCTCTACTCCTAGTCCCGAAGAAAGAATTATCATCCCACGTAACTTAATAATTTTAGATACCACATTAACATTTGTTTTTCATTTACAAGATAATTGCACACGAATTCAAAGTGTTTAAAGGAGTTCAACCTAATATCCCTCTCATGTAAGTACAGAACACTCCGACTAGCTTTATGAACATCACGGACACGGCCTATCAGATGCTACAATTTCAGTGGTTGATACATTCTGATGTACGCCACTAGTAAAAGACTAAAAACCTTTAGAGCGTATATTTATTGCTAAAGTTTGTTGGCTAAATATATAATTAGTCTTCCTTAATTATCCACTCAAACAAAGACTTCTCTGACATCTCCAAAGAGTCCTAACTGTCATACGCGGTTTTACTTTATAACGTACAACGCCTACTCGTCTACTAATGTCAACAAGAAACATTTAGGGTAAGCAAACAATTTCTAGTAATTAATTAGTTCTTGACCTATTTACACATTGGGGTTGCACAATCAGGCACATATTCCGGAAGGAGAAGACATATGCATGCTCTTATGAATAATTGACAATACCCATTATATGGATATCTACCATGACCATGTTCTGTTATTTTTTAATTTTTTTGCGAAGATTAATTTATACAATTATACATCGTTTTCAAGCTAAAGATCCATCCTTTGAAGAATAACACTAACCAACTTTTTGGTAAAACTATTTTCACGAGAAACATTTTTTAAAAATTACACATCAAATATAAAGGGATTCAATCTTGGATTCTTGGGCTAAATAAGTTGTTGGACAAGAAACATTTTCAAGAAACTACAGTTTTAATTCACAAAATTAATCAAAAAGGTGCCCACACGCAGGATCGAACTACGGACCTTCAGTTTACAAGACTGACGCTCTACCACTGAGCTATACGGGCTTCTGCTTTATATCTTCTTACTACAGTAGATACATTAGTTCATATCCTCATTTAATAAGGTGGTTTTTACATTTTTTTTTCTTAACTAATATTGTGTTAATTGATGAATAAGTAAGTAATTTAAGCGAATTCATCTTTTTTTTAGTTGAGAAAATTTTCAGAAAATTGTGAGATAAGAAGACATCCATTCATAACTGCAAATGAGAATCTCATGATAGGGAAAAACAACACTGTTAAATCTAATTTCAGATATTCTCGACAGAAATGAAAATCCCAGGACAAAGTACGAGGAACAGAGTGAATCTAGAAGTACAGATTCTTCTCGGAAATAGACCGAACCTTTTTCGACCAACAACGACATCAACTACAACTTTAAATCGAAAAATAAAAGTACATTTTTTTTAGTGGCGGAATAAGTAAAACTGTTAAAATACGAATAAAACAAATAACAAAAACAATCATTTAAAGATCCAAAAATCTCATTCTCTTCCTCCTCCGTGAGCAACAAGGAGAGAGATCTTTAGAATCAATCGACACGAGCGATGAATGGGACTCACCGTCATCATCTTCTTCAACTGGTCTTATCATGCCGCAAGATCACAGCTCAAGTGACTCAACCAGGATCTTCCACCATCGTAGCCATGGCTTCATCCTCCGAACAAGAATTCCTAGTCAAAAGCCGCGCCAATCTCTACCGATTCCCTCATTCCAACAATTTCTGGGACTCAAAGACCGCTTCACGCGTCGGCGAGAAGCTTGGTCTACGTCTTAGAGATCTCGGTGTTGACGTTGTCTCCATTGATGCAGACGAAGAGATCTCTCGACCCATTCACCACCGCAAAAGGGTTCTTCCGTTGTTTGATTCCGTTCGTCGTACCGGTATCAGAGTCGACGGAACTGACCAATTGAACGATATTGGTGTCACAGTTATTCCCAGAAATTAGTTAGGGTTACGAATTTGGGAATTTTTTTGTTCGTACAGTTTCTTGTATCATCAGTGAGAGATTTACAGAAACTAATTGATTATTTTCGACATAAACATTTTGATTTTCATTACCTTTTTCTAGTTTTTATCACCATAACATAAAATGAAGATGAACAATCAAGATAGTAAATAAAAAAATTCAATTTCATCATTGCATTACTACTATACTACATTAAGGAAAAAGAGTTTTGTATTTGACATATTTTTTCAACTTCTGTTGTTGTTGGCTGCGGAATATATTTGGTCATGAATTGAGTTCTTTCGTCTACACACCTATTTGAGGAAGAACTTCCAAATATCTCTGTCTGTAGTCTCCTTAACCAAATGAGCTCCTAAGATAGTTTCTTCATCCACCAAGTTCCTCAAATGTTTCGCTCCACTGTTGAATCCTACGTACTGCTTCTTCGCCGCCAAATACATTACACCGTATGGCGGTCTCAGGCACTGTCTCAAATACAAAGACAACACGACCATCACTATAACCAGAAACAACCACTGAAGAACTAACTAGAGGGCGAAGGATAAAAAAACCAACCTTCTTTATGAGTGAATATAGTTTCTTCAGAGAAGTAACCGAGTAAGGGATTTCGGTCATTAGTATAACATCATATCCACATTCTCCTCCTTGATCGGTGTCGTTGGCTCTTTCCCACGCTCGGCTTCCTGAGAGCTTCCTCGATCGCCTTGAGGAGAAATCTTGCTGTCCTGTAATGCTTCCGTCTTGGCTGCTACATCCATCCATGAAATCTTCCTCCGAAAAGCTCAAGTTCATTGTGGGGATAGCTGGTTCAAAGACATCTGTTCTAATGATGGATAGAACGGTAGAGAGCTCTTCCCATTCTCCTGCATAGAAACGGACAGATGCAGAGATAGCTTGTCTTGATGGTGTGAGTGGGCTTTCTGGCTGACGGCTTTGCCTGTCTCGTGCTTGCTCGAGGTTTGCAAGAACGTTTGGGATGGTTGTGCATCTTATTGTTTCTGCGTTGAGGTCTTGAAAGTGGACTGAGGAAGCACCCTTCAGAAAAAGCAATCAAGATTCAATTGTGTGATTTTTTCTTGAAATGTGAAAGTTACAGCAATCTTGCAGCGTTAGTTTACTTACTTTCAAGCAGGCAAATATCCCAGGAACTCCGTAATTGCAACCTAGCTGTTCAAGTCACCATACAAAGGAAAAAGACAGTAACAAGTCAGAACACAAGGAATTGGAGTTGTTCTCAAAATGGAACATCCATAACATCTCCACCATAGTATAGATTCATAATTAAACACAACAAAAATGAAAAATGAGAATCACCTAACCATTGAGTGGAAATGGAAAATGAAAGTAAAAGGTTTGAACTAATTTGTAAACAATTTTGTCAAAGCTACAGAGATATGATTTGTAGATTACTGCTGATCTTAGATACAGACATTGGAACATATAAGTGACACTCTACATTTGTTGCCATTATGTTCAGTGAGATAAGCACTTCAGAAGAGGAGGAAGTACCTCGAGAACCCTTTTGCCCCTGAAGCTAAGCTGTCCATCACGGATCTCGTTTTTAAGGACATTAACAAGAACAATAGAGCTTTCCCAACTTTTCAGAGAACCTACAGCGTTTTTTTTTTAACTTTATACAGTTTATTATGATACATAAATAGAAGAAGACATCAGATGCAAGTGCATGTGAAGCACATACCTTCATTTTTTAGAGTGGTTTCTGAACCAGAGAGCCCCATGATATCGGCAACACTTACTTTTCCCTGCAATAAGTTAATAGTTTGCAAAGGTTAGGATTTTCTATACATTCTTACTCTCTTCCATGCTTCTATCAAGCATGGAGGATTTTAAACCATGCACTTCTAGACATACTACGTATAACATTAGACTTATTTACAAGGTTCTCAAAGAAAAACAGTCTGGTAAATTTTCTGTTTCACATTCTAGCCAAGAAAAGCTAGTGTATCAATTCTTAAAAAACCAGCATTAGAATATCATCCTACCACGTCATTGATCTTTCCAGCAATCACTTGTTCATGTTAAATCTTGAATAAAAGGTTTGACAAGCAAAGTTTCATCTCTGGACTCTCAAAAAGCCAAGTGCACAGACCACTTTTTTAACTTTTATGTCTACTTCCTTAAAGCTTGGAGGTGGTTAACTATATTCAGGATTGCATTTGTAGTACCTTGAAAACTTGTAAACCGAGCACATCTAGATTCTCCCCTGAATACCTGTGATGAGCTGCTGTCTACAGAAGAAAGAAACGAAAAGAGAATTAGTATTGCAAGATATTAAAGGTCTACTCCATTCTCAAAATGAAAGAAACTCTTCTTTTGTCTCAGATTCAATTTTGACATAAGATGTAGTAGGATAATATACATGGCGAAACGGAATAGGCCCTGGAAAGGAAGAAATCATAAGAAACTACGCGGAAAACTTCTTTACTAGAAAGTTATTAGTGATAATGATGATAAAAAGTCGACAATGAGCAAACAAACCTTAGAAGGAATGATCTCAACAGCTGGTGTTGGAAGCTGCAAATCCTTCTCTGATAATGCAGACACACCACCTCGGTCTTGAGGTAGCAAACCCGGCAAGCATTGTGCAAGCAAAGATGGTGCACGCATTCTTTAGCTCCGAGTTCTCTCTCGATAATATACTCCAATGATAACAATCTAAAATTAGCAAAAAGATCTAATCTTTAGTAATAATATTGCCACTCTGAACATCATAAACTCTAAACCCTGAACCCCTAAAAAACCTAGACATGATGATTTTCAACTAACGCCGATGCAATCACATGATTCACATGAATAGATACATAAATGCGAAAGCAACTTTGAACATAGTGACCAATCTAACAGTCAAACAAAAGTCAAAACAAAAACTTTATGATTCAAAACTAAGCCCAATTGCGAGATCCAGGCGAATCCTCAATTCCACATCCCTACTGTTAAACTGACCAACAAGGATCAAAATCAAAACCAGAAAACATCGACGGACATGAGTTCTTACAGACAAAATGAATCAAAAGTTTGACTTTAAATTTCAATTCTAGACGACCGAGTACCGTATCAATGGAGTATCAGACAACAAAGAAACTGAAAGTTACTTACAGATTTATGTGCTTATAAAGGAAGATAAATGTAAAAAGAGAAAGCGAGAAGCGGAAGAGTTCTCGACACGAAATTCGATTCAGACGGCAAAAAGATGAGATTCTTCTTCTCAAACACGGCGAAAATCTAGGGATCAATCAAATACAGCAACAAGGGGGTTGAAATTTCAGAGCAAAGCGATCTCTCACACGTTTAAAGTAGAAGAAATAAAAGAAAATATTTTTAAAAAAGAAAGAAAAATTCTAAAAAGGAAAGAGCAAGTTTGGCCAACAAACAAATCGAAGCTTCGGTTCAGACCCGCTGGTCCGCTTTTGTACACCTGTCCCTTAACTATTTATAATTCTAGTCCTTTTTATTCTCTGCAATTCAAGGAACTGACCACTTTCTTTTGTTCCTTTGGTCGTCGTCGTCTCATTTCTGGCATTTATCTCGTTTCCTGGAAAAAATGGAGTTTATTAATCAATGATTTGGGCCTTAAAAGGCCTCTATTATATGGCCATGGGTCAACAAACTCTCTAGCTATGAAAGGGGACTTGTTAATTGCTGCTGCTATCATGTTATTTTACCAATGAAAGGTTTGTATAACTAAATTTTCCTATTATTATAAGATAATAGAAAAACTAAATAAAACACAATGTTGAACAAAATATTTACATGTACTTGTTATCTTTTCGTTTCCACACTAGGTTGTTATATAAGCATGTTTATATCATTTCAAGAATTGTCAGTTTATACATAATTTTCGGGTACAATATATAAGTTGATAGGTACTCTTGTAATCAAGGTTTACTCTGTAATTAAACTTTTAATCTAAAAATGGTTAATCATTCATCAACACATGCTAATTATGTTTATTATGGGTAGATGTGCCTGTAGATAGAGTGTTCTAGGAGAGCGTGGTCACACACGCTTACGCTTACAAACAAGAGATAATTTGTCCTTTTACACGTGTCAACAACACGGCTAAGATGCAATAAAACTAGAGGTTGAAAAAGCGAGTAGAAAATATTTACATAAACGCGGGACTACAAAATTGGTTTGTTCGTTGGTATTTAGACAACCTTATCCAGAGTAAGCTCGCCACGTCTACAAAACATTATTGTCTGTTAGTCACAGTCTAGTAACTCCAGATAATCTTCTCTGTCTCATTTCTCGTCGTCTTTTAAAAAACGTTTCCTTTTTTTTCACGGCTTCGTTTGTGCCGCCACGGCGAATTCTCAATCCAATTTTTTTCCTAGTTTGAAAACTTTCCTGTATTCTTAAAGGAAATTTTTCTCGAGAATTTTTTGTGAGTATCGCAGAATTAGGGAAGAAAACAGATTCCTTTCCATTTCCCAAATCTTCTCCTCGAGTCTTGGCATTTCAACCAATCGCAATTTATTGAAATTCCGGCGAGCCAGTAGTTTTATCTGATTCCGTTTCAAGGTACGGTGCTTTTCACAGATTGATCAGAGCTTAATAAGAAAGATGACATTGACGATTCCAAACGCACCTGGGAGCTCCGGGTACTTGGATATGTTCCCAGAGAGAAGGATGTCGTATTTTGGGAATTCTTACATTCTGGGTTTGACTGTCACTGCCGGAATCGGTGGCCTTCTTTTCGGTTATGATACAGGTCTCTCTCTCTTACTCCTCAATTTTGATGTTTTAGGCGTTAGATTTGAATTCGTTGCTAACCCATTTGTAGAAATTTTGTTAATTGAATCGAAAGTGGAGTCTTTTAATCTGCATTAGTTGTCTCATTGGATTTTACTAAATTCAGAAATTGGTTTGGGTTTAGATTTTAGTTAAAGCCTTTAAGAATTGTTTCCTTTTACAGGTGTAATTTCCGGTGCCCTTTTGTACATTAAGGATGATTTCGAAGTTGTTAAGCAGAGCAGTTTCTTACAGGTAAATAATGTTTCTTGCTTTACCTCTTGGAAGCTGGTAGCTTTCAGTGTTAGTGTTGATTTATTAAGAATGTGATCTTGTAGGAAACTATTGTAAGTATGGCTTTAGTTGGTGCAATGATTGGTGCTGCAGCTGGAGGTTGGATCAATGACTACTATGGTCGTAAAAAGGCGACTCTGTTTGCAGATGTTGTCTTTGCAGCTGGAGCAATCGTTATGGCTGCTGCTCCTGATCCGTATGTTTTGATATCGGGTCGTCTCTTGGTCGGTTTAGGAGTTGGTGTTGCTTCTGTGACTGCGCCGGTTTATATAGCTGAAGCATCCCCATCGGAAGTGAGAGGTGGACTTGTGAGCACCAATGTATTGATGATCACCGGTGGACAGTTTCTTTCATACCTCGTTAATTCTGCTTTCACACAGGTTAGTTGGTTAGTTAGACATATCTTTCCTCACCATAAAAAGTTTTGAATTTTGGTAAAGTTCTATTACATCTAAAGAGAGCAACAGCTACTATGTTTTGCGAGTGAATGACAATGCGCCATTCATGTTATTTTCATTGTAAGCATTTTAGGAATTCTCATAGCAGTCCATGAATTTAGGATTGTTTATGGTATGGTTTACATGTATGCGCTTTTCATCTGAATCTGATTGTAGGATCAAATTCAGTTGTGTTTACTTATGTTACCTATATTGTTTTTCATAAATTGAAACTAAACTAAACTTTGAGATGGTGAACACTGTTTGATTTCTGTTGCTTTTGACGTCTTAGCTCATATATGTCTCATGTTGATTTAGTTAACAAAATCATGCTACAGTTTCATTCTGGGTATTGTATCATTTAATTCATATTAGATGATCATGGTGTCCTTGATTTTGATTTATCTCAAGGCTCAAGTTCTACTTTGCTGCAGTACTTCATGTCCCAGCTAAGGCAGCTTATCTGTCCTGTCACCATGACGAGAAAATAAGTCTATCCTGAGTTCCGACAAAGGTCACTCTTTGGTGGTCTACTTTAATCCAATTTTGAATTTGAAACTAATTTTTCATAAATCCAATCAAACCAAGTGAATTTGATTTTATGAAAATGTAAAGTTGTTATTGATTTCATGTAAATGTAGCTTGCTACTTGAAAAATTTGGGACCAGTTTTTATATGTCTAAGAAACTATGGAGAGATAGCAAACTTTGGCATTTTATTGGTAGCTTTTGAATTCATGAGATTAGTTTTGGCAGGTTCCAGGAACGTGGAGATGGATGCTTGGTGTTTCAGGCGTTCCTGCTGTTATCCAATTCGTCCTAATGCTTTTCATGCCAGAATCCCCTCGATGGCTTTTCATGAAGAATCGTAAAGCGGAAGCCATCCAAGTGCTCGCCAGAACCTATGACATCTCGCGGTTGGACGACGAGATCGACCATCTTTCAGCGGCTGAAGAGGAAGAAAAACAAAGGAAACGCACTGTTGGCTACTTGGATGTTTTCAGATCCAAAGAATTGAGACTTGCATTTCTGGCCGGAGCAGGACTTCAGGTAAAGTAAATGTAGAATTTTGCAGTCTTAAATGAGAAATTTAAGAAATTTAAGTCTTCAGATTTTAAAAGACACTTTTGAAATTTCTACAGGCGTTTCAGCAGTTCACTGGTATCAATACCGTTATGTACTACAGCCCTACGATAGTCCAAATGGCTGGATTTCACTCAAACCAGCTTGCTCTATTCCTCTCTCTCATCGTTGCTGCCATGAACGCTGCTGGTACAGTTGTCGGGATTTACTTCATCGATCATTGTGGAAGGAAAAAGCTTGCTCTCTCAAGTTTATTTGGCGTCATTATATCACTCCTAATCCTCTCAGTCTCGTTTTTCAAACAATCTGATGCTTCATCTGATGGAGGGCTCTATGGTTGGCTCGCTGTGCTTGGCTTGGCTCTATACATTGCTTTCTTTGCACCGGGAATGGGACCGGTCCCATGGACGGTGAACTCAGAGATATACCCTCAACAGTACCGAGGCATATGCGGAGGCATGTCTGCTACAGTTAACTGGATCAGCAATTTGATTGTGGCACAAACATTCTTGACAATCGCAGAAGCTGCTGGAACAGGAATGACTTTCTTGATTTTGGCGGGAATAGCGGTTCTTGCGGTAATCTTTGTGATTGTGTTTGTCCCTGAGACTCAAGGGCTAACGTTTTCGGAAGTTGAACAGATTTGGAAAGAAAGAGCGTATGGAAATATAAGCGGCTGGGGCAGTAGCAGTGATAGCAACAACATGGAGGGGTTACTCGAGCAGGGATCTCAATCTTAAGATGGGTCATGAGTCATGACTATACATTATGAAATCACATAGTAGTAAACCGGGATTGGTTCCGGTTTAGCAATGTGATATGTATGTAATGTTGGAATTGTAATGTGTTAGGAACTGTGATTGTAAATAAACACATTACAAATTTACAATTAGGGTCCACTTTGGTACCCAATCTTTGTCAATGTCTTATGTTCTAGAGATTTCTTGTCTGCAAATCTCTATGATGCATGTGTGTATGATGCAAACGGTGCGGTTTTTGTCATTAAGGAAGAGAAGAGAAAAGTCGAAAAGAGCATTGAATAGATGAATGTTGATCCACAAACATAAGACTTGTCTTTAAGCCACAGAACTAAATTAGGAACTGTGTTCCATTGAATAGATGAACTGTCTTTTTGTCCAAAACATTAATTGAGGGAAAATTAAGGGAGATGATGAAAAAAGAAACATTAAATTGTAGTGGACACGGCAATCAAATTAGGGACATAAAAGGGCCACCAAAATGTATGATTGGATATTGAGTAACGTATCGATCCTCTGTGTTGTCTTATGTGTCACTATACAATGACAATGTAGGTTGGTGTTTTGGTGGTAACTCGATACTATTTGGTGTCAAACGGTGATTTTGATTACTTTACAGTCATCTTTCCTCGATTTTTCTTTTTTGTTTGTACTTATCTAAAATGCATGAAATGAGTCATCTTCTTTTAGATATGGTTATCTAGCTGAAATGAGTGCCATTATATTTCTTTCATAGTCAAATTTTCTATGACATATAGATATTTTTCTCGACTATGACCGAGTATATATATACCTTTCGAGTCACTATATATATATTTTACATAGCCGTTATATATTCTAAACTTTAGTTTGAGTTTTAATCTAAAATTTTCTGATTACCAAACAAAAAAAAACCATAAACCATAATTTCTTGCAGCATTTAAATTATCTTCGTATGTTATTTATTTAAAAGGTAACACTTTACACAAAATAAATAGACTATAATATCAACCCGTGAGTCAAAAAAAAAAAAGGAGAAAAAGAGTGATAAATAAAAGTTAAAAAATAAATAAATATGATGATAGAAAGAAGATGAAGAAGAATAAATATGTGGTAAATGAACAAATGAAAATGATGGAAATGGGACCAAAGTTGAACATGAAGGTCGTGAAGACCAGAGAGTGGGTGTGAAATGTGGTGCTGATTAGTTGAGCCGAATAAGCAAAAAGGAAATGGGGACACGTGAGTTGTTGGCTCTCTTCTTGTCTCTATTTCTAGTGAGCCCCTCTTAATCCCTTTAAGCCCTTTAATTTCTTATCGTAAAATATCCACGTGGCGTCTCCCCTGCCTTTTGTCTTCTTCTCTTGTTCACATGTGATTCTCTTCCGTTTCCACAACAATAATCCCTTACCCTTCCCACATGCTTTGTTAATTGTTTCCATCACCACAATTATTGACTTAAACTACTTTTGTAGTTATAATAATATTCACTTGCTTCTGAGTTTAGTTCACGAAACAAAACTTATCTGATGGCTGTTGATCAAACAAAATAAACTTTTTTGATGGTTATGACAAGGGGAAAAATAACTTTATTTGGTTTGTATCTCGTGATCCTTCTCTTTTATGAGTAGTTACATGCACTAGAGCTTAGTGGACGGAATTTGCGATAAATTCAACTATAATTACTTTATGTGTGTGCGTTCATGAAATTACTTTTCTTTTTTGAAAAATTACAATTTCAATGAAAGACCATTTTTTACCAATTTAAATCAACTTATGGTTGATTACTCAAATGATCAATGATCGCAATAATATGGGAAACTAAACTTTTTTTTTTTTTGAGCAAATAATATGGGAAACTAAACTAGTGTCCTCTTATCCTGCTTTTATATTTGACTATATAAGCCACATCAATAGAAGATGTGGTTTGGCATTGATACGTACCATGTCATGTGACCATCATCAGACCATGACATGAATGTCATATATATTAGCATGACACGTTCATGTGCATAGATATTAACATGACACGTTTGTCTCCATTTGACGCCGGCGCACCATATATCAAAGTCATGTTAATTTTGTCAATGAGGCCAATTAGCTCATCAAAAGCTGGACCACGATCATTTTCTTTCATAATTTATTTTTCCTCCACTAGAAATTTCGAGAAGCAATCTTCTTTTGGCTTCTACAATATTTCTTCTATTTATGATTTTTTTTTCCCTCTTTATGATTTCTTATGTTGTGTATTTCAGCTGTTTACAGCAAGAATCTTTCGAACAAAAGCTCTAAATGAGGATTAGTTACCTATTTAAATAATTAGCAAAAAGATGGAGTTTATGACTTGATAAACCAATCATTACATAGCGATAGACGTTGTTATGGATTTGATATTCATATAATTAGAACGACATTATTTTCTTTTGCTTAGTAAACACATAAACTAATCCATTATATAATGATAAAACTCGTAATAAGTCACGATATGTCAATTTCTAACAATAAGTTAATTGAACTAATACATATATGTTCTAGAGTGAAATTAGAAAAATTAATTTGCTGAAATAAGTAAAATTTCGCTACACCGTAGTCATAACTGATTTGCGATCAATACATTACAACAACAAAATTTATGTAATGTATTACTTATATACATAAATCAGCAACGGATGCAAATGAGTTCGTCTCGCTTGGTAACCGACCATAATAGTCATTCCACGGATTTGCTTCATCTCACTAACATTTGCGATCAAGGCATCAATGATCAAAGCTATAGAAAGTTAAAGAATCACACTTTTTATTTGCTTGCTAATTTCTACAAAAATAATTAACAAAATCTTGTTGCGGAATCAAAAAGTTACTTGTCGTAATAAAAAATTGTTTTTAAGTCGTAGGGAAATGTTAAACTGACGTGGTGCATCTCGAGGCCAACGACTTATTGGCAGGCCAAAGGTGAATTGTTTATAATTAGATTTGTAGAAAATCATTAGTTTATCTAATACTAGTTCGTCTTTCACCTACATAATAGTTCTTTATTAAATTAAATTACATTTTAATCATGTTTTATTCGCTGTTGAGTACAATAATCTTTTCAGTAAAATAATTGCAGCAACCTAACGAGTTGGAGCAACGACTTCTTGTTGCGGCCGCGAGAAGTTAGATGTGAAAATATGTCCATACATAACTACTATATATGACTTAACATATGCAATAATAACATAATTATTTTAACAAAAAACATATTTAATATAATATCCATACAATATTATTTTGAGAATTTATATATATTTTTAGACTACATTTTCTTTTGTTTTATGGATACATTTTTTATTATGGGATGTAAGCCAGAAGACCGTTAATTTTTTTTTTTGATAAAGTCCCGTTTAAAATTTTAAATAGATGAATTGGTAGTCTTTTTAAAAAATCATATTAAGTTCAAATGACGTTTGATGGTACGTAATTTCGCAAATCCCGTTTTATGCCGAGAAAAATAACTAGCGATGAGTTGTATCAATTTATTTGTCAACAGAGTTTGATTGTTTTTTCTCGACGCAATACAATAAGCTACTCACTTACTCTCCAATTGTCCACACGTAAGCAAACTCTAGCTTCTAAACTACATTTTGATGAAGAAGTAACCATGATACGAACACACACAAATGTCCAATCCGTTATGTGATTGCTATCGAAGTTTTCTTTTAAAACATTACAGAAAACTTTTCAAGTTTCATTTATTATGAGTTTTAGATATTCCAATGCCATTGAATCATAAAAATATGTAGATTACTATTTACTACTACAAATCTAAAAATACTAATTTTGTATGTTACGGCTAAAAAAGCGGTGGGAATAATATAATTCGCCAAAAGGTGCTCTCTGACTCTGACTACGATTCGTTGATCTGGATTCTAGCCGCACATGGTGGGCCATATTCTCCGGCCCAATGACATGATCATCATATATCATTATAACATATACATAACATACACATAAATTGATTAGTGACCACATGATTAGAAAGAGACAAAAAATAATTGCCGCCCGATAATAATAACTTCTTTATAAAGCAACTCTTCTTCTTCTTTCTCTCTTCACTTTCTCTCTTTTTCACCCTTTTTTTAATTACCACTTTCTTCTCCATACAAAAACAGAGTACTCACAATGTGCGATTCAGATTTTCTCTCTCGTTGCTCTTCATACGAAGCAGACGTTGATTCCGACAGCGAAATCTCTACTTCCAGTTTCAGTTCTTGTTCGTACAGTGAATCGGAGGAAGAAGAGATCGACAATGGCTTTGGTGTTGTTGAGTCGAAGAAGCAAACGAAGAAACTGGAGAAGAAGAAGAGTAATGTGTTGTTAGAAGGTTACGTTGTAGATGATTTGAAGAGAACCAAGAGTTTAACGGACGATGATCTCGAGGAGCTTAAAGGATGTGTAGATCTAGGATTTGGTTTCAACTACGAGGAGATTCCTGAGCTTTGTAATACTTTACCTGCTCTTGAGCTTTGTTACTCTATGAGTCAGAAGTTTATTGATCAAGATCATCATCACCATTCTTCTTCTTCTTCGCCAGAGAAGAAATCGTCGGTTCTTGATTCTCCTGTTAGTCCTATTGCTAGCTGGAAGATCTCTAGTCCTGGTAAGTCTCAATTTTTTTAACATTTTAATTACATTTTCAAGTTTTAGTTTATCTGATTATGTATTGTGAAAACAGGTGATAATCCTGATGAGGTTAAAGCAAGGTTGAAATTTTGGGCACAAGCTGTGGCATGTACTGTGAGATTGTGCACTTGAAGAAGAGATTTGGATTTGATCAATCGAAAGTTGAGGGAATCAATGGAGGAGGAAGAAGACGATGCACAAGACAATTTGCAGGAGTGAAATCTCTTATGAGACTGACCTGCTTGAAAACACCCATTGTTGTAGAGCTTTGCTCAAGCTGTATATATAAAAAAATGCTTAATGACCAACTAAGATTTTGCTAGGACATTGTTGTAATGGATGATTAATAAGAGGGAAATGAATAAAACATTGTTCTTTATTGATATGTCATAAGCATTTTGTTGGGGTCTTGTTACAGAAAATGAGGTTCACAGATTCAGACAAGCATCTTCTTTTCCAAGGATGGTTTTAAATAAACATACATGTAAAGAATAAGTATAGAAAGTGGTTTTCATTCTCAGTCTCAGACATGTTTGATGCGATGCGTTTGCTCTCCTGTCCTGCACCAAATCGGTCCACATTATATCCCTTATTGATTCCATAAGCATTTCCAGAGAACAATCTCAAAGGATCTAATAAATTTATTGGCCATAAAAGTGTAATACCAATTTCACAAGATTCTGTTGCTTCTATGTTTCAGCCATGAGCTTGGAGGAGTTATTACAACCTAACTACCCCTAAGAGTTTGGCAATAGTTGCATTCCAAGTTCTAACTACAGATGTATATGTTCACATGCCACATATCACTTTATCTAATCTCTATAACTTTCAACCTATTAATTAGTTTCTTGTCTTAATCCAGAGAGGGAAGGTGAGATCATTGGGGGGTTCGCACATAAACTCACCTTTAACTTTTATGTTCAAGCAGATGCCAATAGCCTGACAATGTCCTTCTGCAAAAAGAAGAGCGAGAAAACTACAGAGTAAGCTCAATGATTAGAGAAATGAATATCAATGTATGAGGGGAAACTTCTACTAACCTCTATTTCAAGAGGTGATGTTGTTGGAGCATATCGGTCCACAACATTTCCTTGTCTGTCTACCAGAAACTTGGCGAAATTCCACTTAATAGCATCCCCAAACAATCCTCCTTTTTGTTCTTTTAAGAAATTGTAAAGGGGACAAGTGTTCTTTCCATTTACTTCAATCTTGCATTGGAAAAAAGATATGTAAACAACTAGGAAAAATTGGCACTGTGTGATGGAAAATTGAGACCAGTTTAAAAGTTACTTTGAGACCTTGTCAAAGATTGGGAATTCTGCTTTGAAAATATTGCAAACGGTTTCCTTGATCTCCATGTTGCTACCTGGCTCTTGACTACCAAATTGGTTGCAAGGAAATGCTAAGATCTCAAACCCTACGTGAAAAGATCCCTTCATTTAATACTTATAAATGTTCCATACTTCAATTAGTTATTAACTGAGAAAGGCTCAGCGAAATAAAGAGACGCACCCTGAGTTTTGTACTTGGCATACAAAATGTTCATTTCTTTGTAGTTTCCATGTGTTAGACCACTGCCCATTCACCACAACAAGATTTTATATATAACGCCAATGTAATGTGACATTATATGCAACACTTGTGTAAGCCATTGAATCATAATTACGTGAGATGGTAGATCATTGATGAGTTACGCTATTCCTAAATAAAGTATAGTTGATGCAAAAGAATCCGTCCACATGAAACGGTTCGAGTAAGACAATACTGTTTGTGAGGATTTAGGAGTTAGTGTGAAGACATAAGTAAGAACAATTAAGTACTTAGTAACATACCACTTAGAGGCTACATTGACTATAAGAAGCACTTTTCCGGTGAACTTGCTCAAACTCACATCTTTCCCTTCAATGTCCTGCATTTTCAATTCGAAATTTTGATACGGAGTTATGAATTATGATAAAGAAACTTGTAGAACTCGTTACTACACACAAAGCAAAGCAATTTCCTCATCTATTACTAAACATTTGCATTAGTAATTGGTCCTCTAAAAGAAGCACTCGTCTAGATTCAGTATCTTAAGCTAAATTCGCAGTAAAACATGAAGTTTTCATAAATAAACATCAGCGATTAGAATGATTCTTCAGAATCAGAACCAAACATCGACGCGGATCAACATAAAGGGTGAACAATTGGCTTCTAAAGTTCCTAGATTAAGCTGATTATACCTTAACGGAAATGTTGTAGATGGAACTGGATGAATGTTCCACTGTGGATGGAGAAGAAGGGTATCTGTAGAGGTAGAAGACGAATGCTACAAGCAAGAAAAGAATCAATTTTTTAATCTTAGAGGGAGTTCGATGACTGACCCATCTGCTTGATCTAGGCATCGAGGAAAGGAAAAAAAAACTCTGTTAGTCTTCTCTTTGATTAACAAGACGATCTCAGAACAGAACTAAACAGGTCAGAACCAGCTTGTTGACTTGGGAAATATTTGAAGTTTTAACGGGCTTTACATGGGCCACGATTTAGTTGATAAGTTACGCCCATTATAAGCCCATCTGAGCCACTATTGCTAACTTTTCTATAGAGTAATACTAATAGTTTGAGAGATTTATTGCATTTTTGATTTTTCTCTACAATTTTCATCACATTCAAGAATAATAAGTTTACTTTCTGGTGAAATCTAGACGTCTATGAATAACGATTAACGAACAATGTTATCACAAAATCGTCAAATCATACTACATAGTAAAAGGGACTGCTTTATAGTGTCCCGACTCCAAAAAAAAGAAGTGGATAGTGATATTAGTGAGAAGCAGAAGCAACTTTCTCGCAGTTTTCTGATTCTGAATCATCTTCAGAGAAACTTGGCGGTTTAGGAATGAGGCCTAATGTCTTGAACATGAGCTGGTCGGCATCAAAATCATTGTTTGGTGTGGTTAAAAGCTTCTCTCCGGTGAAGATAGAGTTTGCACCAGCAAGGAAACACAGGGCTTGCTCGGGCATTGAGAACCGAACTCTACCAGCAGACAATCTCACCATTGCTTTTGGCATTACAATACGTGCGGTTCCAATCATCCTGATCATCTCCCATATCTCAACCGGCTGCAAAAACACAAAAGGTTTCAAAGCCATTTACCACTAAGTAGCTGTGATTTGTATTATGTGTTTTTAGATTGTCGAGATATACCTTCTGGTCTTCGAGAGGAGTGCCTTTCACTGCAAGTAGAGCATTAATGGGAACACTCTCAGGGTGAGAAGGAAGTGTTGCTAGTGTGTGTAATAAACCTACTCTGTCTTCCTCTGCCTCTCCAAGCCCTATGATTCCTCCTGTTTATCGGTAAAAAGAAAACACTTGAGAACATGTTTGTTGTTCTTATCTATGGATTTATCAAATCAACAAATATTAGGGAACTGTGAGTCTAATGACCAAGCTGGAGAAAGGTTTCAACCTTCTAGTTCTATAGAATTGAGGCATACAAAAATAAGAAAATCCAGATTTTATATGTTTTCATATTGAAGTTACCTGAACAAACGTTGATTCCAGCTTCACGAACATGCTCAAGAGTTTCAAGGCGGTCGTCATAACTTCTAGTAGTGATGACGTTTGGGTAGTACTCTCTTGAAGTATCAAGATTGTGGTTATAGGCAGTGAGGCCAGCTTTCTTTAGCTCTAGTGCTTGTTGTTTCTCAATCATGCCCAAGGTGCAGCAAACTTCCATCCCCATGCCTCTGTTGTAAAGTGAGAGCCCAGAAAGTAAGTATACACATGTTTCAGCCAGAGACAATAATCAACATCATGTTCATTCTGCTCACGGATACAACAAGTACACTTTGAAAATTTCACTTCAAAGAAATCTTCCATAAAAAGGGTAAAATTTACATAACTCAAGTTTGACATGCAAAAAAAGTCATTCTAGAACCATTAAAGAATCCAAAACACTTTGTAATGGTCGTTTCCGGTGGGTTATCTTTTAAGTTAGCTTAGATTCAGAAGCAGCTGAAAAGGGGATCATATAATGTAGTATAAACAAGGAACAAATGAGGTTCAACTTAAAAAGCATTATAAAAAAACTCATCATAAATTGCCAACAATAATAAGAGTACCTAATTTCTTTGATGTATTCAAGAATCTGGTTGAAGTTGGTTTTCCGTCCAATGGTATCTCGCCATGCAGCACCCATGCAAAAACGTGTGCTCCCAGCTTCTTTTGCCTAACAACACATCAAATTTGTTAATTCAAATCAGAAAAGCTCATTACATCCTCAAAATGCTTCATTAAACAATCACAGGATCCTACATTGTCAGCTACACAATGCATTTAGACTCTTTTGGATAGAGTTCAGATTGATAAAAGCAATGGTTGGTACTTTGTAGTTCATGTACCCTCTAATTGATGCATTGTGCTAAGGAATATACATTCAGCAAAAATTCACAAGAAAAGTGATAACCTTCTTTGCAGCATCTATGACAGCGTCCTTGGACATGAGTCTTTGTGCCTTAACTCCAGTGCTATATCTCGAGGATTGAGGGCAATATGAACAGTCTTCACTGCAGCCACCAGTCTTTATAGAGAGGAGAGTACATTGTTGTACCTCCCTGAAGTTATGAACATGTCTATGAACCTGAGCCTGAAACCCAAACAGCCCACACTAACAATTAAAAACCATATACTAATAGCAATCAAGCGACATTAAAAAAAAACACATCTTGGAATACACTAACAATTTCAGACCAGATTCATGATATAGGCCACATTTTTCAAAGAGATTCAAGTTCAGCAAAAATTTGCAAATTGAAGCCTGGTTAAAGTAAAAGTAAAAATCGACACTTTCCACCGATAATTTAATAGAAACGCAAAGCTATCTACTCCAAATTTGTGAACTAGAGGAGCTAGAACAAGTAAAGGAAGGAGTGAGTGACTGAGAGAGAGAGAGGAGGAAATTACTCCATGGAAGAGGAGGTCAAGAACAGGAGAATCATAAACAGACTTAATTTCATCTTTACTCCAATCATTTCTGGGACCTTCTCTAATGGTCCTTTCAGCTTCAGCTGAAGCAGCAGATGAAGAATAGCAAGAAACAGATTGCAGACCACCAGAGACAGATGGTCTCATCCGAGATCGAAACACCGACCGAACAAGCATCATTTGATCTGCAAAATCAGATGAATTTTAAAACCGGAAGACGAAGATGAAGAAGAATGAGATTTGGTGTTTGGTTTGTGCTTCAGCTTTCACTTCAGTGATTCACCTAACCAAAGCAGCCACCGTTGGAGTTTCCGCCTTGTGTGGTCCCTACGAAAATATAATAAAATCCGACACTTAAATGGGCTGTAATAGGCCCAATATATGTTGGGCTTAAAATAGTAATCAATCAAACGACGACGTTTCTCTTTATTTCCTTGAATCCTTGTTGATTAGCCGGAGCCGCCGTGAGAGAGAGAAGGACGAAGAAGAAATGAGCGGCGGAGGAAACAACGTCGTGAACAAAGTGTTCTACGCGACGTCGTATCATCCGATTCAAGCCGGAAGTATCGACGGAACTGACGTTGCTCCACATGATAACGGCGTCCGTCGAGCTCTTCTCTGCTATAACGCCGGCTTATGTAAACTCTCTCTTTCTCTCTGTTCCTCTTTTCACTTTAATCGTTTGGTTTCTGAATTCAACATTCATTGATTTGGGTTGTTTTGGAAGACGATCCTTCTGGTGATTCGAAAGCTATCGGAGATCCTTACTGTACTCTCTTCGTGGGTCGTCTCTCTCATCATACCACGGAGGATACTCTTCGAGAGGTTAATGATTAGAATTTCACTTAGTTTTTTTCGGGTAAACTATGTTTTGAGTATGATTATGGATGTTTCTTCTTCGCAGGTGATGACTAAGTATGGCAGGATTAAAAACTTGCGCTTGGTTAGACACATTGGTAAGATTTTGCAATTGCTCTAACTTCTTATGACATTACCACTTTGCTATATCTTTAGGAAATTTATCATCTTTCTATTTCTGATGGTTTGTTGCTTCTTCGACCAAGCTATTTTCTGTGATTACAGATTTCCTCTAAGCTACATTGTGTAGATTTTTTTCTGATTATTGAGTCTTTTCTTCTTGTTACCTTTTTTTAGTGACGGGAGCTTCACGAGGGTATGCTTTTGTGGAGTATGAGACTGAAAAGGAGATGCTTCGTGCTTATGAGGTGCTGTGATACTCAATCGCATTTTTGTTACCTCTTGTTTTTGTTGTTGAAAGCTGTCTCAACTACTTATTAAGGCACCGCAATGCATACTGTATGAGAATGAAACTTACAGTTTTTGTTTCACTAACATCTCCATGTACATACTGGTTCTGGAAACTGGTGGAGTTTTTTTTGTCAGAGTGAGAATGTTTGTGGTGTTTTTATAGGATGCTCATCATTCTTTAATCGATGGTCGGGAGGTTATTGTTGATTACAATCGACAGCAATTGATGCCTGGATGGATACCAAGAAGACTAGGTCTGTCATTTTGTAGCTTTTCTTTGGTCCGTAATGAAATTTCCATAAAGAGTTATATCTTCATCCCTTATAGATTAAATCTTCTTCTCTTTAAACAGGAGGTGGGCTTGGTGGTAGGAAAGAATCCGGACAACTTCGCTTTGGAGGACGAGAAAGACCATTCCGTGCTCCCTTGTATGGTTTTGCTTTATCCTTCCTTTAGCATGTCCAAAGAAAACACCAGCAGAACATAGTGAACATGAACCTTCTGATTTTCATATTCCTTAAAAAGATATTTAACTGGGCATCTTTCTGTTTGTTAATATCAGGCGACCAATCCCTCATGAAGATTTGAAAAAGCTCGGTATTCAGCTTCCGCCTGAGGGAAGATATATGTCGCGCACACAGGTCTACCATGTCCTTAACTTCACCACCACTCTATTGTCATTTGAACTTTATCCCTGTTCTGTCTCTGGTACTATTTTATTGGGTCATTTGTTCATGTTCTTCTGCTAGAAATAGCATATTAATGGGTTGTTCAATGTGTCTAGTTGAAAGCTGATGGGTTCAAAACTAAAATCTTAGTACCATAACTTACTTGTTGGATGCAGATCCCATCACCTCCTAGGAGAAAAGGAAATGTGTCGGATAGAGAGGAAGGATATTATCGGGAAAAGAGTTCTGTAGAAAGGGATGAAGAGTTTAAAGAGCGAAGCAGCCTTAGGTCTTATCACAGTCACAGGACGAGCTCACACACACACAGCTCCCATAGAAGACGCAGCAAAGACAGAGACGAGCGTTCCAGGACAGAGTCTCGTTCTGATAGAAAAGAGAGATCACGAGGTATGGAAGATCGATATGGTGACAACAAGGGTGAAGTTTCTGGCAGCAAAAGATCAAAACGTCTTGAAGAAGACCGTTGTCACAAACGTCATAAACACATGCATTCCCATCATCATAGGAGGTCCTCTAGTCAAGATCAACATTCTTCTGACTGAATCTTATATGAGGTCCTCTTGTCAAGATCATCATCATTCTTCTTGGGGACACTATGAAGTTTTAAGTATCATCATGATGTGTTCTTCATTACTTAGTACGTCATGAGATACATGACATGCAATATACATTGATGTAAATAAAGAAAAGGAAAGTTGATAGTGTTGGAAAACGAAAAGCGTTATATTGTTAAAGTACTTGGAAGGGAAAAAAAAAAGAAAAGGGAAAGGGCAAAAATATTGCAAAATAGGAAGTTTTCGGGAAAGAAAAAGGAAAGTCAGATAAAAGATGGGACCTTAATTATACAATTCCGTAAGTAACAAGAGTTTTAGTTTTGCGTATATGTATGAATGTAAAAGACTGGATTTGTCTCAAGGGAAATCATAGTCACACACAAAAGATGAAGGAGACGGAAAAAAACCTTAAATTCAATCAATCTTCCTACAAAGCTAGTGAAAGAGATACTTTCGAGGCTTCCCGTGAAATCTCTAGTCAAATTCAAAGCTGTATCAAAAAAATGGAGATCGATAGCGCAATCAAAGAGTTTCATTGAGATGCATCTCATGAGACTTTTTTCTTCAAAGAATCGAGATTGATACTGGGATAATCTCTAGTTCAAGCTTCTTCTTTTTTTTTTTTTTCTAAACATTATTATTATCCTAGACGATGTTGTTGGGTAAACATTCAAGTTTCTTAAGGCCCAAGATATTTCTTTAAGGAGGTTAGAAATAAGATAGGTCTAGAAACTTCTTTAGGATTAAGGAGTTATCTTATCCTAAAGTTAACTAGAGTTAACAAGATATGTAACTAGGTTTAATGAGTTGTGTTATCCCTATAAATACACCTCTAGGGTTGAGATGTAACCCTAAGAGTTTTGAGAGAACATTGAGAGCTTGTGTTTAGTTTTTGAGAGAGTTTTACTAAACATCAATAAAGAAGAGTGATTTCTTTAAAGGTCTTTGTTCTAGAAAACTATATTTGGTATCAGAGCAGAGGATTACTCGATCCTTATAGAAGCGTGAAAATCATTAGATATAGTCGAGACATGGCTGACGATGATGATACTCTCGCCGTGGCCAACACCACACATAAAGATCATATACCCGCATCGATTAAATGCCCGATGTTAACCCCTACAAACTATACCGTTTGGGCTATGAGGATGAGGATGATGTTACGGGTTCATAAGGTTTGGGACACGATTGAACCTGGATCTACTGATGTTAATAAGAATGATATCGCAACAGTATTGATTTTTCAATCTATCTCCGAAGCCCTAACCCTTCAAGTTGGAGATCAAGCAACACCAAAAGCTATTTGGGACTTGATCAAATCTCGTAACCTAGGAGCAGAACGTGTCAAGGAAGCAAGACTAAGTACTGTGATGTCAGATTTCGAGAGAATAAAGATGATGGAGTCTGATACCGTTGATGACTTTGCAAACAAGCTATCAGAGCTTGCATCAAAAGCTTCATCCCTTGGACAACCAATAGATGAACAGAAATTGGTGAAGAAGTTCATGAATAGTTTACCAAGAAGCAAGTATATACAGATTGTCGCCTCCTTAGAACAAGTCCTTGAGTTGAAAAGAACGGGTTTTGAAGAAATAGTAGGAAGAATCAAAGTATATGAAGAAAGAATAGATGAGAAACCAAGTGATTCACAAGAAAAGCTATTGTATACTCATTCAAATACACGAGGCAGAGGCCGAGGCCGTGGAGGAAGAGGAAACAGAGGACGAGGCAGAGGCAGAGGAAATCAAGATCAAAATTTCCCTAGTAACCAAACCGATCAGGATCATAATAAGGATAAAAAGGATAAATCAAAATTGATTTGCTATCGGTGTGATAAACCGGGTCATTATGCCTCCGTATGTCCAGAAAGAAAGCAAAACAATCAAGAAGCTAATAAAGTTGAAACAGTTGAAGCTGATGGAGCACTTTATATGCATGAAATTGTTTTTCTTAATGAAGAAAATCTAATACCAAAGAAGTATGAGAAAGAAAAAGATACTGAAGGAACTTGGTATCTAGATAATGGTGCAAGCAATCATATGACTGGTATAAGATCTTTCTTCTCAGAATTAAATGAAAACATTAGAGGTAAGGTAAAGTTTGGTGATGGATCATGTGTAGACATAGGAGGTAAAGGGTCAATCCTGTTTGAGGTGAAAACTGGAGAACAAACACTCTTGCCCGATGTATACTTTATCCCAGACCTAAGGAGCAATATTCTCAGTTTAGGACAAGCAACAGAGAATGGGTGTGATATTAGAATGAGACAGAACTATCTCACACTTCATGATCCGTTTGGTAGACTGTTGATAAAAGTTTTAAGGTCTCCAAACAGACTTTACAAGATAAACCTCAAGATTGGTAAGCCGACTTGCTTACATACTACAATTGATAATGATAATTGGAGATGGCATGCAAGACTTGGCCATATCAGTTTCAAGACAATTAAAGCTATGTCAAGCAAAGAGATGGTTCAGGGCCTGCCTAAAATAGAAAAAGAAAACCAACTTTGTGAGTCATGCTTAGTAGGTAAACAAACACGTCAAGTATTCCCGAATGCATCATCTTATAGAGCATCACAAGCACTAGAGCTTATTCACGCCGATTTATGTGGACCAATCTCTCCTGCTACTTTGGCTCAAAATAGGTATGTATTTGTAATCATTGATGACTTTACAAGGTACATGTGGACTATACTACTCAGGGAAAAGAGTGAATCATTTGAAAAGTTCAAGTCTTTTAAAAGTCTCGTGGAGAAGGAATGCAACAAGCAAATCACAACATTGCGAACTGATAGAGGTGGAGAGTTCACGTCTAGAGAGTTTCAAGAGTTTTGTGAAAGAAATGGTATTAAGAGGCAATTAACAGCTCCTTATACCCCGCAGCAAAACGGAGTTGTGGAGAGAAGAAACCGTACACTAATGGAAATGACAAGGAGTATTCTCAAAGCAATGAGAGTACCAAACTACTTATGGGGAGAAGCAGTTCGTCACTCAACATATGTGATCAATCGAGTTCCTACAAGAGCATTGAAAGATCAGACTCCATATGAATGTTTGAGAAACAAGAAACCCCGTATAGACCACCTCAGAGTTTTTGGTTGCTTAGCATATGCAAAAACAGAGCCGGTAAATTTGAGAAAACTTGATGATAGGTCTCAAACATTAGTGCATCTCGGGATTGAGCCAGGGTCAAAAGCGTACAGACTCTACAATCCTACTACAAGACGAGTAGTTGTAAGTCGAGATGTCATGTTCAATGAACAGAATGGTTGGACTTGGAAGGGAGTTAATGAAGTTTCAGAAAAGGCACCAGGAATGTTTAGCATGCATTGGGGTGATATAATTGATGAAGGACAGGGTCCATATGCAAGTAAGAGTAAAAATTCTGAACAAGTCTCAGAAGAAAACACAGAACAGGTTTCAGAAAGTGAAAATATTGATGATCACAGTGATGAACTTGATGATGATACTGATCACATAGATGAATCAAATGCTGACTCAAGCACTAGTGTTCAACCAACACTCCGGAGATCAGGAAGAGAAGTTAAACGTCCTAAATATCTTGAAGACTATGCTCTGTTGATGGATATAGAATGTGAGAGATTACTATTATCCATAAATGATGAGCCAATTAACTTTCAAGAGGCAAAAGAGTTAGTTGAATGGGTAAGAGCTTGTGAAGAAGAGATCAACTCAATCAACAAAAACAAGACATGGACTTTAATGGAGAAACCAATGGGAGTTAAGGTCATTGGTCTGAAATGGGTTTTTAAGATAAAAAGAAATGCTGATGGAACAATAAACAAGTTTAAAGCTAGATTGGTTGCAAAAGGTTATGCACAAGAATCAGGGATTGATTTTGATGAAGTATTTGCCCCAGTTGCTAGACTTGAAACCATAAGACTACTAGTAGGAATTGCAGCCTCTAACAGTTGGGAGATTCATCATCTTGATGTCAAAACCGCGTTCTTACACGGAGAACTCAAAGACGATGTTTATGTGTCTCAGCCAGAAGGATTTGAAAAGAAGGGAGAAGAACATAAAGTTTTCAAACTCTCCAAAGCGTTATACGGACTACGTCAAGCCCCACGTGCATGGAACACAAAACTTAATCAGATTCTTAAAGGTTTAAAGTTCTTGAAGTGTTCAAAGGAAAGTGCCGTGTATCGAAAGTCAGAAGGTACAAAGCTGCTCCTTGTTGCAGTATATGTTGACGATCTATTTGTAACAGGGAATTCACTAGGATTGATACAAGAGTTCAAACAAGGAATGTCTTCTAAGTTTGAGATGACAGACCTAGGTAAACTCACCTATTACCTTGGCATTGAGGTAAGACAGAGTAAAGATGGTATTGAACTGAAGCAGGAAGCATATGCACGAAGAATCTTAAAAGAAGCTGGCTTAGATAATTGTAATCCATCTCACATTCCAATGGAGTTTGGTCTGAAGTTGTCTAAAGCTCAAGAAGAAAAAACAGAAGCTGATGCTACTATGTATCGTCGAAGGATAGGCTGCTTGAGGTATCTCTTGCATACAAGGCCAGACCTTGCTTTCTCAGTCGGAGTTGTAAGCAGGTATATGCAGGATCCAAAAGAATCTCATGGCAATGCATTGAAACAGATCCTGAGATACTTACAAGGTACCTTAGCGCATGGTTTGATTTTTAAGAAAGGTGGGACTAAGAAGATTATAGGATACAGTGACAGTAGCCATAATGTGGATCCCGATGATGGGAGAAGCACAACTGGTCATGTTTTCTATTATGGAGAGTCGCCTATTACGTGGTGTTCACAGAAGCAACCAACAGTTGCTTTATCATCTTGTGAAGCAGAATTTATGGCCGCAACAGAGGCTGCCAAGCAAGCATTGTGGTTACAAGAACTGCTCAGCGAGATAACAGGACAAAGCTTTGTAAAGACGTTTCTTTACATTGACAACAAGTCAGCAATAGAGCTCACTAAGAACCCCGTGTTCCATGGGAGGAGTAAACACATTCTCAAGCGATATCACTTTATCCGTGAATGTGTAGAGAACGAGCAAATTAAAGTAGACTTTGTTCCCGGAGAAGAGCAACGAGCTGACATCCTAACAAAGGCCCTAGCAAGAACCAAGTTCAAAGAAATGAGAAGTGTGATCGGTGTTGAAGACCTCTCAAAGAGTGACTTGAAGTTTAAGGGGGTAAATGTTGGGTAAACATTCAAGTTTCTTAAGGCCCAAGATATTTCTTTAAGGAGGTTAGAAATAAGATAGGTCTAGAAACTTCTTTAGGATTAAGGAGTTATCTTATCCTAAAGTTAACTAGAGTTAACAAGATATGTAACTAGGGTTAATGAGTTGTGTTATCCCTATAAATACACCTCTAGGGTTGAGATGTAACCCTAAGAGTTTTGAGAGAACATTGAGAGCTTGTGTTTAGTTTTTGAGAGAGTTTTACTAAACATCAATAAAGAAGAGTGATTTCTTTAAAGGTCTTTGTTCTAGAAAACTATAGATGTTCTGTTTATTAGGGGATATCGTTTCCTTTATTTATAACATTATATGCACTTTTGTTATTATGGTGATCGCTGGAACTGCAGTCTCTACTTCGAGTAAAGCTCGGAAAAACGTCTTGAGAATTATTTGTTGACCATATAATCTTAGGTTTCAGGCACATAACAGTTTATTGTCAAGTCCCTGGTATATTTCTTAGGTTACAAGCAAATCTAAAAACTCACCATTCTAAAGTCTTACTACTAAGTACCAACAGCCAACCGCCAAACTCTTACATCACGATTTGGAAACATAAAGGATATCAGTAATAGTAACAAATAAATATCCTGGAGTCTCTTCCCCCAACATCATCAATAAACTGTGGTCAATTAGACTCCACAACCACAATCCCAACTTCTGTTGTATAGTACTCCATTTAGCACAACAAGTGTTGGGCTACAGATTTATGACCAGTCCTTGTGCAAACCAGGTTCCCATCCTGAGAAAACAACCACCCTAGTACAAATGTTATGACGAAAATCTTATCAGGACAAGCCTTACAAGTTTATATAGAAAATGATCATCTGTACTATTGGAACCTATCAACAGTGTAATTTATGGAAACCTGTTGGTGATGCTTGCAGGGAATGGGAGATTTCTTGAACCAAATGGCAACTACAATGAATCAATAATCTAAGCCTTAGTGTAAGCAGCTTGCATTAGTTTTCCATCAATTTATTACACAACCATTGGTTGTGCCGAATGATAATTGATATGTTGGTTTGCAGGACAATAACACATGGGATAGTTTTGAACTAGTACAAGATCTGTTTAATGAAATGTTTCGAGGAAACTCTAGCTGCAGCATTCTCATCATCGTCCTGCTCGCTTATGATTTTCTTGGACAGCTAGGTTTTGAGTTCATGCTGCCTTTTTCTCCCAACAGAAAATGACTCACTCTTTTGAACTGAGCAGAATCTGTTCTTGATTAAGCCTTCTGTAGTTAAATGTCAAACTTTAGACTCCTTTTTCTTGTTTGTGAATGCTTGTACATATACTCCATCCACTAGCAACTCTTTGTTGCATATATCACACTAGGGAGGCTCTTATCTACTTGGAATTAATAACAAAGTCAGTGATTGTGTTTGCCAAATGTTGTACAAGGATTTATATTCAGCCAACTTGGTTACATGATTAGTATGTGCTAGTGAGTGATGATAAGCGGAGTAGTAGGTATTCGATAATCATTTTCTACTTCTTGACCTCCTCTTCCATGGAGTAATTTCCTCTTCTCTCTCTCAGTCACTCACTCATTCCTTTTCTTGTTCACAAATTTGAAGAAGAAAGCTTTGTGTATATGAATATGAATATGAATATGATGTTGATTATGGTCTCTGGCTGAAACATATGTGTATACTCAGTTACTCACTTTCTGGGCTCTCACTTTACAACAGAGGCATGGGGATGGAAGTTTGCTGCACCTTGGACATGATTGAGAAACAACAAGCATTAGAGCTAAAGAAGGCTGGACTCACTGCTTATAACCACAATCTTGATACTTCAAGAGAGTACTACCCAAACGTCAGATCACTACTAGAAGTTATGACGAACGCCTTGAAACTCTTGAGCATGTTCGTGAAGCTCGAATCAACGTTTGTTCAGGTAACTTCGATATGAAAACAAATAAAAATCTGGATTTTCTTATTATTGTATGCCTCAGTTCTATAGAACTAGGACTCACAATTCCCTAATAATGGTTGATTTATTAAAACGAACAACAAACATGTTCTCAAGTGTTTTCTTTTTACCGATAAACAGGAGGAATCATAGGGCTTGGAGAGGCAGAGGAGGACACAGTAGGTTTATTACACACACTGGCAACACTTCCTTCTCACCCTGAGAGTGTTCCCATTAATGCTCTACTTGCAGTGAAAGGCACTCCTCTCGAAGACCAGAAGGTATATCTCTCAATCTAAACAAATAAGACAAGTCATGGCTACTTAGTGGTAAATGGCTTTGAAAATCTTTTGTGTTCTTGCAGCCGGTTGAGATATGGGAGATGATTTGGAACCGCACTTATTGTAATGCCAAAAGCAATGGTGAGATTGTCTGCTGGTAGAGTTCGGTTCTCAATGGCCGAGCAAGCCCTTTGTTTCCTTGCTGGTGCAAACTCTATATTCACGGGAGAGAAGCTTCTAACCACACCAAACAATGATTTTGATGCCGACCAGCTCATGTTCAAGACATTAGGCCTCATTCCTAAACCGCCAAGTTTCTCTGAAGATGATTCAGAATCAGAAAACTGCGAGAAAGTTGCTTCCGCTTCTCACTAATATCATTAACCACTTCTTTTTTGTTTGGAGTCGGGACACTACAAAGCAGTCCCTTTTACTTGTGTAGCATGATTTGCCGATTTTGTGATACCATTGTTCGTTAATCGTTATTCATAGATGTCTAGATTTCATCAGAAAGTAAACTTATTATTCTAGAGAATATATGATGAAAATTGTAGAGAAAAATAAAAAATGCAATAACTCTCACAAACTATTACTCTATAGAAAAGTTAACAATAGTGTTTCAACTTTCAAGGCTCAGATGGGCTTATCTCGAAAATTCGGTCCGACTTTATCAAAACTAGTTCAATCTTTTTAAATGTTTTATTCATTACGGATTTGTTTCTCTTATTTAATGCAATTATGATGATCGATGGAACTTAGATCTCAACTTCGGAAAAAAGTTGATGGACCAGATAATCAAGAATCTGGACAATCAAGAGTAAATTTCTAAATTCCATGAGGTAACCACAACTCAAATAAGTTAGAACACAAAAAGTAATTTGGATATTCTCTCCTAAATCATCTTGTGTTAAGAAATTTTGTACCACTGAAATACAGTTATCTTCAATCAGAAATCACAGATAACCAGCTCACAAACTCACATTGGACTTACTTACCAAGTATCTCAGCACAAGGGACTTATTTACCAAACAATGCTAAAGCTTTTGAATGATAGAATCCAACTCCCATATATCTGCTGCTCTAAAGAAGCAATACTCTCATTATGCCAAAAACATCATTTGTAACAAGTTTGTAACTTAGGTTACAATTATACCAACAACATCCTAGTATCATACCAAAGAAGCCCTTTTGCAAAAGTCAAGTTCAGAAAAAAACATTCGTATGTTTGAATAGAAAGAACAAAAAATGTAGCTGCTTTTAATTTGGAGGAAGACATGAGAAGACATCAGATCAAGACTGCCTCCAATCGTGATAAGAAGCTAATATTTATAGGCACCATGCAAAAGGTAGCTCTGCTGTTTCTTATAAACCCAACAAGCACCCGTGTCTGACTTAATGCCATCTCAAATACACAACAACAACTACTCTAAAACCCATCATTATCACCACAAGAAAAACAAAACAAAACAAAACCAAAGATAATATGTAGCCAACAGTATTGAATCATAAAACTATTGAGAAATAAGTTTCATGGGTCTTCCTCTGGCCTTTGATCTGGGCTCCAAGCGGCAGTCAGGTCACCATTAAAAGTGGCGCCTGCTGTTGACTCGTTAAAAATGGAGCCCTTTTCTCGTAAAACACAAACATTCGAAAACGCACAGATCTATAAGAAGAAGTTTCAAACGAAAAGAGATGATTGATGCGGTGAGAGAGATACATTTGAGATTATATAGTGACTGTGGGGGAGGAGAAGCAAAACCCTAGTATTTTGTGTTACCGGAATGGTCGCTATTCAGTTGATTATATAATAACGGGCTTTTGAACTCTTTATTGAGCCCAATAGGCACTCGTTACTTGGGCCCAGAATTGTAATTATATAAACAAAACGAGGGCTTGAACCAATCTCAAAAGTCAAATCACGTACTAGTTTTGACTACGAGCGATGTATTTTTGGTAAGGTTTTGCAATTGTTGGTAAGAAAATCAGAAATTTTTGAGAGAACTAAAAAATAAATTAACATCTATATTTATTTATAACCATAATGGTTATCACAAATTAACCATCATTATTTATTATCAGAATTCATATATTATTAATTGCATTCAGCTGGTATGTATAGACCATAGAACTTTAGCTTTACTCATAGTACTCATATGATATGTTTCACTAATATACATTATTCTTACTCAGAAATGAAAGATCTGGAGTTGCCCTTAGTTTCGAGCATGAATTCGAAGAGGTAGTTTCTGTTTTCACTTATCTCTTTCTAGTTTTATATTTTGTTTTAACAAATTTGTTTTTATTTAGGTTGAATGTCAATTCTGTGGCACTTCTAAACCCTGCTAAACACGTGGGTGCAGTCATTTCTTATGTGACCATGCCGAAAGAAGAATTAAGGCTGGGGAGTTAAATATAAAATGCCCTCTAATGAGGTGTGAGAAGATAATTGCTCTCTCACAACTTGTTAATCTTGTCTTACCGATAGAGACAACCGTAGACGTGGTTTAGTTAGAAGTTATGCTCGCTCTAGACATATTAACAGATTTGCTATTGTCTACTTTGGATTACAAAAGCTTTTCAGCCAATTCAAAGGTAAAGCAAACATGTAAACTGATTTGTTACATGATCAATATTTTTTTTCTTGCAAAATATCTTATAACTTGTTGTTGTATGGCTTGTTTCTTATCTTTGACGTCACAAGGTTGGATTCGCTGGAAATTTGATATGTACACTATTTGTGTAAAATACTAAAATTCATCTAACGTACGTCGAGAAGACTTCTTCAAGGTAATTATCTTCTATTGTTGAAGTGTGTTACCTTATTTGTCAAAGCTTATGATCTTTTAACTCAATCACGTCCATCATAATATGAAATTATGTCCATCATATATATATATATATATATATTTGCGTGATTCTTCATATTATTGCTTGTTTGAACTTTACAGTTTATGGTCATGGCTATACTCATTAGATTCGTGATGTCAATGTTTTGATTGTTGGAGGTAGCTTCTATGCTTTTTTATTGTTTAATGAATATAGAAGCTACCTCCAAAAAGCGTATTTGAGCATAATTTTTGAGCCATCAATTTTTCTATTTTTGAACATTTGGAATTAATTAAAAATAAAATCGATACTCAAATACCATCCACAAGAAACATTACAAAGTTGTCTGAATTAGTAATTTACCATATTTGGAAGCTTGGCTTAACATATAAATACACTAATAGTTAAACCCATAATCAACAGCCAGAGAATTCAAAGGAAAAAAAAATAACAAAAAAAATTAAATAACAAAAAGACATTACTAAGAAAAAAAAATGACTTTTGGAAAGAAAATTGCGATGGTGTCAATGGCCATATTTTTAATGATAGTAGCAACAACCGCTACCGAAGTTGATGGTCGAATTCATGTCCGACGGAGCTTAGCTGATTTTGGTGGAGGTTGTTGCAACGTGTTCATTCACACTTGTTGTTTTCCTAAACATTAACTGTATTACTTTTAAATATATATATTACCTCGTAATAAATTCCTTCTCATCTTTTTCTTTTCTCTTAGGAGAATTGATTAACTGTATAAATATATTCAGATAAGTGGACCATTGAACATAATATTGATTAGCAATATACGTATATATGAACCAAACATGTTATTCTTTAAGAGGATTGTTGATGTAATAAACTATATAGTCGAGAGAAAGATAAACCGTCCCCACATTCATCTGTTTGTCTTAAATTTTTCCTTTATATAAACGATAATAGTTATTCATTATATATTTTTTGGAATTTAGATTCTCACCTAATTACGAGGAAATAAAAATAAGTTTTCTTGAACGATCGAATATTTTGGCGAAAATTGAATTTAGTTACGAAAAATCCAATGGTTATGTAAATTTTATGAGCATTAATCGATAGTGATTAATATATCAATGGAAATACCAAAATTTAGTCATAAAATTTAAACTCCTTTTATGATTCTATGGCCCAAATAAGAAGCCAAACATCCGACACTACGGAGCAAGCAAGAATAGAAGGAAATTTTTGTCCTTAGAACTCCAATAGCAAAGTGTCTTTTGGTCGTACCTTGGCAAGAATAGAAGCCTTGTTCCGTCGCCTTGGTCTCGTCTTTTCAGGACTTGATTTGATATGGAATCCACTACAAATAGTTATTCGTTAGAAAGATACACTATCCAAATCCTGATGATTATGTTTCTTATCAACATTTTTAATATTTATTGATATTCCGACTACACTTTGTATATCACCAAAACAATCATCATTGACTAATCAAAGACATAATTAGAATGCGAAGCTAATAATTTGATTACCATGAATAGGAGGCTACTAATTATGATCCTAAGTTTCCAACCACTGAACTCAAAAAGCAACATATATATGTAACCATAAAAAACCTATTTGAGTTTTTATACAGTGTTGCCCTCTTTTGAAATCATATTTAGACTAGTGATGTTAAGCATATACTTCTTTTTTTTTACTTAAGGGACCTCGGCTCCATTCTTAATTTCAACATCCTAAAAAAAATCAAAATTCATTTATAAACTATACAAACTAAATTAAAATTTGGTTACAAACAAATATATAGTTTCATCAATTTCATATTTGTATCAATATTTGTAAAATCAACTTTTATATACCCGCATTTTGCGTAGACGAAAATACCAAGTCTTCAGATATTCACGCACTAAACGTATAAAATTAAGAATAAGATTCACTCAAATACCATCCACAAGAAACATTCAACGAGCTATCTAAATTAGTCATTTACTAAATTTGTGAGCTTGATTTACCATATAAATAAATACACTAATAGTTATACCCATTATCATCAGTAAAAAAAAAATCAAAAATTCAAAAAAAACAAAAACACTTAAAAAAAGTTTCTAAAAAAATAAAAATAATGGCTGTTGAAAGGAAAACTGCGATTGTCTCAATCGCCGTATTGGTAATGATAGTAGCAATGACCGTGACTGAAGTTGATGGCAGGACTAATTTTGGACGGAACTTATTGGAAGGCCAAACTAATGAGGGACGAAACTTATATGACATCGTTGGTGCAGTGGTTGGTAAACATTGCTGCAACAAAATCATTACTACTTGTTGTGGTCCTGCTCCTGCGCCTCAGCCTACTCGTAAACCTTAATTAGATATCATCTCTTGATTTATTCAGATTTTTTTTTTCATTTTCTATAAGGAGAAATTAACTATATATCTAAATATTTAAATAAATGGACCATTGAAAATAATATTGATTGGGGATATATATATACCAATCGTGTTATTTTCCTAGGAGTGAAAAGTCCACATATTTGTTTTTTCTTTCTTTCTTTTTAGATAAACTCTATAATTGTGGATAGACAAACTGTTCACATACTTGTATTTTTTAGTTTTATTTTTTGGGGTGAAATAAGACATGCATTTTCTTGGATAATCATGTATTCTCAGCCAAAATTCAAACTAATAAATTAGTAAAATACTGGATGGTTATGTGAATTTTGTGAGCATCAATTCATAGTGATCATAAAATCATCGGAATACCAAAATATAGTTTTGATTTCTGATTACATATATGCCATACACCATAAACTGTAAGCCTATCCAAACCTTAATTCACTCAACAAAGTCTCCAACTTGAATCTCAATGTGGGACATTGAAATATTCACACGAAACTCTCCAATGAAAACACACACGTGTGTGTGCGTGTGTATGAAATCAAATATTTACATGTACATGTATATGTATGAAGAGCAACATCGGTAAATACTTTAGGGTTAGTTAATTACTTCATGAAATTATCTCTGTGCCCCACACAAGGAGTAAAACATCCAATACTACGAATGAAGCAAGAATAGAAGCCAAGTTTTGTCCTTAAAACTCTAATCGCAAAACGTCTCTTGGTCGTACCTTGACGCACTTCAGAAACCCATCGCTCGGCCGACTCGTTTATTCCTTTCATCGACTTCCTAAGCTTCTCTTTGAAACTGAATCTCTCTGATCCCATCAAGTCGTAGCTTGCCAACACCACCCGTCTTCCGTCCCGATAACATTTCTGAGAGTAGCGTTCTCGCTGGTCATGGTGTGGCAGCGATACATAGGCGTACATGTACGTTTGTTCCGGCATCATAAATATAAAGCAATGTAATGTAAGAAGAGTGATGTAGCGTGTATAGCCTCTCTTATATGTTAGTCTGTGTATATATATGTACGAGAGGGAGAGTTGGGTGAGATTTTGGTTGAACAATTATGAAATTGCGTTTGATAGTGGTTGGTGACTGTGTTGCACCAAATATGGAATAATGGAATCTCATGTTATTTGGTCATACGCATGTGATCATTATGTGGCCTATTGTAAGCCGCCATGTACTAAATCTTTAAATTTGATTAATAGATCTATAATAAAAAAATGACTAAACTATACATATTGTATTCAAAAAGTAACTTTCCAACGTACATTGTTCAACTTTTATACAAATTCTAACTGTTATCATTTCAGAAATGCGATCTAGCTTCTGAAGAATAAAAGAGGAGAAATATATACATTAATTATATCAAATCCTCTTGAAAGGAGGAGAGACCGTATCTTATATGGAGTATCAGATTCAAAGAAATATCTCACTATACCATATATCCGATAAATAAGACTCAACAAATCCTATTTAATACTAAATGTACTTCGTTTGTTTGCAAACTTTCACATAACATTAATGGGCAGACGAGAAAATAGTAGATTCGAAAGTGAAATAAAAATCTAAAAAAAAACACTTGGGCTTCTCGGTTGAAGTATCGTCAACCATTTAGATATCATGCGGAGGATTAGTTTTTTTTTTTTTTTTTTTTTGTCATCTGGGTTTGTATTGATAAAGGGTGTTACACCAAAAGCCTTACAGAAATACACAGGCCATAAGGAAAGTGTTACAAGTAATTACACTAACCACCAAAAATGAGACTAACTAAAAGTAAGATTAGTAGTCAAAGGGAGACAGAACCCCAGAAACAGCTTGGACAGAGGTCGTCCCTTTCTCATTCTCAAACAAATCACTAAGCCACCCCCGGAGCTCCCGTAGCAACATAGGATTGTCCAAATGCTTCCAAGGAAGCACTCCTCGCAATGAGAAAGGCACCTCTATTAGCTGATGGGTCTTCATAAATTAATCTCCAGTCCATCAAAAGGTTCAAACGTAACATAATCTCAGAATAAAGATGTCTATAAGAGGGCCATGCTTTCGGTCTCTCCATCATCTTTACCATGTTGGAATCATCCAGCGTGAAAATCACACGGAGGATTAGTTTTACGAGGAAAAAAAAACTAATTAGGAAAAGAAAAGAAGAAAATCTAAAATCACAATTATATATAATCTACCAGTTGCTAAACCGTCTTGGTTTTAAAGCCCAAAATAATAAAGAAAAGCCCAACAAGAGTATTACGAAAACATAAAGTAAAAACCCGATAAAGAAGTAGATGGATGATGGTACATCATCACTTATCAAAAACCGCATGATGAGGTAGTATAGAAACACCAGAGCTAACCCGTCAATGGGTTCAGTTAGCCAGATGTACAGAAGCAGCAGGCCAAGCAGGAAATCGACAAGCATGAGGATTTTGTTTTTCCATAGCCGAGTTCCTAGATCTGTTAAGAGTTCAATCAAATAACAACCGCATGATAAAAAAACCATACATGTTCAAAAATTTGGTAGATAAGTTAAGTTGAAACATTTGGAAGATTCTCTGACCTCTCATTCCCTTACGGAGAAACTCGTGGACGCTTCTTGGTTGAATCCTATCCTACAAATCATAAAACATGGTAAGAGGAAGACAAGTTCATTCTCAATAACTCAACTTGATGAGCCGTAAGTATATAAACATACCAGTGGTTCTATTTCAAGAGGGTGGAGGCAAGTAATTCCAGTCCTTAACTCGACTTGTTGAGCCGGAAGTGGGACCAAGTTCTCAACGTAATGAGATATAACAGAAATGTCTTCAGCGAGCCTTTGGAGTTCGTCTGTCTTTGAAATATACTTGAACAACAAGTCTTCATCGTCATAGAAGAGAACATCCCCTTGCTTAGAGAGAGTCACGGGCGTGAAGGACCTAGACTCCTCGATACCAAGAGAAACTAAACTAATGGAGTGAGTCTTGCTCCATGTATCTTGTGGTGCATCATCCATACTCCATATCTCTAGCTCGTACTGCTGAAGAGGATGGAAAACGGGCATGGCTATGGCAAGACGATCCCTAATGTTGGCAATCTGTGCTTCCAACATGATGCCCTTGGGAAGAGGCGGACGTGGGACATCATGGAACTCTTCCGTGTGAAGATCCAAGGCGAGTATCGTGTAGACATGATCATGCATAATTCGTAACCAGTAGACTGATCCGTTGACACACGCCGATTTTCTTCCGACATCAACCTTGTAACGATTTGGTTTCCAAAGTTTCCGCCATTCACCATTGTTGACGTCAAGGATATCGCAATAGTTAGGATCACGGAAGATCCTTACTACTTTATAGCTACCCTTAACATTGTCTCTACCGAATCCCATCGCACAATATCCCGGGAAATAAGTCGTCCATGATTCTGAAAATATATTTGACATATTATTTTTAAATCATGCATGATCCTAGGGAAAAAAAAGTTTTGACGTATATTGTACTGTACCTTCCCTAAACGTGGTGGGGTTTGGGCGGGGATTCAAGAGGGAGGGGCAACGGAATCGCCGGAGTTGACCCGTGGAAGGGTTCAAAACGTTGACCCACTCTGTTTCAGGGAAACAGACCAAACCCTCGTAACTCATGAACGGTCGTGTGGCGTCGCAGTGCAAATAGACAAACTCTAGGCCCCATTCGCAGTCCTCAACCCCGGGGAGGAGACTCGGAGAGACGTCGCATTCGCAGTCATAGGCCAGTAGGATTTTCTGGCAAGATTTTGCAAGAATGAGATGTTTATCCACGAACCACTTTGATTCCAGTATCGATTTCCATTCTTTGGACACGCTTTTGAATCTGCCTAGAGATTTCAGGGGAAGCTTGAGGAACAATTCTTCAAGTAGATGGGCACTCAAATACACAGAATTAGGGTTTCCTTCTTCCATTGAGTTTATTGTTCTCTTCTTTTTTACCAAACAACATTCGATAGGGTTTCTTCTCCCTTCTTGCATTACAGATTCTCTTCTTAATTTTTTTTTCTCTCGTTATTTGACGTTCCTTGCTCTTTTGTACTTTACAATTGGACTATTTTAACCTACTAGTTACATTCAATTTTCCTTTTTTTTTTTTTTTTTTAATAGATCTGGTATATCTTTTGAGTTTAAAAAAGAAAGAGATAATGACAACACGATAACAAAAATTCCCAATAAATGCTAAAATTTACCACCAAAAACATTAGAAAATTCAGAATTATTGCATAGAAAAAACATTTGGACGATTTATTTTTAGATAATGAGAAGAGTAGAATGAGGTTGCCACATCATCTCCGAGTCATTTCGAAGCTTTCTTCTTTCTTTTTTTCCTCTGTTTATACGGATTAATGAAATGCTTTGTGTTCCTAATCTTCTTCCTTGGATCATCCTAATTACTCAGTGATCATGCATAGATTCCTTGTAAAGCTATCTTCTTCATCCTCTAATCCATTGAGAAGCTTGAAGAATCAGCGTCTGATTCTCCCTTTATTACCTTCTTCAAAATCTTTTACCTCCTCCTCTGTGTCACCACCTCCAAGTCCCTCGAACGCTTCTAATCGATTTAGGTATCCTTATTCCGCCGAGTTGTTTCGAAATTTGTCACCTTTAAGCTCAAATTCGAGGACTTTAGGAGTGAATGGGAGTAGTAGTAGATGTATCAGCAGTGAAGCCGGAAGAGAATCGATTGAGTACGATGTTCTGATTGTCGGAGCTGGACCGGCCGGTTTATCTGCTGCTATACGATTGAAACAACTGTCTCAGGAGAAGAACATTGATCTATCTGTTTGTGTCGTTGAGAAAGGAGCAGAAGTTGGTCTGTTTTTTTTTCTCTCTCTCTCAAAGTATTGACTTTGCAACTATCAGCTCTCTTTGGATTCTTGAATTTGGTTGTGAATTTTCTTCAATTTGTAGGAGGACACATGATATCTGGAAATGTTTTTGAACCTGTGGCACTTGATGAGCTTCTTCCACATTGGAGACAAGAACATGTTTGTCTCTCTCTCTTTCATTATTTCCTAAGAATTTTCTTGTTGTTTGAGACAAGAACATGAGCACTCTGTGTTATTAATAATTTCATGTTCTGTGTGTTTGTAGGCACCCATTGAGATCCCTGCTTCTTCTGATAAATTCTGGTTTTTGACCAAAGATCGTGCAATTTCACTTCCTTCTCCGTTTGATAACAAGGGAAACTACGTTATTAGGTACGTGTAGAGAAAACATTTTACTACTATTTATCTCAATGGTGGTTAAGTTTCATTTGAGATTTTAGTATTTGGTGGTGCTTGTATATACAGTTTGAGCCAACTGGTGCGTTGGCTAGGAGGAAAAGCTGAGGAGCTTGGAACAGAGATATATCCTGGCTTTTCTGCTAGTGAGGTAATCTCGTGCTTCTACTTGTGTTTATAGTTATAATCAATTTATGTTTGGCATTGTGAACGTTGTTTTCAGGTGTTGTACGATGCAAGTGATAAAGTTGTTGGGATTGCAACCAAAGATATGGGAATATCCAAAGATGGTTCCAAGAAGGAGAATTTCCAGCCAGGTGTTGACATAAAAGGTCTCTGTCTCTTTCTCCCTCTCTCTCTTTTTCATTTTCTATAGGCTTCCTCTGTACCAAGATATGTGCTTTCAATACACAGGGCGAGTTACACTGTTTGCAGAGGGATGCAGAGGATCGTTGTCAGAGGTGAGAAGAAGCGTTTTTATTTTAATTGCCTCCAATCACTGCTGATGCAAACTAATTTGTTACTTTAATTTGTGCAGAGAATAATCAAAAAGTATAAACTAAGAGAGGAGGTTAATGCACAACATCAGACATATGCTTTGGGAATCAAGGAGGTAAATAATCGTATCATCGTTCTAATTGTTACTTGAATCCATGTTTGATTTTGCAATAATTTTGGTATGATAGTAGTTTTTTTTTTGTGATTTTCATATCAAATAACATCTCTACAGAAAAAGTGATCACACATTATCATAAGGGTTGAGAATTTTCTCTCGGTAGAACTACTAGTCATAGGTCCTTTAATTGCTGATACTTCGAGCTCAACAGGTCTGGGAGATAGATGAAAGCAAGCATAACCCTGGAGAAGTTATTCACACATTGGGTTGGCCCTTGGATCCCAAGACATATGGAGGTTCTTTCTTGTACCACATGAACGATAGACAGGTAACTCACTTTTCCCTTGGAAGGTACTTTGTTATGGTTGAGAAAATATCGTAATATCTCCTTCCAGTGGTGTCTTAATCAATTACAAAACTTACCTTTCAATTTTGGTAGCTCAGTTGGAGTTTTCTTTTCAACCAAACAGGTTGCACTTGGCTTGGTTGTTGCCTTGAATTACCACAACCCTTTCTTGAATCCGTATGAGGAATTTCAGGTATGTCAATTTCTCATAATGATAGACTTTTTAGCAGTTACTAAAAATGCCTTTCTAAAAGCCATCGTTTTTATCCTCCAAATAGAAACTCAAACACCATCCTGCCATTAAACGCATCTTGGAAGGTGGTACTGTGCTTCAGTATGGGGCTCGTACTTTAAATGAAGGTGGTTTTCAGGTGAGTTGAAAGTCACCACCCCTTAGATCTAACTGGTGCGCAGATTCTTTGAAAGCAGAACTATTTCCATTTTTGGTATAGCCATTTTCTAAAGCATGTATTATTATGCATAGTTTTGTTTTATTGATTGAGAAATAAGATTTGATCTAGGTTAACCCTTCATGACAGAAATAAGATTTGTTTGGCATGTTATGACATATTTGAACTTGATGCTAGTAAAATTTCAGTCCATTCCCTATCCAGTTTTTCCTGGAGGAGCAATAATTGGATGTTCAGCTGGTTTTCTCAATGTACCCAAGATTAAGGGAACACACACTGCAATGAAATCAGGTCACATAATATTTTTGATAGGATACGATTTTTCATTGTCTCTTCATTGAAATCTCATCTTAATTTCATTAATATCTTACAGGAATGTTAGCAGCAGAGGCTGCATTTGGTGTAATTCATGAAGGTTTACACATGAACACGTACTGGGACAACTTGAGGGATTCATGGGTGTGGAAAGAGCTCTACGCTGCTCGAAACTACCGTCCTGTTCGTAATATCATGAACATATATCAGCGTATATGGTTTTCTATCTGATTGATCTTTTCTGGAAGATAAAATCTTAATGTCATATTCTTGCAGGCATTCGAGTATGGGCTACTCCCTGGCTTGGCCGTTAGTGCTATGGAACAGTAAGACCCGGAATTGATTCTCTTCTTTTTGCCGTGTTCTGTGTGATCGATCCTCTTTGCTATAAGTGAACTGTTGATGTTTGATTATGCAGCTATGTACTGAAAGGAAAAGTCCCTTTCACGCTCAAGCATGGGAAAGCAGACCACGAAGCAACAGATGTAAATATACACGCAGTGGGAATAAACCCTTAATTGTTTCAAATATAATCAGATCAAAACCATCCACTAAACACTCTGACTCTGATAGATACACAACTAAAGTCTAGCTACATCTTTATGCAGCTTGCTCGGAAATGCACACCAATTGTGTATCCAAAGCCAGATGGTGTTTTGTCGTTTGATGTGCCAACTTCTTTATACAGGTTTGTACCATGACATAAACTACAGTATCTTTATATGTAAAAGTACTCCTCCTATGGTATTTACAAGCGGTTGTATCCTGAATGATGATGATGATAACAGGAGTAATACCAATCATGATCATGATCAACCATCTCATTTGCGCTTGAGGGATCCTAAGATTCCAGAAAAGGTAAACTTTCCAGAGTATGCTGCACCAGAGTCACGTTACTGCCCGGCCCGTGTTTACGAGTAATGACTCCCTTTCTCTCTCCATATGCAATTTGATCAATAGATTAACTTCCTTGAGCAAGATACTCATCTTCGTTTCCGTATTGATTCAAAACATAAAAAAGATATATCGAAGACGAAGAGGGTAAGCCGAAACTGCAGATCAACGCTCAAAACTGTTTGCACTGCAAGGTACGCATCACTCGCTGAGTCTATGCACTTTGTGTCAAAGTATGTCTCGTTCATGGCACTCAGATTGATTTTGGATATGCTTAAATTGATTTTGATTCTTTCTAAAAGGCATGTGACATCAAAGATCCAAAGCAGAACATAGAGTGGACAGTGCCTGAAGGTGGTGGAGGCCCTGCTTATTCCCTCATGTAGTCCTCAAGTTTCAACAAACCTCTCACTTACCATATCTGATAAATAAATGAGACTCAACAAAATCCTAATTGTCTGAGTTTTTTTTTTTTTTTTACTAAATGTTTGTAAGCATTAGTGTTTCGTATGTTTGTAAACTTTCACTTGACTTCTATAAAAAAAAAAAAAAACACTTTCACTTGACAGTAAAGTAATAATGGGCAGACGATTAAGTATCATCATTTTATAAGCAAACAAAAAAACTTGGGTTTCTCGATTGAAAAAAATTATTTAGGAAAAGAAAAGGGGAGAAAAATCTAGAATCACATTCATTTTATACAGCCTTTTTTTATCTAAACGCCGCAGGAGAAGTCTAACGAAGATGAGCGTTTGGTTGCATCTGTAGGACTGGTTCGTAAACTTGTTACTATAGCACAAAGCCTCTCTCTTGGTCAGGCAAGTTTTAGCTCTCAAATCACCACCTACACAATTTCAAAACAGGTATGAGTTAGTGACACGGCTTCTCTAAGCTTCCTTCTCTAACCTCACAAAAAGGCAAATCACAATTGAATCTTTTATGTTTTCTTTAGCGTTTTATGGGGTTTGGTAAACGATATCTGAGTTTTGCTCGGACGGCATTTTCAAGTCCATCAAATTGTCTTTCTGCGATCAGGTCATCTTTTTATGCTCTTTAATGATCGCAGTCAAGATTCTTTGCCTCTTATGTTTTGTATTAAAGGAGAGTTTTGCAACGGTTGTTATATTTCTATACAAGCAATTAGAAATCCTAACCACAAAGTATATTATTATCACATTTACGAAAATTTACAAATCCAAGGGTATGCTAAATAAGCAACCGTTCGTACACACACACACTCCATCATAGCTCCAAGGGGATTCAAGAGAAAGCAAAATTTACATGTGATAAGAATAATAACAGATTAGATGTTGTGTATACTATTAGGCTAGATTCACTGAAGAATCAAAGAAAGAAGTACCAAAATAGACATCAACATTGAAGATGCAAGCAACACAGAAAAAATGTATATATGTATATTCAACAAAGCAGTCCTATGTTTTTTCACAAATTTTCATGTACCCTATATAAAAAATGCAGACAAAAATGCTTCAGTTTTAACTCAGATAACTCAGCAGAAATGCAAGAAGATTGCAAGAAAAACGACAGAGAGCACATGCTTTATCATATGCCAACAGGAAAGGATCAGACAAGTATTTCAATAAAGCTTATGCTCATTCCTCTCAGTCATCAGGTAGAGGGTAGAAGATAGAGATGATTACCTTGCAGATAATGATGGTGAGTGGAGTTAGTTTCAAGGCCCCTGTCCAGCCGGAGTACCTGAAGACTGTTGCTGCTGCTTCTGCTGTATCTGGAGAAGAAGGTTTGCTGCGAATTGTAGTGTTGACTGGTATCTCTGGTTCTTATCGACCTCCCCATCTGTTGTACCCTGTCCAGCCCCAGAGATCAGAGGCTGCAATTGTGGTGCTTGGTTTTGTGGCTCTAAGTTTGCCTTGTCTACTGGTGGTTGCATGGCAGCTTGAAATTGGGAAGGATTTAAGTTATGTGCCTGATTTGTTGTTACGCCATGATAATTTGCTTGCTGATAACTTGGAATTGGACCATAGTTTTGGTTTGGCACGGAAGCTTCTGGTTGGTATTGCTGTGTCATGGGCTGAGAAACATGATGATTTGTCGAACCCTGACTGTACATGGAATAATTATTATGAGGCATATTTGGTAACGGAGACAGCTGAGGTATGTTAACAGATTGGCCTTGGTATTGCATGTTGCCATGGACCATTCCACTAGAGTAGTTGGGGTTGTTTGAAGCTGGAGGATAACGCGCAGGAGGAGGAGGTAGTTGCCCAGCTGGAGTGTATTGATTTCCGTATTGTTGGAATGACTGATTTGGTGCATCATGAACTGTTTGTGGACCTCTTTTCCAAGCTTGAGACGGTGCTTCTCCATTGTACAGTCCATTGGATTGAGGTACTGTGGAAACAACTGTTGAAGGTCCTGATATAGGTTGGTGACTCTCAGGGGCAGCAGGTTGAGAAGTTGCAGGGAGAATAGATGCCAGAGTGGCTAAAAGCTCCGGAGTTAAACTAACCCCAGCTTGAGGCGCTACATTATTAGGTATTCTGAGAGGCTCGCTAACCGATGGTTTTGAAGCAGCTGTCAGATGTTCTAGTGCAACCCTATTGTAATTTTCCCTAGGAGGATATAAACTGTGACTGGCATTGGCAGGTGAATCCCGGGCTTGATCCATATAATGCAGAGGATTGGACTGAGACTCTTGTCTGTATGATGCTGTAACAGGAACGGCTGGTGGGGGCAACTTGAGAACAACACCATATAGCCGTTCTGGACCGGACACTTTGAGTACATCAGTTAAGAAATCTGATGGAGGAACCAAGAATAAAGTTGTACCATCATCTAATTTGGCAACACCCGCCCGATCTTTTGAGCTAAGGTAGCGGAGAAATTCAGTGTAAGACGCAAAATCTTCTTGCCTGTATGGTAAGAAGAAAACGATCTCAAATCCAATGGCATCGGTGTAATGTTTGGCGAGCATATTCAAACCAGTTCTTGCTGAACAATTGACGACCTCAGGCCTATAAATCAATTATAAGAAAAAACAAAGTCAGCAATTGAGGGCAATGCCATAAATGAATCAGCACCACGAAAATCAAGACTCTCAGAAACTATACAAGTAATAGTAAAACTAAAATGTACTATCTAAAATAATGAATTCTTACTTCCATCGAGAATAAAATGAAAAATATATAAATCTATCTGAAAAAGAAAACACTAGAAGGGTTTAAGTGCTTGTAATTGGTACTCACAGTTTAGTTTCAATTCCCTTTCCCATAGGTACACAACGAGCACAACAGACAGGAGTTCCACCCTTGGCAATCATTCCTCTCCATATGTAATCAGAATCAGGGGGGCCACGGATAGGCCTAGCAGCAACTGAGCCTCGCCCAAATGATCTCTCATCGACAGCCATTGGAGTAAAACCGTCCACTGATCCATCTCTTCTGGTTCGTTTACTTTCTCTGTCCAACTGAGCAGGATCATATTCTTCCCAAGAACCGGGGTTTGACCTCATAGGGTGCCTCATACCTTGTGCAGGAGATGGGAGGATTCCAGGTCCTGTTGGAGATGGGAGTATTCCAGTTCCATTTGCAGATGGCCTCCTCCAGTTTGGCTCCTTACCAACAACGTCATTGTATTCTGAACCATTATATGAACGCTCAATGCTACCTCTGAGAGGCCTCATAGACCCAGGAATTCCAGTAGAATGAGGAGAAGATACAAAGGACGGATCATTGTTGAACATATCTGTCCTTGACCGTTTCATACCAGAGTAAAAACTGGTATCGTCTTGCTCAGGAGGCAACTCATCGTTTGAGTACATAATTTTGATTCTAGGATTATTGAATAACCTCCCCTGTATCCCTTCCTTGGCATGGCGAGCTTCCTCCGCGCTCCTAAACTCCACAAGTGAAAAATGACTTGATGGGTAACATTTTATCCTCTCGATCTCACCATAGAGTATCATTGCATTGTGCAGCATTTGCTCATCATTGCATTGTGTAGCATTAGGAGGGTACCCAATCCACAGAACCTTACTTGGCTGGACATCTCCTTTACCGTCGTCATATGAGTGAGGATGCTGTAAGAATATAACAAAACGTCAAAACCAGTAACCTATAAGTATCACCAGTAACAAGACACATACTTTCAACATTTAAGACTAACCTGCGGTTTATGATTCATATTGCCATTCCTGTTATCATAAGAGCCAGCCCATTGTTCCTGAAGATAAAGCAAATGTAACTTGATTTCAGACTTAAAAAGTTGAGTCTACTCTACAATGGAATAGAGACGCAGATATGAAGAAAAACCAAATATTTACTAAAGAAAAATATTTACTAGAGCGTTTTGAAAAGTAAAAACCAAATGCCAGAAGAGTGCTTACTTTTCTTGGCGCTTGTGACCGGAGAAAATCAACACGCAAAAAGCTACCACCCATTCGCTTTCCATTCATGCTCTTAGCCTGTAAAGCATCATCCATCTCATAATAATCAATGAAAGCTGTCTTGCGTTCTCTGAGAAACCTAAAATCCTCGATTTTCCCAAACTTGCTGAACTCTTCCTCCAGGTCATCCTTGGAGACACTAGGGCCGATTCCACCCACCCAAAGACTCTTACAAGGTTTTGCCTGCAACAAGAAAAGGTCGATAATAAGGCGATATAATACTACCCAGATAGGTTGACAAGAATAAAGCTTCAAACATATCAAGCATCAAACATCAAGGAAACTAAACACAGAAACTAACTAGTAATTCCAACTACATTATGACACCAATTGCTGCAAGGAAACCATATCCTCTTCCTCTATCAATCAGTTTAGTATAAATTCTCTCGACAACACACACATTTTGTCTGCAGGAGAAGCAAGTCGACCCAAAAACCGGCAAGACATTAACACTTTCTGCTAAACATTCTTGTCTTTATCATTGCCTGAGTCCCAAATAAACCAATCCCTGGACACTCCATTAAGTACTGAAAGCCGGCAAGACATTGAAATTTGAGACTGCCTGCAAATGTATCTATGTCTTGATCACTGCAGCTATACCAATCCAAGAATGGTTGTGAAGAAGCCACCTCCTTAAGGAACTAAAATGAGAAAGCCCAGATTGTACGTAGGGTAAGAATTGAGTAACGAGCATGGTTCTTCAACTAGAGCGTTTCACAAAATATCTCTTTCACCATGAGTCTCTCTTCTTTACTATGTTTCTGATTGGTAGAGTTAGCCGCCACGTAATTTTTCTTCCTGTAGCATCGAGCCTAAAGAAGCCCAAAACTCCCTCACGCTGACATGGATTTGTGACACCTCTACTAGGAGTAGGAGTTAGGACGATACTGTTGCCAGAATTTTCTGTTTCCCATATGCAATTATTGATATCTACGTACCGCCATAGACAAATTTCTCCACACGGTTTGATTTTTGCAGGAAACTGAACTTTAAAACTGCCGATGATAGATTTGCTAGCTTCCAAATTTTCACCATTGCGAATTTGAGTGGTGTACGCAATTCATTCATACTCAAGCTTGTGAGATTTAACATCTGAAGCGAACCTGAAACCAGACTGCTAAACGCGGATACAAGTCCGAAGATATCGCTAAGGGAAGCAACGATAATCGAATCAACCTTCGCATAAAGGAGAGAAAACATGTGTTTGATGTATTCTTTTGCAGAGCTCATTCGCTAAGAGTTGTATGCTCTCTGTTGTTTGGCATGGCGCGAGTTCGATAAAACCAAAGTAATTTGAGAAATACGTTTCTCTTATTTAGATCGGATCAAGTTTCGCATAATAGAAAAATCTAGGTTTCGACTTTGATTTGTACGACGAGAAAAAAAAAAAAAACAGTTCAACAAGAATTTTTTTTGGACTAAACAAGCATCATCAAAGTTATATGAACCTGGACTATGAATTCGTAAAAAGAGTATAATCGTTGACAAAAGACAATCAAAGTTAGAGGACAAACGAAGATATAGATAAGAACAAACCGGTCGTGCGTATTCGATCTTAATTTGACTTCCATTCAAATTCGCTCCTTGAAGAGCCTCTTTCGCTGCCACAGCTTCCTCCACATGTCTGTAGTAGATAAACGCAAAGCCACGCGAAGAATACACCGTGATTCTATCAATATCGCCGTATCTTCCAAACAACTCGGTCAGATCTGACTCTGTCGTTTCCGGCGTAAGGCTACCGACCCAAAGGTTATTCGATTGGAAACCGGAATCATCGGCTCTGAATGGCTTCATAGCTAACGCCATCGGAATTGTTTCAATTGACGAGATCCTATGGATCCAAAATTCGAATCCCTGAATTGATTGTTTTACCTTTGGGATAATGAGATTTCGATATCCACGAGACGGAAAACGAGAGACGAACTGCGGGATGATACGTTGAGCAAGAGAAATTCAGAGAGAGATTGAGTTTTCAAAATCCTACCTACAGAGAGGAGAAGAGAACCCTAGATTGAGTTTGAAGACGAAGAAGAAGATTAGATTGTGAGAGAAAGAGAGGCCAGAGGATATCGAAGCGGCGGCTTTTAAAGGATATATAGATACCTTTCCTTTAATTTATTTTATTATATTTTCCTTTTGGAAGTCGGACCGAAACGGTGCGTTTCAATAGTGGTTGTGGCAAATTCGTAAATAATCGTAATTATATAAACCGAAAATCCATAACCCCAAGGGCTCTCACTGAAGATTAGCATAATGTTTGTACATAAGACATCTAATAACTGCAATTAGTCTCTGGGCTTGTAGGTGTTCGTTTAGTAGACTTTGGAAGCTTCACATGAACATTGGTTTAGATGAAGCATCAGAAACAGGTATCACCATCCTTTTAATAACTGTTAAGCATTCGACAAAGATCCGGGCTAGGTGGTAGAGCTCAAGCTCGTATTGCTCGTAGATGAAGAAAGCGGTGAATGAGAACGACATCACTGTCCAAACAAAGAGTACAGAAAATGTTATGGATTGGAAGATTAATGGATGAAGAAGTTTTTAATCATGTTGTATAAAGTGTGATAACAAAAGCTTTGTTCAAGTACCTGTGAAAAGAAATGCAGCCAATGAACGGGATACGATCAGTTTGAGGAGATATAGCGATCCTGCAATCTGTTTTTATGTTTTGTTTTAGGAAACGAGAGAGATGAGGTATTTTTCATGTTTGGTGAGCATTAGAGAAGTGTATATTTTTCATGTTTGGTGAGCATTAGAGAAGTGTATAAAGAGTATAATTGTACCTTGAAGAACTTGATCCAGTCTCCTCCTGTGCTTAAGGATTTAAAACCTCGAACACCCTGATTCCAGACAACTACGATATCTCTACTAAGATCTCTCACTGCGGATTCCGAGATCTCAAATCTCCATGGGGGTATTTTCTTGACTTGAAACCCGAAACTGTCAAAATAAATAGATCTGTCACTTTATAGCATATAGATTTCAAAAGTGAAACATATATACATAGGTGCATCATGATTTGCTAGGACAATTTTGGTATCACGAATTATTTTCACTGTCTTCTATAATGGTAAAGTTCTGGAACCAATACTTACATCTTTGACGGTACAAAAGCGACTCCATAGAGAGCAACAGCAAATATAAACAGAAGTTGGGCTGCAGATGAAGTAAATGTGTTTCCAGAAAAGAAGAACCAGTAATAAAACAAGTTGAGAAAAAGAAAAGAAACGAAGGTTTTCTTCTCATTTCTCCACAGCAAGATATCTGCAACTGCATGAGAACATAGATGAAAAGTTAAGTAAATTTAAAGAGATTAATATTAAACGCTTCCATTGACCGAATTAGCTTAGAGTTTGTCTATATGTGCATGAAATAAAGTTGGAACTTGCATGAAATCACATGGTCTGGAAGAAGATGTAAATGAACCAAGCAAAATCTAAGATAAGAATCTTTCCAGGTTAAGCCTTATAAACATGCATCATCATATCCATAGCTAGATGAGATGCGGACTTCAAGCAATACAACTGAATACTTAGCCAAGAACACTTCAAAAGGGCATTATAATTGTTAATAGCGAGATGGTTCTAACCTTTCCCACAACCAAGAAGCTGATCTGCAGTAGATTGAATGATTGTGTCATCAGACTTCTCAAGATCCCGAGAGAACCATTGAAGCGTTGATGCAATACCATCCTACAAATCAAACAAGAGCTAATGAATCCAAGGATGCTACTAAGCAGCTGAATATGCAAAAAACAAAATATCATCCAATTTCAACTCACTTCAAGTGTCACAACAGGTGTGTAACCAAGATGCTTCTTAGCTGCATTGCAGTTAAAAGTTCTCGTCGATGAAGCTAACAGAGCATACTGATGAGCTGTGTCATAATTACTCCCAAGGCCCTCCTTTTCATGTGTCCATTTAAGAAGTGAGAAAACAAACAAAACCAGCCGAACAGGAAGTTTAATGGATGGTCTGCAATTAAAGAAGAAAAAAGATATCAAAACAGGTAAACCAGAAAGTTAGCTCTAAGGATCTAAAACTTTTCAAAATGATCAATATTTAGGACATAGGAGAAGGAAACATATACGACCATGTACAAAATACTAAATATGAGCGAATCACCATGTAGAGATAGTTTATATCTAAAAAAAGCTAATTAAATATGGCCGTTCGAAATAGTTCTTCTAGATAAGCTAGTTCATGTCTCCAGGACATCTACCAACAAAAAATTAAGATCTTTTGCTTTAAGAGGGAACATTCAAGGTAGGTTCAGTAGTTCTGAGGAGCCTTTTTCCCATGCTACAGCAGACATCGGATAATAAGGAAACACAAAGATAAAAGGGGTTCACAACAAGTTTCATTATATCAAAAACTGTTTGGATGCTCATTTACCTTGGGTATCCCAGACCTTCAACTATGTGGCTTACAAAGTCCCAAAATCTGACAGGCTTGAGGTTTGTGATAAAAAATTCCTAAATGTCGTCGGCAAAGAAAAACTTCATCACATATAAAGTTCATGCGCTTTCAGGAGTGATTTGACAAATACACATGCCTCAGGGTGGTTACCTTTCCAGCCACAAACTCCATCTGTGAATCTAATGCTTCAGCGGCACAAATATGTGCATGAGAAACGTTCTCCGAGTAAGTGAAATCAGACATATTTTCACCACTCCCAGTTATAAACTGAAATTTTAAAACCGAAGACAGTCATTCCCCCAAAAAAAAGGAAAACTAAGAATGCATCAAGCTCAAGGAATACTACCAGGTATTATAAATGACAAATATCAAAGCAATAATGGGATGAACTAATAGTAGAACCTTTGCATATCCGGACTTGGCTAGATTCACCACGAAAGGTACAAACTCTGTGTCACCAGGTCCAAATACAATGCTAGAGCGAAGTGCACAAGTTAAGAGACCATCACAGCTGTTTGCAAATTTGATCAAAGATTCCGCTTGAGCTTTGAAGTCTGTCAGCATGGATTGGAACTGCAAGAGAATCAGAGAAAAACAAATATCATCTCTGAACAAGAGCAAAGACAAAAACCAACAAAACAAGCATGCTCAGGGATTACCTTCAAAGGGCGTCTCAAGGATTCATCACCATCACGTATAGGTTGGGAACCATCAAAAACAACATCAGCTGAACTGTTGTAGATAAGTTTTCTGACTCCAGACTCACGACAGGCAGAAATCACATTTCTTGTACCTATTAGACGAATTGTACGAGAAATCGATTAACCACATTAGTAAAACTAATATATTGGTAAACCATCTTGAAGTGACTAAGGAATTTACCTTGAACTATAACCCTGTAGCAGTCAAAGTAATCATGGGAGGGTAAATCAGTAGCTCCCATGTAAAATACGACATAGGAACCCTCAGTAGCTGCAAGGAACAAACCACAATATGATGTTACAATCACATCCCAACATCAAAACTCAAATGCATTACTCATATCAGAACCCAAAAATCTCAAATATCCAAAAAATCTTCCACAGCATTTCTGAGATACCAAACACCGATGATCCATCCATGTCATATCTAACAAAGTGCAACAGGAAATAAGAAGAAAACCTTTAACGATCTGAGGTTTATCACGAACATCGACGCAGTGATAAGAAGCACGGCCGGAGGAGAGAGCATCCTCGAGGACCGAATCGGATTCGTCGAGATGGAGAGTGTGACCGGAATCAGCGACTCGGACTGTCCAGTTTCCGAGACGAAGCAATCTAGAGACGAGCGATCGACCAATGAACCCTCGGCCGCCAAGGACGACACATGTCTTGAGGTGAGAATCTCCGCCACGGACGGAATCTTCCACCATTGTTATCGCCGAATTAAACCCCAGCTCTTTCGCCTTTTCTCTATAAAACTCGGCCGAGTCAACTCAGAGAAAAAGGCCGAGTCGAGTTGGATCAGTGCACAAAAAGCTGAATACTAATGTTTTAAGGGGTTGCTTGGCGGGCAGATTATATGCTCTCCACTCGCGAAACCTTTTAGCGTTTTCCTTTATTCTTCGGCTGTGTAATTATAATTTAATATTCACACTTTTTGCAATAAATCTATTGACTTAATTATTTAAATTATCTGTATAATTATTTCTTGATTACAAACAAATCTAGTAAAGTTAATATTAAATCATAGACGCACGGTTGCGTTTTCACGTTTGGTGAGCTAATTCCATCAATCCATCAAACATATGATTTCCATAGTAGAAATTTGGTAACAACTTGTAGAGAGAACTAAAACGTATCTATCTATACACTTGTGTATGTCGAAGCATAAATTACACTTAAAAATCTCATAATTTAATAATTGAGTGAAACTACATATTTAGATGTTTTCTGTGTTGAATACACATTCAAATCGATAACTGAAGAAAACCCAAAACATATAAAATATCAATCTTTGCAGCTGATGATGACTTGCAAATTTTTCTATACAATTAAGAAAGATACCCCAAGCTTTCAGAAACGATCTCTGGCTCTGTGTATACGACGCAGTGCTTCAGCTTCTGTTGCTGAGTCTGGAATGCTTAAAGATTTTCGGATATCTTTGCTCGATGTTCTGAGGAACGGGTTACACGCTTTCTCGACCTTAACAGTCGTTGGAATCTACAGACAACAAACCCGTAAATGAATCTATAAAGAGTTAGAGGGCAAGAGGGGATAGGGAAGAGATAAGAGGTTTTACCGATGGGAGTCCCTGGCTGCGAAGATGGGCGACTCGGGTTGCATAGGACTGAAGAGTTTCATTCTTTGGTTCTACGGATAGTGCAAACTTGAGATTGCCCTGTATCATGGAGGGTATATAAATAGTTTACTTCACCGAGTCACAGAGAGTTGAACAATGTGAGTTAAAGACAGTATTTATGTGTGTAGAACTTACTGCTGTGTTTTCACGGCCGCAGTATATATTTGTATCATCGGGTAAAGACACGATCTTTTGGAGTGATGAAAGCATCTGAGTCATAAGGCAAAAAAAGGTTATCGTTAAAAAGGACAGCACAATAAGTTTACTTCTGTGAAAGAAACTACAAAGTTAGGTTATTAGAGTCCTCCCAAGTCCCAAGTGATCTCTCCATAAAGTCTATAACAATCGACTCACTTAGCACAATTTGCCACAAGAAAGCATCCATAACAGTAAAAAGAAACATGATTTCAAAAACCACAAATCACTTAGCACGATTTACCCACAAGAAAATAATCATAACAGTGCAAGGGTCGAGAAGGTTGAATATTTTTCCGATTCACATGTTAGGTTTTGGGCCTAGTTTTCAATTTAAGTTACCTGCTCGGGGGTACCTTCTGAAAGGGTACCACAGGATAAGCTATATATCAGGTCTCCTGTGAATATTGTCGCTGAAGCGGGAAAGTAGAAGCTAATATGGCCTGCTTGAGAACAAGAACAGTTATGTGAGTAAACATTGCACCAAATATACATAAATTACTAGTTGTTCTACACTACAACGATAAAAAAGGAGAGCAGTTACACAATAATGAATCGAGAATGACAGATAAGATACTATATGTGATCCACCAAAGGTTTCTAACGCTGGCAATATTTGACTGTACAGATATGTTCATAGTATTTTAAAGTAGAGGTATAAGGCAGCTACAAACCTTGTGTATGGCCAGGAGTGTCAAGTACCCGAACCTCATGGCCAGCAAACATCCACTTATCACTATCCTTCAGAAGTATGTCAATTCCAGGAATCCGATCTTTATCCACAGCTGATCCAATCACCTGTCGGCAACATAAGTCACATAAAAACACTTGAGTGTATATAACAAAAGCAACAACGAATAGATCAACTACACAAAGTTGCAAAACAAAATGGCCCGGAAAGCAATTTTTTCCTGGTTACACTTTACAACATCTCAAAACCAAACCATTGTATTGTAGAGCTCTCTGTTTCATAGCTATCAGAGGTAAGAGACACTCCAAGGGAACAAGTGCTGATAAAGAGAGGGCTAACTTGCGAAAAGGCCAGAAAGAAAACAAAAAACAAGGTCATACAGTTTTAAACCGAAAATAGTATCCTCTTACCTTTGCGCCATACCTTTCTTTCAATTCAGCATTCCCCCCAATGTGATCATCATGATGATGAGTGTTCAAAATGTAAGTCAAATTCCAATTTTTCCTGCTCAATGCTTCTATAACAGGTGCAGCCTCAGAAGGATCAACGACTCCAACTGTTCCGGTGTCTTCATCGTGCAATAGATAAGCATAGTTGTCCTTACTGCAGGGCACCTGAAACATCCCCGACAAATAAGAAAACACAAATAGATCGTTAATAATGTCTTCAGCAGATGTTATAGAGTTGTTTCAACCAGCACATTCAGGATGAAAAGCAAGCAAATGAAAATAAACTGGAAAAAAGTTTGCACTGGCAGGAGATACAAAAGATAAACAAAGTCAAAAGAAGAGGACAAGTATACTAACCAGTTCGATTTTTAATGAGGATGGCATATTGGAAATGCTACAAAAGTGGGTAATTTTAAGGGTCTTTCTAGCTCCACGCAATGTTTTCAGTGGCATGGATAATAACCACATTACTCCGTATAATAAGCTTTTCCTGAGGCAAAGTTGTCTCAAACCAGGCCACACGCAAAGCTGACCTCCAATCTGTTTCATGAATTCAAAGAACAAATCATAATCTGACACTAATAGTATAAGATAGCCAAACAAAGACTAAACACAGACTAAATTAGATAATTCAATCTCCAGTTTCACCTAACCAGTCAACAGCAGATAGTAATTGACCCTTATGCTTGAATCAAACATTCAAACCTACTAGTCTCAATGAATCAGCACACAACACTAGTACAGTCGAAGATCGGTATTGTGAAAATCTGAATCAAGAAATTTCGAGCAACGAAATCTCATATATATATTATCTGAATAGTAGTAGCCAACACAGAACTCAAAAAAAGCTAAATCTCGTACCAACCACAAAACCAGATCGGAATTATCAAAAGCAAAGACTGAATCAAAGAGAAGACTATAAAGGAGGGAGAGAGATTAAACCCTAGAACACGAAGGAATCGATGAATTGGTGGTGGTAGATGAAGCTTTGGAGATCACAGGCATCCTCTATATATCTCTCTCCCTCTTCTCTCTGATTCTTTCTTCAGATAGAGAAACGAGAGGAGATGATTCTGTTACCTTTGAAGAGGCCTCTTTGAGAGATTTTGCGCGTAGATAGAAGAAACCCAGAATTTCTCGCCTGAGCTGTGATGACGAGTCTGCGACTTCGACAGGAAACAACGTCAGAGCTAGAGAGACAGCTTTTACTCTCTTTTTTTTTCTTTTCTTTTTTTTTATTTGTTTTTGCTTTTAAGTCAAATTTATTTTAGCTCAACTACTAAATATCCCTCAATAAATTGTTCCGTGTTATCATAATTCACAAACCTCGTTATAAATATTTGACCACGAGTAATTAATTTCTTTATTGGTTTTCAGAAATTAATATTTGAATTGGGTAATAAATTAGTTACCATATGTTATGTTATTAAAGTTGGTGTTTCTATAACGGTTTTATTATTTTTTACTTCTTTTGCTCAATTAGATTTCATTTCCCTTTTGGGATCCAGGAAAAAAACATTTCCTTTTGGGTCGACGCAAAAAAATAGAAAAGATTCCCTTTCGTCAATATTTGCTGATTTGGTTAAGATCAATTTGGAGTGGTTGAGTTTAAAAGTTTGCCTTGATCATTTGGGTTTTTGTAGAATATAAAAAACAAATAAAAATTAAGCATTTATTAGAGAGTATTATCAACATTATTTGTTTATTTTTATAGTATCAAATATCATAAATTGAAACTTTTATACATTAGTTGATAATATCTAGATAATATGATGTGTATATTTAGTATGTTGAGATTTTTTTTTGTTATAATCATTATCTCTATTGAAAGTTAAATAAAAAAAAAAAAAATCAGTAATTGAAGTAGTTCAGTAAGAATTGTGCCCATCTTATCGACAACCAACCGCTTGTATTATTGTATAGGACCATTCACACCCATTGTTCAAATATAAGATTATGTAGTTGGTTAACATTTATTAGTACATTTTTTGACAATTCATATGTTTAAAAACTTCAAAGCATTCTTTTATTTTTGAAGTGACTCTTGCATTTTTTTACATGAGAAGACATGTTTTATTTAACAAAAAAAGAGGACATAACATTTGCTAGTGCGTATGTTCTCTTTTTTTTTGGTTAAAGCAATGTGTATGTTCTCTCTCACACTTGTTTTTGTAAAATTCTGTCCATTCTACAAATAAAATCTACTAAAATCAACGATTAAACAGGGTCACATATATATCTAACTCACGAAGAATCTAATGATTAAAAAAAAAAAATTAAGAGTTTAAGAAATATGGTTGTTTTCATAGTAAGAAGTTTATTATGTGTTATGGCCGTTAACCTTTTTTCCTAAAGGTAATTAAGTTTTTCTTCCTTCAGATTAAAAAATTTGGAACAGAAGTGCATGTTACAAGTCATAATTGGTGACCGACTGTGTGACCGACATGTGGTTTCTCTCAAATAAATCAATTGAACAAAATTACCAAACCAAAACCGGTTTACAGAAATGCACTGAAAAGTCGATATTTAAAGGGTTTATCAGAAGCCAGAACCACGACGACAGACAAAACATAAAAGATGGAGGAAGAAAGAAAAAACACTAACTCGATCTACATATTTCCCGAGCTACTGGAAGAAATTTTCCTTGGATTGCCTTTGAAATCAATCCTCAAATTCAAAACCGTCTCAAAACAATGGAGATCAATCCTGGAATCGAAGTTGTTCGTGGAACGGCGTAGGACTCTTCAAAAGAACCGCCGGAAAATCCTGGCTGCTTACAACTGCATCTACTGCAGGCGGCCGAGTATCCTCCCTGAGTCTCGGTTCGAAGGGGACGAAGAGATCGTTTATCTGCACTGCGACGCCGCGCAACCCTCGATGACTTGCGACGGTTTAGTCTGCATCACAGAACCTGGTTGGTTCAACGTTTTGAACCCCTCCACCGGACAACTCCGGCGATTCCCACCCGGTCCAGATCCAGTAAAAGGTAAAATCTAGGATTAAATAGATGTTTGTTATTATCACAAAAAAAAAAAAGAAAGAAAAATGTTTGTTTCTTGCAGTCAAAGAAATTAAAATATTTACAACTTTCAGGAACGCAAGGAAATTGGCTCTTGGGATTCGGTAGAGACAAAGTTACGGGCAGGTATAAAATAGTGAGGTTGTGTTTTCGTGATTTTTATGAATTTGGTATTCTTGATATTGAAACTGGTGAATGGAGCAAACTGAGGACACCTCCTCATATTATGCTTCCGGGAAGTAAATCAGTGTATGTGAATGGATCAATCTACTGGTTACAAATTAGTGCGAGTTACATAATACTAGCCTTGGATCTTCACAAAGAAAACTACTATGGTATCCACCACCTTCCAGCTACGTGGGTCACGCAGGAAACCCAGTTAGCGAACCTTGAGGACCGTCTAGCTATGGCCATGACGACCAAAGTTGGGCCTGAATGGATACTAGAGATCTGGAGCATGGATATAGAAGAAAAAGGATGGAGCAAGAATTACTCATGGAGCAAGACTTACTCCATAGGTTTAGCCCATAGAGTTGTTGTATCCTGGCCATGGGAGAAAAGGTGGTTCACGCCCGTGTCGGTTTCTAAGCAAGGGAATCTTGTCTTCTATGATAATCACAAGAGGCTGTTCAAATATTATTCAGGTAGAGATGAGATTCGTTGTCTCTCCTCTAACATTTGTGTTATATCTTCTTACGTTGAAAATTTGGCCCCACTTCCGTTAAAACCAAGCCATGCGGATTCCAAGTTCAGCACATCCAGTTGCCGCTTGTTCCCTACGCGAGGTTCTTGGAAATTCAAAATTTTGAGAAGGAATGTTAGTATCCTAAATGTTTTGTTTACCTCTGCTTATTACCTCTCTAGGAGACTAGGAGTTACTTAGCGCTAGTGTCAAAATCTATTCTTTGGTTCAAGATCTTGTTTTGCTAATGCATTAAAAAACATTTTGGATATCAAAGTTTTGAAAAAGAATGAATTTGGGACAAAAAAAACTTATTCAAAGTCCAACAAGGCAACAAGTATATCCCAAAAAGCCAAAGCTCCAACTGGACCTGGTCCTAAGGATTAATTTCCCTTCCTTTACTTTTGATTCGCAAACTGCAAATTTGAATTTTTTAAAAAAGTTTTGGTACTAACCATGTAGCTTTGATAAGTTTTGAGCATATAATGCGATAGTTGATAGTTCTAATGATATGTATGAAATTACATCATCTAGAATTGTAGTTAATGATAAGATCAAGGACTAATTTGGTTATTATTCATTTAAATGAATGTGATTGTAATTTAATGATAGAGAAAGCCGTCTGATCACAAAAATCCAAATTGAATTCAGAGTTGAGAACGTATTTGGTTTTTCAAACTGAATCAAATCCAAAACACAATCAAACTGGAAAAGTCTGAACATAAATTTAACGACACAAAATAAACTCTCCTAAGAAAATTATAAGATGATGCAAAAGATTCTTCACCAAAGGAACTCCAATCTGCAGAAGAAGTTTGCTTCATCTTCAAAGGTCTTGCACACTCAGACCTGAAAAAGCACAACACAGCCCAAAACTCAGAACTTATGAACAACAAATATGAGAATGGATATGCTTTTCATAAACATAGTTACATACTTAAGCCAAAGCAAAGCAAGGTTTAGCACTCAAATGCCAAAATCAATAATTGTTTAGGTTTCAAGTGATTGCAACTGAGAAATTATGTGATAAGGAAGCTTACTTTATCGTACACAGATACTAAGCAAAATTCAAACTATGGAACTTAAGGTAAAGCTATATTTAAAGTCCATATAACATAATGAATCCAATTTTGTTGAATCTTGCAATACACAAACAATGTAATTAAGTAAAGAGAGATTTAGGACACATATGACAAACGCAAATTTCATTAAGGTTTTAAAATGATCCAAAGTGTGAGAACTTATTCAGTGTAGCAGAGAACAATGTAAATTGAGCAGAGCTAAGATAAAAAACCTGGAGGAAGAGACTGCTTAAGCTTGTCGGCTTTCTCTTGGTCAAAGACGCAAAGAGTGTAGAGGTACCTCGAACATCTGACCTTAAACTTGACAATATCCTTGCTTCTCTTGATCTTCACAGATCGTGCATCCTTCCTTCTAGCTGTCAGAAGGAAGTCCTTGATCTCGTGGATTTGCTTAGGCTGCAACATTCATAAAATCAATCAACAAATTCAATACAAGTTTCAAAAATCCTAATGATGATAATCAGACACGAGCTCAGAACATCAAACGACATTGCAAAAATCATAATATCAGAACAAAAATAAAAAACCAGACCTCGATTTCGGACACATATATGCAAATAACACTAAAACCTACAAGTTTCACTATATCCTAACCAAAGTAAGAAGCAATAATCAAAGCTGAAAATGTTACAAAAATCTACATTTTTTGAGAAACCTTTAAGACACAGGAACAACTCTACTACACTATGAATCGAAATCGAGCTAGAAAACCAAATCATAAGCATGAATGACGGCGTCGAGATGAATCGAAATCGAAAGACCGAGAAAAAAATGTACCATTATCGGATCTGTTGGTTGAAACTAGCCGCCGTCCACAGAGAGACTCGAGAAAATTCACCGCCGCGAGGATATAAAGAGATTTGAAACTTGTATCAAGAAGAAGCCCTAATTCGTAAACTTGAAATTCCAGATTTACCCTCTTGACTATTTATCAAACAATGGGCTCTAGGCCCAATCATATAATCGCTTGAAAGTCCCTTCACAGTTTTTCCCAATTTTACAGTGTGTCTTACACTTTGGTCCCTTATATTTTCGTTTCATTCTTTTCATACCCTAATCGGCTAATCATAACAAGATCAACCACGAAATCTTTACTTAGAAAAAAGAAATTAATTTTATTGTCACAAGAAAATGAACATTACAAATTTACACTTGTCGAAAGAAAAAACGATTCAGCTACAAGAGAAAGTTTACGAAGTCCTAGAGACACAGAGATGTTTTCAGGTCTGGTCTTAATGCTTCCAGGCCATGGAGTGACCATCCTCCATGTAAGGCTCAAGAAATCCAATGAACTGCCAATAAAAAGGACCAGAAACAAAACACTTTCAACAGAAATCTGACGAGTGGGTAAAACAGTTGCTGATCAAACACCTCTGAAAGAGACATACTTTGGTTCCATCTCGAGACCAACGTGCTCCATAGCCTTGAGTTACTCTTATCTCGAACACTTCCCCGTGTGGTGGAACAATATGTATGTTCATCCAACAACAATGGCCAATGAACCGATTGATAATGTCCATCGCACACTTATTTTTATCTGAATCTGAAAAAAAGAAGATGAAGACTTAAATAGGGAAATGCATCAGTGTCTTGCAGAAATTTGCTACTTACCAGATCCCTGAAGAACACCCCAAAATCCATCACTACTTCGATCAACATGCTTGGCTAATGCTCTAGCTCCATGGCTCAATCTAGAACCTTTTATCTCAACAATAGGGAAAAAGAAACATTCTAAGTTTTATGTCACACAACACAGCTTATCTATTCCAAAAGAATTCACTACGATGTATCTTGAATTATATCTTAGTTTTTGTGGTACCTTTGGCTTATATGGAAGCATGAATGAAGAGAGTAGCATCGATCTTGGAGGAGGCAGAGCATGAAAAATGGATCCAGTTGTGTGAGAAAGACCAAGAAGGTTTTGAACGCCAGTGTAACTCAAGCCCTGCAATTTTAAATGATGTTTTTGGAAGAAACATTGAATAAGAATCATAAATCACAGAAGAGAAGACTGAAAAAACTTGAACTCACAGACAGTATGTGAGCCAAAGCAACACAAGGCTGGACAACTGATTTACTGAGATTGATTGCCACAACACCATTGGAATTCTCTTGATCCATATCATACAACTTCCTAAACATTTGCATACCTAAGAATGTGAAATCTTTGAAACAGAACTGACGCAAAAGTTAATGGCTAAGAATCAAACAAAGAAAAAAAGCTTACCTTCTTCCACTGTTTTAGTACCAGGAAACACTTTCTCTGAACTCTCGGCTTTCAACAGCTCGTAAAAGGATGGATATTGGTGAACTTCCTATATATCAACATTTAAGAGAATCTATCACAATAAATCAGTTGCAGGAACACAAAAGCAAAAGAAAATGATGTCAGCAAATATATCTCACCAGAACTTCAAACATTAGACATTTATTTATCATAATCATTGAACCTCTTCGCCGAATTCTGAGGAAAGCAAACAACATTTGTGAAACACATATGACACAGAAGTAATCATGTTCAATAACTTTTCACTTCTCATACCTATCATACTCTGCTTCAAAACACCTTGCTTCAACTGTTTTGATGCCATCTAATATATCCATTCAAATTAAGCAACCCAAAATCCGATCAAGAACTCTTGCCACTTGATATTGACATTGACAAGCTAAAAAGAGGAAGTTTGAACCTTTCATGAGTGAGAATAAGGGCTCTTGAACGTGAAGCTCGCAAGCTACATCCGTCAAGGCCTGTTAGAATATTACAAAGAGAGCAAAAATTTTAACAATTAAAAGCAAACCAAAAGCTAAGCATTGACGACTCTAATTACCCCAATACCAATCAAATTCACATATTCACAAGTAATTCCAAGGTAAGGAATCTTCAAATTCACAACTGAGTCGGAGTTAATCAATCAAAAATGTTGTCTTTTGAAGTATAAACGACTGTGACTGTCTCACATTGACTAACTCAGAACCCTTTTGATTTATCAGCTTGCTCCACTCATCTTCTCTCTCCTTCAACCAGATTACCTCCTTCCCCAACGAAATATTCTCAAAGGTTCCACAGACAGAACCAAAATCAATTGATTTCAACAGACCTAAAGCAAGAAGCTTGTACAAGGGATAATCAGGAACACCTCCAAATCGGTGTAGCAAAGCGTGGGAAGACGATTCGATTCGTTCACCGTCGAGAAGAATTGATTCGCCGCAAAGAAGGCCAAAGCAGAAATCATCGGTGAGCTCTAAATCGAATTCTACACGGCAATCTAGTGTGAATTTCACCATCTCCTCTAGGCAATCTCTCAGTCTATCCATTTTTTACTCAATCGGAGCAAAGTTCAAGACTTTTCTCGAAGACTCCATAGTGAAATCGTTCTGATTCTAAAAAAATTGGTTTTTTTTTTCTAAACATGAGAAAGTTTGGTTTCTTTTTTGTTCTTTAAATTTATCCCAGAAAAAAAAAACTTCAATAAAATGGATCGTTTGATTAATAAATCAACAAATTACAAAAGTCTAAAACTTGTGGTCTAAGCTAATGCATTTTTGCTGAGATAGAAACAAAAAAAAACCTAAAAATTGAAAGAATCAACTTAGAAGAAAGTTTTGAAAAAAAGCAAAGAAGAAGAAGATGAATGAGTCATTCATAGTAGATTTGATGAAGGAAAGATTGCTTTATAGAGATCACAAAATAGCTCATCGTTCAACTTCTCCGGCAATGGTGGCATATGCTTCCATGTCTCTGACACATTCTCATTCAAACTGTAATATCAAAAAGAAATTAATGATATACTTAAAACAATCAAGAGAATCAAACATAGACATCATGGAATTTTGGAGAATTGATGATTATGTTACTTACTTTCTGATAAGGCTAATGATGTTCTCCCGGATTTTGCTGAAAAGGTCCATGTTTTCTGTGAGCTGTATAAGAAATAAACAAAAAGGAAAATAAACCAAGTTTTCTTAGTGATTATAGTATCTAAATTGGTCAATATACTTACGCTTAAGGATGTGGAATTTGCACAAATCTGATTGAACCATTGCTCATTCTGTTTAAGAAGCTCGTTCTCAACCCCTACATATCATTAAATGATGGCACTTTAAGAATATTTCCAAATCTTTTTTTTTAGAGATTTCCTGAAATCTTCAAGATTCGTTGAATCAAAGAGATACTTACCATGTTGAGATGGTTGAAACACTTGTGAAGCCACCACCATATCAATAATCTCCTGAAGAGATCAAACGTAAAACATATATTACATTAACAAGATGTGGTTAAACCTAAATTTAGAAGATTTAGATAAGATCAGAAGTCAGAACAGAGAGAGAGAGAAAGAGAGAGAGAGAGATTCTATGACTAAACCTTATTGTCAACTCTGGCTCTTCCCAATCCATTGTGATCTTCCTTTCTTCTCTTAGCGTTTTCTTTCTTCTTCTACAGCAAAAACAAAAGAAACCCAAAAAATTATCAAGAAACAGAGATAGAACAAAACTTGAAGAAGAAGAAACAAGGAGAAGACTTTACATATATCCATCTGCTACGTACAGCAACGTCCCTGATGGTCTTATTCTCAAAACCTGCCGCGATTTTCGAGTAACGTGTAATAGCACCACTCGATTCCGACGAATAACTTCATGAAAGACAAACAATATCAGAACAAGAAGAAATCAACAAAATCGTAAACCTAAGTTTTATTCTCATGAAACTAAAAGCAAAAAATTTGATCGTAAAGAATTCACAAACCTATCAAGGAGTTGAACCAGACGTTCGTCTTCTTCAGAGGTCCAATTCATGGCGATTCCCGATTGGCTTTTCAACGATGAGCTCTCCGTCGGCGTCGTCAAGTTGCCGGAGTAGGCTTTATGATGATTCATCTCTTCGTTTGTCCAGGGAGGATTCGCCATCAAACACACACGCACCAAAACCACCTAACAAGAACAAAGTAAAGAAACACAATCTAAAGCCCTAGTTTCTCGTATAACTCACGAACAATGTCTACGTATGCGGATATATATAATTACAAAAATAAATAATGGAATATTAAAAAGAACCAAATAAAACGTAGTCGACGAGATTAGGCATGACCATAGTTAATTAACCACAGGGTATGGTTATAAATTTTCATGATCTTTGATTTTTATTTATTTGATTTCTTTAGGGGTCGAGTAAATAATAGTAGTATATATATTAAAAAGAAAAAAAAATGTAGACAAGATGTACGGAACTCTCAAAGAAAGAAATTACGAAAGCTTTTTTTTTCTGTCTAAATCAATTTTAATTTCCATTTTTTTCAATATAATTCCTCCATTATTCTTTTATTTTAGGATAAAAAGTGGAAATATAATTTATCTGTACAGAAGGTCAGATGTGTATCAGTGTATGCATGCATAGGCACAGCTTGACTATTTATTTGTCAATTAGTTAATTCTTCTATGATTGCAAAGACAACTAAAAATGGTCTTATTATATTGAAAAATGAAAACTATCTAAGGGTTTACAAAAGCATCGTGCGTTATTATTGTAGACCATGAACACATTTAGTATATTTAAATAGTTGAAAAACTATATATGTGTTCATATATGAGCATACAACGAGACGACAAAAATTTATATGAGTAATGAGTGTACAATCTTGGAATTTGTTACTTTAATCATCGTGTAATTTACTTAACTTTTGCATAAAATGACAGATTAAAACAATTTATTCACATAATGTAAATTCCTAAGTTAATTTGTTTGTGTAGAATCTTGAAATTCTAGATGGTGGTGACTAGTTGTGATTATGTGCATTTGCGGGAAGAAGAAAAAATACGTGCATTTCATGCATACATGACGATTGACGAGTAATATGTACATCAACAGCAATAATAATTATATACGTTTCTCTTATTTTAGTAGCACTTTTTTTCACTGCAAGTATTTGAAGAGCACGTTAACCCTATTAGGCCTTTATTCATTAGAATTTTCCTCAAAATTAAGCTAGTATGAGAGAAAACCTGACCCCAATAAAATATATACTCAAATACTACAAAAAGAAATTGAAAATACCAAACCAATTTATAAAAGGAGAAATTAAATGGTACAGACAAAGACAGATACAATGTACAAATTATTAATTGGGAGTTTCCAGCTGTATTTATGCGCATATCTATATGACAAGCCACACGATACCAAGGCACAAGGCATAACATAAGCATAGCTGCATAAGCCTTAGAACTTCTTAAATAGAAACCTCAATCTTATGTAAACTATACCTCCCAAACAAACATGTAACCGGTAGCGTCGTAGCGAGGGAAAGTCGAAATAACCGTCAGGGGAAGCAAAGCCATATGGACTATAGGCACATACAAATAAAGAAGTGTTGTATACTACGCTCTCCGGACTTTTCACTTCTCATATCTATCATAATCAGCTTCAAAACACCTTGGTTCAACTATTTTGATGCTATCTAATGTATCCATTCAAATCAAGCAACCGAAAATCTGATCAAGAACTCTTGCAACTTCATATTGCTATTGATAAGTAGTTAAAACACACAAAATTTCAGGCATCTAAAAAGGAAGTGAGCACCTTTCATGATAGAGAATAAGGGCTCTTGAACGTGAAGCTCGCAAGCTATATCCTTCAAGTCCTGTTAGAAATATTGCGAAGGGAACAAAAAATTTAACAATCAAAAGCTAAGCATTGATGACTATGATTACCCCTAATACCAATCAAATTCACAACTGATGAGTCCAGAGTTAAAAATGTTGCTTTTGAAGATCAACTACGAATCAATGGCTCACTCACATTGACTGACTCGGAACCCAAAAGATTCATCAGCTTGCTCCACTCATCTTCTCTCTCCTTCCCCAACGAAACTTTCTCAAAGGTTCCATAGACAGAACCAAAATCAATTGATTTCAGCAGACTCAAAGCAAGACGCTTGGACAAAGGATACTCAGAAATTCACCTGCAAATGCTTCTACAGTATCGAAAAATCGGTGTAGCAAAGCGTGGGGAGAAGATTCGATTCCTTCACCGTCGGGAATAATAATTGATTCGCCGGAAAGAAGACCAGAGCAAAAATCACGGGTAAGCCCTAAATCGAATTCTACGCGGTAATCAAGTGTGTACTTCACCATCTCCTCTAGAAAATCTCTCAGTCTATCCATATTCACTCAATCGGAACAAAGTTCAATACTTTATCTCGCTCGAAGAGTCCAAACATGCCCTCCATTAGTTCTGATTCTTAAAAAAATGTTCTTTTTTTTCTGAACATGTTTTTTTTTTTTTTTGTTCTCTAACTTTTAAACCTAGCAAAAAAGCATCAACCAAAAAATTCGTTCGATTAATTATAAATCAACTGATAACAAAAGTCTAACGCTTATATTCTACGAAAAACCTGATAACAAATCTGTGCTCATTCTGTTTAAGAATATTTCCAAAACTATTGATGATGTGAAAATTCTACTTTATTCTATTGTGTTTATACACTACGTTATGTTCAATTGGTCCACAACATCAATGAGGGAAATCAAACTTTGGGACCCTTTTAATTTCTAGCAAACATAGATAATTTGACTTTCAATTTAATTAGCTTTTAAGATTCTCCAGAAAGGTAACTATGAAAAATTGCAGTAACTAGAACATGTAAAAGAAAAAAAAGTAGCTTAAAAACAAAATCTAATTAAAAGAGAATTGAAGAAACTGCTTAATCCTGTTGCGCCGCCGTCCAAAGTAACAAGCTAACAACCCACAAGCCATGCAGCTGAAAAGAACGAAAATAATAATTTAAACTTCAATATATCTGCCAGATAATATATATTTAAAATGGATTCATTAATTAAATTAGCCTCTTACCCGATTAGAATGGTTAACTCTGGAAACCTTATCTTCATCAAAGACGCAATAGAAGAAGGAACTGCAAATACGAAATCATAAATTAAGAAATATTTCCTTTTCAAAGAAAATGTGAAAAATAAATGAGAAATGTTTATTTACAGTCAGAAAAACCAATGTACGTACCTTCTAAACCCATTATTGACATCCTGATACTGAATCGTATAGAGTCCGTAAGCCCGTAAAACGCTCCTAACCTCAACGACCAGCTCTAACAGAATAAAAAGGAAATTAAATAAATTATTAAATATATGATTTATCATAAGAACATATAAAGTTAGACATCTTTTTTTACCTGGAGTGACGTCAAATATAGGAGCGTGCGAAGATTGTAAAGCGAACCCTCGTCGATCTTCCAAATCATAATTACTCCAGTTATCTGCATAACGAAAAAAAAGAATTTCACAAATACACTTAAAGAAACATTTAGAAAAATAGTAAAGTATACATTTTTTTTTTACCATGAGCATAAGTACTATCCAAGTTTTCTTATCCCACCCTGACTTGGCACGCACGACTGTGTTTTGCTGCATTTAAAAAATCATAAAAGAAGAAAAATAAGTCGATATGGTCAAAGCTAGGGTAATCAATCAACAAGAGTTGGAGACAAAAGAAAACGAAAATAATAATCAAATGGCAAAAGAATGGCGTCAAGATATACAAGAAAAGAAAATAAAAACAAAACAAAAATCAAATCCCGCCGCCTTTTTCAGTTTGATACTTTCTCGGGAAAATGCAAGAAAGTGAAGAGAAACACAAGAAAGTGAAGAAAGAAAGCTAAGACAAACACATTCAAGTGAAGAGAACATTCAATTAACACAAATTAAATCTTCTTCTTTAATCAGCAAACAAACGCAATCATAAAACTTTATCGGGAAACTTTCTCGGAAAGCGAAGAAAGAAACAAACAAGATTTAAATGGCAAACAATGAATGAATGTCAAGATAAATGAATTTGTCGTCACTTTCTCTTCTTCTTTAATTAGCAAACAAAACAATCAATGAAATCTAAAACTTTCTCGGGAAACTTCATCAAAAAATAAACTTTCTCGGAAACCCTAATTAAAGAAAGGGAAGAAAGAAAGAAAGAAAGAAAGAAACAGAAATAGAATGTATGTACTTACCGTTTTTGTTCCCCCATGAGAAGTCCTCAGTGCTGCTGCTTCCTGATTCGGTGACGGCGCATGATTATTGCTGACACTTTTTGTCGCCGTCGTTTTCCCAGCATTCTTCTTGCTTACACTTTTACTCGTCATTGCCAAAATAATTAATGATAATGTGATGATAGTATTGGTATGAAGACTGCGCTTACTTATATACTGTTTTCAGTCTTAACGGCTTTATTTATTATTATTATTATTATTGATAAAATTGATTAACGGCTTTATTTAGAGAAACGCAGTGCTTTGTTTTTATTTAAAAGGGGGAAAACGGCAGGCATTTTGAGATTCAGAGAGATACAAACCACACGGATTTTATTAAAACCTACGTGAAACACAGTGTTCTACGCGACGTCGTATCATCTGATTCAAGCCGGAAGTATCGACGGAACCGACCTTGCTCGACATGATAACGGCATCCTTCGAGCTCTCCTCTGTTATAAGGCCGGCTTATGTAATCTCTCTTTCTCTTTGTTCCTCTTTCCACTTTTATCGTTTAATTTCTGAATTGTAACATTCATTGATTTGGTTTGTTTTGGAAGATAATCGGAAAGCTGTTGAGATCCTTACTGCTCTTCGTTGGTCGCCTCTCTCATCATACATACTAGGAAGGAATTTGACGATGGATTTCAAGTAGCTCGGGAACTAATTAAGTAGATCAAATTAGGGTTTTCTCCATCTTCCTCCATCTTTTTGTTTTGTCTGCCGTTCGAATATATCGTGCATATCAAGGAAATTCAAAGATATGTCCTAAGTTACGACTAAATGGTAAAATTATTATAATTTTTTTTTTATATGTACCTATAGTTTTAGCCATTGAAACAAAAACAAAAAATTGGTAGGAGCCATCGAAACAAATTTAAACACATGCGATTTAGACTACTAGTAATATATATACTTGATAAATGTTTTTTTTTTCAGCATATATCTATTGCTTGTTTGTTAAAGCAACTTTTTTTTTTTTTGTGTTTTTGCAACATGTTAGAAAACAGCTATTTTTTTAACCGGGGAAAAAATATTATATAATTTCATATTTGAATCAAGCATCCATGACCTAAAAAAGTCATGTTTGATCTTAAAAGTATATATTAGCATGTTCTGAATTATGTTTTCCACTGAAATTTGATCCATCTTGAATAATACAAGAAAACATAATACATACAAGAAACTTGCTTCCAAAAGTATCAACATTGATTCAGTAGGTATCCAAGAATATGGAAACGGAAGATGGTCATATGATATGATCAATGATTTGAAAATGCTAATAACCCCAAAGCTTGATTAGATCTAATTACAAATTCGTAAGCAACTGCAATAAATAAAATAACATTGTGGAGAAACTTGAGCATGTTATCACAAATAAGTGAGATAAAATTACAAATTAAAGACATGATTGAGAGAGTAACAATTAATCCAACAAGCTGAAACTGTAATTAAAGACAAAAGAGAAAGAATGAGATTAAAAAGATGAGAAGTGTATTATTATATTACAGTCAAATATTGCAAGCGTTAGAAACGTTTGGTGGATCACATATTAGTATCTTATTTGTCATTCTAATGTCATTCTCCATACGTTACTGTGTTGTATATATACCTGCTCTCCCTTTTTTTTTTTTTAATCGTTTGTGTAGAACAACTGATAATTTCATGTATACTTGGTGCCATGTTTTACTCTCTTAACTGTTTTTATTCTCAAGCAGGCCATATTAGCTTCTACTTTCCTGGGTCAGCGACAATATTCACAGGAGACCTGATATGATAGCTTATCCTGTGGTACCCTTTCAGAAGGTACCCCGGAACAGGTAACATTAATTGAAAAATAGGCCTAAAACCTAACCGGTGAACCTGATAAATAGCAATATTCAACCTTCTCTAGCTTTACACTCTTATTGTTATTTCTTGTGGCAAAATAATGCTAAGTGACTTGCGGTTTTTGAAATCGTGTTTCTATTTCAACCTTATCTATCTTTGCACTGTTATGGTGATTAATTTCTTGTGGCAAAAATGTGATAAGTGAGTCAATGTTATAGAGACACCACTTGGGAGTTCTATAATAACCTAACTTCATAGTTTCTTCCATAGAAGCAAACTTATTTTGCTTTGTCGCTTTATAATGATAAAACCCTTTTTTGCCTATATATGTCGCAGATGCTTTCATCACTCCAAGAGATAGGGTCGTTACCAGAGGACACAAATATATACTGCGGCCGTGAAAACACAGCAGTAAGGTCTACCACATAAATACTGTCTTATCTCACATTGTTCAACTCTCTGTGACTTGGTGAAGTAAACTATTTATGTCTCCTCCATGATACAAGGAAATCTCAAGTGTGCACTATTCGTAGAACTAAAGAATGAAACTCTTCAGTCTGTGCAACCCGAGTCGCCCATCTTCGCAGCCAGATCGGTAAAAGCACTTATCTATTCCCTAGCTATGTCCTTTGGCTCTCTAAACCTCTTTCTGGATTTCATTTTTATGGGTTTTTGTATATAGATTCCAACTACTGTTAAGGTCGAGAAAGCGTGTTACCCACTGAAGGCTGAAGCTTTGCGTCGTATACATAGGATCAAAATTTATTTCAGATAATTGGATAGAGATTATAGGAAATGAATAACAACAGATAAATTTTGGGTATTTTTCTATTATTGGGTTTTTGAGTACAATAGGATCTCCTGAATTGAATTTACCCGATGGGTAAGTTAGTTCCTTATAAAAAAGGAAATTAATTGAGAAAGCCCAATCGTAAAGTTTTAAGGAAAACGCCCAAGCGTAAAGTATTGAGGAAAAGCCCAAGTGTACTTGTAAGTTGAATAATACCGTACATGAGATCTGTAGTTATCGAAAGAAACCTATCGAATGTTGTTTGGTAAAAAAGAAAACCCTAATTTGAATGCCGATATACTTGAAGAATTGTTCCTTAGGCTTCCCCTGAAATCTCTGGGCAGATTCAAAAGCGTGTCCAAAGAATGGAAATCGATACTGGAATCAAAGTGGTTCGTGGATAGACATCTCATTCTTGCAAAATCTAGCCAGAAAATCCTCTTAGCCTACGACTGCGAATGCGGCGTCTCTCCGAGTCTCCTCCCCGGACTGCGGGACTTCGAATGGAGCCAAGAGTTTGTATATTTGCACTGCGACGCCACACGACCCTCGATGAGTTACGACGGTTTGGTCTGTTTCCCGGAAGCAGAGTGGGTCAACGTTTTGAACCCCTCCACGGGTCAACTCCGGCGATTCCATTGCCCCTCCCTCTCGAATCCCCGCCCAAACTCCAGCACGTTTCGGGAAGGTACAATCTATTTTTATTTGTGTGACTCAAACCTTTTTTTGGTACGATCATGCATGATTTATTTGAAATATATTTTCAGAACCATGGACGACTTATTTCCCGGGATATTGTGCGATGGGATTCGGTAGAGACAATGTTAAGGGTAGCTATAAAGTAGTGAGGATCTTCTTTGATCCTACCTATTGCGATATCCTTAATGTCAACACTGGTGAATGGCGGAAACTTTGGAAACCACGTCGTTGCAAGGTTGATGTCGGAAGAAAATCGGCGTGTGTCAACGGATCAATCTACTGGTTACGAATTAGGCGTGGTCATGTCTACACGATAGTAGGTTTGGACCTCCACACGGAAGAGTTCCATGATGTCCCACGTCCACATCTTCCCAAGGGCATCATGTTTGAAGCACAGATTGTAAACATTAGGGATCGTCTTGCCATAGCCATGCCCGTTTCCCATCCTCTTCACCAATACGAGCTAGAGATATGGAGTATGGATGGACAAAAAGAAACATGGAGCAAGACTCACTCCATTAGTTTAGCTTCTCTTGGTATCGTGGAGTCTAGGTCCTTCATACCCGTGACTCTCTCTAAGCAAGGAGATGTTCTCTTCTATGACGATGAAGGCTTGTTGTTCAAGTATATTTCAGAGAAAGACAAACTCCAAAGGCTCCCTGAAGACATTTGTGTTATATCTCCTTACGTTGAGAACTTGGTTCCACTTCCGGCTATACAAGTCGAGTTAAGGACTGGAATTACTTGCCTCCACCCGGAAACAGAAACAACGGTATAATTTACAGTTCATCAAATGGTGTTATTGGAAATATGATGAACTTGTCGTCTAACCTTGTTTTATGATTTGTAGGATGGGATGTTCAGAGGTGAGAGAATCTTCCAACTTAAACTGGTCGACCAGATCTTTTATGACATGTATGTTTTTTTGATCATGAGTTTTGTTATTTGATTGAACTCCAACAGATCTAGGAACTTGGCTATGGAAGAAGAAAATCCTCATGCTTCTCTGTTTTCTGTGTGGTCTGCTGCTTCTGCACTTCTGGCTAACTCTTGAACCCATCCAGAAGAAGGCTGTTTTTTCAGTTCCATTCGTCATCATCCGGATGTTTTTAATCTTGTTTTTCTCATAAAACAAATCCTCGGTATGATTCTTTATTCACTTTCGATTTAATCTAACTACTTTCTCGTCTGCTCATTAATGCTTATTAAAAAGCAGACGAGAAAGCTGCAGATTCAAAAGTGAATTAAAAATTCAAAAAAAAAAACACTTGGGAAGAAAAACTAAAATCACATTTTATACAACTTTTTTTTCTTTTCTTAAATCTACCAGCAGAAATATACCCTCAAAAACATCTGCATGATGAGGTATAAAATCACCAGAGGTGTCTAGAAGTACAGAAGCAGCAGGCCAAGCAGGAAACATACAAGCATGATCAGTGGAAAAGACCAAACCATTCATGCATAAAAGGAGAAATCATATGGTACAGACTAAAGATAGATACAATGTACAAATTATTAATCGGGAGTTTCCAGCTGTATATATTAATGCATATCAATTAATACATCCTCTCATGTCTAATTCTTAATTTTGTATATTTCTGAACTTGAGCTTTTTATTTTGGAGGGTTGAAAATCAATCTGCAATTGATTGTCTATATATGAACTCTGATTTTATTTTTTTCTTGCTAATTGTCGTAAATTTTAGTGATAAGTTTAACCAAATCCGATCGACACTAAACTACCCTCAGTAGAGCTGATTCAATTTTATCATCTTCTATCCAAATTTGAGGTTGATCTAACTGTGGAAAATCTAATGTGAAATGTTAACGGATTTGTATAATCATTTGCTCATTATTTCTGATCGCCATCGATCAAATCATTATTGGAAACAGTGAAAAAAAAATCCGTAGTTATTGTGCTACATGATCAGTCTTTTGTGGAAATTTCAATCAAAATCATCCTTTATATTTATATATTAGAAACAGTCTTATACACAATAATAATTAATAAGAACAAAACTATATACAAAAACAAACAGAGAAATGGGATCTCATAATTTTGCATGGGAAATCAAACGACGCGCAGAATCCGAGTTACGATCACATGTTAACACGTTGCTTCACTATCTAAACGATCAAAACGTAAACTATATACATATACTTAATTAGTTGACAATTAGTATTGTTTTCTCTTTTGACCGTTGCTTCTTACATGTCAGTATGTCACATATGTAAGATCTTTATCTATAAAGCCCAATCTGAATTTTCTTCCATTTCAAAATTTTCACTAAAATGTTATTATAAAAGGATTTCCTGTATATCAAATCATCATCTTTATTTTTACTTTCATGCAAATTAGTAGTTCTCAAAAAAAATTCAAAAAGTAGACACAGCAATTAAATGCCTTAGACGACATTGGGCTGGCGACTTAGCTTGCACGGCAGATAAACAAAACTCAACAAAGATCCGATAATTATGCTTGCACAACTTTGCATTTCAATTAAATTTTAAGTACCTTACTTAAGAGCCCCAATCCTAGTCAGAAATGCCACGTGGTCAAAACCCCATCAGTGCCTTCACAATTTATCAATCTCTCCTTATATAAACCCTCACTAGTCCTCAACAACACACCTCTTTGTCTTCTCACCGTGAGATGGTTATGATTCATATCTTCCTCACCGCGATGGTGGTTGGAGGCGTTAGTCTCTTCCCGGAGACAGCAGAAGCAACCGTGATGGGACCGTCGATGCAGAAACTGACGTGGCATTACTACAAAGTTTATAACACTTGCGAGAATGCAGAGAATTTTGTGAGGCACCAAGTTGAGATATTTTACAAGAACGATAAAAGTATTGCTCCTAAGCTCCTTCGTCTCCTCTACTCCGACTGCTTTGTCTCCGTACGTTTTTTCTTATTCTTGTCTTATCATTTAATCATTTATATATATCATATGAACCCAAGGATATATATGAGTATAACCACAAAACTAATCGAGTGTTGAGGAAGTTTAACTAGAAGATCTACTAATTAGTCCTCTCACATTGTGTGACACTATAATGATAGGGATGCGATGCATCAGTTCTTCTAGAAGGTCCGAACTCAGAGAGAATGGCGCCACAAAACAGAGGACTTGGAGGATTCGTGCTCATAGACAAAATCAAAATAGTCTTGGAACAGAGATGTCCCGGTGTTGTCTCTTGCGCCGACATTCTTAATCTTGCAACTCGGGATGCTGTTCATTTGGTAATCTATCTTTCTCTGCACCTCTAACTACACATGGATCATTATAGATACTGACAAGCTGAGGGAAATGATTCATACAGGCGGGTGCACCATCTTATCCTGTGTTCACAGGCAGGAGAGATGGTTTGACCTCGGATAAGCACACCGTGGACCTACCATCGCCATCCATCTCATGGAACCAAGCCATGTCTTATTTCAAATCCAGAGGCTTGAGTGTTCTTGACATGGCTACACTTCTAGGTCAGTCACCTTTTTCTCCTTGCCAATATCTTACAAACCGGTTTATCAGAATTTAGGAGTTCGAACTCTGTTTCGGATAGATGTAGATTTGGTCTCGGTTCATACTTGGATGGTAGTTTTGGTCTGGTTTGAATCGCTTAAACTGAATTACTCCCTCATCAGGATCACATTCAATGGGAAGAACACATTGCAGCTATGTCGTTGATCGACTCTACAATTACAATAAGACCGGTAAACCATCTCCGACTATGAACAAGTATTTCCTGTCTGAAATGGCAAAGCAATGTCCTCCAAGAACAAGGAAAGGCCAGACCGATCCGCTCGTGTACCTAAACCCGGACTCAGGCTCAAACCACAGCTTCACAAACTCATTCTACTCGAGAATTCTATCAAACAAATCTGTACTTGAAGTAGATCAACAACTGCTTTACAATGTTGACACCAAGCAAATATCTAAGGAATTCTCAGAGAGTTTTGAGGATTTTCGGAAATCATTTGCTCTTTCGATGAGCAAGATGGGAGCGATGAATGTGTTAACTAAAACAGAAGGTGAGATACGAAAAGATTGCAGGCGTAGAAACTAAACACAAAAGCACAATCTCTCTCTGATCTCTGTGATTGCAAGAAGAATAAACAGAAGGTATAAACAAGAAACAACAGGAAAGAAGATTGAAATATTTATGTTTCAGATATAAATTTGTTGTCATTTATTACATTGTAATCGCCGTGAAAAGGCTTCTCTATATAGCTAAAGGAGAGATTGATTCTTTTGGTGTTTCTAAGAAAGTAGAATTTTTTTTCTGATATTCACATAAGTATAAAGGGTATGCAGTCAAAATTGTTCCCGCACAAAAGAGAAAGGAGATTTTATTTGTCTAACCTCTTTGGTTATGAGTCTTAGACTCACAGTTTGTGAAGTACCAAGTGATTGAATTTCACAAGCTTCAAAATCTCTCGCTAGTTCCTTCCTGCTAGCTTCAAGGAGAGGCCAAACAATTATAAGAATATAATTTTATTACATAAACAACAAATGGCAAAGGCTGTAGTAGCGATTGTTTGCCAACACTTCCTCGTATGTTTACAAGTCATGATATTTTTCTTGATCCAAGATTTCATTATGTATGAACATATTCTTCAGGTGAAAACATTTACCTCAAAAAAGTTGCCAAACATGTTGTAGACACAGATCAAAGCATGAATCTTCAAACATAAACCCCTTCCTCGTAATCCGTAACTAAAGATGACCTACTTGTGTGAGCTTCTATTTCTTTTTCTTTTTGTTTTATATTTTGACCTGTTATAGGTGGAATTCTGCCTAGTCACCATTCTGAGTGGCAGGACTATGATGTAAACTTGGTGTTTGGCTCTGGTTCTCACCATGGCTCTGAATCTCCTCCGGCCTCTGGCTCTCCATATGGGTTTGATGCAGGATTTGAACCTGGTTGAGATTCTGAGACTGAGTGTGGCTCTTGGTCTTGATTACCTGACTCTAACAAGCGTTTAACAGTTAAATGGAGAAAATAGAATAATCCAGCAGCAGAAGCTTTCTTTGTAGAGCATATCTAACCTTGTACATGTATTTTCTACGAAGTTTCATGGCTGTGCGTATGCATCTTCTCACGCGGAATACAAGAACCTTATCATTGAAGATCTGCACAGTATATATCTTCTGAATCAGTATAGATGCCTCTCAGCAGTTGAGCATGTAAGGAGAACAAAATACAAATGAAACAAACTTTCTACCTGTATCATGTCATCGATCGAGCGAGTTTCTTTCATGATCTTATGTCGATTCATGATTAAAATCGCCGCCACACAAAAGACAGGAAGAGCATCATCCCCTTTTTTTATGGATGAAACTACACAAGGGACATGTGTTGTTCTATCATTCCTTGACCAAAGACTTCTTGTCAAACCACAAAAGTGATATGAGGATGATGCTGCCTTTATCTCACTCTCATCAGAGAAAGGACCAGCAGTCTTTGGCAACGGACCACTCTTCGGCAGCAAACCGCTCCTCGACAACAAACCACTACTCTTTGAAATTGGCCCACTCTTTGAAATCGTTGGTTCCCTCTTTGTACTATTCCCAATTCCATCCTCTATCGATTCTTCACTCACCTCAGGTTCAGATTTTCTTGTAAGCTGAATCACCAAAGGCTCCAAGCAATCATTCTCCAAAGTTTCAGCAACAGATTCATCATAATCAGCTGCCCACATCATCTACATCAAAGACAAAACCCATAGATAAATATGACTAACAGAGACCGAACAAAAGACTCAGTATTTGAAGCAAACAGAAGAACTACAAACCTCCCACATCCTGAGAGCTTCGTTAAAAGACAATTCCCGTCGGAACAGAACTAAGAGCATCCGGAAGGCAAAATGAAGACTTTCAGCCCCAATTCGCGATAAGTGGGAAAATATATCTTTATCTGTTATCTGCAATATGTGCCACAGTGATTGCAATTGATCCATCACCCCAGTTGGTCCCTCCATTTGGAAATTCGCACGCTACACAAATATACACGTAGCAAAAGTATAATGCATGATCAAATTAAGCCAGAACAAAAAATTATGACATATTAAGCATTGGATTTACCGTTCTTCTTATAAGCATTTCAAAGCACCAAAAGGCATCAGCATTATCTTCAAATAGAACCACGAAAGGAGAGACTAAATCACTCATTCCTATCAACAGATAAGCAACCAGAGAGTTAGTATCCTAAACCAATAAAAGCTCATAAAGTTTTCATTTAACATATCTAAGAAATCCAACTTAAGAGATATATGGCACCTTGGCAATAACCAGTTGCAGGATCAACCCAAGCATAAACCGCAAGGATATCCGACATTCTTCCTAGATTTCCTGGATCCTCATAAAACTCAAGGTGGCTATCCGTCCTTACCACATCAACAACTGAGGAAATGAGAAAATTTTGACTATGAAAAGATGCAAGCTGGGACACAAAAAGGAAGATTTTTGCAAGTTATTGAAACAAAAGAGACAAGGAATAATTCCTACCTATTCGATGCAAAGTCCAAAGCCATTCAGACACTCGATCTTCCGTGACATTCCCAACACGAGAGGGAGTCTCCTTTACTGATGCCATTTCAGGGACATCTGATATTCTCAAACCATCAACTATTTCTGCATTGCGACCAGTATGAGACGATGGTCCAACAGAATCCTGATGCATCACTTCGATCTCTGGAGTGGACCTACGTTGTTCTCTAATTAAATCAGCATTCTTATCAATTCGAAAATTGTGCATTCCCTCATCCTCAGATCGTAATTCACTTTTCAATGAAGCATCCTCGTCTGGCGTAGAAACCTCAATCTTATCTAAACTATTCCTCCCAAACAAATCTGTAACCGGTAGCGAGGGAAAGTCGAAATAACCGTCAGGGGAAGCAAAGCCATATGGACTAGAGGCAGATACAAAGGAGGAAGTGTTGTATACTACGCTCTCCGGACTTTCTCTTCCACTTACTAAATCAACTGACTCACTAGAACTTCCCCTTCTGTGTACATGAGATGTATCAGTACCATTATTACTCCAATCACTGTGATGATTTTCAGTATTAGCATTATCATTATTATCTATATAAGCTTCTTCTCTGTTTTCATCTGTAGTAGCAACCTTTACTGCCTCATCTCTATAAGATTTCCGCATATCCATAACTTTAGACCCCACAACATAGGCAAGTGAACCAGTTCCCACACTTGAATGCATCGTTTGACATTGCTTGAGCAAATCATTATATCGCTTCCTGCGTGAAAATTCCAATAACGCTTGTAAGCTTTTTAATTAAACTTAACTTGCTATTAGCACTCTTTCTCACTCTAAGCTGTGATCAAACAGTCTAACCTTCGAGCTACCCTGAGTTGATTACGGTACTCAGAGGTGCTGCTCAACGCATAACAACCAAGGAGAAATTCCCAAACTTCAGCTCTAATAGACGGGTCGATTCCCTGATAAAGAAAAACATCATACAGTAAACCACTGTACTGAAAGAATAATCAAAAGTATTAATAATTCTTCTGCCAAAGTGAAAACATACCCCCAAAATAATTAATTTAAGCGCCTTTTGGAAACCAGAAACTCTTCCGTCGCTATCAAAAGACGCTTGCCACTTCTCTGGCTTAAGCATTTTGCCGATCTGTGCATTATATATCAACTTTAAGTCATATAATTACATTACAAACGTTTGATTGAAAAAAATGATTACTGATGCTGAATTTAAAAAGGGTTAAAGTGAAGATCTTACAGTTATAACAACCTGTATCCGCGATTGTGAAAGACAAGGCTCGCTCAAATCTCGAACCAAAGATCCAACTTTCTGCAAACTCACTACACCCGCTTTTCCACAGCTCCATTGTTTTCCTTCTCCACCAGAACACATCAGTCCTCACTTCCCAACTCTTCTGCAACATTAACCAAAATTAATAGAATCTACATCAATAAAGATCCTTTAGAATAACCCAATAACAAAAATCAGCGAGAAACTAAAGGGTCCAGATCAAAATTCAACATTTTTCAGAAATCCAATAGAATCACAGATCTTACTGTAACCAAATTCACATTTTTCAGAAATTCAGATACAAATTTGCGTCCCTCATATCTATCCATAAAACATGATTCAGATTTCACGAATAAAAACATGGATCAGATCATTCGAATCAGTCAGATTGAATTGCATTTCATTCAAAATACGTAGACAAGTTTCAATAATCAATATACCACAAAACAAAAATAAAAAACAGAAACTTTCCTTAAGCATTACATATACATTTTCGCGCTCAGATACATATCTTAATGTCGTTTGATCAACGCAGAAAGCTAAGAGAAGAACCTGAATGTCAATGGTCATCGAGGATTTTCTTCTCCGATCTCCATTTTTTCATCGACGCAAAGTTTCTTCCTTTTTTTTTTGTTCTTCTCGTCTCTCTCTCTCTCCTTTTCTGATGAAGTGTTTTTTTTTTCCGCGATCTGATTTTGTTTTATTTTACATAGTATTTCTTCTTTTTTTTTGTCCTTCTATTTAGCCAATTAGGCTAACGTTCTTAGTCAAAAAAAAAAAACTCTTGAGAAAAATTAATAAGCTATATAATCTCAAAAATGTGATATAATAATTGACATAGCCTTATAAGACCAATCGAAAAGTCGGTGCCATAATTCATACAATTAATGGAGACAAAGAATCATACAATTATAGTTTTGTTGTAATTAACTTATAAGAAGATTGTTGTAATTTGGTTTGGTTTGATAAAACTTCCGTTTGATGCGATTTAACTTTTTATTTGGATTGAGTTTGGTTTAGTATCAAAATAACTTGGAAGTATCCAAAAAACTCATTTGATTTTATATTATAAGGTAAAATTATATTATTTTATATCTGTATAGTTAAAATATAAATTTAAATAAATTATGTTTATTGTATTCGGTTTTGTTAGAGTACATTAAAATCAGTTCCGGTATGGATATTTTGGTTTTGTTTTTTGCCATCTCTTTTATCCAGGAAACAAAAACAACAAAAGCCCAACAATAAAACCCAAACCGAGCCCAATACAGTAAACAGTCGACTGACGATGAGAAAAGAGTCGAGATTAAAACGATGGCGTTCAAGTAAAGACTAGTCACTCCCACACTCGCTCTACGCTCTCACTCAAGGTCAAGTTTGCGATTGACGCGAATCAGATATCCTCTTTCTCGCTGATCGGAGTTTCCGTTTCCGTCGCCGGCCGGAGAATCTGATTAAAGGAAGATGTCTACTAGTCAGGAAGAAGACATGAAGCCCGGAGTTGAAGGAGATCAAATCAGTCTCCATGTCAAAAGCCAGGTTTTGTTCTTCTCTGTCTTTTGTAATCTTGTGTTCTTATTGCAAATTGTAACATTGAAGTCTCATGAAAGCTTTTCATTGTTGAAATATTTCGACTATTGAACATATTTGTATTCAGCATCTGAGTATCGAGTTCACGCAAATTTTACTTTTGTTGTGTTATAAAGCATTTGAGTAATGAGTATTGAGCATTTGAGTATCAAATTGTTAGGATGGACAGAAAGTCTTCTTTTGCATCCACAGACGCACTCGGCTGAAAAAGCTGATGAAATCTTACTGCGACTACCACTATTTGGATTTCACCTCAACGGTTTTCGTGTTCCATGGGGATCGTTTTCACGGCGAGCAGACTCCACATGAAGTATATCACGCTCTCTTGCCTTTCCCTTTTGTAGTTTTTTCGATTTGTAATAGTTTTCTTAACCCCAGAATCTTTAATTTTACAGCTTCGTATGGAAGATGGAGATGAGATCAATGCCATGTTCCATCAGACTGACTATCAAAGAGCTTGGATCAATCTCAAGGTCACGGATCAGGTTTTGTCTCTGTTCTCTCTTTCTTCTTCTGTGTCCATTAGTGTTTATTGTAATCTTGTGTTATATGGAAATTATAACCTGGATGTTTCATGAAAGCTTTGTATTGTTAAACATCGAGTATTGAGCATCTTTTGTATCAAATGTATGAATACTTAGCATCTGAGTATTGAGCATTTTTGTATCAAATAGGATGGACGGAAAGTCGACTTTCGTATGCACAGGCGCACTCAGCTGAAAAAGCTGATGAAAGCTTACTGCGACCGCAAGTATTTGGATTTCGACTCAACCGTTTTCCTGTTCCATGGGGCTCGTTTCAGTGGCCAGCAGACTTCAGATGAGGTATATCACGCTCTCTTGCCTTTCACGTTATTTTAATATTCTGTTTTTCGATTTGTGTAATCTCCTAAACCCCAGAATCTCCAATTTTACAGGTTGGTATGAAAGATGGAGATGAGATCAATGTGATGTTCCATCATACCGAAAACCAAAGAGCTGAGATCAATCCCAAGGTCAAGGACCAGTTTTGTCACTGTATTCTCTTTCTCCTTGTTCTCTGTCCGTTGTAATGTTGTGTTTTTGATGAGCTCGATCGTGTCTACTTCAGGTTGAAGAAGAGTTAAAGGAAGCTGTTGACTTGGTTGATGAGCTAAACGCTGAAGCGGAGACTCTATCCCATTTGGAGTGTTTGCAGTTGTCTCAGTAAATAATAGAGATTGTTGTTTGAGTCTTTTATGCTTGTTTAATTGTTTTTATCAATAATTGTGAAATCTTAGTTAAGTGAAACCTTAGTTAATTGTGTACAAGGTAAAGAGCTTAAATATAAGTTTTGTAGACCACTCATAATAACTGAACTGACGAGATGAGTTTGTAGAGGGTGATTGAGATTTTGGAAGTCTCATGAAAGCTTTGCATTGTTAGGCATTGGGTATGTATAGTATTGAGCATTTGTGTCATGAAAGTTTATAGTTGCTATGCAAATTCTACTTGTCCTCAACATTTGTCAAATCCAGCTCTAATAACAGAAGACACGATATATGCAGTCTTTGACACTATACAGACTAGTCGTGTAAACTTTCCTAAAGGTTAAATACAGTTTGAGCCTGTATATACACCACAAAATAGTTATGAACTAACTAGTCTTAGCTTCGTAGTTAGAGTTTTTCAGTTATCAAAACCTCTTATAATCAACCACTAACCCATCATAGCTTGGTTTAAAAAAGATATACTCCCTCCGTATTTTAATAAGTGTCGTTTTAGGATTTTCTTTTTTTAAAAATTAGATGTCGTTTTCAAATTTCTATGCAAAATTTCTTACTTTTTAATGTTTTATGATGTCATAAAACATTAAAAAGTAATATATTTTGCATAGAAATTTGAAAACGACATCCAATTCAAAAAAGTAAAAATTCTAAAACGACACTTATTAAAATACGGAGGGAGTATTACTTTGTGAATCTTAGTGGATTAAAAATTAGAATGTAATTGCTGCATAATTAGATTTGTGTGTCCTCCAGATGTTTCTGGTCGTCTAGTGCAGTTCTACAGTTGTTTATTTTGTCATCTTAGTATCCTACATTATATTACATAGTAGCATTTTTATAACAATTTAAGGAGTAGATATTTTACAATCATACGTCATATACTTTATTAAAATGTTGAAACAAATAAAAGATTGATTACAACAAATAGGGAGACAGGCAAAGTCCTACAAGCCTAGCTGTATATTGTTGAAGATTCCACGCTTAAAGAATCTTGAAAGAGAATTCGAATCTCGAAAGTAGAATCTAATCGGACGGCCAAGATTCACCGTATATCAAGCTTTCGTCATTAATTTATGTGGAGAATATGTAAGATTAGAGGAAGTGGGTCATTCGTGACATCATTAGAACATTACAATATACTTTAGACATGGATATTAACGTGCAATAATGGGTTTTAGGCCAAGCAAATGATATAAAGGTGGGTCCTATGCATCTCTTGTTGATCTCCTAAAACTAAAATAAGATTAAGAAAATGATAATTTATGCTTAGTGTTCTCATCCTGAGGGCTTTATACAATCGGTTTTATTATGTATTTGTCAATAGTTTTCTACGTTGAAATCGATGTGTGTAGCATTTGATGATTGTATTATTGGTTTCTGACCATAATTTTTTTTTTTTTGTTTAAGGTCTGCAACAAATCATTCTAGAATGATAAATCTAGATAGCTAACCTTTTCCAAAACATATATTCGAACTAATATCGTTGTGTTTGGATAAGTTTAGTTCATGCATCTTTATGAAAATCTTTCAATAAAATTTTTTACGTATTTTATTGCCACACTCCAAGAGACCATGACAAGCAATTCATGTCTTCCGAATGCTTTTAACATAGATATTGATATGCCATGGTTTAGTTTGTGGATATATTTGTGTGATGTTTTTGTCATAGATATTTGTGTTTGATGGTTATAGAATAAGATGTGTGAGTAGAATCCAAGACAATTGTTGGATTCAAGCTTTAAAGCTTAATAAGATAAAATTAAAGATTGAAAATGAAATAGCTAGCTCATTACTTAGAGCTTTATTTAGATACAAAAAAAAGTAGAATTCTATATATGATTACTTTTATTGATTTATGGTTGCAATTATATTATGATTGTGTACATGCACATATGTTTCAACCAAAACCCATCTATAATATATTTTTTTTTTTTGTCAAAGAACCCATCTATAATATATCTGAGAGTTTTTATAAAAAATCACAGACTCGGTTCACCATGTGGAGGTTGGTGTGCTAGAATCAATAACTACGATTAGTAATAATATAAACAATCGAAATCAAATTAAATTCTCATTATATTTGTTGTACTTTGATACTTTCTCGTCAATACGATGAGCATACGTATTAGTAGTATTATTAGCAGTAATGTCGGTTTTGTAAAACAGGCAAATTGAAGATACCGTGTCCAAGGATTCTCAATATGTATAAATATTATTTAGATAAAAATATCAATCGCCAGTTACCATCACGTCGTCACACGTGGATGACCCAAATTAAACGCATCGTTTTGTTGCTTACGCAAGAACAAAGCTCTCACTGAAAGAGAAGAAGAAAAAGATGATTCCATCTGTTTCTTGAGGAAACTTCTTCCGTTGCAAAAGCTTACGAAGTCTTCCATTAATGGAAGCGGCCTCATTTCACTCTCTTGCTGATGTAGTAGCTTCCATAAGCTTCCTAAGCGTAAGCTGCGTAATTTCTGCAAATGGAAACAAATCGAACTTTCTACTTTTGGTTTAAAGCCCAAAGTCTCCTTTTTTACTCTCCCTCTATCTCTCTCTACCGCAATTTCTCTCTGGGAAGACCACTCGTGCAGTTTCGTCTCTGTTTTGAACTTTTAAAGTCTAAAAATGAGAACTTTAGTCGTCTGTTTTGTTTATTAGACTGAGATGTTCGGGAATTGCATTTTGTAACTTGTAAGTTTTGGGTTTTGTTGGAATTTTGCAATTCAGTGAGAGATGTGCGTGTTGTTTGCTGCAGAAATGTGTTGCTGATTTCGCATTTGTTGAATTTTGGGCTTTCTGTCTTCTTTTGTGCGGTGATATTTGTCCTCTCTGAAGAAAGTTTTCCCCTTTTTAAAAATGGGTTCAGAGCTAAGTTTCTCTTATTGAGAAAGTTCATGAACTGATCTCGTGACGTCTTCTATGTTGTAGGTTACTGGTGGAGGTTTGATTCATTAAATTCTGCTACGTTGTGGGATCTTCAAGAAGAATCCTTTGTATGTAAGATTCGAATTGAAGATTCTGTCTTTTATTTTGTGAGCTATGTTTTGTTATTCATCTTGATGTGTCTTATTGTTATACTCTAGCAGTTTTGAATCTATCATCGAAGATATGGAAAACCCTTTTGCATCCAGAGAAAAGGGTTTTGGTAATTATTCAGATATTACAACAGAACATATGGATGGTTTAAGCACAACCTTTGGTTCTGGCGTTAAGAGTTTGATCTCTGATGATATGCTCAACTCTTCCTCCGAGCTTATGAATTTCGACTCTTTTGCCGCATGGTGTAACAGCCCTTCCTCTACTGATATCTTGTTCGCGCAATACGGTCTGTCGAACTCCCAACCTATGCCTTTTGGAGCTTTCACTTCATTTCATGCAGCTGACCCGAAGTCTACCAGTCTCACTCGTTCGTTCCATGATTTGGAAAGCTCTTACTATGGTCAAGAAAGATCGTCAGTACAGGAATTGAGCTCTCAGTTTCATCGCTCATCAGATAGCGATGAGTTAAGTGGAAAACGGCGCAAGGTTGTTAATCAGAAGATTGGTTTTCCTAACGTACTCAACTGTACTATTCCCAGATCTTTGAGCCACTCATTAGATGAGAAGATGCTTAAGGCATTAAGCTTATTTATGGAGTCCTCAGGTTCAGGAGAGGGCATTTTAGCCCAAGTTTGGACCCCTATCAAGACAGGAGATCAGTACTTGCTTAGTACTTGTGATCAAGCCTATTTGCTTGATCCGAGGCTTTCTCAGTACCGTGAAGTGTCAAGGAAATTTACATTTGCTGCTGAAGCAAATCAAAGTTCTTTTCCGGGTCTTCCTGGCCGAGTCTTTATCTCGGGAGTACCTGAATGGACATCAAACATTATGTATTACAAGACGGATGAGTATTTGCGCATGAAGCATGCAATTGATAATGAAGTCCGTGGTTCCATTGCAATACCTATCCTTGAAGCCTCCGGGACATCTTGTTGTGCTGTCATGGAACTCGTTACATCCAAGGAAAAACCCAATTTTGATATGGAGATGGACTCTGTTTGCCGTGCTCTCCAGGTTGATTCACTTTTCTCTCCCTTTCTCTCTCTCTTTCTCCTTGTTTCTATTTCTCTTTGCTTATATGTATGTTTGTGTGTATATTACTGCTGCCACCAAGGTTTATGTATTTCATTAGTTGGTTCTTCAAACTTTTTCAAAGTAGAAAATAGAAGGTCTTCTTTTCTCCAAAGTTTTTCTGTGGTTATTTCATTCTCACACAGAACATTGTTTCTATCACGTTCAACACATGTTGCTGATTCTTTAGGCCCTTCCAAACATTCTAGGCAAAACCATTGACATAGAGAACTTGTGTCAATTTTATCTTGAACAATCTGGATTTTAATGTTTTTTGCAGCAGCAAGTGCATGTATATAAACAACTCTTAAATCTTATGCAAGCTTGATTTAGGGTATGAGAATCTTTGTTGGCTTAAGACCTGCCTGAGTACTCTGCCTTTGTCAATGAAAGCTTCCAGGGCAGCTCTGGAGACAGTTTGTTGTGGTTGCAACCTGAGGTTACAAAACGTAGTTATTGAATACTTGTGCTGTACCAAAAATGTTGAAAAAGATAGTATAAAATAGTATAGGGTCTGAGAGATTCATGTTTTCCGTTTCTTTTTCAGGCTGTAAACTTACGGACATCAGCCATTCCTCGTCCTCAGGTAACATGTGAACTAGAAAAAAAACTATCTACAAACCATTGTTTCTCGTTATTTTATGCCTCAATGATTCTGTATTTGTTTTTACAGTACCTTTCAAGTAGTCAAAGAGATGCCTTAGCTGAAATACAGGATGTTCTCCGAGCAGTATGTCATGCACACAAGCTGCCCTTAGCTCTTGCCTGGATTCCTTGTAGAAAGGATCAATCTATAAGGGTTTCTGGACCAAAATCTGGTGAAAATTATATTCTTTGCATAGAGGAGACAGCTTGTTATGTGAATGATATGGAGATGGAAGGCTTTCTACACACATGTTTGGAGCATTGTCTAAGAGAAAAGGAAGGGATTGTTGGTAAAGCTTTCATATCCAACCAGCCGTTCTTTTCTTCTGATGTGAAGGCATATGACATCAGTGAGTACCCTATTGTTCAGCATGCTCGAAAGTACGGTCTGAATGCTGCTGTTGCTATAAAACTGAGGAGCACTTACACTGGCGAAGATGATTACATACTTGAACTATTCTTGCCTGTAAGTATGAAAGGAAGCTTGGAACAACAACTTCTTTTAGACAGCCTTTCGGGTACAATGCAGAGGATTTGTCTGACTTTGAGAACTGTTTCAGAAGTGGGGTCAACGAAAAAAGAAGTGTCTAATTTCCCGCAGATCACGTCTTTGGGAAACTTTCAGACACGATCATTGGATTCCGAGGTTAACTCTACTAGAAGCATATTTTCGGGTATGTCCTCTGATAAAGAAAACAGTATCACAGTATCTCAAGGCGCTTTGGAGCAGGTATGTGATGTCTGCAATTTGGTTATTCTGTAGATTTTGTGAAACAGTTTGGTAAATTGAGCACTGATATCTTTTCTTACAACTTTTCATAGGATATGAGCAAAGCAAGAACACCAGAGAAAAAGAAAAGCACTACAGAGAAAAATGTGAGCTTAAGCGCTCTTCAACAACACTTTTCTGGGAGTCTAAAGGATGCTGCAAAAAGCCTTGGTGGTGAGACTTCTACATTTTTCCAGGCATGGATTTAATTTTGTTACCACACAAACTATCTAAATCTTGACTTGGATTTTCTTCTGCAGTTTGTCCAACTACATTAAAACGGATATGTAGGCAACATGGGATCATGAGGTGGCCATCTCGTAAGATTAACAAAGTGAACAGGTCACTAAGGAAAATACAGACGGTACTTGACTCGGTCCAAGGTGTAGAAGGAGGACTAAAGTTTGACTCAGCAATAGGCGAATTCATTGCAGTTGGACCTTTGATCCAAGAATTTGATACCCAAAAGGGTCTATCGTCTCATGGTAATGATGCACATGCAAGAAGAAGTCAGGAGGATATGACTGACGATACTTCGTTCGAGCTCCATGAAGCTAAATTTGTCGACAATGCCATTAAGTTAGAGGATATTACCATGAACCAAGCAAGACCACGTAAGAACCTCTTTATCCATAAACCATAGATGGAGCTATTAAAATCTTAAGCCATTTTCAATTTTTGCAGGATCATTCATGGAGATTAATGCTAGGGGTCAGCCGTGGGGTTGGATGGCCGAACAGTCTGGCTTGAATGGCAGTAAAGGAATAAAGAGCGTTTGCAACTTAAGCTCTCTGGAAATTTCAGATGGAATGGATCCAACAATCCGATGCAGTGGCAATATTGTTGAACCTAACCAATCCATGTCATGCAGCATATCAGATTCATCAAATGGCTCAGGTGCAGTTCTGCGCGGAAGCTCATCTACTTCCATGGAAGATTGGAACCAAATGAGAACCCACAACAATAATAGCAGTGAGAGTGGATCAACAACGCTGATCGTAAAGGCCACCTATAGAGAAGACACAGTACGTTTCAAGTTCGAGCCAACAGTTGGGTGTCATCAGCTCTACAAAGAAGTTGGAAAACGCTTTAAACTGCAAGACGGGTCGTTTCAACTGAAGTACTTGGATGATGAAGAAGAATGGGTGATGCTGGTTACAGATTCTGATCTCCAAGAATGCTTGGAGATACTATATGGTATGGGAAAACACTCCGTGAAATTCCTGGTTCGGGATTTTCCTGCCCCTATTGGTAGTTCTGCTGGCAGCAATGGTTACCTAGGAACAGGTTTATGACATCTACTCTATCGTCTCTACACACAGTTATGTATTCCCCTGTGAAAGTTGTTTATTTCTCCAGATATTAGTTTGCTTAGTATAGAAAGGCATAAGGGAGGAAAACAGTTTTGGTATAGTGGAGTCCGGAGAATGTATATGCTTTTCGTTTTATATGAATCAGAGAATAAAATGTTATATCTACGTTGCTTATGTTGTACTCTGAAAACACATGTTTAATTTCTTTTTGGTTTAATTTAGTTTGGTTTTATGTTTTTAGTGTTTAATTAAACTTTAATATGTGATGAAATTAAACCGGAAGTAAAATACCGGAGTCGACCATAAACTGATTATATTCGGTTAATCGGAGTCAATTTATCATCAAAAGGAAAACAAAACTGAAAAATGAAATTATCAACTACATGCCGGTTTATATGCTTAAAAGTCTTAAGAATTAATAAATAATTCGTTTAACAAATACAGTAATAGACTTAACCGGTTCACAACATTTATAAAAATGAAATTATCAACTACATGCCGCTTTAATTGGTTGGTTTAAAGTCAACGAGGACTTGATATTAGTTGGGCTTGGGCCTATAATTGTGTTTACTATTGGGTTTTTATTTTCCCTTATCAGTTTAACGTTCATATACATATCTTATGATGTGCCTAAAAGAGGGAGAAGATGTGAAGATTCACATTGGAAATGGTTCGATATCGATGGTGGGAAACGAATCAAGGTCAAAAAACTCAATCTAATAGTTTAAACTTTAAAAGAATTATTAATTCAATTCCACTATCCGATTGGTTTAGTTTTGTTATAATTCGGTTATATATGATCAAACCAATCGGTTTGGTCCTAAAGATAAAGATAAATATCACCAACACCAGTGTTAATTAAACACATATCACCAAACCTAAAGTTAGATAAACAAAGAGAAAATGGCAAAGGCTATCGTTTCCATCTTCGTTGTCTTTTTCATCTTCTTCTTAGTCATTTCCGGTAAGCAAACTTACTCTCCGTTTCTTGACATATTTGTTAATACTTTAAGATTTACGTTTATGTTCAGGCTACAAATCTCTTTGAACCATAGCAAAATCATGATATGAGATTCTATCGTTTCTTTTGTTTATAACAGATGTCCCGGAGATAGAAGCGCAAGGTAACGAGTGCTTGAAAGAATACGGCGGTGATGTTGGTTTCAGATTTTGTGCGCCTCGGATTTTTCCGACGATTTGTTATACAAGATGCCGTGAGATCAAGCGAGCTAAAGGTGGAAGATGCCGTTGGGGGCAGGGCAGTAACGTCAAATGCTTATGCGACTCTTGCGACGATACTCCACGATAAAATCTAAAGCAATCGCTAATCAATGCACTATGGCTGCAATAGACGAAATCGCTATAATAAATATACACGTTGTCTTTACGTACTTGCACAAGTTTTAGTCATGGTTTGTGTGATAAATGAATGTGAATGGTCTATCCAAGTGATAATACAATAATGAATGTGAAATAAGAAATTAAATAATGAAAGTGTGACTTTTGTTTCTACGATCATATCTGTTTTGCGGCTTTATTGTTGCCTTTAATTATTGTTGCCAAACACAACTAAGAAAAAAAAGAAACGTGCGAGTTTGGTTGCCTTTATTGTTGTTGTGTTTGGTATCCACATGTTCTTATCTGTTTACTATGTGGAGAGCGTTCCGATTGTTTGCGGCTAATCTAGCCGGTCAAAGACGAATTCTGAATGTGAGATGTGAACATAAGATTTTGTAATAAAAATGAACTCTGAATGTGACGTGGTTTCACATACGGTTATTACGGTTATTAGAATAAATTATGATAGTCTTCAAATTTGGAAGCTGATTTGTGTAATTTCATTTTTTTTTTGTTAAAGGTAATTTCATTTCTTTGTTTTATCATCTCCATCAAATGGAGCATATTTTTGCTTATGCAATAATTTGTATTCCCAAAACTATGTATAATAACTTTATATTTGCGATTTGATATTAATAAATAAATTAGAAGGAAAAAAAATTAATATTTGGAAGCATAAAATTATGATACTTAAGAAAATCATTATCTATTATTCTATTTCTTCATTATATAATTTACTTCAAATAATATTAAAATGAAAAATAAAATTCACTTTTACTATACTCATAAATGATTTCAATATAAATATATACTACTCATAAGTCATTTTTATGGTAAAGACTCACATAATGTTTTGGTACAACTCATTTACATTGGATATGGTTTAGTATAAAAACTTTCTGATGCAATTATATAGAAAATTGTATTAAAAAATAAAAACACTATTATTTCAGGTTTTTCATGAATCGTGATTTTACTACCGTGCTATTATATCAGGATATAATAGACAAGTGGTTACTTTTCTTATCGTTAACAGTGATCATGTCAACTCGTGACCCGTGGTTGTCATGAAAATATCTAGACCCAACGATAAAGATAAAATATATAGTTCCATCGCACCACAACAAGTGTTGAGCATGACTCTATATATAAACACATACGTTAACTCCAAAGTGAAACAAATAGATTAGAGACTACAGACAGAGAGAAAGAGAGAAGATAGCCATGGCAATGAAGTCAGTTTCTACCTTGGCCGTTTTTGTCATCCTCTTTTTGGTTATCTTTGGTAAATTAACTAACGATTCATACTTCTCCCGTAATTTTTAAAATTTGCGTTTGTGTTTGAAGTTGTGATTCACAGGATCCGGGTATTTTCCTCGGTCATCTCAGGATCAAGTTTCATTATATGTGATTTCTGTTTGCTTAATTCATTTTATATGGTTAACGCAGAAATGCCAGAGATAAAAGCGCAAGATAGCAAGTGTCTGAAAGAATATGGCGGTAATGTCGGTTTCAGTTATTGTGCGCCTCGGATATTTCCTTCGTTCTGCTATCGAAACTGCCGTAAGAATAAGGGTGCGAAGGGAGGTAGATGCCGTTCGGGAGGGGCAGGAGCTGGTGGTATGATATGTTTATGCGACTACTGCAGCGACAAACCTTAAATCAGATCGTTAAACGCTTTGACTTCAAACGCAGAAGCAAACGCAGGAACAGTTGCTATGTGTTTGAATCTTGTATGTGTCATAGTTTGTGACTTTGTGTAATAATAAAGGTGGATGGTCCACCAAGTAATAATCTTGTATTTGCCCTTCTCTTTCTCGCATTCGGCTTCCGTAGTTCTGTTTTTGTCACGACTCACGATTGGATAATTTGGTTCACTTCAGTTTCCTTTATCTCCAACTTTAGCATGTACTGTTTTAAAAACAAAGACACTGAATGGACTTATGTAATACTAGTATGTGGCCCGTGCATAGCACGGAAGTAGTAATTGCTATTTTATTTTTTTTCCAAAAATTTACAACTATCATTTTTATTTTACAAATTAAAATTATATTTAATATGGGAACCATGCTTGAGATTTTTATAGTTCATAGAAATTTGGGAAGAGAAGAAGTGGAAGAGGTGGAGATCGTGGCCAGGAAAAAGTGAAAAAGATAAAAAAAAGTTTTTTTTTAAAAATGTATTGACATCAGTTTTTCTTCGTGGGTAAAAGAAAAAAAGCTAAAAGTAATAGAGTTTGGTCTAAGCCAAAGCTAAATAGCAAAAAATAAGACTTATGCCACGTGTCAAAAGGAGAATGCTGCAGTTTTTGTTAAATTGACTGTTGATTTAGTAGATATAGATGTTTCAATTTTCTAGATCTCATGCAATTTTAAAGGAACCCTTTATTAAAAAAAAAAAAAAGGCAAAACAATTTTGTCACGTTTTTTCATGATTTTACTATTCCATGCTATTTTATCAGAAACATAAAAAGATAAATATCAATTCAGTTTCCTTTAATCTACAACTTTAGCATGAGGGTGCTCTAAGCTTTTATGCAATTTGGAAGAAAAAAACTATATTTGCAAAAACAATTTTGTCACACTTTTTATGATTTCTAACAAGAATTTAACAGAGAAATCTTAACAATCGGTTGGATCATCTACATATCATATATAGCATGTCCGGTTTTAAGCCAATGCTGGAGGAGCTTGCTCGGGGCAGCTTTGGTGTGTAACTGATTACTTTAAATTCTTATTAAATCTGCTTCTATAGATTACAGCAACCCTAGTCTTATATTTGGACAAGAGATCTTGTATTTGGAAAAACTAGATAATTGATGGGAAGCTTCCTAAAAATAATAATTTAAATAAAATAAATTTTTTAATATATCTCGTGAAGAACGAGAGAGAGAGATGGGGATATCTTCCAAACGAGTGAAGACAAATTTAATTAATTAATTTGAATTTTTTAAAAAGAAGATATGATATGAGAGCATATTCGTTAGGCAAACTATGCTAGTCCCCAAATTCAACCACTACACAATGAGGTCTACTAGAAATATAATAATAATAATGCAGCTAATGACTCGAGCGTGGTTCTCGTGGTAATTTTTTTGTTGTCTAAACGCTAATGATAAATAGCGTAGCACCACAACAAGTGTTGAGCATAAGTCCATATTTGTTAACTCCAACTCCAAAGTGAAAGAGAGAAAGAGAGAATGGTCATGACAACGAAGTCAGTTTCTACCTTCGCCATCTTTATCATCCTCGTTCTGGTTATCATTGGTAAATTTGTTTCTCATATATTTGTTTAACTCTATGATTCATAGGATCGTCCAGAGAGTATTTCTCTGGGCGATAGCAATAATTAAGTTTCACTATATGTTATATTTATATGCTTAAATCTGTATGTATATATATTTGTGCAGAAATACCTGAAATAGAAGCACAGGATAGCGAGTGCCTGAAAGAATATGGTGTTGATGATGATGGTGAAGATGTTGGTTTTCCCTTCTGTGCGCCTAGGATACATCCTACGATTTGTTATAGAAGATGCGTAAAGGACAAGGAGGCTAAGGGTGGAAAATGCCTTTGGGGAGAGGGCGGTAATGTGAAATGCTTATGCGACTTCTGCAGCGAGGAGCCTTTGAATCAGTTTATAAGTCGTCTTACTTGAATCTTGCATGTGTCGTGGTTTGTGTAATGAGCAAGGCTAATGATCTAAGAAATAATGTAACAATGAATAATAAGTAAAATAAAGAAACGCTAGGCTTTGCTTGTGAATTACTATTATTAAATAAGGATAAGTGGATTTCAATCTCGTGAAGATCGACTTCGTAGAAGATCAATCCCTCTCTCTCTTCTAGCCATCTGATAACAAATTTAGGTAGTGAATGGTGACAAGTTAACTGCGGATTTCGAAAAAGAAAATTGAAAACCACACATACGACACCAATCAACATTTATTCTCCATATTTGCGTTTTTATTTTATTTTTTAAAGAAAGCAGATGCGTTTTTCGAAAAGAGATAAATCCCTTTGGACCGCTGTTTAAAACCAGAACATCTTTTTATCATGTGGTTCAACAAAAAACGCAATGGGCTATATACTGTACATTATTATTTTTTATTTTTAATCATTAAAACCATCTATATATGTGTAATATTTTTTTTTAACTTAAATACATATATCTCCTTCTCACAGTATTTTTCCTGTCATAAAGTTTTAAGTAATGTTATACTTTTTATGATCGAATTTTTTTAATAATTTAGCAATAATTATGTCAAAAGATTTAATATTTTAATTTAAATCAATTTGCATATTTAAGATTCATAAATATATAAAAATGTTTTTTCACTACCACAAAACAATCACTAATTTATGATTATTGTGTACCGCAAACAGTTTTTCACCAATCGAATTTTATTCCGTACCGCTTATTTTGTATGAACCGCACTTGTCCCGCAAATATATTTCTCCCGCACGTACCGCAGTTGAACCGCACCGCACTATAAAACCCCTTTTCCCGCACAACCAAATACGATGTTACCATTCGGACCCTTAGTTGCAGATTTGATTTGCCGGACGGATATAAGTATATATAACGTTGTATACTTGTATTGATAAATGATAACCCAAGGCCAACAACTAGGTCTAATTAATGCCGCTAATTTGAAGACAAGTATAAATATATGTATTACTACGTATGAGCTTGTGATAAGTGTTGGATGATCAACCAAAAATAAATCAAGATCTCCTAAGAGATTTCATCGTAAAGATAGTTTTTTTTTCTTTTCTTTTTTCGATGAAATTTCATCTGCTACTATACCTGATTAATGGCTTCAAGTTTGTGTTGAAACTGTAAACCCCACAAAAAAAAAATGAGGTTAGATGCGACTTCGTTATCCACAATTATAATTGTTATTATTACAACTAAAAAAAATATTAAAAAAGATTAAATAATGTGTTCTGTCGTCAAAAAAAGATTAAATAATTTGTTCCAAATGATCATATATATCATTTACGACAAAAACAAAATCGTACAGCGTCCGATTAATTTACGGCTAAATCCAACGGTCAAAAATTAACTTCAATTTTGTGACGTGTGAACAACAGATCAATAGATTCTCCGTAACTGAAAGAGAGGAGAGAGAGAGAAGGGGGAAAATGGGGATATCGGGTTCAAAGCGAGTCACGGCGATTCTATCCAACTCGCCCGAGTTTAACTCGGCTTGTGACTCAGCGTACGAGGAGTCTCTTTCTCTTGCACAGCATGCTTTCGCCGGAGTTCGTCCCTACCAGCTCGTCTCCGCCGCCGCTCACATCCACCGGAATCTTTCCTCTCTCCGGTTCCCTCTAATCACCAGATGGGTCTCTTCTCCTCCGAGTCAATCCCAAGTCGACTCAGCTCTCCGAGTCACCGTCTCTCGAGTCGCAGCGGCGGAGGAGGAGGAGATCCTTGGACCGGAGGAGTTCAAAGAATGGGCCGTCGAGGTTTTCGTGGAATCCATAGTGGGAAACGCGAGGAAGACGATAGCGAGTCGGATTCCATTAGGAATCGTCGGAATCGCTGGGATCGGCGCGGTGACTCGGTCGGGTCAAAACTTGATCGGAGCTGCGATTGGTGTGTACGCGATTGGAGTTGCTACTTCGGTTTTTCTAAGCCTCTCTGATTAGAATAAAAGATTACGTTGTTGTTCTTCTTTTTAAAAGATCTGCTTCAACAAGTTCTTATAAGTTTTAACAATTTAACAATCTTGTCTACACTAAATCTCTACCCTAAATTTTAGACATGATGTGGAACATAAACTTCAAAGTCTTACATGTGGTTTGATCTGAACATAAACATATCTGTTTGATCCAGTCCACATGTATCCGAAGAGAAATCCAGATAAAAGAAAGAACTAGTAGAGCTTAAAAAAGACCACGTGAAATACGTTTTTACCTACAAAGCAATCTAGATTTGCCAAATCTAGTAGGGACTGTTTCGTGCCTCTGATATTTGTATTTTCCTTTTTTGGCTCCGAATATTTACACAAAATTTACAAAAGATGCTGAATCAATCATTTCATATCACTATAAAAACAGCAATGTCCGATACATCTCCAAAGTGGGCAATAAGCAAAGGAAAATGAAGTCTGTTTCCATCTTCTTTGTGATGTTTGTCTTCTTCCTCGTCGTTCTTGGTAAGTACACTTAATCTATATAGTTACTACATTATTACGATCTTACCACTTCACAACCTCATTACAATATGCAGAGACGCCTAAGAAGATAGAAGCAAAAGACAAGCAGAGCCGTCCCTGTGTAATTGGTGGCCACAAGCAGCAAAACTTTTTTGGCCAAATATGGGTATCGATGACCTAAAAAAAAAAGAAAAAAAGATTTCCCCCTTGTAAGAATCGAACCCTTGACCTCATTCACTCAAACATCACACATTTACCAGCAGAACTAACGAAGATATTAGTTAAAATACGGCCGATTTAATTGATGTATATTTGACGGCCGCAAGCCTGAGCTTTGCTTGCTTGTAGTCAAGGCCGGCTCTGAAGACAAGTTCATATGTGTGGTTGAGTACGGCGGAGACGTGGGTCCCACGTTCTGTAACCCTAAGTTCTTCCCCACGTTGTGCCGTCAAAACTGCCGGAGCTTCAAAGGTGCAAAAGGCGGTAAATGCGTGAAGCAACCCAAACACAAACCTATCAAATGCTTCTGCGACTACTGCAAAGATGACTAGACTTACAAGAAAACCATCAAACCCCTGGAACCAGCATCGTTCGCCAAACACAACCGCCCCCTTCCCGCCCTAAGTGTTTGTACTTCCATAGTTTATGTATGTTCTTGATGTAATAATGTCCCAACATTTTCATATATTGTCGACATAATTTGTTATGTTTTCATGTGTTACAATGATTGCAAAAAAGTTGGGGCTAATGGTGAGGAACTGAAAAATACTGACGTTTCTAATCAATGTGATGTTCTTCAATGAATGAAGTACAATGAGATAAATATCATACATAGAATCTTGTAATTGTGTGTGTATTGAAGATTACATTTTGCACTTCAAAAAAAAACAGAGTTTCACTCTTCCTCTGAATCGAGACCTGGTATGAACTCTAAGCTCACGTCAAATACCACCGGACTGTTTGGCGCAACTCTAGGCCTCCCTGGAGCTGAAGTTAGACCCTTTGGAAAGGCCAACTTATGGTGTAACATTTACAGGATCCAAAATGCAGAAAGTTAGAATCTCTGTTACAATAAATGATTACTATGCATAATCTTGATGAGCACTTACAGGCCCTGGAATGTAGAGTCTACGTTTGCCACCAGCTTTCATACTCAAGATTCCTTCATCAAGTCCCTTGATCACCTGTTTAAAGTATCAGAAACTACCTTTGTGGCTAAAACTAAATCATTTCTTGATCTCAATGAACTTGTTTCCCAATAAGCTAGAAGTAGCTATCCACACAATTACCTGGCCAGACCCAACACGAAACAGATACGGTAGACCTTTCTCCAGAGAACTGCAATTGAGTGAATGTGACCATTTGATAGTAGATTCATTCAGCTAATATTATTCCAGGATAAAAATAAATCAGTAAAGACGATCAAATTGTTCGTTTTTTGTATGGATTGTGAAAGATCACCTGTCAAATATTTGCCCTGATGGAACCATAGCCACATAATTAGCTGCAACCTACAACATTTTGAAACATTTTTACACCTATCTTGATACAGTTTCCTTAAATTATACAATGGTTTGATTCAGTCCTTACCTGAAAACCAACCGGGGGACTAGGGCCAGTACCGACTTTGATATCCTTATACTGAAGCCCTGATTCTGTGGTTACCATTGGAACCTTTAACCAAAAACAACAGGAAATTCTCAATGTCATGAATCAAAAAGGTTTTATAGAATGCCAAAAGGTGTTTGTGTGATCTCACCATACATTTTCAAGCTCTTTCTCGCATTCGGCTTCACAGAGTCTCGGTTTATCTTCTGGAGGTAAACCGGCTGCATAAGCCGCAAGTGAGCTCATTGATAATCCTCCTGACACGCCGAGTACCAATAGCATTGCTTCTCTACGGCTAGAGAGACTATTGATTTTACAGCTTTTATCTCTTGTTTCTGAAGCTATGACTCTTGTAGCTATATATCTTGATGAATTTGAATTCTTGATGGCTAGACCATTTCTAGATGCTGAACCTAAATTCATTACCAGAATGTCAGATTCCCAAAACCAAACAATAGTTAACAATTGAACATAAGAGTAATGAATTCTACAATTCTAATTGCAACTATGCAAGACAAGAACGAAGCCGGTTTAATCTGAACCGTACTGATCAAGAGATTCAACAAAGATGAGATTTTTATCTCTGAGAAAGTAGATTCGGCAGAGAAATCCAAAGAATTGAGAAACCCAGAATCCCAAGTGGATAAGAACAGACGAAAAATCTCGCCTTTGAGAAGAAATCAGAAAATAGAATCAGTAGATTAGGTTCTTACTTAGTGGTAGAAGGAGGGATGGAGAAGAAGCTGCCATCTTTTTTTGGTTAAGCTCGAAAAAATTGACGATTTGGCAAATTTGACAGAAGCAAACGAACTTCAGTGGATAACGAAATCTCTGGTTTTGTTTCTGCGTTCGGTTCTTGCTGACTTGGCTCTCGTTGTTTCTTAAAGTTTCCATTTTTTTTATTATTTCGTTAGGGATTTAAGGAAATCTGAACGTCAAGGAGTGGACCATCCGGAAGTTGAAACGGCAAATAGTTCTCTTCTACAAAACGGCGCCGTCGCACTTTGTTCCTCCAACGGCTGAAGTAGAAAAGCATGTGTTTACTGTAATTGTATCATATAGAAAATATAACTAAGACAATGATTATAGTTTCAATTACGTATATGTTGACATAAACAACATATATAAACTACTTGTAAATGAAAAAAATCAAATGGTGAAAACACATAATGCAAATAAATGCAAAGATTAACTTAAACTGATCCTAATTTTTTTTTTTTTTTTTTTTTTTTTTTTTTTTTTTTTGCTACAAACTGACTGACCCTAATTAACAGAAACAATAGCATTGTCCTCCATAAAGAAGAGGTTTGCAACGACCACCTTTGCCATTATCACAACCATCAAGACACCAAGTGTTGCATCTGTCCTCATCTTCAGATGTATTGCATACTCCGAATGTTGGATGTGAATTGCAGCACAAGGAACCACTTTCCTTAACTAGAAATCGACCCTTCAATCGTTTCGTTTGTAAACCGAGAGTGTTTGCTTAACAATTTTAGTGGCAATCAACATATTAAAGACTTTAACTTTGAGCCACTATTAGTCAAACTCCTGTAAATTTCAATCTCCACAAGATTGTTCTAACTTCATTGGAAAGGTTCTCTGTTTAATTTATAGCTTATCTATTTTTGTTCTCTCTGTTGTGCTTAACAACTTAGATGTGTTCATGCACTTGTATATAAACACAGATATATATCCAATGTGTATTGGTGACAAGTTTATAATTGCGTTGGGTTTTAAATTGCTTACATTGTGTCCAGCTTTTTTTCTTAAATGCGCCGTGCCTATGCATAAGAAATCATTTATTGACACGATTATAAGTTTACAACATTATTATACTAATATGATACTTTCTCTTATGTGATCTCTTATTCTTATATATTTCAAATACTGGTTCTTTTGGATGGATACAGAGGAAACTTAATTTAACAAGTGAGGTTATCTCCAGGAGCAACTCCAAGCTTGCCACAATAGTCTTGGAAATACTTAATCCTGTTGGCGGCTTTGGCTGTAGAATCCCCTCCGCTGCACTCCCTACTATTAACAGCTCTGATGGTCGCGCCAAAGCCCGATTTAAAACTCGCGCGAACATTAGTGGTCCAGAACCAGAAAGCGGTCTTGAAGGCAAGAATCTGGTCTTGAGCCACTTTCTCTGGTGAAGCCAATAAGTTCTCGTTCAGGTCTCTGCCGCAAAGACCGTAGTTGTAGTTCCAAGAGAGCTGGATTGCACCACGACCATAGTAGCCCTTTCCTTGTGCACATGGGAACTCTGGCTTTGTTGTGTCGCAGTACTCTCCGGCTGCAGCCTTGGCTGGTCCATCAATTTCCTCAATGTAGCACATGACTGCAACAAGGTATAATCAAATGGTCACAAAAACGAATCCTAGTGGTGGACATATAATATGCACCAAAATTTGTATATAATACTGATTTTTATCATCTTATGCTAAAATTCAATTAAGTCAAACTGAACCAATATAGTCGTAAAACTTAAAACTAGACGAAAACTTATCTGAGAAAATTACTTACACTCTGTTTCTTGGGCTACATGAGCGAAAAACGCAGCGATTTCGCGCTTGGAGATTGAAGCACCGAAGCTAGGGTAAGAATTAGCTGCGGCGATGAAGGTGTCGTGAGTATAGAATCCTTTACCTGGACAATCACCTCTTTGGTTGAGTATAGAGTTAAAGAAGTCAGGTGTCACCGTTCCTTCAAGTGAAACAGCAGGATCTCCGCTGCCACCACCACCGCTCCGGCAAGGTCCTGCCTGGCAGCCCTCACCGCAGAATTCGTCGGTCGTACCACAGAAACCAAATTTGCTGCAACAGAAGTCAGAGGCGCAGCCACAGTTTTGAGAGATGACCGGTTTGGAAACGGTTAGGATCAGAAAAAATAGGGTTGTGAGAAAAAGGGCAAATCGGTCATTTGGTGATGTGGGTTTAGCCATTTTTTTGTGTGTCTGTGAGGCAGAGAGAGATGTACATTAACTTCGTGTTTTAAAGATTAATAGATGAGAAGTTATAGACGATGATGGATCCGTGAAGCATACGTTTTGTGGTAAATATAATTTTAGTTTTCTAAGTCAGCGTCAACGCCAATGCCACGTACATATACTACTTATTAGTTCTTTGCCCATTCGTCACGTTACACGTCGGGAAATTTTCAAACAAACATCAAAATTTTCGTTTCTATCTACGAAATTGGTTAAACCAAATATTTTTGTTATTGTAGAACTGTGATGCAAACATTTAGTGTAAAGAAAAATGATCAGATATAAACATGACATAGGTGAAAAAGTATATAGTTGGTTTTTGTGGGTCTAAAAAGCAAGAAGACTTTTACTGAAAGTATTCGCCAATTGGAAAAACAATTAAAATATGATTTGAGTTTGTTATACAAGATAAGTTTAATCGGTAGAAGACTGTTCAATTGGTTCTTACTAGTCTCATGTTGTGTGTGATAACACAAATTTAAATTCGACAATAGACTTGTGAAAATTTGTAAATAACAGAAAAAGTCATAATTGTTGGCAAAAAATCTTATTGAATAAGTCTTGTAAGAAATAATAATCCCAAGTTGTATATGAATGCATTAATATCCATAATTTGAATAATAGATAAGAATCTTCTCTTGAATAGTAAAAGCAGGTAGTATTTTGTTCCAACATTTTTAAAATTCATTAAAATTATTAGAATGACTTGTAAACTAGAATTACTTATGGAAGATTGTTGTCTTACGTGCCAAACTTAGTCCAATTAGTAATCTAACAATATATATTGCAGGAACATATATATCATAGAAGGTTAACTTTCTCTCTTTTTTTCGATATACCGCTAAAACTCTAGACTTAACTGCATATAGAATTTAGTAGATTATGAACTAATAATTAAATTTTGATCAAAAAAACATATATATCATAGAGAAAACTGCCTCTTTAGCAAACATGCTATATAATCTAAAGAAATTTTCACACGAGTCGCATGTCATATAATTTTTATATATATTTAGGAAACTAAATAATGCAATGTGGAATAGTCAAATAATGAACTGTCTATATTTTCTAAATATTTATTTCCAACTGACAGTAACATCTACCTGTTAATTATAGTTTCCGCGTCCTACCGGCACTGGTATTGGACATGTTTGAATCAGACCACATAGATCTAACGATGGTGAAAATAAGAAGAGAATTTTCATTTTCTTCTTTAATGCAAGATATTTTTACCCTCGAAAGTTCCTAACCGAGACAGAGGGGAAAGGGTAGAATTATTGTGTAAATCAAGTTTATTTTTCGAATCTAAAATCTTCAAGTCCATGGCAGGGAGATTTGCTTTGCTTTTCGTCCTTGCTTCACAGTTCTTGGTTTCGGGTACGTTTCCAATCCTACACCTAAGCGTGTGTTCTGGTTCAATCACTATTTGTTAACTGTTTTGTTATTTGTAGTGATGTCGTCGAGGAACTTTACGATAGAGAACAAATGCGAATACACTATATGGCCTGCATCCTACACCTACCAGGGATCGCTCGAAACAAACGCTTTCCGTCTGGACAAAGGACAGACGCGTACCGTCCAAGCGACGTCGTCGTGGATAGGTCAATTCTGGGGTAGGACGTTGTGCACGACCAACTCATCAGGGGGTTTCTCATGCATCACCGGAGACTGTAACTCCGGCGTACTTGAGTGCTCTGATCGCGTTGTAAACACGACAATTTTGGCAACTTTGGTAACTTTAGCCGAGTTTAATCTCGCCGCGACTCCTGAGGATGGTGTAGACTATTACGACGTCAGCGTCATCAATGGTTACAACCTCCCTTTGCTTGTGACCCCCGAGAACGAAAAGTGCGAAAGCATCGGATGCATTGTTGACTTGAACAGGACGTGTCCATCGGAGCTGAGGTTGAGCAATAGCGACACCGGATCGAACGATCCATTTGCCTGCAGGACCTCGTGTCAGCAAAACATGTCGGCGGAGATTTGCTGTGTTGGAAACTACGTCTTAAGTGATAATGTCGTAGGACCGGAAGAATGCAAGCGGACGAATTACTCGCAGACTTTCAACAACGTGTGCCCACGCGCTTATAGCTACGCCTACGACACTAATAGTAGCACCTTCACATGTCAGTACTCCTCCAACTTTGTCATCACGTTTTGCCCGTCTAGCACAACAAAACTACGTAAGTTCCCCTCCACTCGTCTCTATTTCATTTCAAAAAATTTATATTCATTTCTATCATAGCGCTAGATCCGGCCAAAACCCAAAAATCAAAGCGCTAGATCCGGCCACTCATTTAAAAGATAGTTTTAGGTCACTTTGTATCATTTAAATATATGCACAGCAGGTAAGATATGTAGCATAGTGATTAGTATGTGTGTCGTCAATGAGTCATATCTTATCCGTATCTAAAGTTAGTGGAATGCATGATGTTGACAAAAAAATTGTACCTTGCATGTTTTTATGGATTCGTATAATCGCTAATCAATATGTGAATTCTATAGTGGGTTAATAGGTTCGCATACTAAATAAAATTATTTCGCTACTTATATGTGTATTGATGATCTATAATCATGTTACCTGTTGGAGTAGCAACAATTGGCAGTAGGACCTCATACGAATGTTTTTATTTTTTGAAGCTCCCTCAGTGTCTCCACCTCCCAATAAAACTCGAGCAGGATCAAAAGGTTACATTCTTCAGTTTTCCTTCGTCCTGTACGGAAATGTATCTAATTTTACATTTTTTTGTTAATCGAAATCTTTGTTTGATACATTTGCAGGAAAATCTCCATTGAAGTTAACACTCATACTTGGTACACTTCAACCGTGTGACATTTTACAGTCAATTGTCTTGCTCATTAATTTTTCGTGTATATAACACTTAACTTTCGAGGTTTGTTCTCTTGTAGGAGTTTCATCAGTTTTTTCAATGATTATCATTATTGCGATTGTGGTAAAGGTGAGAGCAAATAAAATGAGAAAGAGTGATTTGAATGGGAAGAACATCGAAGCAGTTGTAATGTTAAAACGTTATAGTTATGTACAAGTCAAGAAGATGACAAAATCATTTGCAAATGTTCTTGGTAGAGGGGGATTTGGAACTGTCTACAAAGGGAAGTTACCCGATGGCAGCCGAGATGTTGCAGTAAAAATCTTGAAGGAGACAAATGGGAATGGGGAAGAGTTCATCAATGAGGTAGCTAGCATGAGTAGGACATCTCATGTAAATATTGTTTCACTGCTTGGATTCTGCTATGAAGGGAGCAAGAAAGCTATAATATATGAGTTCATGCCGAATGGATCCCTCGACAAGTTCATCTCCGAGAAGATGTCAACAAAGATGGAATGGAAAACGTTATACAACATTGCGGTAGGTGTCTCTCATGGCCTTGAATACTTGCACGACGGTTGTGTATCGAGGATTGTACATTTTGATATTAAGCCGCAAAATATACTCATCAGCGGAGATTCATGCCCGAAGATTTCAGATTTCGGTCTTGCTAAGCTATGCAAGAATAATGAAAGCATCATGTCAATGCTAGACGCGAGAGGCACAGTAGGGTACATTGCCCCAGAAGTGTTTTCCAAGAATTTTGGAGGAGTTTCTCATAAATCGGATGTATATAGTTATGGAATGGTGGTTCTTGAGATGATTGGAGCAAGAGAAAGAGCTGAAAATACTGGAACCAACAACACTTCAATGTATTTTCCAGACTGGATTTATAAAGATCTTGAGGAAGGAGAAATCATGAGTGTTTTCGCAGATCAAATAATAGAAGAAGAAGATGAGAAGATAGTAAAGAAAATGGTATATGTGGGTCTGTGGTGTATTCAGACCAATCCATCTGATCGTCCACCAATGAGCAAAGTCGTTGAAATGTTAGAGGGAAGTCTAGAGGCTCTGCAGATTCCACCTAAGCCTCTTTTATTTTTGCCGAGGGAAACAGTTCCAAAAACTACTGATGAGATTCCAGAGACTTCTAGCTTCTCAATACCAAGTCAAGATACTTTACACTATTTCGAAGAAGCTGTTCAAGATATTGTAGAAGATAATAAAGATAGCTTAACAAAGGCCAACAAGAGAAGAGTATTTTCTCCTTAACAGTTGTAAAGATCTTGGGATCCAAATTCCAAAAAAATTAGTCCAAATTCGATTTTGCTGCTATTCACCATTGATCGTTCCTGTGGAAATGAAAAACCCAAAATATTCAATGTAGATAATAAGAGACAATGTTGTAGATTTCGACATCCCACATACATCGATGATAATTGTGGATCAATATCAAAGAAATTTTTTGAAATGTTCGGTACAAAGATTTTGAAAACCAGCCATGTGACGTTAAAAATCTTTCGTAATTAAGCCAACAGGCGATGAAAACTGTTGGGTATATAATTATATATATTAAAATGTAAAAAAAAAAAAATTAAAAACGGTAAAAAAACTTAAAAATACGTTATAATCTATGATGTTGGGTTGTTGATGGTTGGTACTATACACTAATTAAACTGCATGCACCGTATTATGATAAACATGTACACCAATTAACACCGTATTATGATATAAACATATACACTATAGATGTTAAGAAAAAAAAAAAAAAAAGAGACACATATACACTTTTTAAACTATGATATAAACATATTACATAATACATATACACTAATTAAATTGCATATTATGAACCACCCTAAACAATTCTTTTACGGATCTGTGAAGAAAAGTCGCTGTGGTTATCTAAGTCAAAGTCAATACCACGTGTCCTATTCAGAACGTATGTTACTTGACCACCCCTCCGTTTACTATTCAAACCCTTTAGCAACAATACATGTGACGTATTATTATTTTTTCGCCTAAATAATACATGTCAAAGTCAATATTATTTTAAAGATATTTTTATGGTCTTTAAGTTGAAAAAAATAAAGGAGACCCCTGCATATTAATGTCTTTAAGATATTTATTACCTTTATTCAACATATACGACACGTTTTTATCAAAAAAATTTTGCTTAATTAACAAAAAGAAAAGTGAAACATCAATTTTTTGAAGAAAGAGGGAACATAAAATCCCGAAAATAAGAACTACATACCAAGGAGATTAATTTAATCTTTATCATCTCACTTCTCATTACACATTTTAACACTTACGTGCCATGTCACGTCAAATGTGCGTCTAAAGAGCATTTTAGCACCTAAGGTTAAAACCAGGGTCCACACCAAGTTGTGTACAATAGTCTGTGTAGTACCTAACCCTTGCATTGACCGCACCCAAATTCCCACCATTACACTCCATAGCATTGATGGCTCTAATGGTGGCTCCAAATCCTTGGTTCAGTACCGGCCTTACGCTATTTATCCAAAACCACAACCCCGTCTGAAAAGCCACAGTTGAGTTGCTACTAACTAGTTCCGGCTGGCGTAGAAGGTCGAGACCGAGACTCTGACCACAAGTGCCGTAGTTGTAGTTCCATGATAATTGGAACGGGCCACGACCATGGTAGCTCTTGCCCGGTGCACATGGGTATAGGCTGTTGTTCTCGTCGCAGTAGTCAAGCGATGTCCCGTTTACCTCCTCTACGAAGCAGAAACCTAGACGTATAGACTTATATACGTGAAACTAAGTGGCACCAACTATTTGAAATAATAACAACAATGAAAGTGAACCTATGAAAAGGATTAGGTCTTACGTACGTTCGGTCTCGTGGGTGAAATGAGCAAACATGCTAGCGATCTCGAGCATAGTAACAGAGCTAGTGAAGTCAAAGGTAGTATTAGCGGCTTGAAGGAAAGAGTCACGGGTGTAGAATCCTTTTCCGGCGCAGCCATTACGGGTGTCAATAATTCCGTTAAAGAATTGTTGTGTCACAATCTTATCAACCGGATCTCTACTTTGTCTGCAAGGACCTGATTTGCAACCGGAACCACAGTGTTGGTCGGTAATACCGCAATAACCAGACTGACTGCAGCAGAGGATCGGAGAGCAGCCGCAGAACTGCGACTTGGCAGTTTGTGAGTAGAAACTGAAGAGGTAGATGAGAAAAACTGAGGAGATTTTTGTGAGAGCCATGTTTCTGAGTAATTCTTTGTGGATGAGAACGAAGAGTAGGAAGAAATTATAATTGTTTAAAGTGGGAGATGTTTGGTGGTTTGGTCATTTCATTGGGATATAATTGCCAGTCAATCGGAATAAAAATGTTTTTTTTTCCTTATTTTTTATTTTGATTATTTAACACACGGCTTTGACCTGAAGTTTTTGCCAAAGATAATTATATGGTCTAGTAATTGAATTTTTTTTATTTCTTCGACCAAGACACATGGAAATATTTCTCACTTTTGTATAATTTCTGAATATATTATTTCTCACTTTTTGTTTCCGAAACGATGGAACAAACAAATAGATTTCATCATTATTTTTCAAATCCGAAATATATGGTTAAAGGATCCCTCTTTAAAATTTACATTAGACGGCCAAAATAATTCGGGAGCTTTTGCCGAGTCGATCAATTGACCAATAACGACTTTTTATTTAGGTATCCGAATACCACCTAGGGAATTTTTTATATTGTGACTTATAATAGTATTGGGTACCGTTCTTTCTCGGTTTTGCGACACCGTTCATTAAAGATTGCGCCAAATCAATAGAGATTTAGATATAATCTTTCATTTCGTTACGCTCTTAATACAACATTAGTATTATATGTCATATGATATAATTTCTCTGACGTGGTATCTTATTCTTATATTTCAAACATTGTTTGTTTCAGATGGGCAGAGAGAAAACCTTAACAAGAGAGGTTATCGCCAGGTTCGACCCCAAGCTTACCACAATAGTCTCGGTAATACTCAATCCTTTTGGCGACAGTTGCAGGATCTCTTCCGCTACACTCCATACCATTTATAGCCCTGATCGTCGCGCCAAAACCCTGATTAAATTTCCCACGAACATTAGTGGTCCAGAACCAGAAAGCAGTCTTGAAGGCAAGAACTGGGTCTTGAGCCACTTTCTCTGGTGAGGCCAATAAGTTCTCATTCAGGTCTCTGCCACAGAGACCGTAGTTGTAGTTCCAAGAGAGCTGGATTGGACCACGGCCATAATAGGCCTTCCCTTGTGCACATGGGAAATCTGTGTTGTCTTTCTCACAGTAGTTCTCGGCTTTGGCTGGTCCATCAATTTCCTCAATGTAACACATGACTGTAACAAAATATAATCAAATAGTTACACAAACGAATCCTCGTGAGTCGTGAACTCGTGATGGACATATAAAATGAACCGATATCTTTAACTCCCAAGTCATAAATTTTCAAAACCGGATAAGCTAAAAAAAAATTGAAATAACCAAACCGAACCGAAATAACCAAATGTCTAAAACCTAGAGAGATTTTATAACGTACATTCTGTTTCATGGGTGACATGAGCGAAGAACGCAGCGATCTCGCGTTTGGAGATGGAAGCACCAAAGCTCTGGTACGAATTAGCTGCGGCCATAAAGGCATTGTGAGAGTAGAATCCTTTACCTGCACAATCACCTCTTGCTTGGTTTAATATAGAGTTAAAGAACTCAGGTGTCACCGTTCCTTCAAGCGAAACAGCATCTCCGCCTCCGCCACTGTTTCCGCCGCCGCCGCTGGTCTCACTACTACGTTGACAAGGGCCCTCACGTACGGCAGCCTTTGCCGCAGTAATCATCTGTCTGACCACAGTAACCCCATTGGCTGCAGCAGAAGTCAGAGGCACAGCCACAGTTTTGGGAAGTTACTGGTTTGGAAACGGTCAGGATCAAGACAAGGAGAGTTGTGAGAAAAAGAGCACTTGTGTCTTTTCTGGTGCTGGATTTGGCGTAATTCGCCATTTTTGTTATTGTTGCTTATGTGTGTGTGAGGCTGATAGAGGTATATTAGCTTCGAGTTTTATAGTGGAGATCAGCTGATTGAAACAATGAGGGAGAGTTAAGACAATGTTGGATCCGTGAAGAAGACGTTGTGGAAAACAAGTGTCTAGTAATTTCCAAGTCAACGTCAACTCAGGTAGACTTCGTGTTCTAGCCCATTCGTTACGTAGGGAAATTTCCACACAAAGATCAAAATTTTCATTTACATACAATAAGATTCAGAATTTTGACAAAAGTTAATTATTTTGTAAGATAAAAGATTCTAGGGTTTATTATTTCTCCGGGTGACGAATGTTTAAGTGTTTTTAAGTTTAATCGTTTTTTTGTGTGGGTAGATTACTAGGTTGTATCACTTGTGTTATTAGCGTTAATTGGAATTTAAAAATGAAAGTTTGATCTTTTACGAAACTACAATCCTAAGACAATTGTTTCTCTGAAACCATCCAAAGATGAAGTTCGAATCAAAACATGGAACTATCGAATAATGAAGAAACCGCAAAATTTTCTATTTGATCTGAAAGATCAAAAACAGAGGAAATCTTAAACTCACATATTCTTATCAAACCCACTGATTCACAACAAGACTCTTCATTTTAATAGTTTCACACCTAATAAACCATATTGGATAAGAGAGCAATGAAGATCCAATGCAATGCGTTATTGAAACAAATTATGTTATGCACAAGAGATTTGGTTACTCCCCATTTCTGTTGTGTTTATGGTGCATTATCAATGCTACGAATCAAACATTTTCTTTGTATAAGTCGTTTTATTAATCTTTTTAATAACGTGATTCAATTTCACAATATTACTACTACAACAACTTTAAATAACTTCACTTCTTATTTCACCTTTAACACTCGTAAGTTTTAGCAAGTGATGTTGGTGCCAGGGTCCACACCAAGCTGCCCACAATAGTCTCTATAGTATCCAATCCTTGCATTCACCCCACCTAAGTTCCTACCGTCACAGTCGAAACCGCTGACGGCTCTTACGGTGGCTCCAAATCCCTGGTTCAACACAGGCCTCACACTCTTCATCCAAAACCACAGAGCCGCCCTGAAAGCCACGACTGGGTTACTACTCACCAGCTCGGGCTGGCGTAGGAGGTCGAGGCCAAGACTCTGGCCGCATGCTCCATAGTTGAAGTTCCATGATAGTAGGAGCGGACCACGACCATGGTAGCTCTTGCCCGGTGCACATGGATATTGCCTGTTGTTCTGGTCGCACATGACACGTGACGCTCCGTTTATCTCTTCTATGTAGCAGAAGTCTACACGTACAGAGATGCATATGAAACACACTAGTTAATATACGGAAAATTGAGATCAAATAAAATGTTCAATCTTTATAATTGTCTTACAGTCTTAGGATAAAATCAAATGAGATATCCAAGGTTAACGTATCTTTGTTATGATATTTTAATTAGCAATTATTTGTAAATTTGAAACGCCACTGTAGATTATTAAGTATAAGTTTTTTAAATAGCATACTCATTTTTATGTCACAATCTACTAATGTGTATATATCTTGACCAAAATAGATGTACCTTAGAATATTCTTGGTGTGTGAAAAAAGAGAATAAAACCGAGACAAAAGATTCTTACTTCCGGTCTCATAAGTGAAATGAGCAAACATGGTAGCAATTTCACGCCTAGTAACGGTATTAGCAAAGCTGGGAAAAGTATTGGTGGCGTTAATGAAAGAGTCGCGGGTGTAAAATCTTTTTCCTGCGCAGCCATTACCGGCTTGGTTGATAATGTTGTTAAAGAAATTTTGTGTCACAATGCTACCAACCAAACCAGCACCGGTTGGGGGTCCACCGACTCTACAAGGACCTGATTGGCACGTAGAACCACAGTAATCTGCAGTGGTACCGCAATAACCGAACTGACTGCAACATAGGTTTGGAGCGCAATTGCAGTTTTGAGATTTGACGGTTTCAGAGTAGAAACCTAAGAGGGAGAGGAGAAGGATTAAGAAGATTTTTGTGAGGGCCATCTTTGGGTAGTTCTTGTTGTTTAAAGAGAAGGAATAGTCTGATGAGGTTTATATAATGAGATATTGGGTAGATTGGTCATTTCAGTGGGATGGGAAATAAATTGTGATTTTATTTCTTTCATTTATTAAACAATGGTTTTGGGTTTTGACTGTTAGTCTGCCGAAGATGTATGGGCAATTGAATTTTCTTTTAAAAACAAAATAACTCAGATTGGAATTTGTAGTTGGAAAAATAATTGGTTGAATTAGGATCTATTACATGGTTACACATTGAATTTGGAACTAATGAGTACAAATCTTGTAGGCTATATTTTTTTGTTTTTCTTTTGTAGATTACTGTCGGTTTGTTTTTTGAGACAACAAAGAAGAGCCGCCCTTCACGAATAATAATATTTTGTTAACCAAAAAATATAAATGTGGTAATTTCTGAAGTGGATATTAGAGAATTGTCGACGGCTGGGAACATCGAGCCTGAAAAAATGTTGAAATTGTTGTTTCATAAAAAATAAAAATAAAATATCGAAATTGACTACTCATTACTAAAGTACTAAACGATCCAAAAAAATATTGGAGTGTTGCTTGATTAATTACAATAATACAAACCGAGTCCCCAATCAGTTGCCCCTCGTCTCTCGAGCCTCTTCCAAAAGCCGACTCAGATGATAAAAGTGAGATTGACACAAATAGCCCCAAAAAAGTTGTTTTTTCCAAAAATAGCACCTCATTTGAAAAGTTCCACAAATAGCACCATAAACTTCAATTAAACTTAATGAAAATAAAAAATAAAAAATAAAAAAGAAAGCAAACACTAATCTAATATTAAATTGAATCAAAATTGTTATTAAATAGTGGAAATATATACCCTAATTTGGAAATAGAGAACCCAAATATAATACCACAAACTAATATTAAAAGAAAAAAATCTCTTTTAAATGGTGGAAATATATACCCTAAATTGGAAATAGGGAACCCAAATATAATACCATAAACTAATATTAAAATGAATCAAAATCTCTTTTAAATGGTGGAAATATATACCCTAAATTAGCCCTGTGACGGATCCGGATATCCGGGGTTTTTAGGTGTATCCGGATCCGGATCCGGCGGATCTGCAGTTTTAGTATCCGGATCCGGATCCGGAGAACCCGGATATCCGGGTTTCGGGTATCCGTGAAAAAACCCGGATATCCGCGGATATCCGGATCCGAATCATGTTTTTTTTTTTTTGTAAACCTTCGATCTGAATCATGTATAAAACTTGAAACTCATGAATCTCTATCCATTTGGATAACAATCAATCACCGGTACAAAGAAAAAATCAAGAAAATTGGTGAAAGAAATTCGAAAATCTATAAAATAAGAGTAGTTAAACTAGAGATGGAGGATGGAAGAGAGAGATCTCCGATTTGGATCTAGAAATTTTGAGATTTGGACTTGAACTGCTTGGATGTTGAACCATGAATCGATCAACAAGATCTCGTCGGCGAAGGAGGCGACCAAAGAGAAAACCTAGATCTATTTTTACGTTATTGGATATCAACACAAATTGGTTTAGAAGTAATAAACGTTTGGGCTTGGGATTTTCCTAGGAATGTTTCATTATTATGCTTGGGCCTGGGCTTTGTAGTATAAAAGTTTAATTATAGTTTTGAGTTTGACGTTAAATGGGCAAAAAAGTGAGATGTATAATGATACCACCGGATCTACGGATATCCGGTTCTTTAAAATATTGTTATCCGGATCCGGATCCGGATCCGGCCGGATCTGTAATTTCATTATCCGGATCCGGATCCGGACGTCCCGGATATCCTATTTTCCGGAGCGGATAGTAACGGATCCCGGATCGGATCCCGGATCCCGGATAATAAGTCTCAGGGCTACCCTAAATTGGAAATAGAGAACCCAAATATAATATTTTAAATTTATTTCTAATTTATTTTGTTGTATAGCTTTTATATAAAAATTGTGGTATTATTGAAAAAAAAACTAGTGATAAAATTTTTAGAACAAAAACACTAATAGTAAGCTAACTAGTGCTATTTTTGGAAGTTTATGGAGTGTGTGCTATTATTGTCAATAAAACTTGTTTTAGGGCTATTTTTAGGAATTTCTCATGATAAATCGTAATTTCACCGTTGAAAAGTCAAATTTGGAACTTGGAAGATCATTAGATCAATCATCTGAATTACGAAATGAAAGGCTTTAAAGTTATAACATATAGATGATTTTTTATATATACAACTTATACATCCTAATAGATCCTATATATCTAACCAGATTGAATCCAAACGATAATATTAATCATTATATCTGTATTATTATATGAGGAGATTGTGAACGTAATAAGAGTACAACATCTATTCCTACATAATTACCGTTTTTGGGGAAACTTTCTAACATTTGTACTTAATTGCACTAACATAGATTCTTAGGAATCTTAGAAGGCTTTCGTGGGGATTCTGTTCTTAGGCGTTGGCTTGAGCACCCAACCTTTGGAACTGCCACGATGTTGTATCCACCGGACCGGATTTGATGAGATACTTGGTCGGGAAATTTTGAGGTTACCGGATCTGGAGATTGGTGTTAGAACTCATGTGTTGGGTTGCTAGGATCGGGACCTGACATAGTAGAGCCGTTAAGTCGGAGTTGTGAGCATTCCAGGAAATCTGTAGCGGGTTAGGTGGTTCATCGGATTGGGAGTGGCGTGGGAGACCGAAAGCTTCCGACAATGCTCTCCGGTTCAGTGTTGCTGTCGCAAAGCCGTGGATTTTGCTTTCGCTGGTGCTTGTGCTAACGTCTCTGCTTTCCGGTCAATCAGCAAGTTCAGATCCAATCTCCGGGATGGATAATTTTCTTATTTTCCCATTTTGTAACTGTTTTTTCCAATTGTAATGCCCAAGACGAAGCCCAGTTATGGGAAGCCCATTATTAATATTATTTTAGTTTTAAAAAAAAAAAAAAAAAAAAAAAAAAAAAAAAAAAAATTTGCACTAACATACGCTAAGCTGCATCTCTTAACGTACGTTTAGACTCTTTGATTACATTGGGCTGCATATATCTCTAATGAATCCGTTGACAAAAAAAAAAATCTTTCAAAACTATTAAACTACTAATGTGGTGGTGACCACACCGTTAATCATTAAGATTTTTTTTTTGGAAACTTTTTGTTTTTGGTGTGATAAATACAAGATTATAAAATATTATAATATCAATTCGTGCGAATATCCCAAAAGCAGATATTGTAAGTGTCAAACTCAAACATCTATCAATCTTAAAATTCACTTTCATAAGAAGTCACATAAGAAAAGAAAATCACTTTCACAAGTTTATTAATTATTACAACCATTTTTTGCTTGTGACGCAGGGAACACTGAGACCCAACATAAAGTACATACGTGTGAAATTTAAATTTATTATCTCTTTTTTTTTTTATTATCTCTTGGTGTGAAATTTAAATTTATTATCTCACTTATTATCCCATCTTATCACGTGCCACGTCACAAGTGTGCGTGTTTGGGTTCAAAGTTTTTTTAGCAACTAAGGTTAGGACCAGGGTCCACACCAAGCTGTCCACAATAGTCTCTATAGTATCCAATCCTTGCGTTGACTGCACCGGAATTACCACCGTTACATTCCATTCCATTGATGGCTCTAATGGTGGCTCCAAACCCTTGGTTCAGAACCGGCCTTACGCTGTTCATCCAAAACCACAAACCCGTCCTGAAAGCTACAGTTGGGTTGCTACCGACAAGTTCGGGCTGGCGTAAAAGGTCAAGACCGAGACTTTGACCACACGCTCCGTAGTTGTAGTTCCATGATAGTTGGATCGGACCACGACCGAAGTAGCCTTTGCCAGGTGCACATGGGTATTGTGTGTTGCTGCTCTGGCAGTAGTTACGTGATGCTCCGTTAATCTCTTCTATGTAGCAGAAATCTAATACGTGGAGCGAGATGCACATGAAACAGAAGAGTGCTTTAATTAGGATCATCTTAATTACTTGAGATCAAGTCAAATGTTCAGTTTTTACTATATTAATTGAATGTTTAATCTTATATGTCTTAGACCAATATTGTTTTGCTTTAAATACTTAACGTGTTATAAAATTATAATCCTCATTTTTAAATTGTAAATTTCAAATAATGCAAACGTTTTAAAATATCAAATCCTCAGGTTTAGAAATATCCAATCATTCGTTTAGATTAATTATTAGAAGTTATAAACTTAGAATCGGTCATGACTAAAGTAGATGTATACACAGACAAAAATTACTAATTTCTTTTTATATTATAAAAAATTAAAAAGAAGGGAGAAATGAATCTTACGTCCGGTCTCGTGAGTGAAATGAGCAAACATGGTAGCAATTTCACGTCTGGTAACGGAATTGGCAAAGTTGGGGAAAGTATTAGCGGCGTTAACGAAAGAGTCACGGGTGTAGAATCTTTTCCCGGCGCAACCATTACCAGCTTGGTTGATAATGTTGTTAAAGAAACCTTGTGTCACAATGCTACCGACCGATCCACCAGTCGGGGTTCCACTGCCTCTACAAGGACCTGATCGGCATCCAGCACCGCAGTATGCATCGTCGGTACCACAGTAACCGAACTGGCTGCAACAGAGGTTTGGAGCGCAACCGCAGTTTTGAGACTTGACGGTTTCAGAATAGAAACCCAAGAGGCAGAGAAGAAGGACTACGGAGATTTTTGTGAAAGCCATGTTTTGTGTTATTGTTTGTGGATGAGAGGGAAAAGGTGGTGAGGTATATATAGGGATAGATGTTGGATAGTTTGGTCATTTGCCTCATGGGATGAGTGGATGTAAATGTCTTTTTTTTTTTTGTATAATAGGGATACATATGTATGTATTTTGGAATGATTTTGACTTTTGGTCTTCTTCTTACTTAGGATAAATAATGTGGACTTGGTCTAATTTAAATTTTCTGTTTTTAAACAGAACAATTATTTATTAATATTTCTCACTTCTGTTGCATGATTTTTTAAAATATTATATGATTTCCCAATGATTGGACAAACAAAAAGGTTCGTTTAAATGTTTTATTAAACTGTTACATGTACAAACTATATAGAAATAAATACATAGAAAATTCATTTAGGTTCATTTAGATTTTTTATTAATCTATGTACATGTACAAACTATATGGAGCAAACAGCCGACATAAAGCTAAAAGATTTTGTCTTTTTTCTAAAACTGAATTAAACCTAAATCGTTTATTTTTCATTTATTAGATTCGACTCTTAATAGACGATATGAAGACAAGTCCTTGGATTAAGTTTTGTCCGTTTGATATTTATCTTACTAAAGATAAACATTTCAAATGTATTTGATAAATTATCTAATCTAATGTCGATCAGTGGCTAGTTCCTCTAGAGTTTCTTAGAGCCGCCTCTAAGTAGAGAAGTCACATATTGTCACTATAAATCGTGGTACCATGTGACTATGTGATAGAGATATGTCGCATATATCACTATAAATCTTGGTACCATGTGACTAAGTGAGTATTTGGTTGGGTCCATTACCCGGCGGCTATTCAAATTCCATCAAATGTATGAATTTCAATTTTAAGTTAGCAAAAAATGATTCTCAGTTTTAGTATATTTTTTAAAACATGTTTCAAATTATTTTCCCTTCTTCAATGTATTCCTTTTTTTTTCCATCCTACAAATAATAGAAGTATATAATAAAAGACGCGAAAAGTGGATTAAAATCGGAATAAAAATGTCATCAATCAAAGCGTAGAGTAATAAATTATACTATATGACATTCTGAACCATCCATATCTATCTTAAAACCAAGAAGATTGTTGACAAGAGAAGGGCAACGTCAACAAAAAGGCCATGTTACTTATTAAAATTAAGAGATTATGTCTTTAGTATAAGGCTAAAATTTGCCGATAAAAAATGATAAATGCACAGTCATACAAGTTACGTTGCATACGTTGAAGAGTAGACAGCAATTATATTTGACAATTCAATTCAAAGCTCTAGGTTTCGCCTTTTTTGGTGGAAGTGACAACCGTACCGGACGTTGTGGGTTCCGGCTCGGTCACTGGTCCGGACTTTCAGGGATCGTATGAATTATGATTCAACAACCAACTCATTCTTTTCAATGATTTTTTAAAATCCGAGTCCCCGCGTGGAAAATTTTAAAGTTTAAGAGATATTCATAATGATCACTTACAAATTACAATGATTTAAATCGCATTGAAATTACTCAAACCTTAAAAAAAAAAAAAAGTACTCAAACCTTAGTTCTTAACTTCATGCTAAAGTCTATCAACTACGAAGTACTAACTCATTCTTTCAAAAAAAAAAAAAGTCATTCTTTCAATTTTATTCGGACTCATTCTTTCATCTTAAAGTAGAGTTCTTCGTAGGTGTATCTTATTATAAAAAGATCTTAAGTTTCATAGAGTAGACATTCATGAACACTGACTGATTCTTCTAGTATATATTGTATAATTATTTTTTTCGTCAACAAATCCATATACATTACTGAAGATAGTTATAATATCTTCCAAAATTTTCCTTCTAGGATGGTCACCTCAGCGGTACCGGTGACTAAAAAAGTCAATATCTTCGGGTATTCGTCGACCACTTGGAAGGAACCTTTTTATATGGGTAAAAATGAATTATCATAGATGCTTACTCATATAATTCTTTTTTTTTTTTCTCATTTGGAGGTTGCGGTGTACTAATTAACATGTATTGTCATTTATTCAAAAGTCATGGCCTAACATCATTGCATATTACATCTACTAAGGCTAAGAAACAAATATCTTCTTGAGTTTTTTGTTTAACATTGACTAGTATATTGAAGGATGAATATTAAACTAAATGGAATATGTTAAAACTAAACGTCCAAACGATTTGAAATTCAATTTTAAACTTTTTGACTAAAGAGTAAAAGTTTTCATTTTGTGTACGTCTTTAAAGAGCTCCAAATTTTATGGTTTGAGTTTCGATTGCCAAACTTAGTGAGTGAAAGTCCCACATCGGAAGTTGGAGAAATTATCAAGTGATATATAAAGGGTTAGAGTCAATCCACTCATTGCCAATTGGTTTTGAGTTGGAAGCCCATGTTAAAGCCCAAATCTATCATGGTAGCAGAGCCACCCGATCGTTGGGCCACCCTGTGGATGTTGTTCCCACATATGTCCACGCTTCAGATGTTCATGCCTGAGCCTGAGGGAGAGTGTTATTGAAGTCCCAAATCGGGCCACCCCGTGGATGTTGTTCCCACATATGCCCACGCTTCAGAGCCAACGATGCCTGAGCGTGGGGGGGGGGGGGGGGGGGGGGTGTTAATGAGAGAAAGTCCCACATCGGAAGTTGGAGAAATTATCAAGTGATATATAAAGGGTTATGGTCAATCCACTCATTGCCAATTGGTTTTGAGTTGGAATCCCATGTTAAAGCCCAAATCTATCAATTTGGTCCGAAAATTCATTAAAAATGAAAGGAAAGCATCAGCCATACATAAATTATATCATAAAGATCAAGCCATATCAGCAGCCCTCCAATAGCTACATGCATGTTGGCTTCGGGGAACTTGCTTTGTCGAGATTTAGCACTCTCCCTGATAAATGGGAAAAACCGAGCTAATCACAATCTACAGTTTCACCGTCATCATCAATCAATAGATAAAATAAGACTATGTTAAAATTTTCTGAAGAAGAATTAACTTTACGACCTCCTATGTTGAATCGCTTCCCAACCCAGAGCATACACTTTCATCTTTCTCCATTGTCTCGGACACCAACCCTAAAAATTGAGACACACCGAATACCCAACTAAAACAATAAATTCGATTATTGGGCCTTTCTATTTATTGGGCTGATTATTGGAGGTGTCGTCACCTGTTTTTAATAACCACGGTTACAGATATAAATTTCTTATAAAACATTAATTTCTAAGATGAGCAGAAAAATCAAAGAACAAAGAGGAATAACTGATTCCCTTTTATTTCCGATACCTAAAACAAAGAAACGTCCCAACCTTATTTTTTTTAAATAAGGAAAAAGGGAATGTTAAATTTCTATTTTTTTATTAGCTTATCAACTATTGGGCCGAATATATGGAGGTATGTCAACGGTTTTCCAAATGGAATTTTACCGTTGGTTTGAAGTTCAGATTTTTGAAAAGTAATTATCAAACTAAAATCTTGTACGTTTTTGGATTGGATTTGAGTTTAAACCAAATATATTTTATTATACGTAGGTCCATCAAATTAGTTATTATTAATTTAAAAGTATTGCCACACATTAATGACTTTAACAATCTAGACCTTGATCAGGAGTTACCCCAAGCATCTCGCAGAACTCTATGTATTGCTTAATCTTGTTCTTCGTATCATCACGACGCCAGTTACCACATTCACGGCCATCAACTCTCTTTGTGATTTCTCCAAATCCTAAGTACAAAGCCGGACGCACGTTTCTATTCCAGAACCACATTGCGAATTTGAAAGCAACTTCTGGACTACGAGCCACCAGATCTGGATCCTTCAACAGAGGTAGCCCCAGGTGCTTGCCGGCAGCACCATAATACTCGTTCCATGTGATTGATTGTAGCAAACCGCGACCATAGTAGTTTTTCCCCGGTTCACAAGGGTACTTCTTGCTCTTTGAACAGTACCTCTCGTTGGATATTTCTTCTTTGTAACAAAAACCTTTACGTAGAAATAAAACCTTCACTCTGAACCGCCGATACTTACCAAAATTTTTACGAGTAGCGCCCAACCAAAAAAAAAAATTCACTCTGGACTAAAAAAAACTAATTACTCTCATTTTTTTTCTCATTCTTCTTTATCCTCTCATACCTCGTCACTAGCTTCCTCTCCAGATTCTTCACTTCTCCCCATACAAAACAAAGCAAAGATCTCTCTCAGATCTGAATCCTTCATCTCCAATCTCTAATGGCGGCACCACCAGCATCATCCTGAGCAAGGGAAGAGTTCGTTTACCTCGCAAATCTATCTCTCTCTTCTCTCAGATCTGAATCCTTCGTCTCTGATCTCAAAAGGCGGCACCACAACCAGATTTGGTCGACAAAGACGAACTCACCGTCGAGGAACGCAAAATCCTCTCTGTCGCTTACAAAATCGTTATCGACGCTCGTCGTGCTTCGTGGCTGTGTTTAAGACTCCCAGGTAAATCTCCGAAGCCTGCTGTCTTAAATCAAAATCTGGAATTTGGCTTGATTTTGTTGGATCTATGATTTTAGTTTCTAGGTTCATGATTTGTGAATCAGTTTTTCTTACTTTCGTTTCTCTCTTTACTGATTATGTTCTCAAATCTTTTCATAATTTGTAGTGCAAATCCTAGAAACGTTTCATGTATGACATTGTTGCTAATGGTCGAATTGGGATTGATGTGGACAAGTAATTCTACCTATTCTTTACTCGTATACTTGTCTGTAGTTTCTGTCTTTTCCTTTTCATGAGAGTGTCTTAGTGAGTCTAGATTTGACTATCTTGTCGTGATTTTCAAGCTTGTGGACCTTATAAGGAAGAGGTGGAACCTGTTGAGGACGAATTCTCGCCAAAGAGGTAGTCTTTTAAGAATATGTATACCTTGCTCTTTTCTTTTCTTTTCTTTATTCTGATGATTTCAAAGCTGTTTTTTTTTGTGATGTGGTGTGGTGTGTTTACTTTAAGAGTATTTGCAGCTAATGCTTTCTCTTGGTCTCCACTAGTTTTGGATCATTAATTTGATTAAATTAGTTTTGTAGCTTTGATTCACCTTGATTGCAATCTTGTTTTTTTGGCTAAACGTCTGTGATAGTGAGTGATACAATGCAAAATTCTAGGCTTTAAGATCAACTACAAGTTCCTTGTAGATAAGTACACTAGTATATTACTGTTTTAAGGTGAAACTAGCTCAAATAGTCATGTTAAGCTTTCACTATGTTCTGGGATGTTGTGTTTGTTTTGTGGGTTAAAAACAGATCAAAAGCTATCTCCGGAAAGTCTCAACCATTCTGTTTAGATACACTACTTGAATATAGAAAGTGCATCATCTGTCAAGTAAGTCTAGATTTGGTTTCATTGCTCTAGTACCAAATCAATTCTTTGTAGAAACCAGTGTTTAGATTGGTGATAAAACAGATTAGTTTCTTAAGAATTAATTAATGTTCATGTGTTTGTTTATTTGACAGGACGAATATGAGCCGAAGGATCAAAATAAAAATTTGTTCATGAGGTACTTCTAGCACTAATTAATTTTTTTAATTTAAAATGTATATCACTGATATTATTTTTTAAAGATCTTCTATATGGTGTATGGAATGTTGGTCCTTGTTATAATGCCTTAAAAATTAGATTGACCATTGATCATTAAGTGTTGAACAGGCTCGCTATTATTGTTGTTAATTTAGAAGCTTTAATCCAACAAATCCTTTTCTACTGTCGCTTATTCATCTTCAGCCATAGATAGACATTAGACACAACTTTTTTGTATTCATATAAGAAATAGATTTATTTCTTTCTTTCCGTTATGTCTATCTCATACACACATGCTTACAGGGATTATGCACGGAAATGCTGACTGGAAGGCGAAACTTAAAGATGAGACGAGATTGAAGTTTATCTTTATGATGTTAGCTTTATTTTGTTTAATACTTGATATGATGTTATGTAAAAATGGATAATGTAATATTATGTATGTTGATGATTTATGAAATAGAAAAATAATATTAGAAATTCATTTAAATTTTGTTTTGCAAAACAGGATTCAAATATAATAATTATAGATAAATCTAATTAAATTTCTATAGCAAATATAAAAATTGCTACAATACAATATAAAATAGCACTAAATGAGTGCTATAATATAGTATATTACAGCATTCTATTACCGCTACAATTGAACGACTTTTAATAGCATGTTAAAAACGCTATCGTATGGGTGACACCTACCATAGCTGCCGATGTCATAGCATTTGTGAATTCGCTATGTTATATGTATGATAGCAGATTTTTCGCGCTAACAATGTGCATATTTCTTGTAGTGATTAGCTATAAAGCTTCAAAAAAAAAAAAAAACATTGCAGTGCCAGAATATTGATTATTTTAGATGCAACAACACGAAACTTTGCATGTAACCATTGATTTTCAAATATTGAACGCAAATGTAAACGCCGATGGGAATGATTTTTATTTTTGTCACTATAGTACTATAATGAACTTACTTTTAGATCCATATGAGAAATGAGCCAATATGGCAGCGATTTCACGTTTAGCCACCTTTCCTTTGTAAGCTCCAAACGATTTGAAAGCAGTGATGAAAGCCTCGTAAGTGTAGAATCCTTTTGCCGAGCAGTTGCTTTCGACTTTGCTCATGATGCTATCGAACAACGCTGGTGTGATAACGGTCTCTATTTTACCACGTGGACCAGCATCCACGTTGTAGTCATATCCGTAGGATTTTCCCTTGATATTGCAAGGGCCACTGAAACAAAAGAATCCACAGTAATCATCTTTAGTGCCACAGAAACCCCATCTGCTGCAACATTCCTTAAGGCCAGGGCAACTAGTATCCATGCAGTTCTGCGAGAACACGGTCTCGGCCAAAATTGCTAGAATGAAGAGGAAATAAACGAGAGCGTTTTTTAGAATCGCGTTTTGGCTGGTCATTTTGTTTATAGCAAAGGAGTGTTTAGAAATGGAAAAATTGGGTAGACACGAGGGTTTGTGGACGTATTTGTAGTTCAAGATCAGTCGGTTTGTAATTGATTTGGTCAACTACATAATGACTAATAAAACCATTTTCTTTTAAAAAAATTCAGAAGTCTTTATTAATATAGTCTTGATACTTTGAATATTAAGCTTTTACTGGAAATTTGTGGAGACTACACATATGAATAATATTCTCTAGATCTAGCTACTATTTGAACACTATAAATTCGCAAGTCAACTATTAACCCTGGACTTTTGAGAAGCTGAAATTGGAATTAATCTTTCACGTGACAATCTGTTGCCTTTGTTATCAATGTTCCATCCCCATGACTCTCAGATGCACTTTAAAAGGGAGCAAATTATGTAAACATGTGCAATATTAAAAAATCATTAAAAAATAAAAATTGAAGGTGGTTCTTAGGAAATTAGATTCAGATCACCAAATAACCAATATGGCCTCCAGGTTAAGCCAGTCCCAAAACAAAAAAAAAACACTAGTTTATTTTTTCAGAAATCCAACAATAGCATAAAATGTTACCCAAAGGCTAAGACATCCTTAATTATGTTTTGATCTCATGGATCCTAGTTGTCAAATGTACGACGAATTTCATGACGGTTAGAAATGATCAGATCATATGTGATCTGTAACATTATTCCCTCTTCTTCTTCTTTTTTCTTGTTGTTGTTATCGTCAATCACAAGCCTCGTTTGGTTCCGCTAATACTCTAATTTCTTTTCTACCAAACCATAACAGGGAAAGATGTGATGATACAAGAAAAGTATTTTTCGTTGCTTATATAGATGCATGTATACTAGTCTAGTGTGAAAAACAGGGAAACCAATATGTTTATTGGATAATAGTTCCATTTTTATTAGTTATGCTAGCGCGCGGATACAAACAACACACAACTCAGTGACAGTTACCTTAAGAGACACCAACCACACAATATGACTTCTAATCTCTTACAATTTTATAAATTCTAGTATTTTCGACTTCACTTTATTTATTCGACACGGAATTCTTAACCCACACGACATTAATAGAAAACCCTCATAAAGTAGTAGTGTCTTCAACATGAGAGATTGGTTCCAGGAGTGACCCCAAGCTTCTTGCAGAAGTCCAAGTAATGGTTAACCCTGCTCTGCACTGCAGCTGGACGCCCACCGTTACATTCACCACCGTTGATCCTCCTCGTAGTTGCACCAAACCCTTGGCTCAAAACCGGACGCACATTCTTGTTCCAAAACCACATGGCACACTTGAAAGCCACAGTTGGGCTACGAGCCACCATATCTGGGTCCTTCAAGAGAGGAAGTCCAAGGAACTTTCCGGCTGCACCATAGTTGTAGTTCCATGTGATTTGGATCGGACCACGACCGTAGTAGTTCTTGCCCGGTTGACAAGGATATGTTGTGCTTGGTGAGCAATACCTTCCTCTGGCTATTTCTTCTTTGTAACAAAAACCTATACATAACCAAAGAGATAGACTTTATTTCAAACTTCTTTTAGAAACATTATCGAATTTGTTTACTAATAAAGCTAGCAAGTCCTTATATCTTATGAGGAAAATATTCTCGTCTCTATATGCTTCTTCAGTTATCAAAATAAATTTTATAATGCAAACAGACAAATCCGAGATACCTAACCAAAAAACTCATTTTAGACATTTTTTGAAACATAATTTATAGAGAAAAAAAGAGAGAAAATGTAATCAACGTTGAACTTACTTCCAGATTCGTGAGAGAACTGAGCCAACATGGCGGCAATCTCACGCTTAGCAACAGTTCCTTTGTAGGCTGCGAAGGATTCAGCGGCCGCGATGAAAGCCTGGCGAGTGTAAAACCCTTTGGCTGGGCAACCGCTTCCGACTTTACTCATGATGCTGTTGAAGAACGCTGGTGTGACAACGCTCGCGATGGTACCACGAGGACCAGCATTTAGACCGCCACTACCGCTGGGAGTCGGAGTAGGTTTAGGTTTAGAGGTACAAGGTCCACTCTGACACCCAGTGCCACAGTAGGCTTTTGTGGTACCACAATATCCCCACCTGCTGCAGCACATGTTGCCTTTACACCCGGTTGTACCGCAGTTTTGTGAAAACGCGGTTTCCGTCATGATGGTTAGAGTGAAGAGGAAAATGATGAGAGTGTTTTTCGAAATCGCATTTTGTGTCGCCATTTTTCTTTCTTTCTTTGAAGGAATGTTTTGGAGGGAGAGTTGTGAGAAGAAACAAGGAGGATATATGGACGTATTTATAGTGTATAATTGGTAATACTAAATTATGCTTGGTCAAATTTTAATTAATGTTTTACAAGAAAGTCATGACTCATTCCTTTTCCTGTAGTTGTGATTAAGGAGAATTACTATGATGATTTGAATTTGGACTTAGTCATAACGTTTGGCTGCATTAGAGTAAGAGACGAAAATGAATCTAATAGTATAATCATTCTGAAGATAATCCCTTGTTGGTTTAAATTCATTATCTTATTAGAGCGCTAATATCTTGTAACATTGAAATATATAACTTATATCTCGATATGGCTAATTAACAAAGAACAATGAAAATAAACCACGGTGTAGGTAGTTTAGTCTTTAGTTGTTTTTTTCTTTTTCTTAAGTCTGAACCTTATATGAGAACAGAGTAAACTAATTAAATCGTACTGATCCGTTCGAACTTCGAAATAACTAATTAAGAAAATAACAATAAAAATAGTAAATTGTGCATGCGTATACAACTATTAGCTAGATTCATTGTCGTTCCGTATTCGTTGAACTAAAAACTCAATTCTGAAGAAAACTAGCATCAAATAATTCAGGTGACGAAAACTATAATTTGTACATCGTACGTGTACATAAAAATAACAATAATAATAGGTTGCTTAACGATGTATATCAGATTATACTACTAGGAACCAGGAGAGTAAATAAGTTAGATTTTGCGTAAAAGACTTTTTCAACGACGAGTAAATCCGCGATACGAGTGAAACATTTAACCAGAAGATGTGCTGGTCAACTTAACTTTAGAAATTCGCCAAATATTTATACAATATTTTGTTTGAAACAGTAAATATATATATAATATAGTTTTGAAAACCATTCTCAACTGGACATCAATTTTAAGTATCGAACTATCCAATAATTTCTTATTGGTTTCTCTTTGGAATACTAATTAGCGAGGAGATCGTTATTAATATATTTTCTAACATGACTGTTGAATATATATTATTGCTTACTTCTTTTTTCTTTTGGGGTTAATTTTGCTAACTGATTCATCGATATTTCTTACTTACACTCCACGCATAAAATCAAGGTATGTGATACTTTTTTTTTTTCAAACCTATGTGCTACACAATTGATTTGAAATTGAAGTCCATGAATCCATATTATAATCTGCAGCTGTATATTATATACAGAGGCGAATATGCCATTAGAATATAAGCACGTACATAGGTTTTCAACTTTCAAGGAACTTGCGATGGTCTGGAAATGATAATCTTAAGTTTTCACACGTAATGAGAATTTTAGTTAACATTGCAAACTAATTACAATAGTATTAAAATTATCATTAATGAAATCTTGTGTAGACTAAAAACGTAATTAAAAAGGGGGTCGCGAGTCACGACAAATAAAGAGGTTTTACTTAAGCGCTAATTACGGATCCTTGAATGCGTTGACGTGGCCCTATCCATTCAAAGTCAACTCAAGCATGTCACATGCTCACGTGAAGGAACTCTTTGTTTTTCAAGATATAACTATGTAAGAACTTAATACTATTTATTTTTGATTCGTAATCTGAAATTATAAATTTATGATGATTTCACGATGCACAGATCAAATCTTATCTTGAAAAGATATTTCGGATTTGATCTTGAGTGTGCTTATGTTTTTACTTATTTTATCTAGTGGCCGCTATATCTATTCTATGTCATGCCAATTGGTATTGTTTTTAATTATCTAAAATTATTTCCATTTTAAGTGGCGATTTTATACTTGTTGTATAAAGAATGTTGTTTTATAGTTTTAATCTGATTTTTTACTTTATCCCTATACTAGATAAATATCCGCTCATTTTTCACTCACATGCTTTATGTTCGGATTGTTCGCGTTCGCATCATCTTTACATATATGAGGAATAATGTATACATTATTAACTCGATCCAACAATAAAGATAGGGACATCATATTCAATGTAGTTTTTTTTATCGATCCTATATTCTACACATATAGACGACACTCGTGCAGGGGCAAACGAAGAACTCAGACCAAGTTTTCAAAAATATAGACTTCACCATAAGGAATAGAACATCTTCCTTTCACTTACGCACTTCTCGAACTAGCTTTCCGCTGGCTTCAAATTTGGTTTCACAGCCAACAAAACCGTGACGTGCGAGATTCGACATCACTACTATGCCTCCTCTTCGAATTTTGCTTATTGGTCTTTTGTGAAAGGTTAATCAAGCTTTGATCTAAAAAAACTAGATATCCATTTTATGTTGTGTTTATAAAACAGAAAACTATTATAACCAAAAATATAGTGTTTAATAATGTAAAAAATCTTATTATTTATTTAAATTTTAAAAAAGCTTTTCACTTTCCATAAAGAAAACATCATCAACAATTCAACTCAAAAATGAAAAGAAAAAAAAATGTTGTCAGCACAACAATTATTTTCATAGATTCAATGATCTAAGAGATTAAGAGTCTTGATGACTGGTAAAAGCCCTAGAGGGGTCCTCCTGTAAACAGAGACAAATAAGAAGTCATCGAAAGAGGCCCTCTTGATGTCGTTTATGAATTCTGCGTACGAACGCTCTCAGTCTCATGTGTAAGTCCACGCTCATTTTACGTCTGATATGTGGACCATTTTTTCTGGAAGTCTTTTGCTGTTTTGAAGATATTTTCCTTAGTTCAAACTTCAAACTACTGCATGTATGGCTATCCTTAATAATCCGTATGTATTGAAAAAAGTTGGAATTTTTTTTTACTTCATTTTTTTAACTGTCAATATCTTATTTCATTCGAATATATATACATATGCATACATTTTTCTGGCCTATTTATCGATCGGTCCTAGCTATGGAAATTTTACAAAAAAAAACTATTCTCATCATACAAATTAGGCCTGGGCATAAAACCCGAACCCGAAGAACCGAACCGAACCCGACCCAAAAAACTAGGCCCGAACCCGAATCCGAAGTTTTAAAATACCTGAACGGATTCTAAACTTCCCAACCCGAAAACCCGAATCCGAACCCGATCCGAACCCGAACCCGAACAAGTACCCGAACATACCCGAAATATATGTACATAGTTATAATATATTAATAATATTTATACTTGTAGTAACTAAGTGCCTAAATTATTCGGATGTTATGATATTTTCGGGTGTTTTAGCTACTTTTGACTAAATTCGGGTAAACAATACTTGGGTTTTATAGTTTTTTTGAGTATTTTTAATACTTTGCATAGAATCGGATACAAAAATTTTAATATTTGGATACTTCGGGTAAACCCGATTCCGAACCCGAAATACCCGACCCGAACCCGACCCGAACCCGAAGTTTTAAAATACCCAAACAGATCTTAATTTTCTAAACCCGAAAAACCCGAACTCGAAAATCCGACCCGAATCCGACCCAAATATCTGAACGCCCAGGCCTAATACAAATATACATTACTCGGCAGTGGTTCCCTTTTGTGATTCTCACTTTCACCATTTAGTTCAGACACTTATACTAAAAAAAAAAAGAAAAAAATATACTAACCATCTGTTCACATTTTTTATTCATAATATATCACCCTTGTAAATATTATTCTTAAGTTTCATCTTGCTTCATTCTCAGACAAAAAAGACAATCTTCTGTAAAATTTACCATTTGTTCACACTTTTTATTCATTATATATATCATTCTTAAAAAATTTCTCTTAAGTTTTCAGCTTATGTAATTTGTTCTCAGGCCAAAAAATCACACAAACATCCTCTGCAAAATTGGATAACCATTAACCATAGAAAAAGGTTGAAATTTTATTTTCGTAAATGCGTTTATTATGGATTGCCTGATATACTTCATTCTTTATATGACAACCGATACAAACAACACATTGGTACATTAGGATACACCGCATAATCTTTTTATTCGACACCTTTAGTTATAAACTCATACGTGCACGGCCACACTTATACTATGAAACCGTGTCATATGACCACATTTTAACATCTTTAACAACTAAGATTTGCTCCAGGAGTGATCCCAAGCATCCTGCAGAACTCCAAGTAATAGTTAACTCTGCTCTGCACCGCTGCAGGACGTCGACCGTTGCATTCGCCACCATTGATCTTTCTCGTGGTGGCTCCAAAGCCTTGGTCCAAGACTGGACGAACATTTAGGTTCCAGAACCACATGGCACACTGAAAGGCAACTTGTGGGCTACGAGCCACCATATCTGGATCGGTCAAGAGAGGGAGTCCAAGGAACTTTCCGGCTGCACCATAGTTGTAGTTCCATGTGATTTGGATGGGACCACGACCGTAGTAGTCCTTTCCCGGTGCACAAGGGTAAGCTGTGCTCGCTGAGCAGTATTTCCCTCTAGCTATTTCTTCTTTGTAGCAAAAACCTTGACATAACGGAAAAGAATCGTTACTCATTTCAAAACATATATCAGAAAAAAATTTGTTCACCCACTAAATTTAATAGAAATGTATTTTCATGATGATGAAATACTTTCTTTTTTAAAATTAAACCAAGAAACATTGTAGCTGGGTGCAATCATATTCTCGAAAATACTATTTTTCTTAACCCATTAATTATCCCCAAAACAAAAAAAACTAATTTTCTTAATTAATACATGCATTCATGTAGCGAAACGGGTTTATAATGAACTTACTTCCAGATTCATGAGAAAACTGAGCCAACATAGCGGCAATCTCACGCTTAGCGACGGTTCCTTTATAGGCCTGGAACGATTGGGCGGCCGCGATGAAAGCCTGGCGAGTGTAGAACCCTTTGGCTGGGCAGCCATTTCCGACTTTGCTCATGATACCATTAAAAAATGCTGGTGTGACAACATTTTCAATTGTATCACGAGGATCAGCGTTTAGACCGCCTGCACCACCGCTAGGAGTTGGTGGGATAGGTGTGGTTGAGGAGCTGCAAGGTCCGCTTCGGCACCCGGTACCGCAGTAGGCGGCTGTGGTGCCACAATATCCATATCTGCTGCAGCATAGATTAGCTGCACATCCGGTTGTACTGCATCGTTGCGAAAACGCGGTTTTTGCCATAATGGTTAAGGTGAAGAGAAAAAGGATGAGAGCGTTTTTCAACATTGCTCTTTGGGAAGCCATTTTGTTTTGGAGTGTGTTGCGGGAGGGATAGTTGTGTGAAGAAATGAAGAAGGTGTGTAGATGTATTTATAGTGTTAATTTGGTCTATCAAAATGATATATTGATAAATGTTAGATATCTTTCACGATTATTGATTGGCTTTTTCTAAGTCAAAGTCAATGCCACTTTGTACCCCTAAACAACCGTCAATGACCCATGGTTTTTTTTCTTGTCATTATGCGAAATCCCATGTCGGTCATAGATCAGATCAAAAACGAATAATCAAAATTTAAAACAACTAAGTTACTAAAATGAAAATCATTCTCATAAAAACTTGATAATCAAGTTTAGATTAGTTCAAATTCAAACGTTTGAGATTTTCTATCGCGAAAAGTTCAAGCTTTTGTTAATTAGGGAAAAAATATTTCCAGTCTCGTTCAAACGATTTTGTAAGAGCATCTAAAAAACGAAGCGCTAGTTCTATTTCCCGGGTAGTTCGCGTTCGCATCTTCTTTACAAAACTGATACACCATCATATGAGACATTGTATACATTATTAACTCGATTCAAAAATAAAGATAGGAACAATATCATATTCAATATAGGTTTTTTTATCGATCCTACATTCTACACTCGTGCAGGCGCAAATGAAGAAACTCAGACCAAGTTTTCAAAAATAGAGACGTATTTCCCGAACTAGCTTTCCACTGGCTTCACACTTGGTTTCACAGCCAACAACAACCGTGACGTGAGAGTCAAAATTACTATTATGCCTCCTCCTCTGCGAATTGAGTTGATTTTGCTTCTTGGTCTTTTGCGAAATGCTATTCCAGCTTTGATCTAAAAAAACTCTATATCCATTTAAGTTGTGTTTTTAAAACAGAAAACCATTATCAAATTAAACCAAAAATATTGTATTTAGTTATGTAAAAAAACTTACTTATTATTTATATAAGTTTTAAAATAGCTTTTCACTTTCCATACAGAAATCGTCATTAACAATTCAACTCAAAAATGAAAAAAAAAAATTGTCAGCAAAACATTTTTTTCATAGATTCCATGATCTAAGAGAGATTAAGAGTCTTGATGACTGGTAAAAGCCCTAGAGGGGTCCTCCTGTAAACAGAGACAAATAAGAAGTCATCGAAAGAGGCCCTCTTGATGTCGTTTATGAATTCTGATGCGTCTACGTACGAACGCTCTCAGTCTCATGTGTAAGTCCACGCTTATTTTACGTGTGTGTGGACCATCTTTTGTGGAAGTATTTTTGTTATTTCTTAGTTCAAACTACTGCATGTGTGATGTGTCTATCCTTAATAATCCGTATGCATTGAAAAAAATTGGAATTACATTTTTAATTTGTTTTAACTGTCTATATATTTCATTCGAATATCTATGCATACATTTTTTAGGCCTATTTATCGATCGGTCCTAGTTATAGAAATTTTACAAAAACACTATTCTCATCATTCATATTACATTACTCGGCAGTGGTTCCCTATAGTCATTCTCACTTTCACCATTTGGTTCAGACACTTATAAACAACTTCTACTAAAAATAAAATAATACTAACCATCTGTTCACATTTTTTTTTCATTATAGACCACCCTTATAAATATTCTTCTTAACTAAGTTTCATCTTATTTCATTCTCAGACAAAAAAAGACAATCTTCTGTAAAATTTACCATTTGTTCACACTTTTTATTCATAATATATCATTATTAAAGAATTTTCTCTTTAAGTTTCAGCTTATGTAATTTGTTCTCAAGCCAAAAAATCAAACAACATATCCTCTGCGAAATTGGATACCCATTAACCAAAAAAAAAAGTTGAAATTATAGTAAATTATTCATTTATAATGGATTGGCTGATATACTTCATTCTATGACAACCGATACAAACAACATATTGGTACATTAGGATACACCGCATAATCTTTTTATTCGACACCTTTAGTTATAGACTCATACATGCACGACCACACTTATACTATAAAACCGTGTCATATGAACCACATTTTAACATCTTTAACAACTAAGATTTGTTCCAGGAGTGATCCCAAGCATCCTGCAGAACTCCAAGTAATAGTTTACTCTGCTCTGCACCGCTGCAGGACGGTTACCGTTGCATTCGCCACCATTGATCTTCCTAGTGGTGGCTCCAAAGCCTTGGTCCAAGACTGGACGAACATTTAGGTTCCAGAACCACATGGCACACTGAAAGGCAACTTGTGGGCTACTAGCCACCATATCTGGATCAGTCAATAGAGGGAGTCCAAGGAACTTTCCGGCTGCACCGTAGTTGTAGTTCCATGTGATTTGGATTGGACCGCGACCGTAGTAGTCTTTTCCCGGTGTACAAGGGTATGCAGTGCTCGGTGAGCAGTATTTCCCTCTAGCTATTTCTTCTTTGTAGCAAAAACCTTGCATACCGTAAAAGATCGTAATTTATAATAGAGAGGTTCTAATTAATTAATTAATCGATACAAAAAATAGGGACACAATTAACGATAAGAGTTATTTACAAAGATATATCATTTTATTGTTCACACACTAAATTTCATAAATATTAATTGGGGTTAAATTAACCAAGAAACATTATTGTAGTGCTAGATGTAATAATATTCTTGAAAATAATTATTTTCTTAATTAAAGTACATGCATTCTATGTAGTGAAACTAGAAGGGTTTATAATGAACTTACTTCCAGATTCATGAGAGAATTGAGCCAACATAGCCGCAATCTCACGCTTAGCGACAGTTCCTTTATAGGCCTCAAACGATTGGGCGGCCGCGATGAAAGCCTGGCGAGTGTAGAACCCTTTCGCTGGGCAGCCATTTCCAACTTTGCTCATGATACCATCAAAAAATGCTGGCGTGACAACATTTTCAATTGTATCACGAGGATCAGCGTTTAGACCGCCTGCACCGCCGCTAGGAGTTGGTGGGATAGGTGTGGTTGGGGAGCTGCAAGGCCCGCTTCTGCACCCGGTACCGCAGTAGGCGGCTGTAGTGCCACAATATCCATATCTGCTGCAGCATAGATTAGCTGCACATCCGGTTGTACTGCACCGTTGCGAAAACGCGGTTTTTGCCATAATGGTTAAGGTGAAGAGAAAAAGGATGAGAGCGTTTTTCAACATTGCTCTTTGGGAAGTCATTTTGTGTTTGGAGTATGTTGTGTGAGGGAGAGTTGTGTGAAGAAATGAAGAAGGTGTGTTGATGTATTTATAGTGTAATTTTGGTCTATTCAAAATGATACATTGATCAATGTTAGATATCTTTCACGATTATTGATTGGCTTTTTCTAAGTCAAAGTCAATGCCACTTTGTACCACTAAACAAAAGTCAATGATCCAAAAAAATTTCTTGTCGTTATGAGAAATTCCATGTCGGTCATAAATCAGATCAAAAACGAATATGTAATCAAAATTTAAAACAACCAAGTTACTTGGATGAAAATCATTCTCATAAAAACTTGATTATCTCAAACAACCAATTTAGATCATTTCAGAGTTCAAACGTTTGAGATTTTCTATTGAATAGTTCAAGTTTTTGATAATTAGGAGACAAAATATTTCCAGTATCGTTTGTATAATAAATATAGCATTTAGAACGTTCTTTTACAAATTTTACTTTTATTTTTAAAAAATATTGAATAAATTGTGAGAAAGATGACTAACGAAGCTAATTCTTTTACAAGTTTGATAATATTAAAAATATTTTTATTTATAAATCAAAATCAACCAAAATTAGAAAAAACCAACTCAATTTCAGTCTATTATTATTATATTTCTTCCCAACAAAACCAAACCAAAACATCGAATATGCAAATTGCAATTCCAAGCAGTCATGCGTCGAAATTAGACCAGCTTATCAATAAAACCGGTTTAGTCTTACCAACCCATGGTCTAGAGACTCTAGAAGTCTAGAACCATCGGAGCTCAAGTGAAAACGACGCCGTTAAGCCGCATCTGTCAAAGATAGATAAAAACTTTGTCGATCGCTTCCTCCTCTCACATAGTTTCGGCTTCTCCGTTGTTTCAGGATACAAAGGGGGAAAAAATCGAATTCTTTCTCTCCAAGCGACAACTAGGGCTTCGAATTATCTATCTCGTCAAGGCTTCGAAAAGGTAGATTTATGGTTTCTTACTCTCCTTTCTCTATGATATTTCGATTTCTTGCGAGCTGCTCATTGTTCTTACCTTATAATTACCGAACCAGTGCCTTTATACTACCACATTCGAAGTTATTGGTTTCTGGTAACTTATATTGCTTATTGTTCCATGAACACTACATAATTATCCCAAAGATTTGTCCTTTTCTCCGAATTTGGATTAGAAATGGCGTCTTTTGTTATATACTCAAATTCTGATCATGCCCAGAAGAATCTTTGTTTAGGTCAATGTTAGGTTCTAATTGGTTGTGTTCGTTGTTTGCTGTTGATTTTTTTTCAGAAAGTGATTGCATTAAGAGAAGCATTGGGATAAAGATGAGTTTTACTCAGGCTAATTGTTTTCGACCATCTTACTATCCTGCAAGGATAACACGACCAAATTGTGTCTCCAGTGTACCTATTAGGTCGTCAGTACGCTTTGATTACTGCCCGCGTACCTCATTTACGCTTCGAGCTACTGCTGCAGTGTCTACTCAGTTTTCGCCTCTTCTTGATCATCGCCGTCGTTTGCCTACTGGGAAATCGAAACAAAGTCCTGCTGTGTGCTTATTTGGTGGGAAGGATAAACCTGATGGTAGTGATGAGGTCAGATGCTTTTTCCTCATGTTAAGTTCTTCTGCGTGGAAATGAATTTACTTTGCAACTGGAGAGTGATTTCTTTTGTGTATGTTTCTAAGAACTTTGCTGTTCTGTTTGCTGATGATAAGTGTGTTCTTTTTTTTTTCAAATTTGTTTTTAGTGATTGTTATAATGAATTTTGTTATTAGATATCGCCATGGAAAGCAATAGAGAAAGCTATGGGGAAGAAATCGGTTGAAGATATGTTGCGAGAGCAGATACAAAAGAAAGACTTTTATGATACTGACAGTGGCGGCAACATTCCTCCACGGGGAGGCAGTGGTGGCGGTGGTGGAAATGGTGAGGAGCGTCCTGAAGGATCAGGAGGAGAAGATGGTGGTCTTGCTGGGATCGCAGATGAAACCTTGCAAGTGGTTTTGGCAACCCTAGGCTTCATCTTTTTGGTAATTGACACAACTTTCAGGAGAGATTTGAACTTCAAATATCGTATCTTGCTTTGATGAATATACTTTTTTCGCAGTACACCTACATTATCACTGGGGAGGAATTGGTCAAGCTTGCAAGGGATTACATTAGGTTTCTTATGGGAAGACCTAAGACTGTTCGATTGACCCGAGCCATGGATGGTTGGAACGGATTCTTGGAGAAGATGTCGAGGCAAAGAGTGTATGATGAGTATTGGCTAGAAAAGGCGATCATCAACACGCCAACCTGGTATGACAGCCCCGAGAAGTACAGACGTGTTATCAAGGCTTACGTGGATTCAAATTCTGATGAAGCTTATGTGGACTCAAATTCTGATGAGGTATCTTACTAGGTTAGGAACAGGAAGAGATCCATAATAACAATTGAGTTTTTTTCTTACTGTTTGAAATTAAGAATCAGTTTCTTGAATTTGATCCATGTTCGTGCATTTGTATGGAATTGGTTTATACATGATCATCTTTCTCTGAGGGAAAAGCAAATGCAAGCCAAAATCTCTATAATGACATAAGTCAAAATCTTTTAGATCTTTCAAAATTCAATTCTTAAGCAGCAATTGCAAATCAATGAGAAACACAAAAGGAGAAATCAAAGTTTCTTAGATTTAGTGGTTGAAGTGCCTTCTTTCTTCTCTGCCTCTGTGGATTTCTTCCGGTCTTTCCTTTCCCTCTTCTTCAAAGCAGTCATGTGGGCCTTAAGAATGGTGGCATATGATGCTTGAAATCTCTGGTGATCCTTAGCACCAACCTTACAGACAAGAAAGCATTGTAACAAGTTAGCTTCTTAAAGATCATAGACCAGTATCAATTTACAAGAAGCCAACTAAAATAGTGCAATGAAGGATGATTAGAGAGCTAAGAGAGGATGCTATCTTTTATTCTTATCCATTATCCAGAGAGTAATGGATGTGATGGTTTGTTCACCAATGGATAGTTACTACGTTTGGAAACATACATGGTTCTAGATCATAATCTTGAGATAATGCATAGAACATACCGAAGTAGAAACAGTTTTCTTTCCATCAGTTGCTCGAATAAGGCATCTGTATTCAATGGATTCTCCAGCTGAGCTCAGTTTCCTCTTCTGCACCTTAGACTTGAGAGATGCTGACACAAGTAATAAACATCACATAAGATATCTTCAAAACGATATTTCAAGTAAAACCAGATAACAAAAGTGGAGGATGAGATTGTCAAACAATACATCTTTTCAAAGTAACCCACACAGAACCCTTCTCTTTGCTTTTCTCAAACATGCTCGTGAGTTCATTGAGGAATGGATCCAACTGTAATAGAACCTGCAAAACCAAAAATGATGGCATCAATAAACGCATGATCAGTCAAAACAAGAGCAAAAGTTAGTTTTTTTAACACTCCTTCAATCATCATTGAATCCTACAATGTAGCGTCAATGCTGAATCAAATCCCAGCAAACACAAAACGAAGAATAAACAAATCTCACAAAAATCTTCACATCACATAATCCTGAAATAGAACGAGAATTTACCATTGTTAAACCGCAGATGGATATTTTCTTCAGATCCTCAAGCACTCGAAAGACTTCTTATCACTCAGATCACTGAGAAAAAAAAAACACAATGCAAGTGAAGGGAAGTGTTAGATCTTAAAGAATTGAACTTTGTCGATATCAATCGAATACGCAACTTAAAATCTAAGCACAATTGAAACAATTGCTTGAAACCATTCGGATTCCTAATCAATTCTACGCTAAGAAACCCGCGAAATACAACCCTAAATCGTCAAAGCTTCTGAACAAATCTACACGAAAAATCACAACACGGAAACAATAGAATTCAATTCGCGACAATTTGGAGGCGTTAAATCCGATTAAGCCAACAAAACCCAGCTCAAAAGCCACGAGTTTTAAGAATCAGAATTCAAACTAAGGAAAAAGCTATGAAACTGACCAGAGAGAGACTAGAATCTGATGATCTGCTTCCAAAAGCTCACCGGCCGGAGGAAATTCTTCGGTAAAAAAGAAGTCGCCACAAGTCAAAAGACGAATATACCCTTGGTACTAAAGGACTCATTTAAATCTGGGCTTATTTAGATAATAATGGGCTTTATTAGGCCCAGTAACTTATAAAACCTTACTAGGGTTTAATCAATACGTTCTCTCTGTGGAGCTTCTTCTTCAGACACCATTGATATCCTCCAAAAATTGTTCCCGTCGTAGAGACTTTTACCTAATTGTTGCCGTCGAGCTGATCTTTGTGAAGTGGAAACCCTAGTTCGCTAAGGGATTGTGCAGTCGCACAAGTTTGCTTATCCCCAGAACCTGCTCTGCAACACAACAATGGGGAAAAAAGGAGGGACTTTGAAGAGAAGTAGTAAAAGTACAAAAAACCGCAAAGATATCGTCGAAGACCAATACGATGACGAGATTGACGCCTGTAAATTTCTACCCACTTGACAAAATTTGTCCTTTTTTGTTTCCTAAAGCTTAATCGATTATTGGAATGACTAGGTCCCCATTGTTAGGTGCTTTATTAGCTTATTTCTACTCAATTGACGATTTTGATGAAATGTGTGTGATGATGATTCTTATGATGTTTTTTTTGTCCACAGTTCATAAACAGAGGGATATAGTTCCCTTGGATGTTAATGATGATACTGATGAATCGGATGAAGATGATGTGCAACCAGTTTTTGATTTAAAGGTTTGTTTTTTGGCTTATGTTTCTAGACATCTTTTGCATCGATTCTTTGCAATGCTTTCCTTTCAATTTGAGTTACTTTGCTTATAGGGTGTGGATGATGAAAGTGACGAGGATGAAGAAGATACAGAAGACGAAGAGGAGTCCGAGAATGGACTTACTGCCAAAAGTAAGGATGTCTTCCTATGTTAGGCTTATTATATGTAGTTGTTGCATCTAATCTGTCAAAACGGTATACCTACAGTTACTCCTTTTCTGAGTTTTCTCATCGGGGCCTTTTAATTGTGCAGTGATTAGGCAGAAGAAATATCTAAGGGCAAAGTTTGGTGATGGTGACGATGAAATGGCTGATGATGATAAGGATAAAGATGAGGAAGAGAAAAGGAGCACATGGGGCGGAAGAAGTGGCTTATACCATAGTGGTGATAATGTGGATTTTGATGTAAGAAGTGTCTTGGTTTCTTGACATTTGCAACCCACTGATTATTTGCCTCGAATCCATTTCCTTGAAAGGCTAGATTCCTTTTGTTAATATTCTCTCCCTGAAACAAAACTCTACATAAGTTGCTAATCTGGTTTGATGTGATTTTGAAGCTCCAATCAAGTGATGATGAAGACCTTAAAGCGGAAGAAGAGGAGGTGATAAGACTACGGAGAGAACAACTTGGATCCATTACAGCAGCTGATGCTGGGTTAGACGATGATAGTGAAGAAGAGAGTGACAGAGAATTAACCATGGAGGTGGGTCATGGGTGTTACCAATTACTATCATGTAGTTAAAAACTACCCTGTTGCTTTAGATCATTGACGCATCATTCTGGTTTATATTTGGCAGGAAATTTCTAAAAAAGGAAAGCAGGCTACAAAATCTATCACAGATAAGAAAGAGAAGGATGACAAGGACACACATGTTGAAGAGATCAAGAAAGACATCAACTCTTTGTCAAAAGAAGAGCAAATGGATGTAGTATATAGGTAATGTTGATGTTTTCTGGTTCTAATATTTTCATTAGCTTAATATATTTGTATGAGACTTTGTTACATTTTATGTATAATAATGTTCACGTAATATGTCTTTCATGTAGTTCTGCTCCGGAAATAGTTGGTCTTTTGTCTGAGTTGAACTATGCAGTCGAAGAGCTTGAGAGTAAGATAAATCCTGTTTTGAGTAAGGTAAAACCTTTTCTACTGCTCCACAATTTGTTGAAAATATAGTTCTATATTGCCACTTTATATCACCCACTGGTCAAAAGAAGGGATTTGTGACTCCTCCAGAAATTTATGCAATTATGTCTCCTTGCAGTTAAAGGAAGGAGAAATATCCTTGAATGGTGGAACAAGGTACCTGGAGGTTAAGCAGCTTCTGCTACTCACCTATTGCCAATCTATAACATTTTATCTTCTACTCAAGTCTGAAGGGCAGCCCATCCGTGATCATCCGGTCCTTGCCCGTCTTGTAGACATCAAATCTTTATTAGATAAGGTTCTGTGGTGTACCCTTTTAAGTTTTTAATCTTTCGACAATCTACATGTTGTTCTTCTAAAACTATACAAGCTATGTTTGTTAATATATTAAAGCTGCTGAGTAAATGTATAATTTTTCATTTATAATTAGATCAAAGAACTTGATGGAGAGCTTCCCCCTGGGTTTGAAGAGTCCCTAGCGAGAAGTATTGCTAATGGAACAGTGCAAAAGGTGGTTAAAGAAGATCAGCTCACTTCACCTGTTTCTGATTCAGTAGATAGAATCACGCAAGACACAGCCGAGGTAGAAGTTAGGATCTTACTCGTGATAATCTCTTATGAGTTGTTTGACACTTTATTTGTACCCCACCTTGCTGATCTCTGTTTATTCAGCCGATGAAAATTGATGGAGCAAGAGAAGAAAAGAAGAAAAAAGGAGAGAAACGCAAGCACCAGGTGAATACAAATCTAAGCATTTTCCTGGGTTTTCTATTCTATTGGAACTCGTTCAACCTCTTGCTTACTGGCATATTTTCTTCCTTTGACTTGTACAAATTCTGCTTTTTTGGTAGCAGAATGATCAGGTTGATGTGCAAAGTGAGGAAATGTTAAAACTTCGAGCAGCTCTAGAGGGAAAGCTTAGAAGCAATGGAGTCCTTGGTTCTACTGTTTCAAAGTCTGATAAAGCTCAGAAACGCCAGAAATTAGCTAATAGGTAATAGCTTCTCCTTTTTTCATCACTCCTTTACTATGGTGATCTCTGTTGTCCCTTTCCGAAGATTGTGTTGTATAATTAATTTTTCAATCTCGTATCTAACCAGGAAGCTAGAGACATTCGATGATTATGTGGATGATGCAGACAATAGCACACATAATGTAACAGCTGATAAGCTCACCAAGCTTGTGTCCACCAAACGGAAGCCCAAGGTAACATATCGCAGCTGTGGAACTTAGACATGTTTTTGTTACTTTTTACACTATTATTTTTCTTAAATATATCCACCTTATGTTTTGGTAGACTGTTTCTGGAGATGATGATTTACCACAAAGGGATGATATTGGAGAACGGCGTAGAAAGTTTGAGCTCAGAGTTTTGGCTGGAGCTGGTGTGAAGTCATCAGAGGGAGATGACAGGAATGAAAATGGGGCATTTGCATCAGATGATGACAATGATATCGATGGTGGTAACAATGACATGGTTGATAATGATGGTGAATCAGAAGGCTCAGAAGATGAATTTTACAAACAAGTGAAACAGAAACAAGAAGCTAAACGAGCTGCCAAAGCAGAGATCTATTCAAGGTAATAATAATACATTACATTAACCTTTCCTTTTCACAAATGTTGACAGTTGTGGTTGTATAACGTTGTTCATCTCAATGGAACGTTTTGTGTTTGTTCAGGAAACCACATTTGATCCCGTCATCGCCAGAACGCGTGGAAGGAAAACGACACATTACAAATCAGGTTGGAATGTTTCCAAAGCACACAACAAATATCATCTGTTTCTCTACTTAGCACCATAGTTTAACGTTTCTTTTGATTCTCTTTTTTTATCTATTCGCCACCAATTCCTAGATTATGAGTAACAGAGGATTGACCCGACAACGCAACAAGGACCTTAAAAACCCGAGAAAGAAGTATCGGGTAAACGATCTTGAATTGCCAGTTTCTGCAACCTTCGTTTCTTTGATCTGTTTATTTGCCTTAACTTGTTTTGGGATCTTGAATTTTTGTTTGCAGAATAAGCACGAGAAAAAAGTCATTGATCGCAAAGGACAGGTCAGAGATATCAGGAAACAAACAGGTCCATATTCAGGAGAAACTCGCGGTATCAATCCCAACACAAGCAGGAGCATCCGAATCAAGAACTAACCTCCTCTTCTTCCTATGTCCCCCAATTTCTCTATTTGCACGCTTCGTTTTGCTGTTGTATTATCTTCTATTGTGGATCTCGTACTTTTCATTTTTTCTCTTCTTCAAGACTAAGCAAATCCTTGTTTTGCAATTTTTGATGTTTTTGTTTAAATCTGTTGTCTTACATTTGTACAAGAAGGCAATTCAATATGCTAAAGAGTACGAAGTAGTTGATGAATTCTTCAGCCACATTGAGTTGATTTGATTATGACTATTCTCCATTTAAAGTATAAGTAGGTAAGAAAATTTAGCAAGTGATAAAAGAAAAAGATTTGGGGAAATTTCAAAAAAAAAATAAAAAAAATATTCTTGTTCAAAAATACTTCCACATGTTATTAATTTTCAACTATACCCTTTTTATAAGGCTTTACAAAGATTTTAGAAAGTTTATAAAGATTTTAAATGGTTTTATTAAAGTGATTTGGAGGTTCAACCACCATAAGATATAGTGTAGTGTTGTTGTCTCGGTGATATAACTAAATTAAGTGTACATTTTACCACATCAATCATATTAAACTATTATTAGATTGTCTTATATGTTTAACTCAATAGTAAAGTTTATTCCTATAGTATCCAAAAAAAACTATGAATATAGTCCAAAATTAGTGAATTTTTGGTAAATTTTACATTTACAGTTTTAAGACTGGGACAGTGTGATCTGATAATTTTTCTCCCGCATATTAAATCAGAACACATACATATTTGATCAATTTAGTGATAAATTTGGTTCGGAAAAATTAGTCAGGAATTGGACTTAAACTTAACAATTACATCTATTTTTTATTTTATTTATTTATTTTATTTTTTTTTGGCAAACCATTACATCTATTTTTTAAAAGAGATAATTAATTTTCGTCTCTATGATGTAAACAAACATCGTCCACATAATTATAGAGGTACATATCGATATGATATTAGATAAGATGGTTTTTTGACCTCATGAAATAAATTTCAAACACTTAATATATAAGGGAAAATTGAACCATTAATTATTCAAATCTTAGATATCAAATATGAACTATCAGAATTATTTGATTTTGTAACAAATACATTGGCGAAGCTTTCTATGCTTTACTTATAAAATTCATATATGCAACATCCACAACCTGTTGAAAAAAATTGATTTGAGGTCAGATAAAGGAAAAAAATTACATAACTGTTTAGAAAAAAAAACAAAGAAGAAGAGAGAGATAAAACTCACTAGGATCAGTTACGGTAATTATACCAGAGCCTTCGAAATCGCATTTTGAATAGTGTCTTCCTTGATTTTGGTAATAAAGATTCATGGCGACAGAAGCTGAATTATAGAGATTAATTGGATCATAACATGCACCTCCTTTCGATACAACCTCACAATTAATTTTTGAATTCGAACACACGTAGTGTAAGTTCTTTACAAGTTGTTCGATCGGCGTGCCAGGCTTAGCCACACACCAACTCCCTTGGCCCTACAACAAAGAGCAAACTCAAAAGGATATAAAAACCATATGAAATTGATTGTTGTTTGCTTTTTAGTTTCGTTCTCTTTTATCAGCAATCTTACCGGTGCTTGTGCATTGACTCTCATGAAATTTCCTACTGTAAGAGAAACATGGAAATAAATCTTTTATAAGTTTCACAAAAAAAAGGCAACAAATCTAACAATCAACTAAAGACTTGAAGATAATATTCTGAAATCCCACTTATATAACAATCAATAGGTATAGGTAAATTTAATCAGTATATTATATCAAACTGATGATTAGATTACCTGATGAGATGTATAACAAGATGATGAAAGAAAAACATATTGGTGCTTTATCCATGTTTGTTTTTGTTTGATGTCTTTGTCAGAATTGCACAAAAGTTCTAGAAATTTTGTGTGTTGATATAAAGGGATATACATACATAATCACATATATATACTTTGTCTTAGGTCACAGTCACACTAGCCCTAATATCACAGATACCAAACATAATTAAGCCCAAAAATATATATAAAAGGCCCAATTGTATTAGTCTGAAAGCTCATCTATGAATTCTAAGGGGAGGGGTTTAATGGTTCATAATAGATTTTAATAGATTTAGAAATCCACAGCAAAATCATGTATTATTGGATCCTTGATTTTAATTTTTTTTTTGTCAAAATCATGTATTATTCTTTCATTGGTTTTTACATACTTATTAAAATCATGTGTTATCGTCTAATGATTTATTGTTGAATTTTAAAATCAAAATTCAAATATATGGAATGTTATTTCAAAATGAGTATGTGGTATGTTATGTCAAAATTCCTATGTCTGATTTCAAAGTCAAAGAGGATTTCCAAATTTATCCATATTAACTTATAGTAGGAAATCTTTTTCTTCAATCATTTATAGTAGGCAATCTTTTTCCTTTACTTTTACCAAAAAATAAAATATTTTTCCTTTATCACTTAATAAATATTTTCTTATCACTTATAGTAGGAAATCTTTTTTTTTTGTTGAGAAATGTCCATTCTACTGTCAACATGTGTTGATACATTTTTTTAATAATAATAATTAACTTGGAAAATTCGACAAATAAATATATCAGATACTAAATATAAATATTCAATCACATAATGCTTTTTAATTTGTAATTTATATATAATTTCTCTCTCTATATATATATAACCTAGTTTATAGCAAAGCTGTAGACGAGGAGGTTTCAGACGTCAAACATAATCAAACATGGCTAAAGCACAAATATGTCTTTGTTTCATCATCTTCTTATTCCTTTGGTCAGGTAATCCACACCTAATCATCATGTTAATTAGTATAATATAATTGGTATGTAGCGATGCATACATACGGGTTTATAGATCATTAATAATCTTATATTGAATGTAATCTTTTCCAAGTACTGAAACAATTTAGTTTCATTTCCATGTTTCTCTTACAGAAGGAAATTTCATGAAAGTAGCCAAGGCAGATGTAAGATTGAAAATAATCAAGTTATAAAATGTTTTATTTCTTTTTTTTTTTTTTTGTAATGAACTTTGAGTTTGATCTTTGTTACAGCGCTCCGGAGATTGGTGTGTTGCTAAACCTTCTACGGCTAACGAAAGGCTTCAAGAAAACATAAACTTTGCGTGTTCGAAAATTGATTGTCAGATTATATTGGAAGGAGGTGCATGTTATTTACCCGATAATCTCATTAGTCGTGCTTCTGTTGCCATGAATCTTTATTACCAAGCTCAAGGAAGACATTTTTGGAACTGCAATTTTGAAGGCTCTGGTCTCATCGGCATAACTGATCCTAGTGAGTTTTCTTTTTATCTTTTTTTTTTTCTCTAAACAACTATGGAACTTTTATTATGTCTGAATGTCTGATATCATATCAATTATTATTTATTTTCCATATTTACAGGCTACGAAGGTTGCATTTATCAATTTCGTAAGTAAAACATATCAAAGTTCGATCTTGTTGCAAGAAGATAGAGGCTGTATCTGAAATTTCCTATTAATATTTAAACTTTGGATGTTTTAATTCGATTTTTCAGCAGTTAAATGTTTGAGATTTAATATATTTATCAATACTTCATCTATTCAGTATTAATATTAACTAACATATACCGGTAAACGTAATTATATGTGATTGAGAATGGTTATACTACATAATTAATAATATATACATATACATATTAGATGTGAATTGTTTCATGTTTTTGCCTAAATAGATGTAAAGTACTATAGTTTGATTTTCTTGCCAACAAAACCTAACATACACATTAAGTTTTCTACAGTTTTCATTAAAGTCTTAATTGTGGTTTTTTTTGTTTCCATAAACCATATGAAATAAAGTTATGTTGTTGTGTTTTTATGAGATATAGAGTACACGAAATATATGGCTGTAGACCACCTAATTGTGTTGTGTTTAATTATCAGTTGAGGTTAGATATTTTCCAAATAATTGTGTAATATTATATCTTTGCATCATATCGAACAAATATTAATCCATATTGGCCACACATAGATATTGTAATATAGGTAGGGTTTGGTTAGAGCATACACAATGGCACATGTGTGAGTGTGGGTGTGAATAATTTTTTATTATTATAATTAAAGAGAGAGAGAAAAGAGAGATAGAGAGAGATAGAGAGAGTGCAATATTTCTCTTTATTTTAATACTCACACCCAAATGTAAAATTACACCCAACATACAACTTTTACACAACTTTTCTATTTTTTCTCCTTTTTATATTACTCACACCCAACCAAAGATTGTACCATTGTGTATGGTCTTAGGTCTTAATGCGGAAAAAATAATTCTTAAATCACACACACGAGCAAATGTGGCAGCATATGAAGACGGGTTATAGTGGGAAGGAATGTGGGAAGAAGTCTTGTCTTGTCCACTTAGTTGAAATATTTTATTATTCTTGCTTGAATTGTATTCCATAGTTAAATTATATACGTTTTAATGTTTCCAAGTCCGTGAACGATACATTAGACCAAGAACTAGCTCGAGTTTTGTTCAAAAGAAGTCTTCTCCCCGAAACCTGAAACAACTACTATACTCCCTCTGTTCCAAATTATATGATGTTTAAGCCTTTTTTTCTTCTTCCACAATATAAGATTTTTTCAGATTTTTATGCATAATTTATGTTTATTTAGTTTATTTATGACCTTTGGAGTTCTGCTGTCTTTTTTCTATTAGTTAAAATTTTATAAATAAATAAACATTTATTACTTCTTAATCATTGTGCTTTTAACAAAAAACATCTTATAATTTGGAACAGAGGGAGTAGCAAAAGATAATTAATATGATCTTTTATCAACCAGAAAGTGTCGTAACAAAATTCTAACTAAACCTCAAAGTTTGTGGAGTAAGAATTATGAAGCGTTTTATCCAACATCTCCCAGAGGAGAACAGTGATTGGTCGATGTCACGTGAAATAACATTTGGCAAATACTGCACAAATTAATGAAGGCAAGAAAGTGAGACCACACGCGAGATGTGAGCGCGTATGAAGAAACACCATGAGACAACAAAGAGAATCAACCTCGTCTATGAAAATTTCTTCAGATTCTCTTCTCATTTCGATACCAAACAAAAACTCGTATATTTTTGTTGGTCGTTTTTGTACAAAATATAAAAAAAGCAAACTGTCGTAATTATGATTTGCATATTATACACCAAATAAACAAATCAGAATCTCTCCACTAAACCTGATATATTTTTTAAAATTGACAAGTATATATACTTTTTCGGCGGGGACAGCCGGACAGGAACATATATACTTAAGAAACTGATAATTATGCCATAGTTCTTCTTTGAGACTTCTAGCTTTTTTTTTTTTTGGTTTCTCTTCATGATAATAAGAAACTGTATGAATATTTGAAAATGCATTATGACGTTTTCTTACAAAAAAAAAGAAAAGTGTAAAGGAACTTCTAAAGATAGCTTAAACAAATTTAGACAATTCATGTTGCCTTACCTTAAGCATTTAAGTGATCATGTTCTATCGTTACTATAAAAAATCATTCAATATTGATTTCATAGTTCAAATCTACACTGAAAAAATGACATCACATCCTATCCGCTACGTAAAAAGACCACCACAAAAAAATATATCTATGTCCTATAAATTGGAATTTAGCACAAATCAATAGTTGTCAACTTTTAGAAGAGATGAAAAAGTTACACGAAGTCTCCCTATAAAACACTGCTAATCTAACTTATAGTCTACTAGAGATTGTTTTACCGATTGGTTAGGGATGAGTTTTCTAAGTTTAATTTGTGGTTACAATGAAGGTAAAAAGAATAGGCCCCAAGACATTGAGTGATAAAGTGACCAACTCTTTCTCTTTCTTCATGATGATAAATCGATTTGATTAATTCCAAAAAGGAAGTAAGAGAAACTCGGAAAGAAAAAGTTTCGAAATTCATCGCAATACCAACTAGACCCAGATCCAAAGTTGCAGACTTTTCAACCATTTTCAAAGTAATTTACCCACACACACTAAAAGGATTAGAGAAGACTAATTATTTTTCTTAATTAACCACCCAAAAACAATTAAAATAGTATTTCTTTATTGTGTGTGTGTGTGTTAGAAAAAGATATGAGAGCTGAGAGAGGAAGCAGAGGATAGACAAAGAGAAAAGGGAAAATTACCAGACAGGGGTTCTTCTTTCTTCTCTGCCTGCTTCTTTTTCCTCTCTCTCTCTCTCTCTCTCTCTGAGAAAATCTTGAAGAAGGGAAAGCTACAAAAATCTCAACATCGAGGTTAGGAGAGGATTTTAGTTCTATTTCTTGATTTTATAGTTTTCACTTTCTGGTTTTCTGGGTTGTTTCAAAAAGATCTGTCTTTTTTTTGTTCTGCGTGTTCTCTTTGATGTCTTTAGTCTTGTTGGGATGTGAAACACATGATTTTCGAGGAGAGATAGAAAAAGAAATAGCTCACTTGTGACTTGTTCTGTTGGAAAATTCTCTAAGCAAAATTCAGCTTCTTTCTATATATGCATATATGAAAATTCAGAGCTTTTACACTTGAAAGCTGTCATCTTTGTCTCAGTCTCTCTCTCTCTCTCTCTCGTTTGCACAGAAGAAGAATTTTTTTTGTGTTGATTTCGTCAGTTCACCTAATCTGAAGAGAAGTTAAGATTTGTCAAAAAGTTAAAACTTACTTTTCATGGAAGCTCAACAACTTAAAACCTCTTTCTTTTCTCTTTGGCAGTTTCCTTATCTTAGTTTCTTTGGATCTGCCTTTGATTTTCTTTCATTTGTCTTTAACTACAGTTTCAATTTGGATCATGCAGGTAAGAGTTTTGGCTACAGAGCACTCATGCTAACTTGCGCCTTCTCTCAAAATCTTATCCATCAATCTCGGTAAGAAATACTTCTGTTCTCATGATCAATACACAATTGTAGCAGTCTTGTAATTCTCCATGCATAGATCTTAGAACTACCATAAAGGTTAATCCTTTTAGGTGTGTGTGAAAGAAAAGGCTGAAACAAAGGTTTGGGTCCTGTTTTATTGTGACAGGTAAGGAAAGTAATGTTGGAAAAATGGTGAAGAAAGGAAGTTGGTTTTCTGCAATCAAAAGGGTTTTTACTCCACATTCCAAAGAGAAGCTAACCAATGTATGCTGGTTACTCCCAAAGAAACGTTTACTGCATTTTCTTAGCTTGCAGATTTATTAGTTTTTGATGAGATACTTTGGTGGCTCTTGGTGATCTTTTTATGCAGCAGGAACCAGAGAGAAAGAGTGTTAAAGAAAAGAGGAAGAAAGGGTTTGGGAAGCTAAGGCATGGAGAGACCAATTCATTTCTTCCCATCTTCAGAGAGCCTAGTAGTATCGAAAAGATCTTGGGCGAGGCTGAGAGAGATCACAATCTTGTTTTCAGGCCTCCTACTCCTGATCGATCAAATCCATTTTCAGCCTCTCCTCCTCCGAGGCCTGCTTCTCCTCGGGTTCCTTCCCCAAGACCAACTTCTCCAAGAGTTGCCTTACCACGAGCCGCTTCTCCAAAGCCTCCTTCTCCTAGAGCTGAAGTTCCAAGATCCCTTTCGCCAAAGCCTCCTTCTCCAAGAGCTGACCTTCCAAGATCACTTTCGCCAAAGCCGAAGCCATCATCAGCCTCTGCCAATGCTCCTCCTCTTAGGCCTGCTTCTACTCGAGTTCCTTCTCAGAGAATTACCCCTCCCAGTGTTCCTTCTCCAAGACCAAGTTCACCAAGAGGTGCATCCCCACAAGCCGTCTCTTCAAAGCCCCCTTCTCCAAGAGCAGAGCCACCAACATTGGAGACTCCAAGACCTCCTTCTCCAAGAGCTGCTTCTCCAAGGGCAGAGCCACCAACATTGGACACTCCAAGACCTCCTTCTCCAAGAACTGCTTCTCCAAGGGCAGACCCACCAAGATTCGATGCTTCAAGACCCACCACGCCTAAGCCTCCTTCTCCAAGAGCAGACGCACCAAGATTGGATGCTCCAAGACCTACCACGCCTAAGCCTCCTTCTCCAAGAGCAGATGCACCAAGATTGGATGCTCCAAGACCCACTACGCCTAAGCCCCCTTCTCCAAGAGCGGTTTCGCCTAGGGGTGTGCAGCGACGAGAGGTTGTTTATAGACCAGAGCCAACGCTTCCGGTCCAACATGCTTCTGCAACAAAGATTCAAGGAGCTTTCAGAGGTTACATGGTACGTATACACATTCTTTGTTTCTGTTACAATATTTGTCCATTACACTAGCCTCCATTTCCAAGGAAGTTATTGACTTGGGTGAAACAGGCAAGGAAGAGTTTCAGAGCTCTCAGAGGTCTAGTCAGACTTCAAGGTGTGGTGAGAGGATACAGCGTGAAGCGGCAGACGATAAATGCAATGAAGTACATGCAGCAAGTGGTCCGTGTTCAGTCCCAAATCCAGTCACGTCGCATCAAAATGTTGGAAAACCAAGCTCAGGTTGAGAAAGATGAAGCCAAATGGGGTGCATCTGAAGCTGGTAACGATAATTGGGATGACAGTGTACTGACAAAAGAAGAAAGGGATGCAAGATCACAGAGAAAGACTGACGCGATCATCAAGAGAGAAAGATCCATGGCTTATGCATATTCTCGCAAGGTAATACTCAATCTTTCCTCATGCCATCATCATGTTGATGCATATTTTCAGTTTTTGCCAACATCTCTATCTCTGTGCAGCTGTGGAAGAATAGTCCCAAGTCTACTCAGGACAATCGTTCTTCAGGTGGGTTCCCTCAATGGTGGAACTGGGTGGACCGGCAGCATCCTCTTGCTAGTCCTGCACCGAGCTATAGCCAACCACAAAGAGATTTCAGGCTAACACCATCAAGAATGTGCCCAAGTCCTCTGTCTCAGTCAAGCAAACAACACCATATCAGGCTTGACAACCACTTTGACACTTCCACACCCAGATCGTCGAGATCTACTTTTCACACTCCATCCAGACCCATCCACACAGGGACATCAAGATACTCGAGAGGAAGACTAAGAGGTCAAGATTCTCCTTTCAAGGATGATGACAGCCTCACAAGCTGCCCTCCATTCCCGAGCTACATGGCTCCAACAGTCTCTGCCAAGGCAAAAGTTAGACCAAACAGCAATCCAAAGGAGAGAGTGATGGGTACACCGGTAAGCGAGAAGAGGAGAATGTCGTTTCCTCCCATGCAACAAGGTCTTGATACGTTTAGATGGAACAAAGGGTCATTGCTCATGAGCAACAGCAGCAGCCAGAGAGGTCCTGGTTCACCTGGAGGTGTGGTTCTTGAGAAGCACAAGACACTTAAGTCAGTAGGAAATTTGAGTATTGGTTCCACTGCCTCCATGGCAACAACAGTTGGAAGAAAGGAATTTAACAGATTTGTGTGATTTCTTTTGATTGAACATTTTTCTTTTGTTTCACTATGGTTGGTGTTGATTTTGAGTGTTGTAACATAATAAAATGTCAAACAGAACAAAAAAAAACAAAAAACAGAGGATTTGGTTTGCAGTAGATTCAACATTAGCTTTTCTCAATTAGTCAATTCCAATCATATTCTCCTGAATTTTACGAAAATACCCTCTCGGCTTAAATTATGATTAGGAGGCCTATATCTATCTAATGGGCCACAGTAGGCCCATTTCGGCGTTTCTTCTGCCTTTGAAACACTTCAGTCTCCATCGATTCCTGAGTCCGCCGGCGGATCCGGGGAAGTTGCCGGGAATGAATAACAGGCGGCGAGAGAATTATCGGAATGAGACGAGAACGCTCGGCTATTTACCGGTGGTGGTTTGTGTTTCTCCCTCTCTTTTTCTTTTGTTTTCGTATTAGTTAATTTACTCTTTAGTCCTTCATATATTCTCAGTTATATGTTTGACCCTAAAACTTCGTAAATCTTCATTTCCTCCTCGGTGTCATTGCTCTTTCCCGCGCATTCCTAACCGAAGTAAACATGATGTCATGAATGATGTATGAATGTATATTAAGGAATTTAAGGTTCATGTCTCAGAGGTTTCTTAGAAAATATATTCATGCCAAGACTTTTATTCTTTGGTGAACACGTCTTAAGTAGATAAGCAAGATTACTAAATTGCAGTAATATGGCTTTGATTTCAAGATCATGAACTACAATTTATTAGAGAAATATATTTATGCAAGACTTTGATTCTATATTGAACAACAGATGTCTTTAGTAGACACGCAAGACTACTAAATTAGAGTAAATATGTCTCTGATTTCAAAAGTTTGATCTATAGTTTTATCTTATAGTCAAACATTTTGAGTTCTGAGAAATCCAGATTTTATTGAAATACATTGTTTGACCAGTTCTTTGTTATGGCATATTGCATGATTCATGGATGATTTGGACACCATGTTAAATTAATTGTGTTCAGACACTGATCTGCAACTCTATGCCTCTCTGTTATAAATATTTGCAGTTCTTGTGACTATTTCGTGTATCTGAAGTCATCACTTGACTTTTTCTTGCTTATCAAGGATTTAAATAAGACAAACTGTATAATCTTCTTCCCTTGTAAACCGCTCAATCAATCAATGATCATGTCTCGTAAAATCAACTGGTTGATGGTTCTGGTGATCATTGCTCTGTTTAATCTTGAAAACTCACTTGGCAGGCTTGTTTTTGAGGGATCCGCCGGGTTAATGAATGGTTTCACGACGTTGACGAACACAAAGAAGCACGCTTATGGTCAAGCCTTCAATGACGAGCCATTCCCTTTCAAGAATTCGATCAACGGTAACGTGACTTCGTTTTCGTTTACCTTCTTCTTTGCTATCGTCCCTGAGCATAGACACAAAGGCTCTCACGGTATGGCCTTTGTGATCTCTCCCACGAGAGGCATTCCTGGTGCATCCGCTGATCAGTACCTCGGTATCTTCAACGTTACAAATAATGGAAAAAGCTCCAACCATATCATTGCTGTGGAGCTTGATATCCATAAAGACGATGAATTTGGTGACATTGATGATAACCATGTTGGTATCAATATAAACGGTATGAGATCTACAGTATCTGCTCCTGCCGGTTACTATGATCAAAAGGGTCAGTTCAAAAACCTTTCTTTAATCAGTGGAAATCTACTCCGAGTCACGATCTTGTATAGCCAGGAAGAAAAACAGCTTAATGTCACCTTATCACCAGCAGAGGAAGCTAATGTCCCAAAGTTGCCGCTTCTTTCACTGAACCAAGATTTGTCACCATATCTTTCGAAGAATATGTATGTCGGCTTCACAGCCTCCACGGGGTCGGTCGGAGCAATACATTACATGTGGATGTGGTATGAATTTACCTTTATTATTGTTCCACAACTGGATTTTGCTATACCAACCTTTCCTCCATATCCTAAGGAAGAGTCTCAGGTAAAGCTGATAGTTCTTGTGACGTGCTTGACTTTGGCTCTCTTTGTTGCGCTTGCTGCATCAGCTTTAAGTGTTTTCTTATATAAGAGACATAAGAAAGTTATGGAGGTTCTAGAGGAATGGGAAATCGAATGTGGACCACATAGGTTTTCTTACAAAGAACTCTTTAATGCCACAAACGGTTTCAAACAACTTATAGGCAAAGGGGGATTTGGTCCGGTCTTTAAAGGCACACTTCCAGGTTCAAATGCAAAGATTGCTGTTAAACGGGATTTCTCATGATTCGAGTCAAGGAATGAGAGAATTCTTGGCTGAGATTTCGACTGTTGGTCGGCTTAGACACCCCAATCTAGTCAGGCTTCTTGGTTATTGCAGATACAAAGAAGAGCTCTACTTGGTTTATGACTTTATGCCCAATGGAAGCCTTGACAAGTACCTCTACGGTAGATCAGATAAAGAACAACTCTCTTGGAGTCAACGTTTCAAGATCGTCAAAGATGTAGCCTCTGCACTCTCCTATCTCCATCATGAGTGGGTACATGTCGTCATTCATAGAGACATCAAGCCAGCAAACGTGCTAATCGATGACAAGATGAATGCATGTCTTGGGGATTTCGGATTGGCTAAGGTATATGATCAAGGATATGATCCTCAAACCTCTAAAGTAGCTGGAACATTCGGGTACATGGCACCAGAGATCATGAGAACCGGAAGACCAACCATGGGAACAGATGTTTACGCTTTTGGTGTGTTTATGCTTGAAGCTTCTTGCGGTAGAAAACTGTTTGAGCCACGAGCAGAGTCGGAAGAGGCTATTCTTACGAACTGGGCGATTAATCGCTGGGAAAACGGTGATATTGTAGAGGCGGCTACTGAAAGAATTCGACAAGATCATGATAAGGGACAGCTCGAGCTTGTTCTGAAGCTAGGAGTGTTATGTTCGCACCAGGCTGAAGAGGTTAGGCCGGATATGGCTACGGTGGTTAAGATCTTGAACGGAGTTTCTGAGCTTCCGGATAACCTGCTTGATATTGTTAGATCCGAGAAGTTGGAAAATTGGTACGAGAGGTACAGCAAAGTGCTTGATCCGGTGACGACGGTGGAGTCCATAGGTAACTTGGCCATTACGGAACCGATACTTCCGTCGGGCAGACCAAGGTTGTTTCTCTAGTGGGCGTGCAATCAATCACATGCTAAAATCATGAAAGTTCAGGCATTTGGGATATATAATTGACTATTATGGGAGTGATGGAGTTCTCGAAACTTGTTAGTGATGGTTTTCCTATTTAATAAGCTCTTGTAAGAGGAGACAATAGTAGTGTATGTATGGGTTTTGTTTTTGAGTGTATTTCTAGTTATATTGTTCTCTTATTACACTATCGATTTCTTTTGTGTGTTATCTTAAATCTCAAAAATATTGAACAACAATTATATGTAGCGTGTCTATTATTAGTATTTGCAGGCCTCGTCATAGTTCATGTTTTTCGTGTATCTGAAGTTCTTCCTTGCTTATCAAGATACGTATAAACATCAAACGAAAGTAAAAAAGATTCATCTAAAACGCTCAAACGAACGACTGACTAGTGGTTGGTCTGCATATGGAGGATATAGTCAATTCCAAACATATTTTCCTGAATTTACGAAAGTACCCTCTCGGCTTAAGTTAAGAGGCTTATGTATATATCTATTGGGCCACAATAGGCCCATTTAAGGTCGACGTTTCTTCTACCTCTAAAGCGTTCCAGTCTCCATCGATTTCTGTTTTTGGGCCGGCCGATCTGTGGATATTGCCGGAAATGAGTCCCAGGCGACGAGAGATGTATCGGAAGGAGGGAGTAACCACTCGACCAGCGATATCTACGGCGACGGAGACGATACTGCTCGGATATTTAGCCGACGTGGGTTTGTATTTCTCTCTCTCTCTCTCTCTCTTATTTTATTTTACCTTTTTTTTTTTTACTTTCTATTCCTTCATGTATTCTCAAGTATATGTTTGGCCCCAAAACTTCGAAAATTTTGAATTTACTCCTCGGTGTCATTGCTCTTTCCGGCTTAATCCTAACCGAAGTTAACATGATGTCATGTATGTATGTACTATGTATATTAAAGGTTCATGTCTCAGAGGTTTATTAGAAAAATATATTCATGACAAGACTTTTATTCTGTAGTGAACACATGTCTTAACTAGATAAGCAAGACTACTAAATTACAGTAATATGTCTCTGATTTCAAGATCATGATCTATAATTTTATCTTCTAGTCAAACAATTTGAGTTCGGAGAAATCCAGATTTTATTGAAATACATTGTTTGACCAGTTCTTTGATATGGCATTATTGCATGATTCATGGATGATTTGGACACCATGTTAAATTAAATTGTCTTCAGACACTGATCTGCAACTCTATGGCTCTCTGTTTTAAATATTTGCAGTTCTTGTGACTAGCTCATGTGTTTCGTGTATCTGAAGTCATCACTTGACTTTTATCTTGCTTATCAAAGATATAAACAACATCAAAACTGAATTATCTTATTCTCTTGTAAACCACTTATTCAATCAATAATGATCATGTCTCGTAACGAGTGGTTAATGGTTCTGGTGATCATTGCTCTGTTTAATACTGAAAACTCACTTGGCAGGCTGGTTTTTGAGGGATCCACTGGGATTATTAATGGTTTCCCAACGTTGACAAACACCAAGAAGCACGTCTATGGTCAAGCCTTCGATGACGAGCCATTCCCTTTCAAGAATTCGACCAACGGTAACATGACTTCGTTTTCTTTTACCTTCTTCTTTGCTATCGTCCCTGAGCATAGAGAAAGAGGCTCTCACGGTATGGCCTTCGTGATCTCGCCTACAAGAGGCCTTCCAGGTGCTTTTGCTGATCAGTACCTCGGAATATTCAACGATACAGACAATGGAAAAAGCTCGAATCATGTCATTGCTGTGGAGCTCGATATACATAAAGATGATGAATTTGGTGACATTAATGATAACCATGTTGGTATTAACATTAATGGAATGAGATCTAACATATCTGCTCCTGCCGGGTATTTTGATCAAAAGGGTCAGTTCAAAAGCCTTTCTCTAATCAGTGGAAATCTACTCCGTGTCACGATTTTGGAAGAAAAACAGCTTAGCGTCACCTTATCATCACCAGAGGAGGCTTATTACCCGAATCAGCCGCTTCTATTACTGAACCAAGATCTGTCACCGTATTTGTTGGAGAAAATGTATCTCGGCTACACTGCCTCCACAGGTTCGATTGGAGCATTACATTACATATGGACTTTACATGCGTTTGATATCGATGTGGTTCCAGATCTGGATTTCCCTATACCGACGTTTCCTCCATATCCCAAGCCAAAGTCTCAGGTAAGTCGGACTGTCTTGGTAACTTGCTTGACATTGGTCCTCTTTGTTGCGGTTGCTGCATCAGCTTTAAGTCTCTTCTTCTATAGAAGACATAAAAAGGTTAAGGAGGTTCTAGAGGAATGGGAGATCCAATGTGGGCCTCATAGGTTTGCTTACAAAGAACTCTTTAAAGCCACAAAGGGTTTCAAACAACTTCTAGGCAAAGGAGGGTTCGGTCAGGTCTTTAAGGGTACACTTATAGGTTCTGACACAGAGATTGCTGTTAAACGAATCTCTCATGATTCGAGACAAGGAATGCAGGAATTCTTGGCCGAGATATCGACAATTGGTCGGCTCAGACACCCGAACCTAGTCAGGCTTCTTGGTTATTGCAGGTACAAAGAAGAGCTCTATTTGGTTTATGACCTTATGCCCAATGGAAGTCTTGACAAGTACCTCTACCGCAGAGCGAATCAAGAGCAACTTACTTGGGATCAATGTTTCAAGATCATCAAGGACGTAGCTTCTGGACTCTGTTATCTGCATCATGAGTGGGCACAAGTCGTAATTCATCGAGACATCAAGCCTGCAAATGTCCTGATTGACCATCAGATGAATGCGAGACTCGGGGATTTCGGGCTAGCCAAGTTGTACGATCAGGGTTATGATCCTCAAACATCGAGAGTAGCTGGAACATTTGGGTACATTGCCCCCGAGCTCATAAGAAGTGGAAGAGCAACCACAGGGACAGACGTCTACGCCTTTGGGCTGTTTATACTGGAAGTCTCTTGCGGTAGAAGGCTGATAGAGCCACGAGCAGCCACCTACGAAGTCGTCCTTGCAGAATGGACATTAGAATGCTGGGAAAACGGAGATATCCTTAAGGCAGCCAATGAAAGACTCCACCAAGAACACAATAGAGAACAGCTAGAGAATGTTCTGAAACTTGGAGTACTATGTTCGCACCAGGTTGCAGCAGTTAGGCCTGACATGTCTAAAGTGGTCCGGATCTTGAACGGTGATTCGCAGCTTCCGAGCAATTTGCTGGATATTGTCAAGGCCGAGAGGGTTAGAATGTGGTCTGAGACATCTGATATTATTCCATCACAGGAGTCCATTGGTACCTTGACATTTACAGAACCTTTCACTTCCCGTGGACGCTGAAAGCTTTGTCGAGGTCTGTTGTGCAGTTATATATGACGTTGTTGCTCTATAAATATTTTCTGTTGTTCATTGTATTGAATGTATCGTGTAGTATATAATCTACTTAAGTCGGCTGTAACATTGAGAATTTCTATATTTGTAGAAGTCCATAATTTACCTTGGATTTGGTTTGGGAACTGCTCTAACGTGCGCTTTTACCATCAAGTACTTGGACAAACAAGTGGACATGATGCTCCAGATTGCCAGGTTTGTAACATGAGTTCAATCTCTCAGAGGTTTTGATAATATAACATATTTTCCTTAAATATAACTAAACTAAATTTGCCTGACTAGCCCGTTGGTTCTTCCATGGTCCATGGAGGTTTGGGACACCATTAACTAGTTAATTAATTGATTTCAGTCATTGACCCTGAAACATGTAGCTCTCTGTTATAAGTCTTTGCAGGTCTTGACTAGTTCACATGTTTTTTGTGTCTAGAGTCATTAGTTTACTCTCTTAAATATACAAACTGGTTATTCAATTGAATCTTGAAGCTTTGACTCTGCAACCTGTAGTTATCTCTCTGATTTTAGTCGTTGTTGGTCTTGACTAGTTCATGGGACTTTTTTGAGGCTTAGTTGACTTTCATCATGCTCTTAAAGATGTAAAATACAACAGGAACTAAGCTCTTAGTTTCTAAACCCATCGATATGGAAGTTGGAAAAAGTGACTCAACTCCTATCAAGCCTCTTAATTAAGTACATTTAGTTTGACTAGCTCTTTGTTTCTTCAATAATTCATGGAGGTTATGGACACCATCAACTGGTTAATTATTTAATTTCAGACATTGACTCTGCAACATGTTTTTAAGTCTTTGAAGGTCCTAACTAGTTCATATGTTTCTTTTGTCTGCAGTCATTAATTAGTTTACTTTCTCAAATATACTCTGTATAAGCAGGCTTAACATTATCTTTTGGAAATACCGTGATTAAGTACTTTTGTTTGACTTGCTCTTTGTTTCTTCCATGACCTATGGAGGATTCGGAATATACCATGAAATGCTTAGTTAATTGATACCAGATATTTACTCTGCAACATGTAGCTCTCTGTTTTTAGGTCTTCGCATTTTCTTGACTAGTCGTTCATATATTTTCATTAGTTAATTAATTGACTTTTTGCCTTTCAAGCGTTGGCTATGTGACATGTCTCTGTTTTTGGTAGTTGCAGGTTTTTACTAGTTTATGTGTTTTTTTTTTTTTGTGGCTTAATTGACTTTCATCATGCTCTCGAAGATATAAGAGACAGCAGAAACTAAGCTCTTATTTTCTAATCCCATCATCGATCAAAGATCATGTCTCGTAAAATCATCTCACGAGTCATTTTCTTGATCCTTGCTTTGTTCTGTTGTAATGAAAAATCCCATGGCAAACTGATTTGGGATGGATCTGCGGGAGTTTTCAAAGGTTTCAGGACGTTGACGAACACCACGAAGCACACATATGGTCAAGCATTCGACGACAAGCCATTCCCTTTCAAGAATTCCCTCACCGGTATAATGACTTCTTTTTCTTTCACCTTCTTTTTTGCTATTGCCCCTGAGCATAACCACAAAGGCTCTCACGGTATGGCCTTCGTGATTTCTCCTACAAGAGGCATTCCCAGTGCATCCGCAGATCAGTACCTCGGAATCTTCAATGAAGTAAACAACGGGAACAGCTCGAATCGTGTCATCGCTGTGGAGCTTGATATAAATAAAGATGATGAGTTTGGAGACATTAACGATAATCATGTTGGTATCAACATAAATGGGATGAAGTCTATTGTATCTGCTCCTGCTGGTTATTATGATCAAGAGGGTCAATTCAGAAATCTTTCTTTGATCAGTGGAAAGCTTCTCCGAGTAACAATTTTGTATGACCAGAAGATGAAACAGCTTAGTGTCACATTATCATCGCCAGAGGAAGCTTATTACCCCAAGCAACCACTTCTTTCGCTAAACCAAGATCTGTCACCGTATCTTTTGGAGAAAATGTATGTCGGTTTCACAGCCTCGACGGGGTCGGTTGGAGCAATGCACTACGTGTGGATTTGGTATAGATATACCATACTGATTGTTCCAGACGTGGATTTCGGGATACCGACGTTTCCTCCATATCCCAAGGCAAAATCACTGGTAAGTCGCATTCTTTGGGCGACCGGCTTGGCATTGGCTCTCTTTGTTGCGATGGCTGCATCAGCTTTTAGTCTCTTCTTATATAGAAAAAACCAAAAGGTTCAAGAGGTTCTAGAGGAGTGGGAGATTCAAAATGGACCTCATAGGTTTTCTTACAAAGAACTCTTTAAAGCCACAAATGGATTTAAACAACTTCTAGGCAAAGGAGGGTTCGGTCAGGTCTTTAAGGGAACACTTCCAGGTTCCGATGCAAGTATTGCTGTTAAACGGGTTTCGCATGGTTCGAGTCAAGGAATGAGAGAATTCTTGGCCGAGATAGCAACTATTGGTCGGCTTAGACACCCAAATCTAGTGAGGCTTCTTGGTTACTGCAGGTACAAAGAAGAGCTCTACTTGGTTTATGACTTTATGCCCAACGGAAGTCTTGACAAGTACCTCTATGGCGGATCAGATCAAGAACAGCTCTCTTGGACTCAACGTTTCAAGATCATCAAAGACGTTGCCTCTGCACTCTCCTATCTCCATCACGACTGGGTACAAGTTGTTATTCATCGAGACATCAAGCCTGCAAATGTCCTAATCGACGACAAGATGAATGCAAGTCTTGGAGATTTCGGATTGGCTAAGCTATATGATCAAGGATTTGATCCTCAAACCTCTATGGTAGCTGGAACATTCGGGTATATGGCACCAGAGCTCATGAGAACTGGAAGATCGACCACGGGTACAGATGTCTATGCCTTTGGTGTGTTTATGCTTGAAGTTTCTTGCGGTAGAAAACTGTTTGAGTCACAAGCAGAGCCCGAAGAGGTCGTTCTTGCAGACTGGGCGATAAATCGTTGGGAAAACGGTGATATTGTAGAGGCGGCTAATGAAAGAATCCGAGAAGATCATGACAAGGGACAGCTTGAGCTTGTTCTGAAGCTAGGAGTGTTATGCTCGCACAGGGATGAAGAGATTAGGCCGGATATGGCTACGGTGGTTAAGATCTTGGACGGAGTTTCTGAGCTTCCAGATAATCTGCTAGATATTGTTAGATCCGAGAAGTTGGAAAATTGGTACGAGAGGTACAGCAAAGTGCTTGATCCGGCGACGACGGTGGAGTCCATAGGTAACTTGGCCATTACGGAACCGATACTTCCGCCGGGCAGACCAAGGTTGTTTCTCTAGTGGGCGTGCAATCAATCACAGGCTAAAATCATGAAAGTTCAGGCATTTGGGATATCTAATTGACTAGAATCATAGATAATTAATTTAAGGGAGTGATGGGAGTTTTCGAAACTTGTTAGTTATGGTTTTCCTATTTAATAAGCTCTTGTAATAGTACAGTACTAGTGTATGTGTGGCTTTTGTTTTTGAGTGTTTTTTTTTTACATTGTCCTCTTTCATACTATCAATTTCTTTTGTGTGTTAACTTTTTTTTTGAACTTCTTCTTTTGTGTGTTAACCTAAATCTCAAAAACGCTGAATACTTTAAAATTAAAGTAACGTTTATTTGTTTTTCTGTTTCGTGGATTTACGAAAATTCTTAACCTATATCCAAGATTGCCTATGTCTATCTATTGGGCCATAGTAGGCCCATTTAAGTTCAGCGTTGCTGCTTCTGAGAAGCAAATTAGATGAAATCGCCAAACGTCAAATTAGAGCGGTTGTTATAGCGTCTTGTTGCCGCCGATCAGCGTTTACAACTATCCGATGCCTGCGATCGCCGGCCGATCGGGACATTGTCGGAAATGAGTCATTCAACCAACGAGGGTTAGTATTTCTTCCTCTTTTCTTTTATTTTTCGTTTTAATATAATTTGCTCTTTAGTCCTTTGTATATTTTTAAAATACATGCTTTGCCCAATAACTTCAAAATATTTGTTTTCCACCTCCCTCGGCTTTACCTCGTAAACATGATGCCACGTTTGTAATATATTATCAGATCGATGTCTTAGAGATTTGTTAAAATAATGTTTCCATTGTGGACTTTGATTTTCTAGTGAACAGATGTCATTACTGTATAAGCAGACTCGAGAAAATACACTACTAATAAACATGTCTTTGATCTGATATTAAGATTATTTAGGTTTTAAGAATTACTGTCTGACCAGCTCTTTGTCAATTGGATGACCCAAAATTGATTTGGACACCATATTAATTGATTTTAAACTCTTTGGTCTGAAAAATTGTAGCTCTCTGCTTTTTTTTTTTTTTTTTTAATTTTCAGGTCTTGAGACTAGTTCATGTGTTTCTTGTATCTGAAGTCACTAGTTGATTTTTTCATTGCTTATAAAAAGATATACACAACAAAGAGACTACATAATCTTCTTCTCTTGTAAGCCTCTAAATTTATCAACGATCATGTCTCGTAAACTCTATTTGTGGATGGTTGTGGTGATCATTGCTCTGTCTAATACTGAAAACTCCCATAGCAGGCTGGTTTGGGAGGGATCCGCCGGGTTAGTCAACGATTTCCTAACGTTGACAGGCACCAAGAAGCACGCCTATGGTCAAGTCTTCGACGACTCACCACTGCCTTTCAAGAATTCCACTAATGGTACCGTGATTTCTTTCTCTATCTCCTTTTTCTTTGCTATCATCCCTGAGCATAGGCACAACGGCTCTCATGGTATGGCCTTTGTGATCTCTCCCACAAGAGGCATTCCGAGTGCTTTTGCTGATCAGTACCTCGGAATTTTCAACGATAAAAACAATGGAAACAGCTCGAATCATGTCATCGCTGTGGAGCTCGATATACATAAGGATGACGAATTTGGTGACATCGATGATAACCATGTCGGTATCAACATTAATGGTATGAGGTCTAGCAGATCTGCTCCTGCCGGTTATTATGATCAGAAGGGTGAGTTCAAAAACCTATCTTTAGTTAGTGGAAAGCTGCTCCGCGTCACGATTTTGTATAGCCGTGTAGAGAAACAGCTTAATGTCACCTTATCACCAGCAGAAGTTAATGTCCCGGAGCGGCCGCTTCTTTCACTGAACCAAGATCTATCACCTTTGTTTTTGGAGGAAATGTATGTTGGCTTTGCAGCCTCTACAGGGGCGGTTGGAGCAATACATTACATGTGGCTGTGGTATATATTTCCCTTCTTGTATGTTCCAGACCTGGGTTTCCCTATACCAACATTTCCTCCATATCCCAAGGCAAAACCTCTGTTAATTCGGATTGTTTTGGTGACCGGCTTGGCATTGATTCTCTTTCTTGCGCTTGTTGCATCAGCTCTAAGTATCTTCTTCTACAGGAGACATAAAAAGGTTAAGGAGGTTCTAGAGGAATGGGAGATCCAATGTGGGCCTCATAGGTTTGCTTACAAAGAACTCTTTAAAGCCACAAAGGGTTTCAAACAACTTCTTGGCAAAGGAGGGTTTGGCCAGGTCTTTAAGGGTACACTTCCCGGTTCTGATGCAGAGATTGCCGTTAAGCGGATTTCACATGATTCAAGACAAGGAATGCAGGAATTCCTGGCTGAGATATCGACAATTGGTCGGCTTAGACACCCGAGTCTTGTCAGGCTTCTTGGTTATTGCAGGAACAAAGAGGAACTCTACTTGGTTTATGACTGTATGCCCAATGGAAGTCTTGACAAGTACCTCTACCGCAGAGAAAATCAAGAGCAACTCACTTGGGATCAACGTTTCAAGATCATCAAAGACGTAGCCTCTGCTCTCTGTTATCTGCATCATGAGTGGGTACAAGTTGTAATTCATCGAGACATCAAGCCGGCAAATGTCCTGATTGACCATCAGATGAATGCAAGGCTCGGGGATTTCGGGTTGGCTAAACTGTACGATCAGGGTTTTGATCCTCAGACATCAAGAGTAGCTGGAACATTCGGGTACATCGCACCCGAGCTCATAAGAAGTGGAAGGGCAACCACAGGGACAGACGTCTACGCCTTTGGGCTGTTTATGCTAGAAGTCTCTTGTGGTAGAAGGCTGATAGAGCGAAGAGCAGCCACCAACGAAGTCGTCCTTGCTGAATGGACATTAGATTGCTGGGAAAACGGAGATATTCTCCAGGCAGCCAAGGAAAGACTCTGCCAAGAACACAATAAAGAACAGCTCAAGCTTGTTTTGAAATTGGGAGTGTTGTGTTCTCACCAGGCTGTAGCAATTAGGCCGGACATGTCTAAGGTGGTCCAGATCTTGGATGGCGATCTGCAGCTTCCAGATAATCTACTCGATATAGTCAAAGCAGAGAAGGTCAGAATGTGGTCCGAGACATCTGAGAGTGTACTTGGTGTTTTGACATCACAAGGGTCCATTGGTACCTTGACGTTAACGGAACCTTTTACCTCCCGGGGACGCTGAGACGTGATGTCGGTCGTGAAATGATATATGAATGTTCCTCTGTAAATATTATCTGTTCTCGATTGATGAATGTAATGTGTGGGTTTTCCGAGAAGTTATGAAAATGGTACAGGACATACGGTTACGGAGATGACAATGGAGTCAGCAGGACACTTGACCATCACGGAACCGATGACTTCCAGCGAACGGTAAAAGTGATTGTCGAGGAGGTTTGGTGAGAAATTTAAAATGTGACGGTGTGTGCTTTATAAATATCTGTACTTTGTTGATTGTATCGTTTTATTTATGTTCATACTTATATCGGCGGTGGAATAATTACACCATGACCTAAGAAGTATGCTTGTTTGTGTTTACTTTGATGTTGTATTATTGTATTTGTTCCATTTTAGGTTTCGGATTTGTGGAAACCTTTTCAAACAATAATGGACCAAACTTAATTAGCTTAATAAGGCTTTTCCGTTTTGGGACTAACATGAATCGGTAGGTTTTGGCAGATGTATATATCATGATGGTTCTTAACTTCTTATAAACAAGCGTATGGTAAAAACACCAATGGGGATGTTTACACATACTCATGATTTATCACTTAAAGAGATGTAAAGTATGTATTGAATTTCTCAAAAATGTTAATGCGATGGAACAAAAACAAAGAATAAGTTTAAATTTTGTTGTCACTGTCTCAATGAGAAAACGAAAACGTTGTGCTACGAAATTACTCAAAAACGTTGAGCTAGCTAAACTTGGCACAAAAGTATCGAATGATGCTAAAATGCAAAAACCATTAAACCCAACGTACGGTTAATAGAGTTTTCATATGCCAAGTGGGACATCCACGTGGAGATCCTATGCCACTTGTCCCCTCTCTGTCTCTCTCATGCTTCGACTTATTTGGCTTTTTCGTGGATTCTCACGCCCGAGTACGTCGATTATTACAAAAATCAAATAAATTAATATAAACACTTGTATTTTATTTTGACCTTTTTACCCCTTCGCATTGCTAATGAATTTGCTAGATCTAATAGTACAAATTATTCATAGAGTCATCTAACAATTAGTACCTAACGTTCACAAGTCATGAGTGAAAGAAGACTAAGGAAGAATCATAATCATATTTGAAATCCAAGTGCTCAAAAGTAATCAATTTTCAACTTAAATATTCAACTCAATCAAAAAATTTATAATCAACAATTCTTTTCAAGATGTATCTCCCCTTTTCTTTTCTACAACTTTTTCTTAACTACACTATTAGTACTAATAAGTATAGGTAGTCGATGTTTTGATGTATCATTAATCATTATTGTTGACTAATAATTATTTGATACAATTATTTTACCGACATCGATACTCTACCTAAAAATATCTAGAACAGTAATGTGAAATTGAATCATCTCAATTCCCAAGGGTATTTTAGAACACATACCCAATTTAAAAAAAACAAATAATAATATTTATAATTCATAACCTTGGTTTCACACAACTTATGACGTCATTTCATTATAAAATAATAATAAAAAATTATTTTGGTCTCTCTCTTATTGCTTCCTTCGCTCAACGCTGTTCATAAGCATTCTCTTTCTGTGGACGAAACTAAACCTGAGAGAAAAAGCCAGAACCCAAAGACAGAGCGAGAGATAGAGATTGAGAGAGAGAGCTTTAGCTCTGTAGAAGGAACGATTCATTCATATCCAGAAATGGCTCTAAAGCTTAACCCTTTGGTGGCATCTCAGCCTTACAAATTCCCTTCCTCGACTCGTCCGCCAACTTCTTCTTTCAGATCTCCCAAGTTCCTCTGCCTCGCTTCATCTTCTCCTGCTCTCAGCTCCGGCGCCAAGTCAGTCTCTTTCTCTCCATCCACGTCTCTGTTATCTACTTTCGATTCTCTCTGCCAAGTAGAAGAGATTTGCTTCATCTTTGTTTACTGTGTTCTGGGTTTTGCTAGTTTTTTCGATTTTGGATCTACGTTTATTTGATTTAGTTCAGTGTTCTTTGCTTACATTTGCTTAATCTCAATGAAAGTGCTTTCTTTTAATCTGGGTTTATAAGAATGGGCCATCCTCTGATATTCTCTGTTCTCAGGCGATTCATTAATGCTCGTTTTCATTGAATCTGATCTTGTTGATGTTCCCTTTTATTCTCTAGATTCATTCACGTTTCTCTGAGCTTGCCCCATGTATCAAATCTTTGCCTTTACCATATTTATCAGATTATTTAGATTGCTCTTTGATTGGTGGTTAGTTAAGATTAACACTAGTTATCTTCTTAATGGTATAATGATCTTTACAATGGTTAAGAGACATTGAGGAATAGCTTCTTAGTCAAATCCTGATTTTTTTCACTGGGGAAAGTTTTTTTTTGTTTTTTTTTTCGTTCTCTGGTTTATATTTTGCTGTTTGGTAATTTTTAAACGGTGAAATGTTTATCCACTTGTTGCTTACTCATTTGATGAGTTTTCTCTTTTGCATTGACATGAGATTCTTGAACGTATCAGTTTACGTCTGTTTTTCTTTCTTCAAAGACATTACGTTGGATATCACGCTTCGTGGCCTTTCTCTATGCATGCGTACTTCGTGGCGCCAATCTTTAGTTTGCGTCCAAAATTTTCACACTTTTCTGTAATTTATTCACTCTTTCTCTGTTTTGACGACATTTGGCTCTTTATCTTGTCTTTGTCTGATCAGTAGTGACTACATTTGTTTCTTTCACAATCTTTTTTTTTTGCTTCATATTGAACTGCAAGATCAATTCACGAATGCAAATATATCATATTGTCTTACGGTTAAACATTTCTAAGTGTTTGACTGTTTGTTAGTCATGAATTGTCGAATTGTTTCGCTTCAATGCATAGATTATTCTATTTGGAAATGTAGACATGAATGCTTTTCTAGATTCAGTAATCTGTGTTCTTGTTTCTTTTGTGTATAAGAAGTGAAACCTTGACTGGTAATTTCAATGGAGTATAATTGAATGCTGATGATACTTATTTTCGGTTAATGGCAGGGAAGTTGAGAGCTTGAAGAAGCCATTTACGCCACCTAGGGAGGTGCATGTTCAAGTCTTGCACTCCATGCCACCTCAAAAGATCGAGATCTTCAAATCTATGGAAAACTGGGCCGAGGAGAACCTTCTGATTCACCTCAAGGATGTGGAGAAGTCTTGGCAACCCCAGGATTTCTTGCCTGACCCTGCATCAGATGGGTTTGAAGATCAGGTAAGAGAGTTAAGAGAGAGGGCGAGAGAGCTCCCCGATGATTACTTTGTTGTTTTGGTGGGGGACATGATCACAGAAGAAGCACTTCCGACCTATCAAACTATGTTGAACACTTTGGATGGAGTTAGGGATGAAACAGGTGCTAGTCCTACTTCATGGGCTATTTGGACCAGAGCTTGGACTGCAGAAGAAAACCGACATGGCGATCTTCTGAATAAATACCTTTACTTGTCTGGTCGGGTTGACATGAGGCAGATCGAAAAGACCATTCAGTACTTGATTGGATCCGGAATGGTGAGATAGTTTCAGGCAATTATCATGATTTCTTGGTTAATATAACTTCCTAAGCGCTTTAACTTCTCTTTCATAGGATCCGCGGACAGAGAATAATCCCTACCTTGGCTTCATCTATACTTCATTCCAAGAAAGAGCGACCTTCATCTCTCATGGAAACACAGCCCGCCAAGCCAAAGAGCATGGGGATATGAAATTAGCCCAAATATGTGGGACAATAGCTGCAGACGAGAAGCGTCACGAAACTGCTTACACCAAGATAGTTGAAAAGCTCTTTGAGATTGATCCTGATGGTACTGTCATGGCTTTTGCAGACATGATGAGAAAGAAAATCTCAATGCCTGCTCACTTGATGTATGATGGGCGCAACGACAACCTCTTTGACAACTTCTCTTCCGTGGCTCAGAGGCTCGGTGTTTACACCGCCAAAGACTACGCCGACATTCTTGAGTTTTTGGTTGGTAGGTGGAAAATTCAGGACTTAACCGGGCTTTCAGGTGAAGGAAACAAAGCACAAGACTACTTATGCGGGTTGTCTCCAAGAATCAAGAGATTGGATGAGAGAGCTCAAGCAAGAGCCAAGAAAGGACCCAAGATTCCTTTCAGTTGGATACACGACAGAGAAGTGCAGCTCTAAAAGGACAAAGACAAAAAAAAACCTTTCCTCCCGGTTCCTCATTTCATCTGTCTGCTCTTAAAATTGGTGTAGATTACTATGGTTTCTGATAATGTTGGTGGGTCTAGTTACAAAGTTGAGAAGCACTGATTTAGTAGCTTTGGTTTTCCCAGTCACTATATGTTTGGTCTTTGATCCGTTAGTACACTTGTTGTAGTTAAAACAGTTAAAGTCTGGTCTGTTGTACTCAGTCTTCTCTGTGGAGTTTTGTTTCAGTTCAGGTTAGTTTTTGTTTTTGTCTCTGTTTTATCCCCTGTTTCTAGACAACAACTCATGTGGCTTCTTAGCAATTTTGATGGTAGATTATGATGAATATCTTCCATTTCAAAATTGGTCAATGTTTAAATATCAAGTTTTGATTTGGTCAGGACACAAATCTTTCTCCTTGAGAACTCTGAAGTTCAATAACACGGTTTAGTTTCATTTCAGAGAAACTTATTCATCCATATACTTGCTTCAAGGTAATACTTATGAGCCAGTGTCAGTGATACTAGTTGAATCTGTTTCATTACAATTTGTCTAGACTATTTGCAAAGAATATCATCGCTTATATCATTTATCCGACAGCTTTATCACATTTTATCTTGGTGGTCTATAATGTTAGTGAAATTCTTTAGGAAGTTTAAATTTTCTCTCTCATTTCTCTAAACGATGATGATGTTCTCGTTTGTATAAATATAGATTAAAATTCAGCTCAATGCATCTTCAAGGAAAACTCATCATTTTTAGTTGTTCAGATTAAAATTCAAGCTCCATTATCATTATAATTCAAGCTCCATATAACCCTAACTTGATGCTTCAGCCAGACTAAAGGAGATGATAATGTTCGTTAATGGGCCCAAATTTAAAAGAGGCTTGGCCCAATAAGGTAGTGTTTCAGAGATTCCGCCATGGGAGGCGGTTGAAGCTACCTATGAACTTGGGGAAGGAGTCAAAAAATGTTTCTCTTTTTCAATCTTTAATTTTTCTAACTTTTTGCAAGTAAAGATTCCAAATTTTTTGCGTGAATCATTGTGAGAGCAAAGTTGAACTAATAAATCAACTCGCCGGGAAAAATGGATCAAACGGCGGAGGAGAAGATGGTGAGAGAGAGAATTAGAAAGAAAGTTAACGAAGTCAGTTCTGTGTCGCAGTCTCTTCTTACTCCAGTACAAGACCACATCAATTTCACCCTTCAAGTTCGTCTCTTTCTCTTATCTCTCATTCAAAAAAGTTTTGAAATTTTGATGTCTTCTTGCTAAAATTGTGTCGAAACTAAAGTGAATTTCACAGACCCGAGAATCTGTTTTCTTTCTCCTAGTTGCTAAATTCCCAAAGTTAGGTTCTTTATGTTTACTCTCTGAACAAGCCATTGGATATATATACTTGGACTTAGTTTGCTTGCTTCTTAGTCTGAGATTTATGTAAGAGTATGTCTTGTGCTTTTGTGTTGATGCAGAAGGCATACTTCAAATGTGCATATGAGTGCTTTGATAGGACAAGAACACACGCTGAGATTAGTCGATGTGCAGAGAGTTGCAGTGTTCCTATCACAAATTCGCAGAACCACTTTGATAATGAGATGTCTGTGTTCCAAGTAAGTCCTTTTCAATTAGAGAGATTGATGCAGTGCTAATATTCAATTGCGATTGAAATCTGAAACTTTTGTTTTTCAAATGTGTTTATTTATGATGATAGTGTGATTTGTTGTCTCTTGGATTCTCTATATCAGAACAAAAGCTTGGTTTGATTCAAGTTTGTGTTTTGATTTTGATTGATGAATGTAGGAGAGGTTGAATAGATCTCTTGTGGTTTGTCAAGACAAGTTTGAGTCCGCTAAGCTTAAGAAGACGAGGAATGAAGCTGTAAATGATTTGGAGCATTGCGTAAACCAAACTGTTGATGAAGCTGTCAAGACTCTGCCTAATCTCGTCACAAGAATGAAGAAAGCTTTGTCAATCACAGACTGAGCTCTATAAAAACTTTAAAGAGGGAATCCTTCTGATACTTAGTGAAACTATATTTTATTGATGTCAACAAACTCAATACATCATATATCAAACAGAGAAATGAAATTATTGGTTGAGACTTGAGAGTGAACATCTAGGGAAGATTAGGCTAATCCTCAGGAGTAGTAAAACCATATATCACCCGTTCTATAATAGAAAGCTATGTATATTAATTAATTTCCATTTCTATAAAACAGAGAACAACATTAAATAGACGACAAAACAACTAAAAAATAAAAATAAAAACTCAAAAATCTCAGCTAATTCTTGTTTCGCCGGAGCCGGAGAAAAAAGCAGGCGAGGTTGAAGAAGAAATCGATCAGTAACAACATCTCGAATTCTCAGGTATACACTAAATTCTTCGTCGGTCATTTTCTCCTTTCATTGGCGTGTTTCGTTCACTGAGTTCATTGCTCTCCGATTTCATCAAACTGCTTTTTCTGTTATCCCGAGAAAATGAAATCTGGATGCTTTTGTTCTCCATTTTCTGATTTTGCTTCTTGTTTTCTCCAAATAATCGAGTCAAAATCGCAAATTTGGATTGTTTATGCGAAATCTATGGAAATTTCAGGTGGAAAAATCGCATTTTTGTCAACATCTGAAGAAGCTCATAGAGAAAAATCATCATCGAGGTTAGTGTTTCTTCTTTTCCGTCTAAATCGAGTCTCAGATTCAATCTCTGTGTTAAATTTCGAGGCTTTCTTGATTTTCTCAATGTGGGAAACTGGAAATCTGTGAAAAGTTTCTTCATTTTGCTATAAGGTGTGTGTTTGATAGTTTTAGGAATCGAAATCGTACAACAGAATGGCGATTTGGTTACGTTAAAGATTATTTTTGTTCACTTTGTGATGTTTCTACAGGAAGATGAGCCATTCTCAGAACCCATCTTTTGTCTTTGCCATTCGAGACTTCCCACCAGGCTGTGGAACTCACATTGATGTTTCATCAAGTTTTAATCTTCCAGCTGACAAGGCCTTCAAGAATCCAAAAACTGGTGATGTTTCTGGCAAGAATCCAGCTCCTAAACCTCAAGGAATTTGTCTCAAACGAGAACCAGCAGCTTATCAGGATCATATCAAGCGAGAACCAGCATATGAGTATCATGTTGTTGCAGCTCCTACAGTGCCTTATGCAACAACTTCATCTCACAGACAAGAACTGGAGATCAGAAACTCTGGTTCTGCTCCTACTCCTCGTGAGAAAGTGCTTGAAGTATTGAGACTTTTCAAACAAGTATACAAACAGTTGGATCGAGATAAAAAAGCAAGACGCGGAGGAGATTTGTTGGATGCAACAAGAAGAATCGACATCAAAGCACTAAATGTCTTAGAGAGTATGGGGAAGCAAGTGAACATAGAGAAGAGAATTGGAACAGTCCCCGGGATAGAGGTTGGGGATGTGTTTCAGTACAAGACCGAACTCCGTGCTGTCGGACTTCACTCCAAGACAATGTGCGGGATCGATTACATGAAGATCGGAGAGGTTAGGATCGCGACAAGCATAGTTGCAACAGAAGGGTATGGCTACAACGATACATTCAACTCTGGTGTGATGGTTTACACAGGTGAAGGAGGTAATGTAATCAGCAAGGAAAAGAAGACTGAAGATCAGAAATTGGTCAAGGGAAACTTAGCTTTGGCTACTAGTATGAGGCAAAAGAGTCTAGTGAGAGTGATACGCGGAGAAGAGAGATGGGATCATAAAGGGAAACGTTATGTGTACGATGGATTGTATATGGTTGAAGAATATTGGGCTGAGAGAGATGTTAGAGGTAAGACTGTGTATAAGTTTAAGCTTTGTAGAATTCCTGATCAACCTCCATTGACTTGATATTAGTATTGTTCATATTAGTATTCCTGGTCAGATAAATGGAAAACAAATCAGGTTTTCTTCATCTGAGCCGTACTTTTTGGACATGACCAGAGCTCTGTTGTCCACATATCCAAACTGAATGGATGTTACAGTATAATTATCAGAAGTGACGAATATGTGACTGATTTTGTTACAGCCAGTTTCTTCCCAGTGTTCATCAACGCTATAATCTCCTAATGGCCCCAGTTTCAACATCACCATTTTATGGAAGATGAAGCGTGAACTGCATACAGAGTAAGGGATAAATAGGCGGACTTTTGTCATAGGATTGTGCAAGAATACAAGTGTCTTGTTTTGCATGTGATTTACGGTGTTCATGAGAATCAAGCGTAGAAAAGTCTCAACTACACTTAAGTTGTGAAGTGAAAAGCTACACAGCCTGCCTTGAACAAATTCAAATAATAATGAATAGATTACTTTAGGAATAAGAAAAAATGACAAATAACTCCATCAGAAGGTGCTTTATTTGAGAGAAAACGAAAAACAACAAATTGAACCAGGCTATACTGTTGAACGTCACAAGACGTTGCTTGTGTCAAACGTTTTCACGTTTAACCGCTGTGTTGGAGCTTGGAATGGGATTCACATAGATACCGATTGATGTCAGAGAGTATTGATTGCACGACCCAAAGAAACCACCAAACTCACGACGGTCACATATCGCCAGATCAATTTCAGTCTTGATATTTGTGACATTTAACTTTGGCTCACAAATGGGTCCGTGTTTCCCCAGGTTAGTGTAAAATGTCAGTGAGTTGATTCCTCCACACCCACTCAACCCAGTCACATACTCATTGTGCTTCAGTTTCACCTGCGGTTTATTTATGTAACTTCATTAGAGACAATGAGACTTCAATAGCTTTAAACATACGAAAACAAGAATTACGAACATCAACACTTACAACTCGGAAGCTCTGTCCCTTGAAGTCACCGCCGTACTTGGCAGACATGACTAGAGCTCCATTCTCAATGTAGCCAAACTGAATCGATATTATCTGTGAGAGATTGAAAGAAACGAATATATGAGAGATCATAGTGTTTCCCTTTTCATCCCAATGAGTGTCAGAATATGAACTCGTTTTTCCAATTGGTCCTGCTCTGATCATCTCCATAAAAGTATTGATAGCAAAATTCGAAAATAATTAACAGAGAGAAAGAGAGAGACTTGGTAGAATTATATAGGATACCTAGTCCAGTACCCGAAGAGTCCTCATGTCTTTTAATTATGGAATTTCTAGGGAGTAAGCAAAACAGGTCAAGGTAGATTTAAGATAACCTTGAGATTTTATGCTTAGATGATACAATTTCCTATGGAAGTCTAATAAAGTATGGTTTGTGTGAAGAAACTAGCCAACTTCGTTGAGTCATAAAACGTGACAGTAATGAACAGAGGATTTCTCTTGTCTTAGAGGGAAAAAAGAAAAAAACAGAGGATTACCACAAGCCGTTTCTGGTCTTGAAACTCTGATATCTCCAATATATATCTCTTTAATACTCGTTTGCGCTTTGATTCTTGATACCAAGACAATTGCATAGTTTGGCACTTTGACTGGTTAGTGGTTACAAAGACACCATATATAGATCTCTAGTTATAATTTTTGGTTTAACTGATGAATCAAGGAGATGTTGATACATCTCTTGTCGTTTGACTATACAAATTCGATATGGTATGGTACATGAACCAAGCTTTCGATGATGGCGGGAAGACTTTGCCTCATACATTGTCAATCTAAGATTTAAGCTCATATCATAAGAGCCAACAGAGAACATCAAGTAATGTGCTAAAGACGACTCAATGACTCTGATCTTCAGAGAAAACCATTTTACAATTTCCTGCATAAATCTAAGAAGGCTTTAAAGAAACAAGCCCAATGTAAGTAAACAGATGGAAGTGAACAATTAATCCACTAAAACAAATTTATAATTTAAAAATCATGCTAGTTAATATATCATTTTTATTTTTAAGAGTTGTATATGTAGCTTAAAGATAACAAAAATGTGGCATATTCATCCATTAAAGTAGCTTTTGTTACAAAGAACGAAAGAGAAATAAAACCTCATGACTTAGTACTTCTTAAAACGACAAGAGATAGAGTGTGTGGTCTCTTATCGTCTAAGAGTAGTATTTTGCACGAATGCAAACGAAAACTCTAATCCAAGAGATTTTTTAAAAGGCGCCCCAACTTGGAGAATATACTCTTTTTGAGTTTGGGCTTACGACCAATAGACTTGACACGATGAAAAGCATCGAGGAACTCCAAATTTTGATACTCAAGTGTCCGATTATTAGTGCTCCTGGCTAGACGATCCGGAGATTGGTAGAGACTGATCTCGTCTTCAAACTTGGGATTATGAACGATGGGCTTGACATGATAACTATTAGTGCTTCTGGCTAGAAGATCCGATGATTGGTAGAGACTAATCTCGTTTTCGAACTTGGGCTTATGAACGATGGGCTTGACATGATAACTATCGGAGACCTCATGAGGCATTTGATATTCAAGCGTCCGATTATGGTTGATTGTGGTTAAAGGACCAGATGATTGGTAGACAGTGAGCTGGTCGTCGTCGTCATCGGTGACTTTGTAGTTGGTTTTGAGGGCTGCGTCATTGATCCTTGTAATGGGACAGACATAAAGGCCAATGGAAGTCAGATAGCCGGAGACATGACAGAAAGACCCAAAGAATCCACCAAACTCACGAGGATCACATATCCCCACATCAATTTCCTTCATATAACCGTCTTTAATATCATCAAATCTCTCACAAATCGGTCCGTGTTTCCTCTGGTTAGTGTGAAATGTCAAAGATGTGAGCGCTGCTCCCCAATGTATTGCACTCAACCCAGTCACATATTCATCTTGATTCAGCCTTATCTGTATATATTGCATAAATTTGCTTTAACTTCATCAGATAGTAGTAGTACCCAAAAAATAAAATAAAAACTAGTACTGTAGAAACAAAAACCTAAAGATTTCAGTAAAGTTTCATGTTAAGTGGCAAGAATTACTAAAGTTTGTAGCTAATCAAAAGAGTGATAGAATAAGAAAAAACTGAAGATTCTACCAAAAAGTTACCATTCGGTACGGTGTTTTTCAACGTAAAAGTAATCAAGACCGTAGTATTCCTTAGACACGATTTGAGCTTCCTCGTGAAAATAGCTAAACTGGATAGATGTTATATATTTGTGGTTGAAAGTAACATATATATAAGAGATGGTGTTGTTCCCCTTTTCGTCCCAATTACCTTGACCCGACCGATTTTTCCATCCAATTGGTCCCACAGGGATCATCTCCCTATTCCAGGGATTCATTTAGGATCACTGAAGAAAATGATTCAAACTCTGAATTCTACTCTTTTTCTTGATAATCTTTATATAATTTATTCTTGTGAGGATGCATACTTGTAATTATAGGTATAAAGGTTTACATAATTTCTTTAAGAAAACTTCCTAAAACCGAAATATAAATGAACTTAAAACAGTCGATTTTCTCAATTCGAAAAACCAAAAATGTGAAACTAAATATTTGCCGTACCTCTTTTTCACTTTTTTTTGGTCAAAGTGTCTAACTTTTTTAATATAGTCAAAATCTAGTTTGCTTGCCTTTTATTTGTGGTTCCCTTTTTTTTATATAGTCTGAAGCACAATTGTGAAAGAAATTTTTTATTTCCCCTCATATTCTTTTTTTTTTTAATGAATATTTCCTCTCATATTCATCTCCCCTCAAACTCAATTTCAGACAGGGAAAAGGTAAAGTAAAGAAAAATGAGAAGATTACGAGAAACTTAAAGACTTGTAGTGCACGAATCCTGGTGGTACATACTGCACGAATCATGAAGGTACAGCAGGAAGGATAGGCTTCAGATAGAGACCAATCGAGTATAGACGATAAGAGCTACAAGATCCAAAGAAACCAGCAAATTCGCGTCGATCATGCATCCCCGAGTGAAATTCTCTCTTCTTATTAGAAATTATCCTGAAACCTAAAATATTTGTAGCCGTGCGAAATGCTTCATGTGTCCTTTGGTTTGTGTGAAACGTCAGAGATAAAATATTACCTTTATAACACTCTCTGCTAATCCCAGTGACAAACTCAGACACATGGTTCAGCCTCACCTGCAGATATTTTTAGTAACATTAATTAGACAGAAGGTTGACAGTAATTAATTAACAAGTTTTTATGAGATTAGCTAAATGAGAGAGTTTACTATTCGTGTACTAGTGCTGTTGGATGAGCCATGCTTCTTAGACAAGACCACAGCTCCGTTCTTGACATATCCGAATTGGATTGATGTCAAATATTTGTCGTCAAAAGAGACGAAAATGTGAGAGATTCTGTCCCTGCAATCTCCTACCGGCCCAAGCTTCATCATCCCCATGGTTGAAACAACTAATGCTTATACAACAAAGAGAGATGCATACATACAAAACACGGATTATATATTGCAGAATTTCAAAGAACCGAAGAGTCTGTGGATTCTTAGTTATTAATGGTGTTCCATGGGGAGCAAGCAAAGAAAAAGTCCAACTACATTTAAGAACCTTGGATAAATGTGTTTAAGAGAAAAAAAAAAAAATGTGCTTAAGAGGACTATTTTTTATTTGATACTACTTAAAAAAAAGGATTTTATTTTCAGGGAAACCCATTTCCAAAAATTTTGACAATTGGTATAGTTAATATTTATCAAAAGAATAAGAGTGTTTGTGATACAAAGAAATTCTATCAAGGGAAACCTATTTTATAATTATTGCGTGAGGCAAAAGTCTTGGATATGTGATTGTTAATTAATCCATTGGTGATGGTGTGAACACACAGCTACTTCTTCTTGTGAACATATATGTACTAATGTACGTTTATACGTATAATCAAACAAATTAAAAACTGAGACTTATTGGCTCAGCATGAATCCTAGCTAGGAACATTAGGTTTATCCACAAATTATGTATATAGTGGGGAATACTAAAAAACCTCGGATCTTTGATTTTGTCATTACATATTTCGATTTAAATCAGACATTTGTTGTACACAATTGACAAAGACAAATCATAAAGAAGAAAAGGACCATTTTATTACTTGAGAGTAGTTGAGAATTAAAAAGATGAAACTAAAACATTGCTCCACTAGAGCTTATTTAGATAAAACAACTCAACATCAACTTGAACTAGGCGACTGTTGAACAAAACGTTGCTTGGTCAAAGATTTCAAGGTTGAACCTCTGAGTCCAACGTTCCATTGGGATTCACGTAGATACCAATCGATGACAGATTGTGTAAACTGCAAGATCCAAAGAAACCACCAAACTCACGTGGATCACTTATTGCCGGATCAATTTCTATTTCATATGCACTTGGATGACCATCGCTTGAACGACCAATCGGTCCGTGCTTCCCACGGTTAGTGTGAAATGTCAGATTTCTGATTCCTCCACGCATGCCTAGCACTCCACTCAATCCAGTTACATATTCATCTTGATTCAATCTCACCTGCGGTTAACTTCATCATTCATCAATATGATAGGAGCTAACTAACTAGCAAAAATAAAAACAATTACCGACATAAAACTTACAACTCGAATGTTGTATCCCTCAGAGGGACCATACTTTGCAGACAGGACTAGAGCTCCATTCTCCAAATAGCCAAACTGAAAAGACCTTATGACTTCGTCGAAAGCAATGTATATGCGAGAGATCTTGGTGCGTCCCTTCTCGTCCCATTCAATGTCACCACACATCTCAATTTCATTATCATTTTCGTCCCAATCAATATACTCCGCTGTCGACTTTTTCCCGACTGATCCTGCTCTAAACATCTCTATATAAACAAAGTAAAGCAGTTTTCAGAGGATAGAGAGAAAGGGATACTAAAGGACGATTATATAAGATGCTCTGCATGCTTTGTCCAAAAGCCGTAGAGTCAAATTACTTTTATTTACGGAGTTTATTGGGAGAAAGCTAGACAAGTTTCCAGGTACATTAATTAAAGACGCTTGAAAATTGTGCTTAACCAAGACTCTTCGTTTGACCAAAACATGTTTTCATTTTTCTAATTAGTAGTCCAATAGGCACCCCGGAAAATAAACAAAAAGTTTCCATTGGACGTCTCAAAGCCAGTTAAATGTTGAGGATCAGACCTTCGATGGAACCTTGGTGTCTGTCTCTACCTGTTTATGGTCTTCAAACTTGTCTTTAGCCACTTGAAGCTCTTCAGTGCAACCAACAGCCCTCATTGCGTTGAAATATACCACAAAAACAAAAGCCGTCAAGCCTCCGGCTACAACCATGTTCTTGCTTTTTGGACCAAGGTAACTAAATCCCGCCATCGTTCAAGATCTTTAACTTGAAGGATTCAAAAAAGTGTAAAATGTCATAAGTTAACTAACTTACTCATTTAGAAGACACCAAAAATAAAAAATAAAGCATTGTCTTTTGTTCTATCTTGATAATCACAATATTAAGCAGAGAACATGAGAAACTAGAGAGAAACTTTTGACACACGTATCCTATAACAATTCGCAGATGGATTCCCAAAATCCCTGATACATACCCACTTTGAACCACGTGAAGTCTATTTTGTTCATATAATGAAAATAGCAATTCCCAAAGTAATTCAATTTCCATATGCAATTTCTAATAATGCCAGGTTAATGTGAATGCAGAGAGCAACAACAGGGATCAACTAATGAGATCAAGCAAAGGGAATGAAGATTGCTAATAAATAACAGTAAACAAAACTTTTTTCTTTTTGCATTGTAATGGAGACACAAATATTACATATTTTTTGTACACTGAACTACAATCCATAGATATAACCTTTACAACTTGGAATAAAATGTGCATTAACAATTGTTGCAGATTAAATTCATAGCAAAAAAATAAAGAAATAGCAAACAAAATTCAATTTCGGACTGCAAGCAGAGCAAAGAGCATCAACCTAACAACGAAATCAGTCAATCAAAATCTGATTATTCAGAAATTAAACAAAGTAATCGTAGGACCGTAGGAGCAAACAAACTACAGTGGAATTTAACACAGACTTGGTTCTTTACAAAACGATAAACCCTACATACCATGATGAAATTGCAACAACAACAACGACAAAACTTTTTTTTTCACATGTTGACCACAAAAAAAAAAAGGAAGAAGGTTCCGAGTTTTTTTTTTTGTCGGTAACAACTTTCATGGGCCTACGTCCGTGGGTATTTAGATTAAATAAAGCCCATCTTGTATATAGAAGCGAACACAAAGTTAGCTTGAGCATCTCTTAGTTAATGAAAGCATGAGTTTAAGAATATTCCACTATATACAGAATTATTCACTAAAAGAAGACACTACTACATGATAATAGTCACAAAACATCAAATTAAATTAAATTATTCATAAAAACTTAAAAAGAATAAAAAATAAAAAATAAACATTTTATAAACATCTTGCGTAATTGAAAAGAGGGAGTATAATATTATTAAGAGTTGTAACTAAAACATGACACAAAAAAAAAGGGTCATTCCTCCATCAATGCTGCTTTAATTTAAAGAACACAGTAGTTAAGTATAAATAAATAATAACTCAGGAGTTACTACTGTCAAAGGACAATAGCTAGATATCGTTCAAGAGTCTAATCTTAATCCAAGAAAACTTTGATGATGCACCAAATAGCTCTTTTGAAATCCAACTTGGAGAGTATCCGGTCTTTGAGTTTGGGCTTATAACGGATGTGCTTAACAGGAATACCATCCACGATCGTCGGGATTTGATTATGGGCGAATGCATATAGAGGATCCCATGCTTGATTGAGAGTGGGCTTGTTCTCGTACCTGGGATAAACATAAATGCCAATGGAAGTCAGATTGCCATAGTCATCAAAAGACCCAAAGAAACCACCAAACTCACGACGATCACGTATCTTCACATCAATTTCCCTCTTATATTCATCCATAATAATTGATAAATATTCAGGTCTATCACAAAACGGCCCGTGTTTCCCCTGATTAGTGTGAAATGTCAAAGACGTGACCTTTCTTTCCCAAAATATTCCACTCAACCCAGTCACATACTCATCGTCATTCAGTCTCACCTGTATATTGCATAAATTTGCATTAACGTGGTCAAAAGGAATTACAAGTACAAAAACAAACTAGACATTGTAAATAACAATATGTTAATTACAGAAACAAAATCTTTAGATTCCACTACATATACAATTATCATAAGAAGAAAAAACATGAAGATATATTTTAACAAAACTTACTATTTCGTAGGATCGACCTTTGGACGAACCGTACTTTTCAGACACGACATGAACTCCGTTCTGAAAATAGCTAAACTGAATACATTTGATGGAATATTCGTCGAAAGCAACATATATACTAGATATTATGTTGCGTCCCTTCTCGTCCCAACTCTTATGATAATCACGTTTTGACCCAATTGGTCCGACTTTGAACATCTCCCTATTACGGGATCTCATTTAGAACATAGCAGCTAAAAGAATTAAGCTCAGAACATTCTTTTCTTAATATAATAATTTGTTTTTGTGAGGAGGATTCATACTTATAGACCAAAAAAAAAAAGCTTTACATACTTTCTCTAAGAAAACTTACTTAATCAAAATGTAAATCAACTTGAAAACAGTAAGTTTACTAAATTCAAAAGACCAAAAATGTAAAACTATATATTATCCTCACCTCTTATTCCCCCTTTTTTAAAAAATTGCTTGCATTTATTTGTGATTTACCTTTTACTAATAGTTTACCTATTTGAAGCCACATTCAGCTAAGGATACTTGTCATATTTAAAGCCTTCTTCTTCTTTTTTTCATTTCGTCTCTAGCTGGTTTCTTTGCAAACAAGTTAAAATGTCAATTTTTCAAAGATATATGATCAAAGTCCGAATTTTTGGGTTTTGCCATGTGTTTTATTATATTATTATATGAGCATCATATTTTTTGTCTATTGGTTTTAAGATACCATAAGAATGGTATAGATTGGCAAAAAGATACCACTTATTAGTTTAAATTAAGCCTCACCAGCCGATTATCAAGGATAGAATCAACTGGTTTGAGTTTTTTATGATGTTAGAAAAGTGCAAGTGAGTTCAAGAATATGTTTACCATTCCTTTGCTTGTCAATATGTAACAATCGTTTTCATTGCTATCCCTAAATGCAGACTCTATGCCTAGCTATTTAACTTACCATATTGAGAAGATTCTACATACAACTTCAAATCAAGAGCGTAGTCATAGTATGGAACTACACTGCTGAGTCTACACAAGTTAAAGTCATCATGAATGTAATCATCATCTCCAACAATCAATTTCACATAAGTGTTTTTTCATTTATAAATTTCGTTTTAAATCAACAGACATGGAGCACCTAACCGTCGAAAACAAATAACAAATGAAGATATGGGCTCATTTTATTATGTAAGAGTTGCGATATAGAAAGATGAAACTAAAGCTACTTTATTTAAGATAAAAAATCAACAGCAACTTGAACTAGGCTACTGTTGAACACTGCCAAGTTGCTTGGTGGGTGGGACTCAAAAACATACCAATGGAGATCTTGCACGAATGCAAACCACAAAAAACTAATTAGTTCAAGAGATTTCTGAAAAGGCCCCTCAACTTGGAGAATATCCCATCTTTGAGTTTAGGCTTACGACCAATGGGCTTGACATGATGAAAAGCATCGAGGAACTCCGGGCTTTCATACTCAAGTGTCCGATTGTTAGTGCTTCTGGCTAGAAGATCCGATGATTGGTAGAGACTGATCTTGTCTTCGAACTTGGGCTTCTGAACGATAGGATTGACATGATAACCATCGGAGACCTCATGAGGCATATGATAGTCAAGCGTCCGATTATGGTTGATTGTAGTTAAAGGACCATATGATTGGTAGAGAGTGCTCTGGTCATCTTCGTCATCGGTGACTTCGGTAACTTTGTAGTTGGTTCTGAGGGCTGCGTCATTGATCCTTGTAATGGGACGCACATAAATGCCAATGGAAGTCAGATTGCCAAAGTCATCAAAAGACCCAAAGAAACCACCAAACTCACGACGATCACGTATCTTCACATCAATTTCCCTCTTATAATTATCCATATTCATTACTGATTGAAATCTATCACAAATCGGTCCGTGTTTCCCCTGATTAGTGTGAATATTCAAAGTGGTGACCCCATTACAATCTATTGCACTCAAGCCGGTCACAAACTCGTCGTCATTTAGTCTCACCTGTATATTGCATAAATTTGTTTTAACGTGGTCATCAGTAACCATTACAAAAACAAACTATACATTTTAAACAACTATGTATATATATATGCTTTCAGGAAAAAATTACCAGATATTATAACTATCAGAAGGAAGAAAAAACATGAAGATGTATTATAACAAAACTTACCATTACGTGGGATTGACCTTTGCACGTACCATACTTTCTTTTAATGGCATCAGACGCACCATACTTTTCAGACACGACATGACCTCCGTTCTGACGATAGCTAAACTGAATGTGGTTTATGGCATCTCTGTCGAAAGCAACATATATACTAGAGATCATGTTGCGTCCCTTCTCGTCCCACTCCAAATTCTTATGATAATCACGTTTTGACCCAATTGGTCCGACTTTGAACATCTCCCTACCACGGGATTTCATTTAGAATGTATTAGTCGAAAGAATTAAGCTCGGAATACTCTTTTTTTGATAAAGAATTTGTTCTTGTGACTTGTGAGGACGATCCATACTTATGTAGACGAAGAAAAGCTTTACATACATAATCTCTCTAAGAAATCTTTCTTAAACTAAAATGTATATCAAGTTGAAAACAGTAAATTTACTAAATTCAAAAGACCAAAAATGTAAAACTATATATTATCCTTGCTTGCATATATTTGTTATTTACTTTTTACCTATATTTTACCTATTTACCTATTTTACCCTTTTTTTATCCGACTCTAACTGGTTTCATTGTTGGCAACAAGTTAAGATGCCGGCCGATTTTCCAAAGATTAAAGCCTTTTATTTTCCTTCCGTCTCTAGAATTCGTGAGCCAAAAGTCTTGGCTATATATTTATTATAGAAACACTAGATTTAGTAACAAATGGAGAACTGGCACCATTTTATTACTTATTATGAGTTGAGATATAGCAAGATGAAACAAAGACATTGCTCCAATAAATCTACTTTATTTAAGATAAAACTCAACAGGCAACTTGAACTAGGCTACAAGGCATGTCTTGGTCAATTGTTTTCGCGTTTAACAACCATGTCGGGACTTGTAATGGGACTCAAATACATACCAATCGATGTCAGACGGTATCTATTGTAAGACCCAAAGAAACCACCAAACTCACGTCGATCACATATTGCCGGATCAATATCTATTGTGGAATCACTTGGATAATTGTCGCTTGAACGTCCAATCATATACTCCCCAAGGTTAGTGCGAAGTGTCAAATTTCTGATTCCTCCGCCATCCTTTTCTAGTACTCCACTCAATCCAGTTACATATTCGTCTTGATTCAGTCTCAACTGCGTTTAAACAGAGACTTGACATGATCTAACTCAGACGAAAAAATTAATATACAATTTTAAAATAATTACTGACACAAAACTTACAACACGAAAGTTGGATCCTTCCTCGAAGGCACCATACTTTTCAGACAGGACTAGAGCTCCATTCTCCAAAAAACCAAACTGAATAGACATAATGACTTCGTCGAAAGTGACGTATATGTGAGAGATCTTGGTGCGTCCCTTGTCATCCCAACTATCGTCACCCATCACCTCTTCTCCAGGAGCATCCGAGCCGTCCCAATAAGTATACTCACAATGCGATATTTTTCCCACTGATCCTGCTCTTATCATCGTTATATAAGAAGCAGCCACCGAGTATATAATAGTTTTAAGGGGATGGAGAGATAGAGATAGACTAGGGATGATTATAGTCTTGTCCAAAACCCGAAGAGTCGTCATAACTTTCATTAATGTTCATTGGGAGCAAGCTAGACAAGTTTTCAGGTACATTAAATAAAACGCTTGAAAATTGTGTTTAAGAAGAAGACTCTTCGTTTGACCAAAACCTGTTATACATTTTTCTAAGTAGTCCTATAGAAACCACGGAAAATAAACAAAGGTTTTCCATTTTGTTACTCTGTCTTTGATGCAAAAGTATTGGCTATGTGATTCTAGCCATTGGTATATTGAACAAAACTACTTCATTTTGTGATACGTTACATACTTGTAATTTATTCTGTTTTTAATCATGCAAAGAACTGAAACTGCTGTCTCTTTTGGTTACTTGGTTTGGTGTGTTTCAGTAAACTTGTTGTGTTTTGGTTTCTTGTAGGTCTTTCTCTGTTTTGGAGGCACTTGTTTTCGTTTTAATAAAAGGTATGTGTTAAAAAAAAAAAAAAAATTCTAAGAATCACTAGACTAACCACGAATGACGCATATCTTTGGGAATGCAAAAGCAACTCGGGTCTTTAATTTTGCCCCTTCATAAGTATATCCTTTAAATCACAAACATTTAAACATATGGAACTTTGAAGCCTTTATTTGATTAGTGACTTAAAAGAAAATAATTATTCCCAAAACTAATTAGTTAAGTGCTGAAATTTACGTTAAAGTGTAAAAGCAAATCGAACTTATGGCACTCCAAAGAATCATATAACTGGAGTCTATTTTCCGTTTGCTTTCACATATGCAATTTAACACAAATTTTTTTTTAATTCATACAAAAAGGTAATAATAGCCGGATCTGGCTAATGTTGTTTCAATTAAACTAATCACATACCCAACTTTTACGAGCATAAACGATATAAGAGTTGTAATGTTTGATGATGAGCTTGGTTTTATCATTACCAAACTTTTTCTTCTATAAACCCAGAATCTCTCTGGCATTACACAATAACCCTAAATGTTTTGAAATCTTGACTATAGATTTAGTAACAAATGATGCATATCTTTGGGAAAACAATAGTGACTTGTGTCTTCGATTTTATCATTTAAACATTCATTTTAAATCACAAGAAAATGGGGCGCAAATTTACAAAACAAATAGTAAAGGAAGAAATGGGACAATTTTATTACTTGTGAATTATGATATAGAAAGATGAAACAAATACATTGCTCCATTAGAGCTACTTTATTTTAAGATAAAACTCAACAGCAACTTGAACTAGGCTACTACTGTTGAACGCTTAAAAAAGGCATTGCTTGGTCAATAGTTTTCACGTTTAACCACCGTGTTGGACCTTGCAATGGGATTCACGTAGATACCAATCGATGACAGAAGGTTTTTATTGGAAGACCCAAAGAAACCACCAAACTCATGTCGATCACATATTCCCGGATCAATTTCTATCTTGGAACCATTTTCAGAAACTTTGTCTGATAAACATCCAATTGGTCCGTGCTTCCCACGGTTAGTGTGAAATGTCAAACTTCTGATTGTTGTTCCATATCGCGATACTAATACTCCACTCAACCCAGTCACATATTCATCTTGATTCAGTCTTACCTGCGTTTAACTTCATAAGAGAGTGAACTTCACAGAAACTTTACTATAAAAAAAAGGAGGAGAAAAAATGGGTCTTTATGACACAAAACTTACAGTTAGAAAGCTGTGTCCCTCAGAGGCACCATACTTTGGAGACAGGACTAGAGCTCCATTCTCCAAGTAGCCGAACTGAACAGATGTTATGAAATCGCTGCTGAAAGAAACGTATATATGAGAGATCATGGTGCGTCCCTTCTCGTCCCATTGAACATCATCGCATGGATCACATCCTCCCACTGGTCCTGCTCTTATCATCTCTATATCATAAGCAGTATATGAGTAGAGTAATTATAGAGAGATAGAGTAAGGACGAATATATAAGAAACTCGCCCTATTTAATAAGTCCAACACCCGAAGAGTCGCTATGACTTTAAATGGTAAGCTTTGGGAGCAAGCAAGCTACACAGGTCCAGGTACGTTGAAGAAAGTCTTGAGAATTGGTGCATAAGAAGACTCTTCGTTTATCAAGACCGTTTTTCCTTCTTTCTAAGCACTTTGCTTTTATTATTCTTTAGTAACCTTCATTTAAGGCACATATATGTTAAAGATCACGAACGATGTGTATAGAAAGATCCACTAGATGCGATAACCTTCATATGATTCAGTAATTTATGTCCATACAATGTACAATATTAGTTTTAGTAACAATTTATATCTTACACATGTATTTCCAGTTTGGGGACATTGATTACAACTTAACAAATTGATTAATGAAGAAGACCTAACATTTTTGCAGAATCGAGTAATTGACAACAACCTAGCCCGTTTTCTGCGTCTTGATAATAAAGTGGTATCTCCAAGAGCTTTTTTGCGCCAAACTTTGTTTATTTGCCACTGAGAAATTTAAATTTTTTTTTTGGTAAGAACTGAGAAATTTAAATTGGTACCATGATATTGATTTATTATATATTAAAAAAAAAAAAAGAAAAAAAAAAAAAAGAAAAGTAGAAACAAGAATTGATCGGAGAAATGTTGTGGTTTCTTACCAGAAGGCGATTAGCGTCATCAGAAATTTCATTTAAAAGAAAACATCAGTGGAAAATTAAACGAAATCCCGAACCCAAAAAATGATGTAGATCCGACAAAAATTAATACCTAGGAACATATTCATTTTCTTCTGATAAACAATCAGAACGCCACCTAAAAAAAATTGACAATATCCGGTGGTTGAGATCATCACCAACACAAAACTGAACAAAAAAAAACCCTAAACAGAGCTTACCCATAAGAATCCCGGAGAGTCTAAGAGCAACATTATCCATAGCTCTTAAGACAACTCTTAACTTAAGAGATATGTCTTATAACTAACAAAAGTCTTAAGAGACTAGTTTTGAGGTCTAATAAGAGACTAGTTAAGAGACTTTTGTTAGTTAGATGTATATCTTAAGTTAAGAGTTGTCTTAAGAGCCTATTGATAATGATGGTCTAAGAGCAGGCACGGCCCGCCACAGATACCCAAGACACATGGGTATTGGGCCTCCAAAAAATTAAAGATTTTTAGTAACAATATTAGGCATCAAAATAATTTGATATTGCATAAATAGGCCTCAGATTTCCGAAATGTTTAGATTCTGTTAAATTTTAAATTTTATCTATTTTTAATTGCAAAAACATGCCTCATTTTTCTGATGTTTTAAGATTTAGTCTCAAGTTTTAACTTTTATTGATAAAACCCATAAAAAAATTTTGGTTTTGTATTGGGTCTCACTTTCAACTGGGCCGGAACTGTCTAAGAGCCATCAGAGCAGAGGGATACAAAATTTGATTGCTGCCAAAAAAAAAAAAAAAAAACGATTCAATGTTCTTTTCCGGAATCACAAAGATCTTCTCTCCTCTTACCAGATTTCAGTGAGATTGAGCTTTTTCAGTTTCTTCCGGTCGATCTTCTTCAGTCCAACGTCGCGGCCAACCTTGAACAAACAAAAAAAAAGAAAACAGAGGAGGTTGGATATTACCCTTTTTCACCGACTAACGAAACAAAGAGAGATAGCGAGAGATCGAACAAAACAATGGAACCCAGAAGGTGGTTTTCAAAGAAGTAAAAAAATGCTTGATCGAGATTCAGGACGATGAAATCCCCATGCCGACTCCAACCAAAAAGTTAAAAAAACAAAAAAAAAATCATGAATTTCGAACACAACAATGGAACCCGGACGATAAAATCCTCACGCCGACTCCAACCATAGGTTTTAATCCAGACAATTGATAAGTTGTGGTTATAGTTGTTTTGATCTTGTTAAAAAGCTTTAAATCTCCTTTCTTGATTTGAGCGGACAAGTGGTTTTTCACTCCAGTTTAAATTTTAAAACTTATAGTATTGTACATAGTTTGTCCAAGAAAAACTAATATTGTACATATTTTTCATACATGCTTCATTATTACACATATATTTCTTATACAAAAGTCCAACAACTACTACTAAGATCTTTCACTAGTGCTCCAACAACTACTTAACTATAGGCTATGATTATATATAATTGTGCATCATTTCTCATCAATCAGAAATCATTTAAGGCACATATATGTGAAAGATCACGAACGATGTATATAGAAAGATCCACTAGATTGCGAACCTTCATATGATTCAGTAATTTATGTCCATACAATGTACAATACTGTATTAATATTAGTAACAATTTATATCTTACACATGTATTTCCAGTTTGGGGACATTGATTAGTGATTACAACTTCACAAATTGATTAATGAAGAAGACCTAACATTTTTGCAGAATCGAGTAATTGACATCAATCATTTTTATATGCTGGAACCTCTTATGCCTTTATTAATAAACAAACACCAAATTGCGTTGCACATTGCAAATATACAGTAGACGTAGAGATTTCTGCAGAGAGGTCTATTAGGAGACAAAAGCAGCAATAAATCAAAGAAGAGGTTCCTCGTTGATCAAGTTACAGAAGAAACTCAAAGCTCGGGCTGCATTTGCTCGCACTCTTCTCGAATCGACTGGAAAAGCTGGGTCGAGAGGTAACGTTCCCCGAAGCTCGGGAACACAACCTGAAAACCAAAATTCATCAACTCACAGATCAAAACTTTTATTAGTATACATCTGATGACTCTGTTACATATTTTACTCCATACTAAGCTAAAATGCTTTCACTGGTTCCCTACAATGGGCTATAATAATTGAATAATAAGCTCCTTTCTTGTTCGTTGCAACGACTAGGGTTTTGTGAGGCAGAGAAATTAAGGCAACATAAACGTTCATCGGACATATAAACCAAACCAAGTACTTGAGAAAATACAAATGTTAAAAATAAGTAGTAAGACTCTAAAAAGACCAAGGTTCATGATTAGATAACTTAAGAACTCTTTTTTATATCATTCGGTGGTTGGTCACAGATACAAGACTAGGATTTGGTCCATAAAGAAATTATGATGAAGAACATTGAGGACTTACAGCTATGAGTTTCCCGGCATTTTCAGGTCTCTTTGCAACCTGGATTGCAGCGGCAGCAGCAGCTCCAGAAGATATACCAACCTGAAAAGGTTATAGTCGTTTACTAATCGTCACAGATTTCCATATGCATTCACATTCGTTTTGTATCTTTTATAAAGACTGTTCCCACTAATAAATAAGTCAAACAGACTAACAAAAATAGACTAACCAACAAGCCTTCCTGGAGAGCTAGTTGCTTCGAGGTTTCAATAGCTTCCTCACTGGAAATCTGATAAGAAGCAACAAAACAGGTGAAGTTATAAAAGGAAATTGTCTTGCTGAAAGTGAACAAGATGACTGTATGATTTTAGAGAACCAAACCAACAGATCATACCGCTATGTATTCATCTACAATAGCCAGATCCAAATTCTTAGGTACAAATCCAGCTCCAATTCCTTGAATCTTGTGAGGTCCTGCATTCCAAATACATGTTAAATAAACGCAAGATAAAAAGAATAACATGCCAGAGAAACAACGAAACAAAATTACTGCCTTACCGGGTTTTCCACCAGAAAGTATAGCACTTTCCGTGGGTTCTACACCAATAACCTGGTACAAGTAAACATCAACTAATTAAATATAATTTTACTACTTAATTGAACAACCAATCTCTAATGACAGAGGTTATAACATATACAGATGTATTCCAGCTGAGATGCTACAAGCCCTCTTGCTATGTACCTTCAATTCAGGTTTTCTTTCTTTAATGAATCGACCAACACCAGTGATAGTTCCACCAGTTCCAATTCCGGCAACCAATATATCAATTTTTCCTCTTGTATCTTCCCAGATCTCAGGACCAGTCGTCTCGTAATGAATCTGCATATTCTTTATATTAATACACTAGCAGATACTTGCAACTTAAATAAGTGGAACCAGAGAATTTCATAGATTATCATGGTGATTCAATACTATATGCCATAGAAAATAAACAGTAATCTTGATACCTAGTAAAACGAAATGCAGAAGAGTTTCTATATTTTCCCTAACTAACCCTATCATATTCTCCTCTTATGGTTCAAAGGGAGACATAACACTAGCTCATGATTCATGTCACATGTGAAATATTATGAAGAAAGAATTAATTACAGACCTTGGGATTGGCAGGGTTGTCAAACTGTTGGAGCATGTAGGAGTTGGGAGTTTTCTTCAAGATTTCTTCAGCCTTCTGAATTGCTCCAGTCATACCTTTTGCAGGTTCAGTTAATACAAGCTCAGCTCCAAATGCCCTCAAAAGAACCCGCCTTTCCAAACTCATGGATGCGGGCATCGTCAAGATAAGTTTATAGCCTTTTGAAGCAGCAATAAATGCAAGGCCAATCCCTGTGTTTCCACTCGTAGATTCCACAAGAACACTCTAAAAATAAGCAGCAAGAAAACAAAATCAGAGGTCTTGACACTCAAGGCAGAATAATTCACCAATGCTTTCTCAACTCATTCTTAAGTCTTAATAACAACAATATAAGGTCAAATCCATAATCAAATACCTTTCCAGGTGTTATAAGTCCTTTCTCTTCAGCATCAGTAATCATACTATACCCAATCCTGAAATCACCACAGCAACACAAGCTCAGAATGTAATATAATATGTGAAGACAGCAACCCAAAATCAATTATATTTGGTTACACAAACCTATCCTTAACACTGCAACATGGTTCCATGATCTCAAGCTTAGCAGCAACACTTGCAACACAGCCCTTGACTACATTATTCAAGTACACCATCGGAGTTTTCCCAATAAGCTGAATCAATACATAACATTCAGAAAAATAAACGAAATCAAATCAAATTAAAAAAGGAGATAAAAGCAAAATTACAAAGGATTCAAATGCACAAGACAAAAATTGATTACCAATTTAGCTTTCCTCTGTCTCTATCCAAACGCAAACGAAACACTAGTTTAAAGAGAAGCACACAATCTAACCTGAGCGGCGTTATCGGCGATATTGAGCCCTTCAACACCAGCTTCTGGCTTGACAGACACAGCCTTGCACACAACATCACTCCTGCTCTGTCTCTTGAGCGCGAGAGCAGCCGAAGAAACATCGAAAGCAGCAGCCTTTCGAGAGGATAAGGAGAGAGAAGAGAGCTCTGGCGAGTATTTGAAAGGTCGGTGGCGAGAAGTCAACGGATTAAGGAGAAAAGCAGAGGAAGATGTCGCCGCCATGACTTGCTGCTCTTTTGCTTCAATGTATCTTCCTCACTTTCCGAATATTGTACACACAAGAAGTAGAGAGAGACTAGAGATGCGGTTTAAACTTGAAGACACTGATTAGATCGCACTGTAGCTGGAAAAACGACGTCGCTTTTGGAATTTCTAAATAAAAAATCAATTGATTTGGCATCTTTCTACAGGATTTATCTTATATCTTTGAATGGTAAAACAGAGTACCTGGAGAAAAGAAGAGACTTTGAGATAAAAATCAGAAAAGTTGTGGTTTTTACAATCTCACCAACCTACTAGTCTGATAAAGGAGGTGAATATAGAGCACATGTTCTTCTTCATCATGCAGCCTTACCAAACTCTCAAAGGTCAAATAAAATCTTTCTGGATCTTTTTTTTTTCTTTGCCTTCTTCTGATTTCTGGGTAGCTGTTAAAGTTAAAAGTTTCAAATTTTAGTGTAGAAAGGTACTGAAAGAGACGATTCTTCTTTGTCGTTATCTCTGTTTTTCTGTGATTCTATCCATTCGATCCTCAGTCTAACAAATACTCGAACCCGGATCGGAATTTAGGATTTTGGCAAAGCTCTGAACTTTGATCAGTTTTAGATGAGTTTTTGTGCGTTTGTTGTTTTGTCATTCGATATAAATTGACCAATTTGGCGATTTCTTCTTCACTAATCTGAGACATAGTTTTCTGACTTTGTGTTGATTTGACTCTTCCATTTCTGGATAACTAAGATGAATGAATTCGTATTTCTCTGACAGTTAAAGCTGTGATTGCCATTATCATTTGCTCTGTTTTGCCTTTGACTTAGCAATTTCTCTGTTTGATTAGTTTTAGGTGATAGGTGATGAGATAGTCATAGTTGTTTATTTGCTCTAATTGCAGGTTAGAATTTGCTATTGGATCATCTGCTAAGCTTGGTTTAGTCTTCCTGGAACATCGATTGTATTGAGGTTATATTGGATCAAAGATGTCTGCAGAGGAGAAGAACCTTATAGAGATCTTGGAGGAAGGTAACAAAGTCGATGTTGTTAAGTACATTGATTATGTCAGTGCCCCTCAAGCTGGTGCTATAGCGACATTCTCAGGCACTACAAGAGACATGTTCGAGGGCAAGACTGTGTTGGAGCTAAGGTATGAAGCATATGTGCCAATGGCCACACGATGCCTCAGCTCCATCTGTACAACTGCTAGATCAACTTGGGATATCCACAAGATTGCGGTTGCTCACCGTCTGGGACCAGTTCCTGTTGGAGAAACCAGCGTGTTCATCGCAGTCTCATCTGTTCACCGTGCAGATGGTTTAGATGCTTGCAAGTTTTTGATTGACGAGTTGAAGGCATCGGTTCCGATATGGAAGAAAGAGGTTTACACTAATGGAGAGATTTGGAAGGAAAATTCCGAGTTTATGGAGAAAAGATTAGAGCTTGCAGAGAAAAGAGACAGCAGTGTAAAAAAACCTGTGATTGAAGAACATAGAAGAAGAGGTTGCTGTGGAAGCAAAGTTAGAGTAGAAGAAGATGAAGAGCATAAAGATATTACAGGAGATAACAAATCTTCTTCTTGATTACTTGTAGCAAAGAGCAATGTTTCCTTTTTACTCTCAATAAACAAAATGTCTTAAGCACATTGTTGAATCTAAAGACTTGATATGCGTTAGTTGGTGCTAGACTGGGCATACTGCTTGAATCTTAAGAATGAAAACGAAGATACTGCAAGATTGTACTGCTTTCCACTTTCTTCCTGGTGATGTTTCTCTTTCTCAGGCCTCAGTGAGCTCTCCACTTGGAATCAGTGTTCTGTAATGCCAATTATTCAACATGATTTAATTTATTATCATCAAGAGCAAAATGTACTACTAGTAGCACCAACAGATACCAAAGATGCAATTATAAGGAGAACTAAAATGATGACAATAGTTTCAATAGCTACTGACTGGATCAGAAACAGATTCCGGATCATTTACAAGTTGCATAGTTGTTATTAATGTTTAAAGAATGAGATAGTTGATGCAAGCAGCAAAATGTACTATCTGCAAGTGAGAGAAATAGGGACCTGACTTTGTGAACCCGCCCGGCATCCCTCTAGTTCTTAAATGTAGTTTGGATTTTTCAATGCTTCCTTCCCAAACACAATAACCATTAAATTAGACTCCATAAAAACTCAACGGTCAAGGTAGCTGCAGCAGGCGAATTGTAAGTCTTATTATTTCGTTTAACTGAGGTTGAAGAACATAGAAGAAGGAAGAAGTTGCTGTGGAAGCAAAGTTAAAGTAGAAGAAGATAAAGAGCATAAAGATATTACAGGAGATAACAAATCTTGATTACTTGTAGCATAGAGCAATGTTTCGTTTTTTCTTTCAATAAACAAAATGTCTCAAGCACATTGTCGAATCTAAAGACTTCAATTCCACTTAGAGTTGCAAAGGTTTCACAGTTTTAAAATTCAGATCTCTCCCAAGTAGATATTTTTATCACTACTGCAAGATCCAATGATAGGCTCTGTTGGGTGGAAAACACACTCATTGACAGAACCGGTATGGCCTGGGAGCTTATACATAATGCGCCGACTGGTTGTGTCCCAGATATGAACCATACGGTCTGAGCTACCAGCAGTGACTTTTGTACCATCAGGTGACCATGAACATTTCAGCAGGTTCTTCTCAAAGTTGTGTTGATGCCCGTCAAATATCTTTACACATCGGTTTTGTGGAGCATAAGGACGCATGTCCCACACACAGAGCTTGTTGTCCATTCCATTAGTGAGAAGGTAGGAACCGTCTGGGCTTAAGCTCATACCTGTGATTGTATCTTGATGGCCCTCAAGTGTCATGGTGGCTTCACCTTTTCGCAAGTCCCAAACCTTAACATCATTGTCTACACCACCAGTGAAAATCTTATCAGCTGCATCTGAGAAACTGACAGCAGTGATTTGGTATTTATCAGGAAATGTTTGTATGGCTCCTCTTTGACGCATGTCCCAAAGCTTGGCAGTTCCATCATCAGATCCACTGATGATAAGAGGTGGTCCTCTACGTGTCGGACAGCAAGAATTCACAAACGATGAGTGTTCAGCCATCTTCTTGATTTGTTTCCCAGTTTCGACATCCCAAGCCCTTACAGTTTTATCCGGACTAGCTGATACAATCTGGGAGCCATCACTGGTCCAATGAAGATCAAGGATGGCGTTCTTGTGACCTTTCAAAACCATGAAGTTTTTGCAGTCCCCATGAACTCTCCAGAGGAAGATTTCTCTGTCATGGGATCCAGATGCAATCAGAGTTCCAGCAGGATTGAACTTCATGGTATATACAGCACTTGGATGTCCACTTAGCAACATGATAGGTGCTTCCAAGCTCGATGTCCGGTTCTTGCCATTGGGACCAGGTCCTTGAGGAGCACTGTGTGGGACAGTAGACCATTCCATCGGCCTAGGACCTGACAAAGCAGTCTCATTCTCTCTTGGCATGATTTCCATCTTAGCCTCCTTTTCACTGTTAATCAAGTTAGAACCTGGATTCCATGAGAAAAAAGAATTAGCAGATTGATCAAACTATATCAATATTCACACAGCTATGTAGCTTTTACAGATATCCAAATATCAAAATTTTCAAGCCATTACTCAATATAACATCCGAAAAGCAGATACTAAACACCAACATGAAACCTGCACATTCTAAGTAAAGCCTACAAAAGCAAAAGGTTGCAATGTTTATTCTCAAGCCGTAAGTAAATAAACACAGATCATTAAGAAATCGATATCTCTCTAAAACTTGTGGTGGTTTTGCACCAGAGACTAAAAAGGACTTCAATTCCGGTTACAGAGATCTCACAGATTCAATTTTGACATCTCTAGCTCTATTACATCAAATAGAATCTAAGATAAACAACTTCAAAAAACGTAAAGCAAAGCAACCACTAACACCAAATCTAGTAGCTAGCTAGCAGCTCGATTAGTCTCAAAATCGAAACGTACATGCCTGATTCACCTCTAATTACATAAAAGACAGTGAAGAGTTGAAGAAAAAAAGCTTGATAGATACCAAAATTTCAGCAGAAAACCCTACATAGCTCGTTACAGAGAAAGAAGTTACGCACCGAAGTCAAAGGAAGGCGAGAGAGGCAAGAATCGCTCGGTGTCGTCGCAAAATTACCGGAACCCTAAACCCAGAGAGAAAAAACTCGCAAGAAAGAGGAAGAGAGATTTAGAAAATAAACAAGTCTGTAGTTAATTTCGGTTTATTTGCAAAATATTATTAAGACCCTTATATTTTTTAAGTTATGTCAGAATGAACCCAATACTATTCTTTTTGTCTAAATAACCCATCACCTGCAATTTTTGGGGCTGACAAATTGGGTCTCTTTTTGATTGATTTTTGACGGCGAAGTAAGAGAAATATATTGGATAGGCACACCTTAGCTTAGACCAAACATTTAGGTACAAAGAGTATGATAAAGTTGAGAACTTAAGACGATGTCAAGAACATCAAAACCATGTCGTGATCATACATTCTCTTGTTTAACCAATGTATTATGGATTGGACTGAGACTCATCAAACACAGATGCCACTCGATGTCAGAAACGAGCCAAAGTCATGAAGTAAAGAACTTGGAAGACAGAAATAAACAACTGGTTTCGTTGGACATATCATGGCCTGGCCAGTGAGTATCAGACCTTTGATGGAACCTTGGTGTCGGTCTCGACCTGTTTATGGCCTTCGAATTTGTCAATAGCCACTTGAAGCTCGTCTGTGCCACCAACCGCCCTCATTGTGTAGAAGTAAACCCCAAAAACAAAAGCTGTCAAGCCACCTGCTACAACCGTGTTCTTGCCTTTGGGGCCTAGGTAACTAAAACCTGGAAATCCCGCCATCACTTCAAAGTCTTTAACCTGCAAGATTCACAAAACTGCTAAATGTCAAATGTTACAAAATAGACTCAAGTATGAGAAGTATTAGCTTACAGTTATATCTTCTTAATCACTGTTTCATAAACAATACTATAGACTATAGTAGGATGAGTAACAACTAACAAGAGATTACTTTGAAGACTGTATATAACAACTTTTAATTACTCCTTTTAACATTGCAGAAGTGAGGCTCCAGAAGCCCTGAAGGCATCGCAGAACATCGATATATTGTTCATATAGTGAAAACAGAAAATTCTATAAACCGATTGATATATAAAGAATTTTCCAATTGTTATTGCTCATCCTAAGAACTACTACGTCAAGATAAAGTGACAGTGTTTTAATGCAACGAGATCAAAGATGTAACATCATGGTATGAACAATTGAAGATTGCAAAACATTGCAGCTAAGTACAAATTCTATTCTGCATCATAATGGAGACAGAGAGACAGTCAATCTAAAATAATTGTTCACAAGTCAAAAATACTTGTTGTAAATCAGATGCTTTTAGCTTCCTTTTAACGAGTGAATCAACAATCAATCATCAATCAACCAAAGTCAAATTTGAAGCAAAAATAAAGGCAATTAGAAACCTAATTCTACATCCATACATCCAAAGCTAACATCTTTTGAACCCAAGCTTCCATTACTCAAGAGAAGTTCTCAAAATGTCAAAAGGAAAGCTGAGCAGAAAATATCAATCAAAAATTGGTTCTTTTAAACAAATTAGTCCAAGGATCACAAAATTAAAATGGAATCGAAGGGAACCTGGTGATGAACGTTTGAAGATCACTCCAAAATCCGAAAGATACAAAAAAGCTGATATTTTTTCTTCAACAGATAATCGTGCCTAAATGCGACAGAAGCCTAAAGTTTCCTTATTTAGGTGACAACTGGTTCGGTGACGCTTGGTGTCGTGGCCACTTGCCAATCTATCAAAACCCTAAACCCAGTAAGAGCTCTCGCGTGAAAGAGGGATAGATGCAGAACCAAGCCGTCTCGAGTTCGAACCCAAGGGATAGATGCAGAACACAAGCGAAGAGATTTATTGCTTTATTTCGTAAAAATATTGAAAAGATCCTTGTAATTTTGGAATACTATCAAACTGAACCACAACACTTTTTTTAAATCCAAATGACCCACAACCAAACATGTTTCATGTTTCATTTGTAGAACTACAAGTTCATCGTTCCAATTTGATCGGATATTTTCGAAAGAAACTATAAAATACCTAAATTAACTACGATTTAATAACTTTTCGCGGTTTATGTTTTTACGTGTCTTCCAATCTACATAAAATTTACGATCTTTCATGTTACGGAAACGATCATAAAATTAAAGTACAACGCAACAAAATAATATCAATGATAATAATTACGTTTATTTATGATTCCTACTCACCCAACAAAAAAATACTGTTGTTATTACCTGTTAATGATAAAGATTATTATCAAAGTTCTTAAAATCAAGGAAAGAAGTCAATGGAAAAAAATATGGTGATATATATATAGTCAATGAGAAAACGATGTCGTTTCAAACAATAACAGTGTTAAACATAAGATAAAAAGGATCAAACTTTGAACAGTGGCTTGCTTGCTTACACACACAAGGGTCAAGTGAAGACCCAAAGAAAAAAAAAAACCATTAATAGATCCGTACGCACATGACTTTCACTTCTTCTCTCTCAGATCTGTTTTGACCCCAAAACCAATGAATATCAATTTCTGCCAATTCATTCATATTCACTCACCCCAAAATTAAAAAAATAAAAAGATTTTCCATTTCCCTCTTCTCGATCCACCACCAACCCAAAAGCTTTCATCTTTACCGGTCATGGACGGTGGTTCAGGTCAACCGGCGGCTGATACAGAGATGACGGAAGCTCTGGGTGGTGTTCCCGCGGCGGCTTCTTCTCAGCCATCGCCTCAGATGCCTGGGATTGAGAATATTCCGGCGACTCTTAGCCATGGTGGTAGGTTTATTCAGTATAACATATTTGGAAACATCTTTGAGGTCACCGCTAAGTATAAGCCTCCGATCATGCCTATTGGCAAGGGTGCTTATGGCATCGTTTGGTAATTTTTCTCCTATTCTTGTTTCAATTTTCTTTTGCCTGGCTTTTGCTTTTAATTGAAAAAAGATATGATTTTGTTGATTGGGTTTGGTAAAGTTGTTTACTTTTGATCCGAAATTTGTAAAATTGATTCCTTTGTATCGTTTTGAGCTCTAATATGATTGGGATTTGGTATATAATACGATTGTGTCGATGAAAGCTTTATCCTTTTGAGGTTTATTTGATTTTGCAGTTCGGCTATGAACTCTGAAACAAATGAGAGCGTTGCAATTAAGAAAATCGCTAACGCTTTTGACAATAAGATTGATGCAAAGAGGACTCTCCGTGAGATTAAGCTGCTTCGTCATATGGATCATGAAAATGTCAGTTTTTTATTTTTAACTAAGAATCATCTGTTTATAGCCTTATGTAGAGCATAATAGGATTGTAGATTTAAATACACTCGAAAAATGGTAACTACTAGTTGATACGAAATTGTTTAGGTAAATATTTGATGTATTTTGCACAAAATCTATTGCTCTTGTCTCTTTGATTGATATTGTATATGTTTACTAGGTTTTGTGCATGAATGTGTTGTAGCTGGTGGTTGCTTACTGCATTTAGATTTAAGGGAATATACATGAATGTTGACAGTATTGTGGGTGCATTTTTTTCTGTTTGATACTGATAGTTTCGCGCTTGTTTAGTAGTATGATCTTTTCCAACTGCGCCAAGATCTTAAATTCTAGAAACCGAATCGTGAAATATTACTGTTTTCCCATGTTGGCGTTTGCAACGTGTAATCCATTTCCGATTAATAATACAATTACCATCTTTTTCTTTGATCAGATTGTTGCAATCAGAGATATAATCCCGCCACCATTAAGAAACGCTTTCAACGATGTTTACATCGCGTATGAGCTAATGGACACTGATCTCCATCAAATCATTCGGTCGAATCAAGCATTATCCGAAGAACATTGCCAGGTTTTGAGTTTTGAGATTGTTTGGTAACCTATAACTCGAATTGAAAACCGGGACTAATTCAATTCCATTTCCCTTTTCTTTTTGTGCAGTATTTTCTTTACCAGATCCTCCGTGGATTGAAATACATTCATTCCGCAAATGTGCTTCACAGGGATTTGAAACCAAGTAATCTCCTCCTGAACGCAAACTGCGACCTAAAAATCTGCGATTTTGGGCTAGCTCGAGTCACTTCCGAGAGTGATTTCATGACTGAATATGTTGTCACGAGATGGTACCGTGCACCAGAGCTGCTATTAAACTCTTCTGATTATACTGCAGCTATCGATGTTTGGTCTGTAGGCTGTATTTTCATGGAGTTAATGGACCGTAAGCCACTTTTCCCTGGACGAGATCATGTCCATCAGCTTCGCTTGCTCATGGAGGTAAGTAGTAACCCTTCTTTGACCCAAAAACAAGCCTCGAAATTGTACACTACAGAAACAGTGAGATGATTTAATTTTCTTTTTGCAGCTCATAGGAACTCCATCAGAAGAAGAGCTTGAGTTCTTGAACGAAAACGCAAAGCGATACATAAGACAGCTTCCACCTTATCCTCGCCAATCCATCACTGATAAGTTCCCGACAGTGCATCCCTTAGCTATAGACCTTATTGAGAAGATGTTAACATTTGATCCTAGACGGAGAATCACAGGTCAGTCCCTAACGTCTATACCATTTTTAACTTGCAAAATAACTAGAATTTCTTGTACGGATCATTCCAAAAGCCCGAAAAGAGATTCAATCTAGTGAAGGAATAATAAGGATTTCTTGATTATTCAAGAGTTAGTAGTCGTCACCTCTCATTGATTCTTGATTCTTGATTCAGTTTTAGACGCATTGGCCCATCCATACCTGAACTCGTTGCACGACATAAGCGATGAGCCAGAGTGTACGATACCTTTCAACTTTGACTTTGAAAACCATGCACTCTCAGAGGAGCAAATGAAGGAACTTATCTACCGCGAGGCGCTTGCTTTCAATCCAGAATATCAGCAATAGTTTGAAGAACAGCATTTGGGAGATGAAGATGAGATCTGGGTTTGGTTTTATTTGGTTTGGACAACATTCTTAAAAGGAGGAAAAGATCATTGTTTGTCTTTTGTGTATACTTGTGCGAGATGTTTGAAGGGGATGGGGCTCAAACTTTATATTTTCAGTCTTTTGGATAATTTTTTCTTTCTCTTTTTTTTTTTCTTATTCGTATTTGTAATTTGCCCCATTTTGTTGTTGCAGCTATTAAGGACTTAAATTGTCTCAGAAATAGTTTTCATGTGTTATGATAACCCACCTTTATTTCCTCTACAAAATGTTTGCCAATATTGTCAACTTTCTTCTTTCATACAACATACCCATTACTGCAATTTTGAATCCACCGTAACAAATTGTAGTCTAAAAAACATAAGCTAAGAACAATCATGTCCTTGAGTGTCTGCCTCTAGACTTGTGTTTCCTCTCCCTTTTTGGTCTTTTAGAACTTGACCTTGATTTCCTAGATTCCTCTTCGTCACTACTTGATGATTCGGATGATGAGCTTGAGTCAGATGATCGCCTTCTCGAATGCTGCAAATCAAAAAACACAATGTAAGCTATAAGCTTCAAGCCTACAAAGCTAAACTCGATGCAGTTGTTATTTAAGCACCTTTCTCTTTTTGCTTCTCTTCCTCTTCGAATCTCTTCCCTTTCTATCTGTGAGCTCTCTCTCCTTCTTATCTGAAAGAATCAAATGACATATTATTAGACAAGCAAGAATCAAACTGTGGATTGTATGACAATCTGATTAAGTTTTATTGTATGTATACCTTTCCTGGATTTATCGCTAGAATAGTTCTTTCCCTTAGAGAGCTTCATTGCTCTTTCAGCATCCAGCTGAGCTCTATACTCACGCATCAACTTATCGGTATCTGCTTCAAGTTCACCCTTTTTCAGTTCTTCTTCCTAAAAAGCGGTCACATGAAGCATATAAAGTGAGAAACATTTCTTATCTGTCGATGCTCCTAAAAACATCGAGTTATCGAACAGCAGCTATACCTTTTGCTTCTGTCTATATTCTTCCCAAGTAAGAGTGTGTGTTGTCTTGAGACTGGCCAAACGAGCAGCATGCCATTCTGGTGTATGAAATGAACCATCCATCTGCGAGGCGCCTCATCAGAAATGTTTTGGTAACAAAGAAATCAGCAAAAACAGAACAATCTAGCTAGATAAGAAAAAAATAACTTGACATGACAGAGAAGAGCAAAGTAGCCATAATCAAAGCCACATTTGGAAGCACATGGCTGAAATTGCTCATCCAGATAAACTTGATACAATGTTGGAACTTATACTTGAATTGCAGCACAAACACAAACTCTTGTTTTGTAAGGATACACAGTCTGATTCTGCATTACATACATATATGTGTAACAACAACTAATCATCTCCAAAACATAACTAAACTAACTAGTAAGGTAAAACATAAATGAACAATTTACTTTCCATGGAAAATGATAATTTGAACATGAAACGATTTTAAAAAGGGCTACGGAGGATGTTGAAGTTTGAACATAAAGTAAAGAGGTGTTGTACCTCGCCGTGACTCATGTACTGATCTTAATCCTCCTGAAATTAGACGAAAAGCTCTTTAGTTGGCTGATCTTAAGAGATGAATGTGTGTGCTATCGGATGGACATTACGTGAGATCATAAACCCTTTTTGTTAAGTGGCTCGTTTACATTCCACTTTGAAGATGATATAAGGGATCTCTTCTCTTCGATCACATTTTAAAGATTTTTTTTCAAGATGGCAATAAAGAAGCTGATAGGATAGTCAGATAATCCATTTCTATAAAAGTGTGTACTAAGGTTCTCTTCCATTGTGCCGGATTGGTTTAAATTGCATGCCAAGAAGGCTCATTAGTCTACCATTGTATTTAAAAGTCGGTGTTGACTGTTGATACAGTCAGTCAGTCATAAATGTTTTGTTGAGAAAACGGCCCATATAGTTTAATAATGGGCCTAAGCCTCGTTATTGTAATCGTTTTTAGGCATATAAAACCAAAATATACACGAGCTTATACAAATGCCACCACATTTAAACATATAGGTTCCTTCTTACCAAAAAAAAAAAAACATATACAGGTTCCTTAGTTTTTCCACATTTCTGTTTTCCCACTCGGATACTTTTCTTTAAGAAAAGAAACTAATCATTTCACGTGAATTATTCAAGTGAAACTAAAATGAAAAGAAGAAAAAAAATCTAGATGAAGCAAAATATTGTAGCACTTTGGCTTTGGCTTTCCTATTTTTGCCAACTTTTTCTCCTTTTTATTTAGTTTTCCTTTTACTTTTTTTCCCACAAAAATCCAATCCTATGCAAAAGATTTTGCCTTTCACGTCGTTTGGAGCACGATTCACTCTTAAAGGTACGTTTTCTCACAAATACCCCCAAAAAGTTTGCTTATTATATGCTTTTCAATACACAAGCTAGTATCCTAATATCCTATAAATAACTTGCTTGAAATTTTTTGAAATCTCTCGCCTTCAAATTACTGACGACAATAATAAGCTCCTTTTACTTTCTTCTGTAGTTTCAAAACGTTAAATACTTTCTATTATTTTTTGTTTGTCAACCTACTTTATTTTTTATATTCGATACAAAAATCATAGCTTTTCTTCTCACCAAAGTTGTTCTCTTTAAGAATAAACTCCAATCGAAATCTCACGTTTGTATGATGATAACAATCACATTTAAAATCTACAATAAATAGTGATAGAGATAATTCATTATTTCATTTGTACAGTTTGGTTGTATGATTTGATTATGGTGTATATATCTTAGTTGAAAGGGTAACATCGTAAATTAAATGTCACTTTGGAAACCGGAACAGGTAATAGCCGGTGAAGAATATAGTGAACAAAGAGAGAAGTGACCGACACGTGTGTGTAAAGAAAACAAACTGGGATGACTCAGTGAAAGCTTCTGGATTTGCGTGATTCACGGGTTTTACAGTAAAATGTCCTCGTCGTCTAGCTCTCTGTACGCTCTTTTTGTACCCAGTTTTTGTTGCTCCGACTATTTTCTCACCGACGGTTTTGCTCTACGTCGTCGTTTTTGTTTCACTTGTGTTTTATACTTAGTGTGTTACCATGAAGATTAAAGAATAGTTTAATGGTGGTCAGTGGTCACAATGAAACCTTTTTCATAAGAGGGAATGTTTTGCATAGTTTTATTAACTAAGTAATCGAAACAATATGGCTCTAAATGGTAACATATTATTGAGGAATTATTGAGGAATTTTTGAGAAAAAAGAAATGGTTACATCAGTTCAATATTGGAGGAATTGTTGAGGAATACTGTTTTAAGAGAAGGATTAGGAACGTGGTCCCACCACAATCATCTTTTCATCTGGTTTGGGTTTTGGATGAGACCTTTTATTTTCTTTTTCTTTTTTTTTGTAAGTAATCTATGTTTTTACCAAAACAATATGTTAATGTTTATATTTCAGATTTTCCATATATATATTTAAGAATAATATATTTTAAAGATGTCAGATTTTTAAACTTTTCATATTTTTATGTTGTTTAAGAAATATTTACATTTTCGTAAAATTTTTGTTAGTTTTGACTTTTTGTGGTAATTATGATTAAAAAAAAAACTTTGATTACTTTTGTTGACAAAAAAATTGCAACGTTAACAAATTTCTTCAAAAATCTATCTTTATTTTTATAGGTTGCAAACGTTATCGTTAACTTATCTTTGATAAAAAAAATTCAATATATCAAATTTAGGATTTAATATTTTTATTAGTTGGTTTAATTTACATTGTTGACAAAAATAATAATTTAATTAGTATTTTCAAAAATGTATTTAATAAGTTATTTAAAAAAATCAGCCATATTCAGCTGTTACCATTTACATATTCAGTTATTCAGCAAGATTCAGCTAAAAATCACCATAAAATTCAGCCAGATTCAGCAATTCAGCCAGATTCAGCCGAATTCAGCGGTTACCATTTACACCCATATAAACTATTTGGAGTATTATGAGATATATATATATATATAGCTTAATTAACTTTATTGACCAAACCTGAAGTGGGATTTTCAAATTGTGGTTAATTGATGATTTGGAGAAGTGACAGATGCAGATTTAAAAGTTAAAACAGCTTAAAATAAAAAGAAGTAAAAAGTGAAAATTTCTTAGAAGAGAGAGGAGAATCTTTGGAGAAGTGGAAAATGATGCAAATCCCAACACTTTTTGTTACTTGTAATTTCTACTATTCACTGTCAGTGTATACTTTTTGAAGATATCGAATTTCTTTCTCATATTGTATTGTACAAATTAATCATCAATTAAGAACAAAATATGACGTAACATGGTTTGATATCAGAACATCAAACTTCAAAACACTAGCCCAAAATGTTTATAATAAATATATTTGAGCAATTAAGTTGAAATAAATTCGGTTAATGTTTTTGCTATCACATTCTTTATTTTATTACATTGCATGTAAGATTATAAGTTTGGATATTCAAGATGGACAATAAATTTAGATTAGTACCGCCGACCAAATAAATTCATTACCCATTTTCATTGTCACGATATTATATCAATTGGCTCTGTGACATTGAATTGTATTGTATTGATTGCATTGACTGAAGCTAACATTTCGGTTGAAGTGTAATCACTAATCAAGTAATCAGTAATCCAATGCAGTGCAGTAATTAGACTTCATTATGCAAAAGCAAAACACTTACATGTCATTTATTTAACTAAAAGAGATCGTTTCAATGCGTTTTCTAGATTTAAATACGTAACGTTTTTACCAAAAAAAAAAAAAAAAAAAATACGTAACGTTAAATTAATAGATCGGATCCATTATATGCTTTATACTACTATTAAAGTTTGTTTATTGAAGTGATATGTTTTAGATAACTTAAAGTTTGATGGATATAAACAGGACTGCTTTTTTTTTTTTTTTTAACAATGGATATAAACATTGCTTAAAAACCAAAAATATTTTTTGTCATTTAGAAAGAAAAATTTAATCACGAACGCAAACAATAATATTGAGGATATTATTTTATGTTATGTGTTAGGTTTATAATTTGTAAAAGATGTCAAGTAAAAATAAAAACAATAATATTTTACCATGCAAATATCTTTTTAAAAAGAAACTCTCCAAATATCTATTTTTTGTATGTTAAAAATATCTTGTTTGTCACAATAAATTTGGTTTCTTTATTGCAGAAATAATGTAGTTGTGTTGGAAGAAAATGTTGACTTCGCTCGCTATTCAGTACAATCCAGAAGATTTTGATGAGCCATGAAATTTTCACCATTTCAGCAAATTAAGTAGTCTCTTCTTTCACATTTTCCAAATTAAGTAGTCTCTTCTTTCACATTCTCAAAAGTAAATTCAAAGTACAAAAAGAAGACGAAGAAGAAGAAACCATTAATGTTTAACTAATTGTGGCAGTGAAACAGTCACAATCAAGATCTTTAAATCTTACTTATACGTGAAATAATTAACAGAAAAAGGATACTACTAACTACGCCTTAATCGTCAAAAATCATTGTTTCTTATTGAAGAAATCTTGGTGGGAAAGATGTCCATAACTAATTATTACAGCAATCATTATGATTGAAAATCGATATTTCTGCTAACAATTGGTCCAACCCAACAACATATCATTTAATTTTTTTGTTCTGAAACAAATTAATGAATCGAATTGTATTTTTAATTATCAATTATTCGATTTTACAGATACAAAATTTAAAGCTTTTTGGATAAGATAAAACGTGGAAATAAATAAAACACGAACTACCATTTCTCAATCAAATCAAATAAGAGAGACGTTAAATAAATTTTTTAAGTAATGACACCTACTTATACTATTCCCTCCAATTTCTCTGTCTAAAAGTGTCAGTCTCTCGTAAAGACCAAACCTTTTTTTTTTGTTATCACTCTCTCTCTCTCTCTTCATCGACCAAACCAAACGCTTCTTCACTCTCTCTCTCTTTTCTCTTCAATGTCAGATTTTGAATGCCACAACAACAACAAGCCCTAAAACTAGGTGTGTGTGTTTGGGGGAAAACGTTACCAATGACTAAAATACCCCTCTCCTTCTTCTGCTTACTCTTTGTAGCTTTCTTCTTCTCTTCCTCCACCGCCGATCAACGTTTCCACTCTCGCCACTTACTTCATCAACCCTTTTTCCCGGTCGTAACCGCCGCTCCACCACCGTATCAACCACCGGTCTCTTCTCAACCTCCATCTCCTTCCCCACACACACATCACCACCACAAGAAACACCTAACGACGCCACCACCACCGCACGAGAAACACCTATTCTCCTCCGTCGCAAATCCTCCACCTCCTCCACCGTCTCCGCCGCATCCAAACCCTTTTTTCCCCTCATCAGACCCAACCTCCACCGCCTCTCACCCTCCTCCAGCACCACCTCCTCCGGCCTCACTCCCGACTTTTCCCGCCAACATCTCTTCCCTCCTCTTCCCAACTCACAACAAACCATCCAAGCCTCCCAGCAACGGCCACATCGCTAGGCTCGTCACCATAACCGCCTCAGCCATCTGCGCCGCTGCTCTCCTCTCTCTATTCGCCGTCTTCATCATCTTCATCCGCCGAACTCGCCATCGCCGCCGGTCCTCCCCTGCAGACGACACCAAATCCACGAGATCAGACGCTCTTCAGCTCTTCAACGCCTCTCCTTCCGACGGCTCTAAGAAACACAAACAACATCAACAACCACCGAAGTACACTTCCTCACACACTTCCTCTGAGTTTCTCTATTTGGGTACTTTAGTAAACTCCAGAAGCGGTGGTTTAGAACAGCAAAAATCTCCAATCTCCATCTCCGGCGGTATCACCGGCGTATTGGAATTACCTCCTCCAGCTTCGTCTTCTTCATCTTCTTATTCACAGTACCATAAGCTAGGCTCGCCGGAGCTTCGTCCTCTTCCCCCTTTACCAAAGCTCCAATCTTTCACTCCCGTCTACAAAAGCACTGAACAGTTAAACCCTAAAAGACAATACTTTGACGGAGACGATAACGAAAACGATGAGTTTTTCTCTCCGAGAGGATCTTCAGGGCGTAGACAGGATGTTGATCAGATTGGTGACAGGAGTATCAACGGCTCAGGCTCGAACTCGTGTTCGCCGACTAATTCAGTGCCGTCGTTGAATGCTTCTCCGGGAACAAGTTTGAAACCTAAGTCGATTAGTCCTCCTGTCTCGCTGCAGAGTCAGAACAGCTCAAACAACGGCGTTGCGAAGCGGCTTTGTCCAGCGAGGCCACCTCCACCACCTCCTCCGCCGCCGCAATTATTGGAGATTCCGGCTACCATGTCGCATTCGCCTCCTGGTGGGGATTCTGATCCAGAGAAGAAAGTGGAGACCATGAAACCAAAGTTGAAGACTTTACATTGGGATAAAGTTAGAGCAAGCTCGAGCCGTGCTATGGTGTGGGACCAAATCAAATCAAACTCCTTTCAGTAAGACATAACGAATTTGAATTGAAGTCTTTATCCATTCGTTAAGAGATGAAGTCTTTATCCATTCGTTAAGACATGACGACTAATATATGCTTCTTTTGTGTTTTGCAGAGTGAATGAAGAAATGATAGAGACATTGTTCAAGGTGAATGATCCAACTTCAAGAACAAGAGATGGCGTTGTTCAATCCGCGAATCAGGAGAATCGGTTTCTTGATCCAAGAAAGTCGCACAACATTGCCATTTTGCTGAGAGCTCTTAATGTAACTGCTGATGAAGTATGTGAAGCTCTTGTAGAAGGTGAGTAATTTCCAATCTGTTGTTGCTTATGCTGAAGTTTTGATGTGGAATTTTGAAATTTGCTTAGGTTACTCACACTAATGCAACATTCCATTGGCTTTGATGATTCTCAAATTGGTCTGTGATTCTTGAAGCTTGACTGGACTAATTTCGTTGATGTCTAATCACTTTCTTGTTCATGAATCAGGCAACTCAGATACGCTTGGACCCGAGCTTCTCGAATGCTTGCTTAAGATGGCTCCTACCAAAGAAGAAGAGGACAAGCTTAAGGAGCTTAAAGACGATGATGATAAATCTCCTTCCAAGATAGGACCTGCAGAGAAATTCCTCAAAGCATTGTTGAACATTCCTCTCGCCTTCAAGAGGATCGATGCTATGCTTTATATTGTCAAGTTCGAATCAGAAACCGAGTACCTTAACAGATCCTTCGACACCCTCGAGGTAAAACTCTACTTGGCCTCATAAGTGTATTTGTGCTGAAAACAGAACATTAATGTGCATTTGAACAAACTCTCAGGCTGCTTCTGGTGAGTTAAAGAACACGCGGATGTTCTTGAAGCTTTTAGAAGCCGTGCTCAAGACCGGGAACCGGATGAATATAGGAACCAATAGAGGTGATGCACATGCTTTCAAGCTCGACACACTCTTAAAACTGGTAGATATCAAAGGCGCGGATGGGAAAACCACCTTATTGCATTTCGTGGTTCAAGAGATCATAAAATTTGAAGGAGCTCGGGTTCCTTTTACTCCGACTCAAAGCCATATAGGCAATGACATGGCTGAGCAATCCGCATTCCAAGACGACCTAGAGCTCAAGAAACTGGGGTTGCAAGTAGTTTCAGGTCTCAGCTCTCAGTTGATTAACGTTAAGAAAGCAGCTGCAATGGATTCAAATTCCCTCATCAACGAAACAGCGGAAATCGCCAGCGGAATAGCGAAAGTCAAGGAAATAATCGCGGCGCTAAAGCAAGAAACAGGTGTAGAGAGATTCTTGGAATCAATGAACTCGTTCTTGAACAAAGCTGAGAAAGAGATCACAGAGATACAATCTCATGGAGACAATGTGATGAAGATGGTTAAAGAAGTAACAGAGTATTTCCACGGGAACTCGGAAACTCATCCTTTTCGCATTTTCGCTGTGGTCAGAGACTTTCTGACGATTCTTGATCAAGTGTGTAAAGAAGTTGGCCGCGTAAACGAGAGAACGGTGTATGGATCCGTGCCACGACATTCGCCATCGAACCAGACCGCCACGCCTCTGTTTCCTGTGGTTAACAATAACAACTCACGTCTGAGTCCATCGGGTTCTCTAGACGAGGACGATGACTCGTTTTAAGTGAAAACTGTTGGCTCGAGTTTGGTTCGGTGTATGCTAATGTTTTGGTTTCATTTGCTACGTACTCAAGAAAATATATATGTTATATATTTATATTTTTATTGATAGGCGAATTTAAATAGATTTTGGCTGATTGTTGCAAGTTGCTATCGGGCTCTGTATGTGTTCCAGTCCTCTGTTGAATTATTAATGTCACGTGTACATGTAGTTATTGATTTAAACCTAAAAAGAAAGAACTAAAGTCTTGTGAAAATTTCAAGAATTATTGCAAGCTATACTATAGTTACAAAATGTAAAAAAAGAAAAAGAATTGAAATTATTCTTTTGTTTGGTTCACATTAGGCATTTCCAAATAGCTGATGTCTCCCAACAAATTTTGTAAATTTACCATTTTCACAATTAAATGGACTAAAAGGTTTAATCACGCACATAATTAAACCACACTAATTTGGCCAAATTAATATCTTATGTAGTAGACCAATCATATTTAGTTGTGTTTACTTTGACTTCAATCAATAAATACGTGCCACGTGGCACATAGAATAAAAGACCTATATGTAAAAGCTTCACCTTTCTTCGCTCTCTTCAGCTTCTTCATCGAACGGGAGGAGTCTCTTCTAGCTACGTACGCGTTCGCCGTTTGTTTGTGGACTCGAGGTTCGTTGTTCTTAGTTTCGCAGACTCATCTGTTTCGGCAATACTTTTCAAAGTTTCTCTTTTTGCCTAATCGAAGTTAATCGCGCATTTCGTAATTAGTCGAGGTTTAGGGTTTTAGGGCACAGAGTTTTGTGTAATTCGGAAGAATCGTTGAGTTTGCTATTCAAGATGATTTCTTTTCTCAAGGGCTTTATGTAATTTGGTTGATTTATGGATTTCGAATTGCTGGCACGAATTTGTTGCTTAAATTTGTTGGCTATGTGGGAAATTCTGAGGGACCTTGTTTGATTTGGATCTATTTTGTTGGGCAGATATTGGTGATAAAGGAGATTGTGGTTATTAAGCAAAGAAGATGAGTGGAGTTGGAGAGAAAGCTTCTGGAACAACTAAGACACCTGCTGATTTCTTGAAGTCTATCCGTGGTAAACCAGTTGTTGTGAAACTCAACTCTGGTGTTGACTATCGAGGTCGGTCTCTCTCTCTCTCTGCATTTTGGTTTACTGTTCAAGTTCTTTTATACCCTGTGTGCTATGCATAAGCTTGCGTCTGTTTTTGGTGGTTAAGCTATTGGAGTCTTATGCAAACCTTTGTGAATTTTGGGTTTTAGATGACTCAACGCCATTCTTTTTCTCCATGTTAATGGAACCTATGGATGTTTGTTTAAAGAATGACCCTTTCTTTGTTTAAGAATTGCTTGATTTTGATTCTCTTTCGATTTGAAAGGTGCATCTCTGAAGTTTCATTTTTGTTGAGCTTAGTTGAGAATGGCTTTCGTATCATTAAACCATGATGTTTTCGCAATCTTGTCTCCAAGAAACTGTGTTTGAGACATGCTCGTTGGAATTTGAGAGTGATTTGAAATTTAGATGATAGCTTTGTGACTCTCAGAGGGCTTCTCACTTGAGATGTTAAATCATCTCTAGATGACAGAGCCATATGTGGTTGATTTTGTCCTTTCCTGGCTACTCTTTCCTCCTTTCTATGTCATGTGCTGTCTTAATAAATGTCTCCAAATATGTCTGTGAAGTGTTTCGAGATGCATTTACACTTACTTCTGATAGAATATGGACTTTCACCTTGCAAAGAACCTAGCTATGGAGCCTTTATCACCTGCAATTTAAGGACAAGACCTTGGTCTCTTGAACTCTATAATAACTTACAGGACTAGGAGAACTTCTACCTTGAATATCTTTCTTTGGTTCACCTACAAAAGTCAGACTTATTCTTTCTTTGGCATATCATGTTGTATCAAGCTACTTTAAAAGATCTTTTCGGTCACACACGGAAACTACACATGACACAACACTTTGTCTCTGTTCTTGTTTGCAGGCATTCTCACTTGTCTTGATGGGTATATGAACATCGCAATGGAGCAAACCGAAGAGTACGTAAATGGCCAGCTAAAGAACAAATATGGCGACGCTTTTGTCCGTGGCAACAATGGTAAAAACCAAATCACATTCAACATCATTCTATTATTCGCTTTAGTTTGTTTTTTGATTTACATATATCTGAAAATTTTGATGTCTGTTGGTCACAGTTCTTTACATCAGCACAACGAAGGGGACCTTGTCAGATGGAGCCTAGCTCTCTTTCATCACCATGAATGGTCTTCTTCTTCTACCTCTGCCATATGACAAATGTAGGATTTGTAAACCACCAGAGAGATTTTTATCTTCTCTTAATCAATTTGACATGTCTTTTTTCTTACAACTCTGCAATTCAGTTTGTGTCTGAATCATCTTCAAAATCCTGAGAAAGAGCCAGATTTTTATTTTATAAGAAAAATCTCAATCGCCGTTAGTTTTTGGAGCCTAATCATCGTGTTTTGATGACCCAATCACTTGCGTCACAATCTGATGTCATCTTAACAATCATTAATGTATTTTTTTCTTTCTCTCGTAACAAACTAACAATTATTCTTCGATAAACAAAAGTTTTAAAAGTCCTTATTTTAATCAGTAATGTATTTATGATTGAGTTGATAACCAAAATATAGCTTATTGGTTCTATTCTATCGTAAATGATTCTTCTTCTTTTTTTTTTTCTTTTTTTTTGGGTTTGACTTAAGAAACCGATTGTTTATAGTAGTAAATATTTGTTTTTAATGTTACTCAAATTCAAGTGCACATGTCCCTTGCTGTCGTTGTAAAGTTGCTTTGGTTCAATATTGATCCACTAGACATATTACACTAATTGTTGACATCTGAGATTGTTTGTGAATTGTGATAAGAAAATATGAAACTAGATTTAGTGAAAGATACAATAATAAAACACACTAGATAATAAGGAAATGTGAGATATACTTGAAGAATACTACATCAAATAGACAAAGTCATTTTCTTATTGTCGACAACTTCTTGTAATTATAGAGCCGTAGAGAATCTCTTCACGTCTTTAGTACTTACCCATTTCGGTTGGTCTCTTCTTTTTTCCATCTCTTTTACTTTAAAAATAACAAATAAAGCTTCGATTTTGTGTGTGTTTGTATTTACATCTTGACAATGATATTTTTTTTAATCAATTTTTACCAAAAATGTAAAATGAAAACGCTGATCATAAACATGGTTTCTCTTTCCATTGACATTCATCGTTTGTATGTTTAATTAACAATTTATTTTAAAATAGTAAAAATTATGGTTGTATTTTTATTTTAAACGAAATATACAGAACAGAAAAGCACATGGCAGACAAAACAATGAAGCCAAAATTACTGCAAACAAGTATTTCAACTTGTATTTATATTAACAAATTTCTTTTTCTTGTGAAAGAAATGCAAATTGGTTTTTGTACTTTTGTTTTCTTATTTCTTTCTTAAAAAACAAAGAAGAGGAAAACAAAAAAACCATCATTTGTTCTGATCCCAAGCTCTTATCTAAACAAGAACCAGACGAACCTATATGTACATATATACTCATTATCTCTTGAGGCATATTCATTTTGGTTAAAGCAAAAGATTTTAAGAGAGAAAAGGAAGAAGTAAAAGAGAGATGGAGAGTAAGAGAGGACATGTATTAGCAGTGCCATATCCAACGCAAGGACACATCACACCAATCCGCCAATTCTGCAAACGACTTCACTCCAAAGGTCTCAAAACCACTCTCGCTCTCACCACTTTCGTCTTCAACTCCATCAAACCTGACCTATCTGGTCCAATCTCCATAGCCACCATCTCCGACGGCTATGACCATGGGGGTTTCGAATCAGCTGGCTCCATCGCCGACTACCTCGAAAACTTTAAAACCTCCGGCTCGAAAACCATTGCAGACATCATCCGCAAACACCAGACTAGTGATAGCCCCATCACTTGTATCGTCTATGATGCTTTCATGCCTTGGGCACTTGACGTTGCTAGAGAGTTTGGTTTAGTTGCGACTCCTTTCTTTACGCAGCCTTGTGCTGTTAACTACGTTTATTATCTTTCATACATAAACAATGGAAGCTTGAAGCTTCCCATTGAGGACTTGCCTTTTCTTGAGCTCCAAGATTTGCCTTCTTTCTTCTCTGTTTCTGGATCTTACCCTGCTTACTTTGAGATGGTGCTTCAACAGTTTACAAATTTCGAAAAAGCTGATTTCGTACTTGTTAATAGCTTCCAAGAGTTGGAACTTCATGTTAGATCTCTCTCTATCTCTCTTTCTTACAAATTCGTAAACCATGCCTTGTTCTTGTACATGTCCTAATTGCTCTGCTTTTTGTTACAGGAGAATGAATTGTGGTCGAAAGCTTGTCCTGTGTTGACAATTGGTCCGACTATTCCATCAATTTACATAGACCAACGTATCAAATCAGACACCGACTATGATCTGAATCTCTTTGAATCGAAAGATGATTCCTTCTGCACGAACTGGCTCGACACGAGGCCACAAGGGTCGGTGGTGTACGTAGCATTCGGAAGCATGGCTCAGCTGACTAATGAGCAGATGGAGGAGCTTGCTTCAGCTGTAAGCAACTTCAGCTTCCTGTGGGTGGTCAGATCTTCAGAGGAGGCAAAGCTCCCACCAGGGTTTCTTGAGACAGTGAATAAAGACAAGAGCTTGGTCTTGAAATGGAGTCCTCAGCTTCAAGTTCTGTCAAGAAAAGCCATTGGTTGTTTCTTGACTCACTGTGGCTGGAACTCAACAATGGAGGCTTTGACCTTTGGGGTCCCCATGGTGGCAATGCCCCAATGGACTGATCAACCGATGAACGCAAAGTACATACAAGATGTGTGGAAGGCTGGAGTTCGTGTGAAGACAGAAAAGGAGAGTGGGATTGCCAAGAGAGAGGAGATTGAGTTTAGCATTAGGGAAGTGATGGAAGGAGAGAGGAGCAAAGAGATGAAGAAGAACGTGAAGAAATGGAGAGACTTGGCTCTCAAGTCACTCAATGAAGGAGGTTCTACAGATATCAACATTGACACATTTGTATCAAGGGTTCAGAGCAAATAAGTTACTCACATAAAGTATTAAAGATCCTTCTATAATATCTTGTTGACTACGTCTTTCATTCAGCATAATCTTTAGTTGATTTTTCTTATGTTGTATGTTCAAATCATGAAAAACATATGGTCTCTTGGTGTTGCTCTCTTTTAACTGTTAAGTTACATAAAATCTTTGAAAGATATTTCTCTCTATCTCTTTCTTACAACTTCCTCAACTATGTTTTGTTCTTGTTCATGTACTAATTTTTGGCCTAATTACTCTGTTTTTCGTTACAGGATAAGGAATTGTGGTCGAAACTTTGTCCTGTCTTGACAATTGGTCCGAATACTCCATCAATTGATCCGAATTACAGGATAAGAAATTTCTCCCAGCCTCTTATTTATTTAGTTTTTTCAAAAAAAGAAGAAGTGGGAGAAATTTTCTCTATTGAAAACAAATTCTTCTTGTTCCTCTCTTGAGGAAAGTCTTTAGAGTTTAGGATTTAGTCTTGCAAACTTAATATATGGTGTTTTGGCTGGAAAACAAAAAAAAATCAACGGTTGGGATCTCTGCTTCAGTTCCGCCAAAATTAACTTCCAGCACCTTCTCCATAAACAACTTTGGATGTTTTCTCTTAAAATAGACCAAGCCAAACTATGGATGTTTATATTTAGAGAAATATCCAATTTTCGAATAGTTTAGTTTTGAGTTTATTTTCAGTTGGTTTCATATCAAACCGAGTTATTCATATTTGCATGCAAATGAATATTCATAGTTCTGAACCTTTTATGACCTGCTAGGCTGCTGCTATTCTTGCTTTATTAGGTTTACCAAATGCAGAAATTGTGTTTTTTTTTTTTGGCTTTGTTAGGTTTAACATATACATCACTTGACATTTGAACTTTTTTTTGGCTTTGTTAGGATTAGAATTTCTTATATACTAAATTTTATTTATAATTTTTAAATATATATTTACAATTGATTTCTACAACATTTTTTTATATATATATATATACACTCATAGTTGCTACTATATATACTAAAAATGTTGAGATCTTATTCCAACTTTAGAACCGTAGAGAATCTTCTCAATTCGTTACTTCCTATTTCAATTTGCGTTATTTTAGAAAATATATTTACAATTGATTTCTACAACATTTTGATTTTTTATATATATACACTCATAGTTGCTACTATAGTAAAAATGTTGAGATCTTATTCCAACAATAGAACCGTAGAGAATCTTCTCATATCGTTAGTTCCTATTTAAATTTGCATTATTTTAAAATATATATTTAAAATAGATTTCTACAACATTTTAATTATATATATACACTCATAGTTGCTACTATACTAAAAATGTTGAGATCTTATTCAACTTTAGAACCGTAGAGAATCTTCTCATATCGTTAGTTCCTATTTAAATTTGCATGTGTCTATATGTACTCTCCATCTTTCCAATTAAATCTGATAAAAGTGAAAAAACTTTCTGAAACAAGCTTTTCACTTGTCACCATTATGTAGTTTTTTTGGACCATTTTACACATTTTTCTTTTCTTGCTCTGATGACAGGCTATTGTCATGAACCCTCTATTAATATATATATTCCCCATATCTCTTTATTCGTTCTAAAAAGATTGAGAGCGACAAAGAAAGAGAGAGAGAAAGAGACAGTGAGAGATAGGGAGAGATGGAGAAGATGAGAGGACATGTATTAGCAGTGCCATTCCCAAGCCAAGGTCACATCACTCCGATTCGCCAATTCTGCAAACGACTTCACTCCAAAGGTTTCAAAACAACTCACACTCTCACCACTTTCATCTTCAACACCATCCACCTCGACCCATCTAGTCCTATCTCCATAGCCACAATCTCCGATGGCTACGACCAGGGAGGCTTCTCATCAGCCGGTTCTGTCCCTGAGTACCTCCAAAACTTCAAAACCTTTGGCTCCAAAACCGTCGCTGATATCATCCGCAAACACCAGAGTACTGATAACCCTATCACTTGTATCGTGTACGATTCTTTCATGCCTTGGGCACTTGACCTTGCAAGGGAGTTTGGTTTAGCTGCGGCTCCTTTCTTCACGCAGTCTTGCGCCGTTAACTATATCAATTATCTTTCTTACATAAACAATGGTAGCTTGACACTTCCCATCAAGGATTTGCCTCTTCTTGAGCTCCAAGATTTGCCTACTTTCGTCACTCCTACTGGCTCCCACCTTGCTTACTTTGAGATGGTGCTTCAACAGTTCACAAACTTCGACAAAGCTGATTTCATACTCGTTAATTCCTTCCATGACCTCGACCTTCAGGTTAGTTCATTTTCTAATTACTCTGTTTTCTTCCCCTCACTCTTGTCCAAATTACTCTTCTTCTTTTTGACCTAGCTACCCTATTTTTTCCTTAGCTACTCTGTTTTAATTGCCTTACTTACTCTGTTTTATCACCTAATGACTATTTTTTGTTCTCTGATTTCCTTCTATAGGAAGAGGAGTTGTTGTCGAAGGTTTGTCCTGTGTTGACAATTGGTCCAACTGTTCCATCAATGTACTTAGACCAACAGATCAAATTTGACAACGACTATGATCTAAACCTCTTCGACTTGAAAGAAGCTGCCTTATGCACTGACTGGCTAGACAAGAGGCCACAAGGGTCGGTGGTCTATATAGCTTTTGGGAGCATGGCTAAACTGAGTAGTGAGCAGATGGAAGAGATTGCTTCGGCGATAAGCAACTTCAGCTACCTGTGGGTGGTCAGAGCTTCAGAGGAGTCAAAGCTCCCACCAGGGTTTCTTGACACAGTGGATAAAGACAAGAGCTTGGTCTTGAAGTGGAGTCCTCAGCTTCAAGTTCTGTCAAACAAAGCCATCGGTTGTTTCATGACTCACTGTGGCTGGAACTCAACCATGGAGGGTTTGAGTTTAGGGGTTCCCATGGTGGCTATGCCTCAATGGACTGATCAACCAATGAATGCAAAGTATATACAAGATGTGTGGAAGGTTGGGGTTCGTGTGAAAGCAGAGAAAGAAAGTGGCATTGCCAAAAGAGAGGAGATTGAGTTGAGCATCAAGGAAGTGATGGAAGGAGAGAAGAGCAAAGAGATGAAGGAGAACGCGGGAAAATGGAGAGACTTGGCTGTGAAGTCACTCAGTGCAGGAGGCTCTACAGATATCAACATTAACGCATTTGTATCAAAAATTCAAATCAAATAAGTTATGCACATGATAATGTAGCAAAGAGATTTGATATGCTTAAAATGTCCTGATGGATATTTCAATAAAACCTTTTAAGTTGATTCTTCATCTGTTGTTTGTTCATCCACATATATGGAGTTCTTGATATATGTTGAGGCTGTGAAGTAGGCAGGCAAGGGGATCCATAATGTATAACAAAGAAAAGAACTCCGGCTCGTTGTATGTTCATCCTCTAGTTGCAACGAGCCGGAGTTCTTTTCTTTGTTATACAGTAACGCGCTTATAAACTATACAAACTTACTTATGTAAACAAGTGGAATGACAATAAGAAGATATTATCTTCTGTTTTTTGTTCTACACACCAAAAAATATACATAGCAAGTGAGTTTGTCGATATCTGAGAAACACTGTGAATCGGATTTTGTCCACAAATCTCACGCTCTTCTTGTTTCTCCTTCTTCTTCTTCTTCCCCTTTTATTTCCTGTAAAAGTAAACATTAAAGCACACACAATCTTTCATCTCTGTTTGAACTATAGATTATATCAGAAGATGAAATCTTACCAAGGGAACTTGAATGTGTCTTTCCACCATCCTTGTTTTGAGCAATTAGCTACTATTTTGTCAAGTCGAATAATAATTTCAGAGAATGTCGGTCTAATAGCGGCTTCTTGATGCCAACATTTCTCTATCAACCTGCAGAGTAAGCGATATCGCAGGTTAAGAGCCGGCACTCCAACTTCTTGCATTTGGCCATAGAAATTTTTTGTTTCAAAATAGTTATTGAGCTTACTCTTTTATATCTGGAGGGTAACTTCTTGACTTAGTTTTGAATACTGGTCTCTTTCCTTCTAAGCACATCATTTTCGCAACTTCTTCAGGAGGTCTCGGATGGAAAACTGGTACTCCCTCTGTTATCTGAGACCACGCACAAAAACAAGATTAGAGAAACACAAGACACGAGAAAAAAACAGAGCATGACGAGGAAATGTACCTCGTATAAAATGACACCAAAGGAGTGTGCATCGACCCTTCGGTCAAATATTTCGTCTTTATAAACCTCTGGTGCAATGTAGTAATCTGCAATCGAGAAAACATTTTTCAATGATCATAGATCTTACCAAGAGATTCAGTTTTCATGCATGTGAATGAAGCATTCTCCTTACTTGAGAGATCTATATGTGCTTTGTGGTTTGCTACTTTCGCCTTGTCTTGTGAAATTTTCGACAATCTTATCATACCAAATCCCGAGATCTTTAATTGCCCTCCTCTATCCAGCAAAATATTTCTGACACCTTACGAAAAATTTCGAAAAATTAAACGAACAGAAACATCTCAATGAGTACGTACCAAAGGTTTTTAATGTATCTAATCGACATTTGCCTTTGGTTATCTTACTTTGGCTTTAAATCGCAGTGAATGATTGGATCTGGTTTACATTCATGGAGGTAGTTCATGCCCCTGACACGAGAAAAACCACGAAAACCATCAGGTGAGGTACTCAGTAATTACAGTAACCTTAACATCAATACATGAGAAGTTAACAAACCTGGCAATATCAAGAGCAAATCTAAGTGCCTTGGAAGGCGAAAGACGCCCTTTCTTTTGGAGATATACACTTAAATCTCCCTGCAACAGAATCAAAATGGTAACAGACGAGAAGACATTGAGTTGATTAGTGAATAGAGGTAAAATCAGAAGGGAAAAAACAAGTAAAGATGCTTACTTTTGGATTATACTCGACTACAATCATCATCGGTATATTCTGAGTGACAGCTCCAACAAACTGGATAACATTTGGATGCCGAACTTTTTCTAGCAACGTCAATTCATGTCTAAATGCGTTTCTGTTCAGATTAAAAGCCAGAAAGACAAAGCATAATCAATTTCTTCATGCCAAACCAAATCACACAGCTTAGGAAACAAAATTTAGAGTTTCCCATTATTTTAAGCTCACTCAAATGGAACACATGATAAAGAACACAAGTAGTAGATGCATACATGCGTTCAGGGTCTGAGTAGCTATCTTTATCAAGTATTTTGACTGAAACCCGCGTGCCATTCCATTTAGCTACTTGATATGCTCCCTGCAAACAATCAAACAACATCCATTGATTTGAATAAATCAAAATGCTTCAAGAACAATGATGTTCACAAATGTGTCTATCTAAGAGAGCAAAGAACATGCCTTTGAGATGCCATCAGCTTTCCTAACTTGAATCTCAAGTGGATTAAGCTCATACTCAGGAACTTCTCGTGGATTCGACACAGTCATCGGAGTCTTCCTGGTTTTCTATAAGTGTCAAGATAAAAGCCTTTAATAAAACAAACACATGACCAAAACACCAATCGAATCCAAAATCAATGAAAATTTCTTACCGGAACTTTAGCTCCTCGAGCCTTCAAGAGATTGTAAATATCTAAATTCCCATAATACTTTGCATCAGCAGCCGCCTAATTCACCAGAAACCATAAAAATGTCAACTTTATCCCCAATCCAGACAATTTCTAGAATCTAGAGGGTTAAGAGAAGAAGACAGACCGTACTACCCCATCGATCACGAGCATCAATGTTAGCTCTCCGGCTAAGAAGAGCCTTAACGACACCAAGATGTCCCTCACAAGCAGCGATGTGAAGCGCCGTCCGGCCATCAAGATCGATGCTATTAACATCAATTCCTTCATCAAGAAGCTCCTCGATTCCTCTGACATCACCTTTGCTAGCCATAAAGAGAAGCTGCATCGTGGAATCGAGATTCTCCGGTACCGACATATGTGGCTCGTCGTCGCTCCTAACAGAATCAGGACTCCTCCGGATCGGATCGAGAGAAGACTGACGACCGAAACTAAACCTCATGTTGGTCCGACGAGGGTCAAGAGATGACTGACGCGTGAACTGTCGGCTCAATGTTCGACGAATCGAACCAGTTGAGAATTGTCTTGAGATCCCTCGTTTTAGCTGCGCGGTTATGTTCTCCATTGATGAAAAATTGAAAAGTTTCTTCCTTTACGAAAATTCTCAAAAACCCTCAGAAGATCAATGGATTAAGAATAAAACCCACATTGCGTCTTTGGAGGGTTGGTCAATGGAGGTTGAGACAAAGAAGAACGAAGAAGAAGAAGACAAGTCACAGCAAACAAACGATCGTAGTCCGTTTAAATTTTCTATCTTTATTTTTTTGTAATCAGTTGAGACTATTATCCATTAACGAAATTAACCAAAAGTTCGTTGGTTCACAAAATCTCTATTTTGGAGGTAAAACCTTGATTGGATTATTAATCCCATGTAGATTATATATAGATGAACTAATTAAAAGATAAACCTTTAGTTTAATGGAATACAACCTGGAGAAAGTGGGTTTTTGACTTTTTAGTGAAGTGGAGAAGATGATGGTAAATTTTTTAATATTAAAACTAAAAAATATGGTGCTACTCCACTAATTTTTAATGTAATAATTGTATCAAATCTCATTTGCTCCATAGGTTATTATAGTATAGTATAATAGTTAATGGGTCGGCTATTTATTACCATTTATGTCATCCAATTATGTTACTTTTTCACACAAGTTGTTGGTGCATCATATCTCTCAAAATATCTATTTACTACAGAAAAATATCTATATAAATAGTATGTGAACCAAAATTTAATCATCATTACTTCAAAGTTTCGATTACAAAGATTCTCAAAGATAGTATTACAACAAGTAGCAAACAGGACGACGTCGTTCGCAGATCTACTACATGAACTCATCTTTAAGTCATGGAGCAATCGGGACGGCGTCGTTTTTGAGATCCATATATATTTAAGTCATAATTATCTCGCTCTTTAGACAAGGAGTGAATGGGACGACGTCGTTGGCTAATCCATTTGCATTATCGCAAGACGCCTGAGCCGGTCGATTAACAGAGACAAGATTCACATCGTCCATTACAATACCGGTACATGGTTTCTCCTTACTACAATCTAACAAAACCGCCACTTCCGTATTCGAAGTCCCGTGTATATCTTCATATCTCACATTTGATACTTTAACTCCAGATTCCTATAATAATAGAAATTAATATACAAATTAAATGAGTCAATATATCTAGTTATGGATATAAAGATATGGTTAATTAATATATAAATATTTTTACCTGTTTAGGGCAAGGTTTGTCAAGACAATAGTGTTGGTCTATAATGATCGGGTTCTTGACCATCTTCATATTAATATGTTGGAAAACGATGTTTCTAGCGAAACTGTTGCTATCTTTTCCCCATGTTTTGATCCTAACTCCGTTATTCGTTCCCGTGAAATCCACGTTACTCACGGTCACATTATCCACTCCTTGTTCTTCCTCTGCTCGTCCAAGACTTCCAATACTGTTGGAGAGTTCACAAAAAAACGAAGAGACCATTTTATAAAGTGAAATATTAAGAAAGATGGGGAGCAAGAAATGTATGTGTGTTACCTGATGCCGTGGCCTGGACCACATTGAATGTTTTGTATGAAAACATCAGTAGATCCTGGACCGATGGAGATGCAATCATCACCGGTTCCGATTCTCGAGTTAGTGATATGGACGGAGTGAGATGATTCGACGTGAATTCCATCGGTGTTAGGGCTATTCCCATCAGCAGAAACCTTAACGCCGTCAATGTTCACGTTATTGCTTTTATCGATGACTATATGGAATCTCTGGCTGTTGATTGACGTTAAACCATTGATTTTGATGTTATTTGACCCACTAAACATCAAACTCTACAAATAAGATTAACCAAAAAATAAAGTTAAAACCTCATGAAAGTTAAGAAATTAAGTTTGTTGTTTCTTGTGGGTCAAGCATATATACCTTGGCACCAGTAGGACAATTATGGCCACCGTTGTTCTTGCATTTCCATAAACTAGTGCCTTGAGCGTCAAGTATTCCACCATAGATTGAAACATCAGTAACATCCTCGAACGAGATCCAATGTTCTGATCTTGCAATAATTCTAAAATCATCCGGAGCAACGATTGAGCCTGCTATACGAATAGATATTGGTGCTTGCTTACACTCGTTGCCTTGGAAAACAAGGTTCCCGACCAAGAACCGTCCTTTTGGTACGATTATAGTTGTAGGATTAGCTGAGGCACAAGCGACGTCCCATGCGGCTAAGAAGGCTTTGGTTGAGTCTTTTGAACCGTCTGGTTTAGCTCCGTAGGATAAGACGTTGAGTGTGCTTGGAATCGGATGGGCTAATGATGAGATTACGATAAAATCAAGAAAGATGAGAGCCAAAGGAAGAATAAGGCATGAAGTGTTATAAACCATTTTTGGGTTTTTTTCAGAGAAGGTTAGTGTTTTAAGGATGAAGGAATATTGTAGAAGAAGGTTCATGAGATGGGAATTTATAGGATTTACGATAGTAACGTAATGGTTAGTTTATATGGAAATTTCTTGATTTTATTAATCTACAATTGTGTCAACTTGTACCTAGATGACCGGGTAATTTGTTATGTAATAAAATTTGATTGGTTTAATGAAATAATAGTAATTATTCACAAGATAAATTTCCTTAGACGACTGCATTATTGTACGGTAATGTACGAAATTAGATTAGTCAATTTCGACAGATATAGTTATATGGATTGATTTAATTGGTAATTTTGGATTATGGATCGATTTGGTGGCTCTCTTATTTTTGGATTAATTAATTATGGATTGAAGAAAACAAGAAGGAGAAGATTTAGTATCTTATGATTGTGTTTTTCCTTTATGTATTTTCTGGTATCATTATGATTTAATATTCACTAACTTGACTGCGTTAGTGATTTATTAGATTTTCATAGCGCATGCATGTTCAAGTTCTTTAATTTTGCCAATCGCTAGAGCAGTATCCTTAGTTTCGATTTTTAAACATTCACCTAAACTCCTCGGTGAGTTAACAGAGAGAATCATTACTTCATTAGTCATTCAAATTGCATATCAAGATAATTATAACTTATGAGTTTTTAAAGTAAGTGTAATTAGAAATTATTAGACAATTCAAGATCAGTGGATTAATGATCCGTCAACTTTTTTGGATAGATTCCAAAATAATGGTTGATATAGACGAAAATTGATTTACCTATCGCAAAAACAATCTAGAAATGTGAAAATTCATATTCAAAAAAAACACATAAGGTAAGTATAAAATAAAAAATAAAAATTGTGAAATACAGAAAACATGCGCATCAAACAAAGGATGTCCCTATCATTTTTCTTGTAGTGCTACGAGATTCGTATATCACTTGCGTTAAACTCACACTTCATTACGTAAGATTCAGTTTCTTGATTTCTTTATACAAGTAATATCCTGGTTTTTGTTTAGTCAGCAAAATCAAATTTGTGGACTACTTTAAATGAAAAAAAAACAGATCCATACATAAAATGTGTTCGAAGTAAACTTCATATGTATTGATAAAAGTTTTAATTGTAAGTATTTTATTTTTGATAAAAAAAAAAGGTTGAATTACCGTGACTTAACTTAAAAGCTAAAACAGTTAAAACATTTTCTCTGCATTTAAGAGGAAAATACGGAGCCACCAAAATAATGCAAATGTCAACTGAAACTAACTACCCACTTTTGTTATACAAACAGAAGAAAATGGCGCGAAATTGAGGAGTCTTGTCTTTTTAATGTCCTTTTTTTTCTCTACAATAATGCAAAACAGTAAAAACATATAACAGAAAATAAAACTTTAATCAGTAATTAAAAATCCAAAACAGTTTCATAACAACAACACAAGTTGTTTACACATCAAATACATCAATGGTCGCTCTGGTTCAAATACTACAAAGCAAGGCCAGGCTTGAGGCCCAGTGGGCCATCAACCGCCACAGGCTCATGCATCTCCTTCCATGAATTACGAAATTATAATTTACATTCACTATTTTGAATTTTAAGTAATACTTAAAAGAAAAGTCATGTATCTTTTCTGTCATAGACAATTTGGCTGAAAAAATCCAGCTTCTATCCCTCCGGCGTGAGTACAAGCCGACGCAGCCGGTTTATTCCGGTACGTTAATTTCACATCCTCAAGTCGTATTCCAGTACACGGTTTCTTGGAACTACAATCAAGTTTCACTCCAACTTCAGTCGCCGATGTTCCATGTATATCAACAAACAACACATCGCTAATTTTGATCCCCGAAACCTAAAATAATAGTGAAAGAAATAAATTAATCTCCAATATAAAATAAAAAATATTTATGTGCATATTACTTTAGATAAATTACCTGGCGAGGACAATCATGTTCAGGGCAGTAGTTTTGGTCAATGATGATAGGATTCTCTACGTTGTTCATTACACAATGTTGGAAACGGATGTTCTTAGCGAATCCACTACTGGGCCTGGCCCATGATTTGATCCTCACTCCGTTATCAGTTCCCGTAAACGTCACCGTTTTCACAGTCACGTTTTGTACACCAGACTCCACGCTATCTTTTCCCAAACTACCAATGCTGCAAAGTGCAAATGATTTCCATCCAAAATATTAGATAACAAAAAAAAATTCAAGACTGAAATATGAATCATATAATATATATGTGATTATGATTCAAAACAAGATTAATTTTCAAAATTATTACCTGATGCCATGACCAGGGCCGCATGCTACATTTTCAATCCAAAGTCCGTTAGTGCCGGGACCGATGGAGACGCAATCGTCTCCGGTGGAGATTTTAGTATTGAAGATAGAGACGGTGGAGGAAGACTGAACGTGGATACCATCGGTGTTGGGGCTGTTTCCGGCAGCTAATACTTTGACTCCTTGAAGCTTTACGTTATTACAACCGTTAATGACGACGTGGAACATCTGGCTGTTTAGTGACGTTAGCCCAGAGACCATAACGTTGCTTGAGCTCTGAAATCCTATTGTCTGTTGATCACATGATAAGTTAGTAACGCTCTCATTTATTAATTAAACGTATTATATGAGTCCATGTGAATTTGGAATGTGGTATTATTTTTAAGAAATGGATTAAAACTTCATAATTCAGAAAAGGGTGCAATTATATACTCCTAATTCTTTTTCTTGGAAATTAATCAAGCAAATTAAAGTCTGCGATTGAGCCTCCTGTTAAATAATTAGCGTTCACATTCATATAGGAATTTAATTTTTTCATTCTTATTAATAAATGGTAAACTTCCACGTACCGTTGCGCCGCTGGGGCAATTCTTGCCGGACTTCTTACAATCCCATAAAGAAGCTCCTCGAGCGTCAAGAACTCCGCCGTAGACGGTGACGCCGTCTAGATGTTGGAAGAAAATCCAATAGTCTTCATTTCCGATAACTCGATAATCAGCCGGAGCCACCAATGTACCGTCGATACGGAACGTAACGGGCTTGGGCTTGCATTTGGAACCATCGAAAGTAACGCTCCTTAACAAAAACCGGCCTTTGGGAACCACGATGGTTACGGGACGAGTTGATGCACACGCGGTTTCCCAAACCGCCATGAACGCTTTGGTTGCGTCTGTCTTTCCGTCCGGCTTAGCTCCGAAAGACAAGACATTGTAGGACTGAGCAGAACAAGAGGAGAGGAAGAAGAAGATGGAGAGGACAAGAAGTGAAGCCATTGTGTATTTCGCTAACGTACGCTTGTTTAGAGATAGAGAGAGAGAGAGAGAGAGAAGAGAGAGTGGAGTAGTGGTGGTGGTGTGGGAGTTTTAACGGTTATGGACTGTATTTATAGTGTTTGTGTCGTATGCGAAGGGCTTTTGTTGTTTGTTTTGTTTTGTTTTTTTATTAGTTTATTAATTCTTTGAATAAACAAATGATTATTGGATTTGGCCTGAACATTTTGAATGAATAAGAAATTAGGTGTAGATTTGTTTTGCATGATTGTTTTCATTCATTCAAAACGCATTATATAAATAATTGTATATAAGATACGTTGTTATGTTAAAATGGAATATTACGTTCATAATATATTTTTCAATAGATTTTTTGTATTATCAATTGTCGTGTGAGTGGAATCAGAACAAAGCTCAGCTAATTGTGAAAAAAGTAGGTAAATATCACAAAGAACACTTTTGCAAAGCAATGTTAGGTTAGGTCCGGTTTGAGTTTCGTCAAAATTGTTGGTATTATCATGATGTGGTCAAAGAAGTTGGTGTAGCACAAAGAATTAAGAGCAAGCAGAGCAAGAAAACCAATGAGATTTTCGTGGACTGAGAAGTGAGAAGAGAAGACTCGAAATAGGTGAAACCAAATTAGAAGTTCGTGGACTAAGAAGATAAGAAGAGTTGGTCAAAAAACGTTAGTTAATTTATCACTTGTGGATAAATGGAAAATTTTGGCAATTCCTAGAAAAACATAAACCATTCTCCACTTCTGAATTTCCATTGTTGTAGGGACTGAGGTCCCGGTATCTGTTGTTTCACTTCTGAATCATCTATCGTTTTCTTTTTCATGCTTTGACCGGGAATTATCACATCAAATATCGATATATAATAAGCTTAATTAGATAGTTATTCTTGGATTATTTTATGTGATATTAGTTTTTTTTATTTATGTTAAACATCAATCTTTCAATAAAATACGTACGCCGTCCAATTTCATATTAACCGCAAGCGAAATCTAAATATTTGAAAGTAAGTACGAAAAAATGAAATCGGGTACGGTGTGAAAGAGAAAGTAGGAGAAGTAGAATAAAAGGTAGAAAAGTGAAATTACAATGGTCAATCCATTTTTATTGGAGGAATAGACGAAACTAACGTACGTTGAAAAGCGAAGAGTTCGTTAATTTATGAGAAGAACACGCAAAGTCTTCACACTTTTGGCAGCACCTTCAACGTGATTAAGCCGCAAAAACAATTTACTTCAAAAAATTATTATAAAAAATCTTACTTTAATAAGAGAAGAAGATGTTTTAGACTTTTAATAAAATGATTTTTTTTCCGTGAAGTAGTTTATGATTAGTGTTTGTCTATCTCAGCTAGCTAAAGTTTTTGTCTGAACAATGTAAATTATATTATGAATGCATATATTCATCATAAAAGTAGTTTTGCATGTGACCCATATTCCACAGAGGAAAGATAGAGTTGAATTCCGTAATACCTAAGGTAGCAACCAAATGGCTTAAGCTACTTGCTTATAGGTCATTGGCAACAGTGTGGATTCAAATTCGTAAATTAATAATGGTCACGGCTCACGTTGGCTATGCTGCCTATGCATGATGGTTTGTGGGGACACAAGATCAATGCATGTGGCCAATTATTTTATTGAACGATTAGCTTTACTTGACAAGAAATGCATTTTGTAAACGTTACACGATCTGATAGTTTTTGTCTTGTGTAACCACGAGGTCCACGACTCTAGTTGGGTTGCGATGAATATTTTTTCAAAATTTGTGGTATAAATTTGATCCAATTTTGTTTAGGTCTTAAAAAAAACATTACGATCATGCATGTTCGGATGAGCCATCCACATATGTTAGATTTTACGAACAAAGTTTCATTATCAAATCATTCTGAAGTATGTTATTTAAATATTCAAAAGATGACAAAAGAAGATTATGGAACAAGTATAAATGGGAAAACAATATTTGGATGATTGGAGCAACATGGTTACGGAACGTGACAAGTGGAGAAGAATACGGATCGAAATTGGGCCAATGATCACACCGAAAGGTTCTTTAAATTTCTCCAAAATTAAATTTCTTCCGTATACTTGAATGTTTTCTTAAGTCAAACATTTGATTACTCACATTTTTCAAGTTCATGCACTTAAATTAACGTGCTATAGACTAAGAATAATGATAAGATGTGTTAACTACTCGAATATACTTTCCCGGTAATTACTTAATTAATATTCAAGGTCAATTGTAGGATCATGATGCCGAATTAGTACTAATTGCATGCATGTTCAAGGGATCGAAGTTGATTTGTGACTCAAACCTTGCTTAAACCTAGAACTAGAAGAGTGGTGCTATATGAAAATTTGCTTAAAAATTGCGTATGTACTATTAGATAAGCTTTTATCCCAAGTTATGTACGTTGTTAATCCACTTTTAAAGTTATGTTAGTTGAGGCTGGAGATTGATTTTCAGAAGCAATTTACACCTTAATTAGTAAATATCATTAACCTCCGTAACATACTGATATTTACTGACACTGGTCCCTCTATCTTCTAATTATAATTAAACTAAATATGATAACTAGATCATGTCATAAGAGCAAGAAAAACAAATCGTGAATAATTCTTTCATTTTTATGGGCTTTTAGTATTTTAGAAGATAGAGTGACCATTTTGTTTAGTGTAGTCGTTGACCTCAACACACAAGATTATATCTCACTATAGCCATGTGATGATGGATATAAATTCAAATCGATTTGTTAAATGGGAAACCAATCTAATTTAATTATTCAACTAAATAAATAAAATAGTGTCTATTTTTGTGACTTCAGATGGCAATTGTTAGTAGTTTTCATCGATTTGATCTAGCCATCTACATACATAACATAAAAGGAGCGGGGACATGACCATAGTAGAGAAGAAAAACTCCACATACACATTATATTTGTAATTGTAAAGTATGTGTTGGGCCTATGAATGGAAACAATTTATTGTTTCTAGACTTGGAAACAAGTTGGGCTTTACACCAAAAAAAGGAAACATATTGGGCTTCTCCGAAACGTAAACAAGACCTACAAATTCAATACTTCATAAATAATGGGCCCATAAAGTCCATACTTGTTATCTAGGTAGGGTGAGTTTTAGTCAAAAATCATGAACATATAATTCCTTTTTTTTTTTTAAGCAAGAACAGATAATTCCAAATCAACTTACAATTTTTTTAAAATATATGCTTGTTATATGTTATTATCTTAAGGTATGGCTCAATGTTTTTAATTTTTAAACCAAGGCCTATATTGAGAATTTGAGAGCTTATAACTTTTCTTCTTTTCAAACTATACGATAAATTAAAAATAGGGAGGTTTGCAGGAGCCATACCTTGCATATATTCCCGCCCAATTATTCTGCATAATTTTCTCCACGTGACATTACAATAAATTCCAACTGTGATAGATAATTTTTGTTTCCCAGTTTCTTCTCCACTTGATTGATATATTTTGCTGTTTTATTACCGCATAATATATCAAATTCGCCTTTTTACCGGAGTTTGATTACAAATTTACAAAGTATCGTGAAATCGTCATGTGTAATAATATCATGATACCAACATGCTATATTTAAAATCTTAAAAAGCATAAACAGAAAAATAATATTTTCTGAATCAATTTAGGTTTCAAAAGAATATCAAACTGTTCATGTAAAGAAACAAAAATAATATTTTCTGATTCAGTGAATTAAGTTGATAAGGAAACTGATCAATAAGCATTTGCATATTGATAAAGTGGAAATTGAGAGAGTACTACTTTGTTTGCAATAATTCATGCGTCTGATCTGTAGACTAATAGTCGTACATAAGAAGTTGTACACACACAAGCCATAAGTACATTATGATTAAATAACATGGATTATGGAATCAAGTAACATTTAGGTCACTTATATTTTAATGCACCGCATCTAACGCGATTAGTCATTAATACACGGATCGTCCGATCTAAAACAAATTTTGTTTTCACCTTATATATATAACCTTTCTCATTATTTCTTCTTAAATCATTACAAAGCAATCGCAAATTAGAAGAGATTTAAGATGGCCAATAACATGTCCTTTCCTTGTGCCATCATATTTTTCTTTATTGTTTTCTTCTTTATCAACTCATCACACGCAATGCCATCGTTTAACGTACAAAGATACGGAGCTAGAGGTGATGGAAGAACAGATGCGACCAAGTCCTTTTTGACAGCTTGGTCATTAGCCTGCGGCTCACGGGCTCGAGCCATGGTCTACGTTCCCCGTGGAACATATATGGTCAAAAACCTAGTCTTTTGGGGTCCTTGCAAGAACATTATAACTTTCAAAAACGATGGAACGCTCGTGGCACCAGCGAACTACTGGGATATAGGTAATTCCGGTTATTGGATTCTTTTCGCTAAAGTAAACCGGATCTCGGTTTACGGTGGCACCATTGATGCTAGAGGAGCTGGTTATTGGTCTTGTAGAAAGAAAGGTAGCCATTGTCCTCAAGGTGCAAGGGTATGTTTATATCAAAATTAGCGGATTTGATTTGTTCATTAACCAGTTATATATATTAGTTTGATTTATAATTGAAATTCGACATGGCTTCTTTTGCAGTCTATATCATTCAGCTGGTGCAATAACGTTTTACTAAGTGGTCTAACGTCGTTTAATAGCCAGAATATGCACGTCACGGTTCATCATTCTTCTAATGTTCGGATTCAAAACATAAGAATTAGGGCTCCAAGTGGAAGCCCTAACACCGATGGTATCCACATACAGTCTTCTTCAGGAGTCACCATTAGTGGTGGAACCATTGCGACCGGTGATGACTGCATTGCTCTTAGTCAAGGATCTAGGAACATTTGGATCGAACGTGTGAATTGTGGACCGGGACATGGAATAAGGTAACTAAAAATTTAACAATAATCAACTTAAATGTGATGATTGAGCGCCAACTAAAGCAATTTTGCTTGTAAATGTGATGCAGCATTGGGAGTCTTGGGGATTACGCTAATGAGGAGGGTGTGCAGAATGTAACCGTTACGAGCTCTGTTTTCACTAAGACGC